TGATCGATCGGCCAGTGTGTATGGAGTTATTATCTTATCTTATCGTATAAGCGCCCAAAAATCCACCCAAATGCGGCAACTGTCATTACGCAGAGAAACCAAAGCGCAGTAGACCATACGATTACGTAACTGATTGTTATCAAGTCAGCGCTGACTTCGGCAACTCGGCAAACCAACGGATAACATTTGGAACTGATACTATCACATGATGTAAGCGATCCCACACCTACTATGTCACGCTGCTGCGTCCCATCTAAAACTAGCGCTCGTCCGTCCGATATTCGCGGATAATCACGCTTTATCACGCTTTTGTAACGTTTTGACTGGGGTCACATCCCTGTCACTGTGACGAGGCCCATGCGCAAAAACCAACTCCCTCCTTCGGGGGAGTCGGAACCACACAGGTTGCTTTATGTTCGGGCGCAAGTGCTTCGAGGCGGCATGCTCTAAAGTATTACAGACGCGGAGATACGCTACTTCAACGGGAAATGCTGTCGCTCATTATGACGGTAGCCTACAATCTGTGTATCAGCCGTAACCCTCTGGTCTGACCCGCCTTCAAGTTTGCGTGATAGGTGGTGGACATGCCGGGTGTGAAGCGGCTACAGGATCCGCTCGTACTGGCGCTCGTACGGCTCTGCTGACCCAACGTCTCGACACCATCGGGGAACTGTCCTGTAACCCGTCGATCGGAGGTGTCGGAAAAGGGACGCTGGTTCGGGAGGTCGACGCGCTGGACGGCGTGATGGGTCGCGTTGCAGGTGCGAAACATAGCATGCTTATTGAAACTTGCTTACGGACGTTGGCTATGCAGACAAAGCCGGCATTCAGTTCCAAATCCTGAACCGGTCAAGAGGAGCTGCAGTATGGGTAAGCATGCATTTCCAGATTGTAGCCTTCTCGCTCTTTTGAGCGAGAGTTCACAGGGTCCGCGTGCACAAATCGACCGGAAGCTATACAAGAAGCACATGCAAGATACTCTCAAGGCATACCCGAACCTTGACATCCGCGGCGGCAGCGTCTTCGACCTGGTCTTTGAACACGAACCTCCAAGTTCTGTTACACCAGGAAACATCTCTCAACCTTCAGGCAAATGGGGAAAGATCGCTGGTGTCAAGCTAGGTATATTCTGCAGCTCACGTTATACGCCAAGATGTGCTTACGCTCATGCGCAGATTCTGGCGAGATCATCTCCTGCTCGAAGGTCGTCATATGCACCGGCACCTTCCTCTCCGGAGAGATTCACATCGGTTTGTCGTTCGTCGGTTGAATGACCCTGGGATCTCATTCGTACACTTTGGTTGACATTACAGGCATGAAACGTTTCCCGGCTGGACGAATGGGCGAAGATCCTTCTATCGGCCTTTCCGGCTCCCTCGCCCGCGCCGGATTCAAGCTCGGACGATTGCAGACAGGGACGCCTGCCCGTCTTGACAAGCATACAATTGATTTCACCGGCCTGGACCGACAAGATGGGGATGTGAAACCTCTACCCTTCAGCTATCTCCACAAGGAAGTCGACAACGCCGTGCGTCGTCTCATCGCTCTGTAGACTCCTCACGCTAATTCTGATACTTCAGGCGAACCAAGTTGCTTGCTTCCAAACCCGTACAACCCAAGAAACTCACCAGATTGTGCGCGATAATCTGCACTTGAGCTGCCATATACAGGAAACCAAGAAAGGTGCGCCGCGCTTGCTCGCTCCAATCCGAAGATTAATGAACCGACCAGTCTCATGGCAGGCCCGCGATATTGCCCGTCCTTGGAGGCCAAGATACTCCGTTTCGGCCACAAAGAATCGCATGTCATCTGGCTCGAGCCTGAAGGTTACGACTCCGGTGATCGTCACTACGTCTTCGGCCCCGTGTTCGGACCGACTGATTGGTACGCGCAGATCTGATATATCCCAACGGCATCTCGTGCAGTCTGCCAGAGGATGTGCAGAAAGCGATGATACACTCCATCCCGGGATTGCGAAACGCCCGGATAGTCCGACCGGCTTACGGCGTGGAGTACGATTACGTCGATCCTAGAGAACTCGGACGTGAGCCAGTAGTTCGTTATGCTCTCCCATAGTGGTTGATGTTTACCTTCATATCCTAGCTACCTTGGAGACTAAGAAGATCGAGGTTCGTCGGGATAGCTGTGTTATGGTCTCCGCTCATGCTTCCCTGGTCATAGGGGCTCTTTCTCGCCGGTCAGATTAACGGTCAGTGAACTCATGCTTTCGTTTGGGACCTGGTAACGAATTACGGTAAATAGGCACCACTGGCTACGAGGAGGCAGCCGCCCAGGGTGCCGTTGCTGGAATAAACGCTGGTCTCGCGGCTCTGCAGCGGCCTCCCCTGGTTTTGACCCGTGCAGACGGATTCTTGGGCGTCATGATCGACGATCTGATTGTCAAAGGCGCCGAAGAACCTTGTGAGAGCCGCTGTGAGCCCGTCCTTCCCGGCGGACGCTAACGAGTGATCAGATCGCATGTTCACCTCGAGATCGGAATACCGCATGACGATCAGGAGCGACAACGCCGACATGCGGCTCACGGAGAAAGGTGAGGAATTCGCGTCTCCGTCGCGACCACGCACTCCGTCGCCGACCGGACGGTCTCTCATCTTGTTGCTCTGTTCCAGCGCGCAAAGCCGGCGCGGTGTCTGACGCGCGATGGTCGTCTTTCGTCGCGACGCGGGACGCTATCTTTCAAGGCACAAAGCTTCTGAAGCGAGTCAGCTTCAGTCCGCAGGTCAGGCTGCTCGATGTGTCGTTGGTTCATGGCTGACTCTTCGTGTTAACCAGGGGTGGGGGAACTTGGGCTACTCGGTAACTCGGGATGGAGTGACGAGAAGGTACACGGAATCGTACATGTGCAACAGCTCGTCGCTCATACTACTACTATAGCGCGTGGGACATGCTCCGATATCCTAGCGTCACGGCGAAAGACCTAATCGAGCGAGTACCCGAACTCGCGTCCATCGATGCCGACTTGTTAGATCGCTTGACGATCGAAGGTACGCAGTCGATCTTCACGAATAACATCAACCTGACGCCGGCACTAGCGGTGTACTACCCACACCTACAGCGGCAAGAAGCCGATCTCCGCGTCTTCATGGAAGACGAGTCGCTGATACTCGACCCCAACATGGACTATCATGCCATTCAGGGACTCAGCTCGGAGGTGAAGGAACGTCTTTCGAGAGTCAAGCCGACGAGTATAGTCAGTTTTCTCTCTCTAGCCTTGGTTAGTTGACAACCATTGAATATCGGCGACAGGGAGCGGCGAAACGCATGGAGGGCATGACGCCGAGCTCGATCATCTATCTGCTGAAGCACGCCAAAAGGACCTTCAACGCTGACCTGCTGAACAAACCGGATCTGAGGACGCAAGCTGCCGTCACAGCGCCCTAGGTCGAACAGACGAGCGAAACTCGCGTAGTTGCTGTGACAATCTCTTCGACGAATCTCCCTTAGAAGACAAGACGAGGGTTGTGAAAGCACGAGCCAATCTTTCGAGTTTCCGGACCAGCTTGCGCTCTTCTGCGGGATCAATGACACCATCACCACCGTACTTGCTCAGCACGCCTGTGGCACTGCATAAAAGTCATCGAAAGGCTCAGTGTTCCAGTTATTCCGCGCTAGCGAAAAGTGCTCGGTGTGTTCGACCTCGACAGCGATGCAGTTGAATTCTTTGCGCGCGAGCGCGTCCATAGCTGTAGAGGCGTGTCGAGGTCACTGCAATGAAATATATACACGGAATCCCAGGAGAGTGATGAAAGGCAAGAAGCGTAGCGTTATAAACGCTTTCTGCAGACTCCTTTATGCCGTGAGTGCCGATGGTAAATGTAGCGGAGATTGGTATACCCGAAATGACGCGGACGCCTGGCCGTATTCACCCACTTACCGCTTTTGGACCCTCCCGCGTCACCACGTTCTCTCCCGCCAGGCGCTGACCCGCCCTCGCCGCCGACGACAACAACGCCGACGACAACGTTCCCAGTAGCGAACGACGACGGCGTCATCGGAGGCACCGCTTGCCACCGCCCTTCCCGGACTGCACCCGCCACGGACTGCAGTCCGCATCAAAAACCTTGCACTACAGCAATGCCGCACCGTGCCCCGGACATGCGCCTCCTCTCCGCCCTCCTTTCCGCCGAGTCGACGTACCACAAATCTCTACTCGCCTCGCTTTTGGCGTCCTCGTCGGCCGTCACCACTTTCACCGCGTTCGCCTCCGCCTCGGCACCACCGACGTCGTATGTCGCGCTCGCATTCGCGGACGTCGTGTTCTCCCGAGCGGACGATGCTGTGCGGCTATATGCGGACAGCGTGCAGAGCTGGCGAGAGCGCTTGGAAGAGCTGCGAGAGCGCGAGGAGGATCTGGCGGCGGTCGTACGAGACAGAGAGATCCTGTAAGTCTCCGAATACCCCGCGCCCAACCGGCGTGTTTCACGGCCAGGTTAGCTCACGAGTGATTCGTATATGCAGTGTAACCCGCCTCCTCAAAGCGTCCAAGATCAAGAATCCCTCACATCCATCCTCGAATCGTTCTTCCCTCTCTGGCCCTTCTCCTGCGAACCCGCGGGACTCCTCTTCCACCCTGTCCCTCTCTCTGTCTTCCTCCTCTTCGAACACCAAGCTCCTCCAAGCCCAAGTCGAGCTTCAGGCGTGCGAGGCCACTCTCGCGGAGAAGCAAGCTGCGCTTGATGCGCTCAGGCTACAAGTCGTCCGCACCGGCCTGCAAGAACGCTGCAAGGCGCTGATCGAATGTGCCCGTATATGGGGTGAAGCGGGAAAGGAGGGCATGAAGACCCTTGAAGGTCTAGGCAGCACGAGGTCTTACCCAGGAGTCCCAAATGGAGATGGTGAGCGCATACATCCCATCGACTTCCCCCCTCAAATATGTATCGCCATGCATGTATGTTGACCATTCACTCCGTCGTCGCACTTTAGCTATCACATCGCCCTCTCAACCACTTTCAGCGTCCACCTCGACTTCAACCATCACACCGACGACGCTCCACCACGACGGGGTAAATCCCTCCCACGCGTTCTCCGACACGTCGTCGCTCACGCCCTCGCTCTCCATCTCACAGCGGACGTACGCCAGCTCCTCCGCCTCCGCCTCCTCCGTCCCCAACCCCCGACGGTCCTCGACCGAGAGCTACACCCTGCGCATCCCGCCCGCGCACACCATCACGGACGACATACCCTCCGCGCACGCCCTGCCCGAGCTGTCGTTACCCTCAGCCGCAGCTGCGCGCGTCGCGGCGCCCCACCCGCACCGGCTCGAGCGCCCGCTGTCGCACGTGAGCGAGGCGGAGCACGAGAGCGCGAGCTCGGACGAGGACCGGGCGCACGTCGTCGTCGTCGAGAACGAGCGGTTCTTGCCGCCGGGGGCGAAGCGGAAGAAGCTGGGCGCGAACGCGAACGCGAACGGGTCCGCGGTCGTCGCGCCGACGGAGAGGCGCGGGCCGATTCCGACGATCGGCTCGAGCTCGACGATCGGGTCCAGGAGCAAAGGGCGCGAGCGCCGGGCAAGCATCAGCGGGTTCTTCAGCGGGCTGTTTAGGACGAGTCCGAAGAAGAGGCGGTTCGGATCGCCTGGGGTTGAAGAGGAGGAAGGGGACGACGGATCGGTGGCGGGGAAAGGCGCAGGCGAGCGCGGGTGGAATACGCGTACGGACCGGTATTTGCATGCACAGGGGAGGGGGAGAGGCAAAGCGCGCGGGATGAGCAGCGATGATGAAGACAGGCCGCCTTTGAGCGCGTCCGCGACTTTCCCTGCGAGTGGAGTGGTGGCGGGGAGAACCGCGGGACGAACGACGATGAGCGACGTCGGTGGGCCTTCGGCGAGGTTGAAGAAGGGGAAGGGCAAGGGCAAGGGAGAGGGTGAAGGGGGTAAAGGGTGGGATAGCGACGGCGGGGTCGGGTCCGGTATGGCGAGGGCCGGGTCGAAAAAGGCCACGGGGAAGAAGACGGCGTTGACGCCCTCCTCGTCGAATCTGTCCGTGCAGCAGCCGTCGCCGGCGAAGGCGTCTCCGAAGCCGAAAGCGGCGCAAAAAGCGGCGAACGGCAATCATAGGAGGGCGTCTTCGGTGGACGTCGCCAGGACGCCTGTCTCGCCCCCGCCCGCTTTGAGGGGCGATCTCACCCGCCGGGCATCTACCACCGCGGCGCCCAGAGGATCGAGATCCAAGGCCGGTGATAAGGAAGAAACCTTGCAGTCCATCGTCCAGTCCATCTCGTCCGCCAATCGTGCTACTTGGGATACCCGCGCGACCGGCGTTGGGGCTGACGGTGCAAAGGCGAAAGCACCTCCACCGGAGCTCGAGGTGGTGAAGGCGCCACCGCCTCTCAGCGCGTTAGACCTGGACGCGGAGATGCGGAGGATGAAAGAGGAGAGCAAGCCGCGCGCGAAGGCGAAACCGGAGAAATCTTCCGATGACGCCGACGGCTGGGCGTCGCCGGTGAAGCCTCGCAAAGACAGCAGGGCGTCGGCTTCGACCCCGCACACCCCGCCGAAGCAGGGCGATGTGAACAAGGACCGCGAGCCGATCCATAATCCCATCCCGGGCCTGGTACCGCTCAAGAGCGCTTTGCGTACTAGCCGCAGCCCGTCGCCTATGGCAGGAAGTGGGTCCGGCGGGAGTATCATCGCATCCGGGTCGGGAAGCAGCGTGCGGCGGTCGCTTGACGCACCCATCTCTGGGTGGGGGACCCAGAGGTCGGCGGTGAGCGCTAGTCCGGAGGGCAAGGCTGCGACCGCGTTGTCGCGCGAGTACACGCCGGTGAAGAGCGGGGACAAGATTGCGGCTCCGGGTCCGCTTGCTATCACCATTCCTCTCCCTGATCCGGCGGAACACAGGTCCGTTGACAAAGAGGCAGATTCTGCGGACGACGATGAAGAAGATACCGCCTCGCTTTCGTCGTATGCTACGGCGACGGGGATCGAAGGGCTGGAAGTCGAGAACGAGGGTCTTCCGCCGCCGTCTCCGGCCTCGGACGTATCCGAGTCGACTGCGTCTACCCCAAGGATGCCTTCACCGCCTCTATTGACGGACACCTATCGCCCGATTCCCTCTCCTCCCGCGCCGGAACCTCCTATCAAGATGGAGGACAGTGCCTCCGGGTCCGGATCGAATGCGTCGACGGCGGGTGGCTCTGCGGAAGGGCCCGTGCGGCGGAAGAGCGTACGGATGAACCTGTCGCCGACGTTCAGTCGGACGCCGCCGCCGTTGGACGACGATAAGGCACCGTACCCGTGGGACGAGACCAAGACGAAGGAGAGAGCGCGCAAGAACTCGCTCGAGCGTCGTCCTTCGCTCGAACGTCGGAACTCGACGGAAAAGAAGCACACCAGCGCACAGGCCGTCGAGAACGGGCCGAGCGGAGGCGGGTGGAGTTCGCGCATCAGGTTGCATCATCATCGGGAGGACGGGGAAGTGAGGGATATGTGGGAGGACTCGAGCGAGGAGGACGAGGCCTACGGGCGGGCGAAGAGGCTGCTGACCCGGGCCGCTCGCAAGGCGGAGGGGAAATCTAAGGCAAAGGCGTGAACGTCGATGCTGTTCGGCGTGACTATTGTCTGCGCAACATGCCCTGTATTTGATTCGATTCCATGATCTTCGTTCATTCTTTCATCTTGCGTTGGCGGCGTTGTCTTACATTACGGATCTCTCTCATAGTGTCGGACTCCTATCTACAAACTACTGTACTGTAGCTCGTAGCTCCAGATATAATGATCACTTGAAGATCGCCATCCGTAGTTCCCTCTACCTCTGCTGTCGCCGTCCGACTCTCGGCAGTCCTGATCTCGTGACTGCCAATAATGCACAATCTGGTGGCGCGCGCCACCGGTTTCAGCCCCACTACGCTTTTGCTGTTTGCGAACGGCAGGCTGTCGGTCGCGTCTCTCTTGCGTTTCTGAACCAGACCACGTCTATCTGCTCGTGTTACCACCCTCTTTGTATTCTCCGCCATGTCCGACACCGAAGCACCCCCCAGCCAGAGTCAGCCCGAGGTGAAGTCTGAGGACCCCAACGCTCCCATCAACGTCAAGGTGCGTAGCGCGGTCCATGGTCGACGTTGGGGACCATAGTCACCGGCGCAGGCGCTGATGATGAAACACTCTACAGGTCGTCACGTCGACCGGCGAGGAAGTCTTCTTCAAGATCAAACGTAACACGAAGCTGAGCAAGCTCCAGGGCGCGTACGCGAACAAAGTGGGCAAGGACGTCGGCAGCATTCGGTTTGTCAAACGCCCTCTGCGTGCTTTATATGCGCGGAAACGAGAGCTCATGCGGTCCTTTCGTGTAGATTTCTGTACGATGGTAACCGGATAAACGAAGACGACACGCCGGCGACCTTGGATATGGAGGATAACGGTACTTGACCTGTTCGCGATGTTTCACCCGCTTCGACTTTGCTGACGAACCGCCCTTAGACACGATCGATGTCATGGTGGAACGTAAGCATGCGATAACACCCTCCCTGTCGTGCTTCAGGACTAACGATCACTTGCAGAGGTTGGCGGATCGGCGTAGCGACGCTCTCGCAGCCGAAAATTTCCATCTCGTCGATTTCGCATCTCTCATCCTTTCCCAATGTCATTTATTCCGCCGCCGCGCATCGTACTTAACTAATGCAATGTATTGTGTCTTCCCGAGTTCCAGCGAAACCGACATGCCCATATAACAGCAGTACATTTAGGGGGGGTTCCAACAGAGCGTTATGTGCTAGTACATGGTTGGTCGTGATGTGTTGCGTTGTACAATGGGGAAACTATGTGTGCACATCCGTGTCGTCTTTGGATCCGCGCACTCGAAGATGTTCGATAGTAGAAATCAGATGACGCTGGGTAGCATCCATGGATCGGTGAGCTCCTTGGTCCCGTCCAGCGGCCTGGCCCATTTATTCGGGCATGCCAGGAAATACGCTGAAAGCATCATCGCCCATCAGATCACGGCCGCCTGATTGATGATCGAGACTCACCATCCATAGCGTTGACGAATCGATCCTGATACTCCTGCGGGGGTATGACAGTCACTTCTTTCTCCTTGTCCTTCTCCTTGCCTCCGCCCGTCGCCAGTCCAGCCCCGACAGCGAGACCGTGCTTGGCCTTGTATTCCAGCGTCTTTGCGAAGGTGTAGCTGCCGATCGTATCGACGAGCCCGCAAGCGATCTGCTTCCTCTCCGCATCGATACCTAGCAGGAGACTTGACGGATGATGTTCAGATGACACAGTGCATACGGACCGGGGATCGGCACATACGAGTAGTCCATGATATTGCTCTCTGCGAGGAACGCGCAGTCACTCTTGATCGCCTCGCGAAGGATGACTTTGCAATGAGGGTGAACTAATGTCAGAGCCCGTTGCTGGCCTGAACGGAAGTCACTCATGTGGCGAGGCCTCGAGCCATTCAGGGACGCACCTTCAATCCACTCGCCATCGAAGAGCGTCTTGTTGCCTTCGCTCCGAGCTTTCACTCTGCGCCCCTGCATGCCCTTCAGATCAAAGGTCTTGACAATCTTCTGGTCGTAGAATAGGTTCTCCATCACTAGCAGGTCAGCCTTCGCTTGCGTAGCCCCTGTCTCCAGGTTGCGGATCTCGACAGTGTAAAAGCCCAGCAACTTGGCGAGCACGGTGGCCTTGCTCGCCGTCTTCTCCATGTAGCGGAAGTAAGAGGGCCCTAGGTCTATCAGCACTTGCCTAGACTCAAAGTCAGCAAATCGACGTCGGGGGATCACACCAAGAGATGACTTACAAGTCGGCCACGTTCCACGCGTTGACGAGCGTCTTGATGATGAACCGGTCGTCCGCCGTCTTCCAAAAATTGCTCTTCGACTTGCCGCCCTCAGCCGACCAGTTCGCGCTGCGCTCCATACTCTTCAAGAACACGTCCTCGACCCCACATCGGCGTCTGAGCGCGTCGAACTGCTTGGCGTAGTACACCGTGCAGCTGAACTTGAGCCGCTTGCCGATCGTCCAGTCGTACTTGATGTGCGGCCGGTCGTCGATCGCCTGGAACGCAAAGTCGGCGGAGAGCAGGCCGTGGTGGTTACGCGGCGGCGGGGCCTCGGGACGGAGCGCGTCCCGCGCGCTCGCGACGAGCTTCATGGCTTGCGCGATGCCGTTCGTGATCGTCGCCGCGTACGAGGGCGTCGTCGTAGCGGCGGTCTCGTCGGGCTTGGGCTGACGCGGATCGTCATCTTTGGGCGGCAGCGGCGGAGGGCCAACAGTCGCTTGGCTGTCGCGCTCGTCGTCCGTCGACGACCGCGAGTGGGTGGTCGAAGACGCCAGAACAGACGGCGAACCGTGGCGGCGTATGTTCGTCGAGAAGAACCCAGAGGTGCTCGGCACGCCCGTAGAGAACAAGCTGGTGCTCTTCGCGGTGCCATCAGGCAGCGCCTCGAGCTCGTGCAGCAGCTTCCCCGCCGTCTCCCCCGGTTCATCGCGCTCCGCACTTCGCACCACCCTCCCATCTGCCGCCTGGAAGCTGACCTCCACCGCCGGCTTCGCGTACGCCGACGGCGGCGGGGTATGCGCGCCGGCACTGGCCACGCGAGACCGGAGGACGCTGAGGTTATGGAGGGCCGAGCCCATCTGGCTCTCCGACGTCTTCTTGCGCAGCTGTAGCGTCAGGAGCGAGGACGGGTCGCGCGGGTGCTGCTTGCGGCTGATGACGGCCGAGCATGCCTCGGACTCGTGCCAGATCACGCCGTCCTCGTCCGGGTCAGGCTGCGGCTCGGACGGTCTAAGGAACTTGAGCGGGCCCGCGGTAGGGAAGTACGACCGGCGGGTGACGGTCGGGGTCGCGGGAGTCGCTGGTACTGACGACGCTCCGACGCTGTTCCGGGTGATGGAAAAATTGGCGAGTTCGCGGAGGTAATCCTGAGAACTGACGATTACCGGTACGACATCAGCACCAGATCCCGCGAAACACGACGTGTGCGAAACTGACCTGAGGGTGAACGCGATGATGCTGCCCCAATCGTCTTCTCGGACTATGACGCTCCCGCCGGGAACCGCGTGATACGACTTGCCCCACCACGCAGGTTCTTCCAAGATCGGCGGCGGTGTGGACGCGCCCTGGCCCTGGATATGCTTGCCCTTCCACACCGCAAGCCGTTTCGCAGCCCCGCGCGCCGCCGCTTCGAACGCGCGCCGGACATCGTTCAGCGCCCCGTTCGGCGTCTCCGCGAGCTGCCGATACAGCTCCTGCTCGGTCCGCTGGAAGGTGCGACGGAGGTTGCCGAGCATGGCTAGCGAGATGCTCGGTAACGGTTTGTTCGGGTTGGGCGGCGGGGGTTTCGACGGGCTGGCGGATCTGGATCTGGATCGTTCTGAGGCAAGCGGGGAGGGCGCGCTCGGGGGTGGAGAGTCGGGGAGGCGGATGGTGGACGGTTTTGGGGTCGGCGTGTCGTCCGTCTCTGTCTCCGTGTCGTCGACGGCGGCAGCCGAAGGCAGGCGCGGCAGCGTCTTCATCATCGCAGCCTTGTCCGTATTGATCTGATCCTCCTACAGCGAAGATGCGACAGACAATAACGTTGAGAGAGGGTCGCTTGCCATGCTGACGTAGAAAAGGCTGACCAGTATATCCATCTGCTCCGCCATCCCCTTCCACCAGGCTCCGATTTCCTGCCTTAACACGCCCCTCGCCTCGTCGCCGACCTTGTCCCGTTCCCGCTCCCTCTCCTCCGCGGCCCTCCCGTCCGCTTCAGGCTTCTCTCCCGCGCCGCGCACGATCTGCAGCCGCGGCACGCGTATCTCGAACACGTCGTCGATCGTCGACAGCGAAAAAGTCACCGTGCGGCCCTTACAGGCGAAATGGCGGATGATGTCGAGTCGAGACGGGGGCAGGTCCACGTTTTCGGCGTTGGCCAAAGTCGAAGTCGAAGCCGAAGCCGAAGGTGAAGTCGCGGTGGACGCCGGCGTCGTATGCTCGCACAAAGGCGGGTGGAGCGCGCATATCGCCGGCGAATAGACCAGCAGCTCGAGGAACTTTCCGAACGCCATCAGACTGCCCCGCGTAAGTCCGTCGTCAGCTCAGCGCCCGCGAACTCGGACTCTTTCGGAAACACCTACTGCGTCCCGTCGCTCATCCTCGTCCGCTCCGTCCTCTTCCCGCACACCTTACACGCCTCGTACATCCACACGGCCTCCTCGTCCTTGTCCCTGTCCTTGTCCTTGTCCTTCTCCCCGTCCCCGTCCCTGTCCGCCTCCTCGTCGTCCTTCTCGATCTGCGCGTGTATGCGCACCCCGGCGTGTATCCACCTCATCTCGTGCCCGCCCTTCGGCACCTCGCACTCGGGCCGCTCGCACCGCTCCTCCGCCCTCGCGCACCACTCGCCGATCGCCTCCCCGAGCGACATCGTCCCCATCCCCATCCCCATCCCCATCCCTTTCTCCTTCTCCTTCTCCCCTCCCTCCGCGGCGGCGGCGCGTCTATCGTAGTAATAATACGACACCCACGTCCGGCGCTCGCTGCACTGCGCCCACGCCGCCGCCGCCGCCGCCGCCTCGTCCCTATTCGCCGACTTGCCCGATCCCGTCGATATCGTCGACGCCGACAGATTCGACGACGATCCCACCGCGGACGACGGAACCGGTAACGCAGAGGACGACGACGAAGAAGAGGACGAGGTCGTCGCGTTCGACAGCTCCGAGCCGCTCGCGGACGGCTTCGCCGCGGCCGCGCCGGGTACGTGCGCCGAATAGAGCGCGCAGAACGCCTGGTGCCTGACGAACCCCTGCGTGCCGGCCATGCCCTTCCCCCGGTCCTCGCGCCGCCAGCCGAGCAGCGAGTGGAGCGCGACCTTCTCGTCGCCGCGCAGCCGCTTCGTGCCCGAGGAGATGGTGGCGTCCTTCTCCGCCGCCGCCTCCTCTTTGGCGGCGAGGGAGACGAGGGGGAGCGGCGGGGGGAAGCGGACGCCCGGGGAGGTGGAGAGGAGGTCGGAGGTGGCGAGGACGGCGCGGAGCGCGGTGGAGAACGGGCGGTCGTCTGAGGAGGAGGAGGAGGAGGAGGAGGAGGAGGGATTGGTGGTGTTGTCGGGGCTGGGAGTGGGAGGTTTGGGCTTGAGAGGGCCGCTGACGAAGGGCGCGCGGGCGGCGTCGAGAAAGGAAAAGGTGCGCGTGCGGGGAGGGGCGGAGGAGAGGTGTTGTTGGTGCGTCGGTGAGAGCGGGGAAGAGGGAGAGGCGGGGGAGGCAGGGGGTAGCGCGATGTCCGGCGAGGTACCCGCCCGCGGGAGGTCCAAGGAACCCGAGCTGCGCTTGAGCATGGGCACGGCGCGCAGGCGGAGGTCCTCCGTCTTCCTGTTGATGTTGTTCAGGAAGCCCCAGAGCCCGCCCGGGTTTCGGGAGGAACCCCCCGGTTTGGCGCCGCGTTTGCTGTCGCTGGACGAGCGCGAGATCTGGGAGGCGCCGACGGCCGGGGTGAGGGGGCGGGGAGGAGGGAGGGGAGGAGGAGGCGAGGGCGCTTTGGGCGGGAAGCGGAGGGGAACGTGCGAGTCGCGGAGGAAGTGCTGTTCGAGGAGGAGGGCGAGGCGGGTGTAGGTGGCGAGGTGGAGGACGGAGAGGAGGGCGTCGTGTTGCGCGCGCGACTTGGCGCCTTTGAAGGTGAAGGTGCCGCCGACGATGCGCGGACAGGAGTCGGAATCGAGCGGCATCTCGACTGTGTATTCGTGGATCTGTATGAGCACAGCTGAGGCGCGTGTTATGCAAGGGCACGAGCGTACCGTCCCATTCGCGCAAGCCGTATAGCACCGCTCCGCCCGTGGTGGCGTCAATGGACCTGTCGAACGAGACCGGTAGGGAGAAGGCGCCCGATGTGAACTTGCAAGCGACGGTGGAGGATATGAACTGGAAATCGTCGTCCTCGCCGCGTATCGCGACGCTCTGGCCTGCGTACGGCGCCACGGTGAGCAGCAAATGTTTCGGCGTCGGTGTCGGTGTCGGCACGACCGGCCTCGAGACCAGTTCGTCGAGCTGCTCGAGCGCCAGCCTCGTCCGGTCCTCCTCCGCCTGCGACTCCGACAGCTTGGCGTCCCGTTCGTCCAGCGCGCCGTCTCCGGCAGCGACCCTCTTCTCGTCCGCCGCCCCCGAGACTCCCTCCCCGTCCTCCTTCTCGACCTGCACGAACTCGTCCCTCTCCCTTCTCAGCCGCTCCTTGCGCAGATTCCGCGCGCGCCGCACGCCGGCTAGCCAGCCACCGGACACGATGCGCGCGTTGAGCTCGTTCAGCGTGGCCTCGAGCGCGTCCACCCAGAGCAGCATCGTCGCATCTCCCTCCTCCTCCTCCTCCTCCTCCTCCTCCCCCACGCCGCCGTCGCTCCATAAGACCTGGTCGTGCTCGCGAAGGGCGTGCGTGATAAACTTTCTCAGATGTGCGGTCGCCTCGACCGTGAGCGTCGCGGTGGTGCGCTGGACCTTGCTCGGCGGGGCCGGGATGGCGGGGAGCGGCTTGCGCTCCAGGTCTGTTGCTGCGCTCATGGTTCAGGGCTCGTCGGGCTGGTCGTCGTCGTCGTCGTCGTTGGTGATGGTATTGCGGAGCATGTGCTGCCTGCAGGCGGGATCTGCCCAAGAAGGCGGTGTCGGGCTAACGTGCATGCAACCCCTGCGTTGCTCGATGACGCGGATCTCGCTGCGGGCGCTAAACTTTTGGGCGTTTATGTACGTATTTCGCAGGGTAAGCGCTCGCCACAGCGCAATCTTTTCCACCTATCACCATTTGCGCAAGCAGCTATTTGTCGATGATCTTGACGTTGAGTGCGTGGGCTGGGAACGCGAAATTCAAATTGCAGCCTTATCCGGGCTGAACCAGTGTCCGGAAATCGGGCTCCGAGCCCGGGGATGCCTCGACCAGCTGACCAGCTGACCTGGGAACGACCTGGGGACGGGACGCGTCCCTTCCTCTGTACCTGCTACAGATGTGCTTTCTATCACATAGACCAATCACCAACGATCTCGTTGGATCTCTCGACGCGGGTCGCTCGGACCAGTGCGCTTTGCCACTTTGTCGCAGAGATCGTTCGCAACCCATTGAGTACAGAGCCCCAATTGATTCAAAGGTCGATCTTACCTCCTTGGATAATCCCGGCCCGGGCACTTCCACCTACCCAATCACAGAAGCAGCGGGAGGTGATATCTCCCATGAGAATTGGCTAATATGACACGGGCTCTCGGGCTTCGACTTCTTTGCGGGGCCCCAGCAGCCTCGTATCCGAAGGTGTATAAGTGCCGCGGGGCAATCCAACCCGAACCTGACGGCCTCCGCGACGTTCTCTGCAGCCATGGCGGACCCATCGCCCGCGCATATCGTTTCCGACGACATCCTGAAATCCGACATCGAGCAGACGGAGCGGTTCTCCCCCGTCACCCCGATCCCGGACGAGAAGCTGCTCGGCACCTCCTGGTTATCCCGCGCTCGCAATTGGAACACGGAACGCCTGGACGACTTCTACGCGGAGGCGTTGAGCAAGTACGGCGAAGACGGGGCAATCGATCCCGCGGAAGAGCGCAAGCTGGTCCGGAAGATCGACTGGCTCGTCCTCCCCTGGTACGACGCGTCCCCGTCGACCGAACACACGTATATGCACGTGTGGCCTGACTCGCTGCAACAGCCTCTCGGTCTGCTACGTCTTTTACTACGTCGACAAGACCACTCTATCCTACGCGGCCATATTCGGCATCAAGGACGATCTCCACCTGAAAAGCACGGAATACAGGTAAGAAAGCCATCCTCCATCTCGATCGGCTATTCCGTATCCTCGTCGCGGTATCGAAAGCCCAACGCGACGCGCAGCTGGCTCTCGTCCATCTTCTACTTTGGCTGGCTGGTGTGGGCCATACCGTCCAACCTGCTCATGCTCAAGTCTCCGAGCGGAAAGTACCTCGCGCTCAACATCTTCATGTGGGGCTTCCTCCTGATGTACGTCCCCTCCGGTCCCATCCTATTCGCAGGGAACGGGTTTCGCTGACCGAGCGTGATCATAGGTGCCAGGCCGCAAGTCGCTCGTTCGTGCAGCTCGCCGTCCTCCGCGTGCTCTCCGGCGCTTTCGAAGCCATCGCCGATCCCGCGGTCAGCCTCCCATCCCATCGCTCTCATCGGCGCTCATTCTAACGAACCGTGTGCGCCGCAGTTCATGCTCCTCACCACCTCCTTCTACACCCGCCGCGAGCAGCCGCTCCGCATCGCGACCTGGTACACCGCGAACGGGCTCGGCGTCGCCGGCGGCGGGCTGATCGGCTACGGCATCGGCCACATCCGCGGCGGCACGCTCGCGAGCTGGCGGTACGAGTTCCTCCTCGTCGGCGCCGCGTGCACGCTCTGGGGCGTCCTCCTCTGGTTCGTCCTCCCGGACTCGCCGCCGACGGCGCGCCGGCTCACGCGCGAGCAGCGGCTCATGGCCGTCGCGCGCCTGCGGAAGAACCAGACGGGGGTGGACACGAAGGAGTTCAAGGCGGAGCAGGTGAGGGAGGCGTTCTTACGGGATCCGAAGACGGTGAGCCCCGCTTTTTTGCTCTCGGTTCTTTTCTCGGAGGGATTGGAGTTTTTGAATGGCGCCCGGACAGTGGTTGTTCATGTTTTTGGGATTTGTGGTGCGTGCATCCTCCTTGGTGTTACGCCGCCCTTGTTCGTGCTGATGATGGGTCGGCCATAAGTCAAACGTGCCGAACGGAGGTGAGGAGACTCTCTCCCTATCGTAGCATCATGCCAACACCGTTCGCTGATTCTAGGAATATCTAACGTGCGTACATTCTGTTTCCTGCCTGTCCAACCAAGTGTAACGTGATGCTCGCGCCTACAGTTCAGCACACTGTCAGTAGTCGCGCTCGTTTCGGGCCTTCCGCGGTGCTGATGCATTTGTAGTATCATCAAAGGCCTTGGATTCTCCGAGTTGCAGACAACCCTCCTCGGCATCCCGCAAGGTGTGCTCGTCATGCTCTGGATCGGTTCCGGTGAGTCGCTCGCTCGTTCCCTCATTCCCGCGAACAACTCACAATTGGCGTCGACTCCCCATATAGCCGCTCTGGTCAACCACAAGCTCCCGCGCAACAGCCGGACGTTCGTCTGCATGGCCTACATGCTCCCCACCATCGCCGGCTCCCTCGGATTCCTGCTCTTACCCCAGACCGCGTCCGCCGCGCGGCTCGTGTGCTACTACCTCACGGGATCCTACCAGGCCACCTTCGTCCTCGGCTTGAGCCTGATCACATCCAACACGGGAGGGCAGACCAAAAAGGTGCGCATTCGCCATTTCCAGCTCGGAATGCGCACGGAGGCCTGACCGACTCGGACCGCCCGCGCACAGCAAATCACGAGCGCCTCCATCTGGTTCGGAGCTTGCATCGGCAACATCAGCGGTTAGTGCCACACTACTAAGGCGGGACGACCTAGGCCTAGGTCAACACACACGCCCCGATCCTTGATCCTAACATCTCTTTCCTCCAGGCCCGTTCTTCTATCGCACGCAAGACGCACCGGAGGTACACGGGCTTCGCCATCCCCTTTCAACAAAAAATCCGCACTGACCGCGCGTCTTTTCTTCTCTTAATAATCACACAGTACCGCCTCGGCATCGGCTCCATCCTGGTCTGCAACTGCCTCACGATCGTCGTCTACGCCATCCTCCGCGTCATCCTCTCGCGCGAGAACAGGAGGCGCGACCTCCTCGCGGCGGAGGAAGGGAAGGAGGGGTCCGGGGCCGCCTCCGAGGTCCTCCCGCACATCAACGACACGGCCTTCTCGGATTTGACGGACATCCAGAACGTAAAGTAAGTGGCGTGTATATTTGGACGCCCTCATGATGCCTTACGCAGTGCTGATGTGATTGCCTTCATCTCAGCTTCCGCTACGTCTATTAGATGTCTCACGTACGATACTTGATTCTGTATTTTACTGTAGTACTTATTTCTACCAGGGCTTGGCTTTGCTTCCAAACTAGGAATGTGACACGAGATTACGCACCCCCCCCCTTTAACGCGCGCGGGAACTTTACCTCCCTCGCGGCCTTTTCAGCATGTCTAGACGCCATGCGCACGTCCGGTTCTGAGCGATAAGCATACGAGGCCCTTCTTGAAGGAGGAGAAGAGTACTCTTCGAAGAAATCCGAGTTTTCGGGTAGCACATTTTCTTTGTAGGACTTATTGTCGCGAACGTAGTCTCTCTGCGTCGCGAACGTAGCGATGAGGCGGTTACTTCGTCTACGCGGATCTGATGGCTCGAGTTTTGGTGGTGAGAGCTAAGTGGACAGAGGGATTGTCACTATTTATAGTTCGGCGCTTATCTCATTTCATATGCATGATGAGGTAAGCGCTTGACAATGTCTTTTGCACCTGCCACCACCATCTCAATATCGTGTCGTCGTGGATTGGGGCCAGACCATGCCGATTAGCCTGTGAGTTTGACGCTCGAAAGCAAGAATCCTTGTTAAATGCGGCCTCGGGCTCCGGCCATCGTCATGCATTGGCCACCTGACCAAACAGCCCTATATGCGCGCTCTTCGCGTGTTTTTCCGCAACTTCCTTTCCCGAGCATGGACTGGGTTTATGGGGATAGCTTCATGCTGGATATGCGGCAACCAGCACCTCGGCTCGCGCATATATTCGTGGAACGCACGTACTTATGTGCTCATCCTCTCTCTCGACTTATCACGCGCACGGATACAAACTTGCCGTTGGCAGCATTGGCTATCCTGAGACTCAAACCTTTCCCCCTTCCAACTGCGCTCATTGAATTCGTGCCGAATGCATCCGCCCATCCAATCACGGCTACCATCGGCACACGCGGCATCGAGGAGAGGCGCCTCTCAATAGATCTGTTTCTGACAACCGCACTTCTCGCTATCGACTTCGGCTCCTTTGCAATCTCACGTACATATACCATGGGTCATCTGGGCGGCGACCTCGATACGCCTCTGCATCCATGGACTTACTTGCTCATAGCAGATCCGAGAGCGTCGCCAAATCTGAGGTTGTCGAGATCGAACACACAGAACAATCATCGCTAGCGTCCACAGTCTCCGATCAGAAGCTGCTAGGTGCATCCTGGCTGTCGCGCTCCCGCAACTGGAATACCGAGCCTTTGGACGACTTCTATGCAGAGGCGTTGAGTAAGTACGGCACAGATGGGGCCATTGACCCAGCAGAAGAACGCAAACTGGTCCGGAAGATCGATTGGCTCGTGCTTCCATGGTACCGTTCCTCGTCTTACCTCTTTGATGCTACTTAGCCAGTCGACGTATCAAAGCCTTTCCGTGTGCTATGTGTTTTACTACGTCGACAAGACTACTCTCTCGTACGCGGCCATATTCGGAATCAAAGACGACTTGAAGTTGGAGAAAACGGAGTACAAGTACCCAGTCCTCTCCAGATATTTTGGTACCCACCCTGACGCTGATACGATATGATAGCTGGCTTTCGTCCCTCTTCTATTTTGGCTGGCTGGTGTGCGCGATACCCTCGAACCTTCTCATGCTCAAATCGCCCAGTGCCAAGTACCTTTCCCTCAACATCTTCATGTGGGGCTTTCTCCTAATGTACGTCTTCGTCGTCTTCGGTGCTGAAGAACCGCCTCTCGAACTTATGCCGTAGGTGTCAGGCAGCAAGCCAATCGTTCCTGCAGCTCGCCGTCCTCCGCGTGCTCTCCGGCGCTTTCGAAGCCATCGCCGATCCCGCGGTCAGTGATCATCGTCGCCATGCTGACTCCATTCATCGCTCATCCAATGACGTGCAGTTCATGCTCCTCACCACAGCATTCTACACTCGCCCGGAGCAGCCGCTCCGAATCGCGACCTGGTACACCGCAAACGGTCTAGGCGTCGCAGGCGGTGGCCTCATCGGGTACTTCATTGGCCACATACGTGGCGGAGCGCTCGCCAGCTGGCGATACGAGTTCCTCATCGTCGGTGCCGCCTGCACTCTCTGGGCGGTCATGCTTTGGTTCGTGCTCCCGGATTCGCCGCCGACGGCGAGGCTGCTCACGCGCGAACAACGGTTGATGGCGGTGGCGAGGCTACGGAAGAATCAAACGGGAGTGGACACGAAAGAGTTCAAGGTGGAGCAGGTGAAGGAGGCGTTCTTGAGGGATCCGAAGACGGTGCAATCTCTTCTCTGTGTTCAAACCCGCTGTATTGACGACAATACAGTGGTTGTTCATGTTTCTTGGCTTCGTCGTGAGCGTTCATTACCCACCATGGCATCTTCCGGACTGAGCCACATGTATCGTAGTCGAATATCCCGAACGGAGGTGCGCTAGTCAATACACTGTTCACATTCCGGCATTCGCACTCATGGCACAGCAATAGGTATTTCTAACGTGCGTGGCATCTTCTGGTCCTTCTTGCTCAACATGATATACCCTTTATCTGCACGTAGTTCAGCACGATGTCAGTCACAGCGTTTCCTAGGACGCATTCGACACTGACCTATTGGCCCCACTCAGCATCATTGAAGGTCTAGGATTCTCCGAGCTGCAGACAACGCTCCTGGGCATACCACAAGGCGTCCTCATCATGCTTTGGATTACATCAGGCAAGACACTTCCTGCGTACAGTATCATCTGTATTCTCGTGGTTCTGACCTCGCACCTCGTAGCTGCCTTAATCAACCGCAAGCTCCCTCGTAACAGTCGGACATTCGTCTGCATGGCATATATGCTTCCCACCATCGCAGGTTCTTTGGGGTTCCTGCTCCTGCCCCAAGGCGCATCCGCTGGACGACTCGTGTGTTACTACCTCACGGGGTCGTATCAGGCTGCATATGTGATGGGTCTGAGCCTTGTCACGTCGAACACAGGTGGTCAGACGAAGAAGGTGTGTTGCTTCCAATGTTGATGTATACATCAGTATATTCAATGAAGAGGTTTAGCAAATCACGAGCGCCGTCATATGGTTCGGAGCGTGCATCGGCAATATCTGCGGTTGGTTCCGTGTTGCATGTTTCGATTGATGCCCAGTGACCAAGTCTCGCCCAAGGACCGTTCTTCTATCGTACACAGGACGCACCACAGGTTGGTATCATACAGTAGCCGAAGATACAGGAAGCATCCCTGACTCACTTGCGATATTGCCAGTACCGGCTCGGGATTGGATCGATACTGGTCTCCAACTGCCTGACGATCGTCGTCTACGTCATCCTTCGCGTCTTCCTCGCGCAGGAGAACAGGAAGCGCGACCGCCTCGCTGCCTCAACCCATACCGCGCTCGCGACACAAGACGAGAAGGGCTCAAGGAACGATGCCCTCCCACACATCAACGACACGGCGTTCTCGGACCTGACCGACAGGCAGAACGTAAAGTGAGTGGAACAACAAATGCCCGCCCGCGCGACGTGGTGCTGACGGCGGTTCATTATAGCTTCCGCTACGTCTATTAGTTGGTCCGATAAAACAATGTTGTAAATTACTGTGGTATGAAGGGCATCGCAATCCCACCTGCTTCCACCTCTTCGCGGCCGTATCGTAGCCGTCCAGGACGGATCACCAAACCAAATCATCAGTTCACCCCCGTGTTGCCAGCCCGGTACACAAAGCGGGCCGCGCCCCAACCAGAAAGGAACGTTGCACTATCTGCAGCAAGTTCTTTCCCCACGGGGATTCACCGAAGGTAATGTGTTGTCACGGTAAGAACGCGAGCGTTGCTCCGTCCTATCCAGGGTGATTGGAGTCGAACATCCTCCATGAAAACGCGGAAGTCAGCTTCTTGCCGCCGACAACATCAGTGGTAAAGAACTAGCCCGCACCTTCAGTTGCCAAGCGATCTAGCAAGTCGCAGGTGTTGTACGAGGCTTCGGGTCGTCGCTCAAGCAGGTTTTGCGCTGGGGCAGTGGGATACCGGAACACGTCCTAGATGCTGGGAGTGAACACGAGCGACAAGTCGTTGAGCACGCACACATCCCTGAATCTTCTCGCTACCCCGACGCAAGTGACCGGGTAGCCTAGTTTTCCCCGACCCTGGGATATGCCAGCCGTCAGCGGTGAACGATGATAAGAGTTCGGCAATATTACCTACGGAACGAAGTATGCGTGTTACAGGAGATTTGTGCGCTCAGGAATAATTTCCCGCGTTGCATGAAAGGGCAGCCGCCCCGCGTCAGACATCATGCCGGTCGGGATACGTACCGTCTCCTTTTGTCGGTATCCTGGGCGATGAGGAAGGCCAACTTCGTAGCTCCCGGTTGCAACGACATTGGCCCTCCAACGTCAGACCCCCCCCCCCCCCGGTCCCAGTGCGCCTGCTAATGGACTCTCTGCCAACACATCACTGCTATAGGAATAGAACACTGGAAGGTCAACTGCTCACAGGCACAGGCGCATATTGTGGGGATATTATTCAGGTTAGTCGCAAAGCAGCATTGATGTATGCGACTCGTCTGATACTCAGACAATTGTATACGTTCGACGAGCCTCGTCGGACGGATGGCATGACCATGGTGGCTCCATGATCACTAAAAGTAATCCTGACAGTATTCGTGAGAATGACATCGGTTTGACACAAACGGACGTGGACGTTTGTAGTATAAAAGTTCCAGAGTGTTAAAATTTGGATGAAATACAACGAGAGCATTCGCGGACGAAAGCCAACATCCAATACCTTCGCAAGCTCAGTTCCGATATCATTCGCCCTTCATGATCGATTCTATCCTCGCCGCCTGAATGCGCTTTCTCAAGTCCCTCCATCCAGGGAACCCGAACACGAGGGTGTACAGCACGTATTGCGCGCCAACGACGAAGCCCGTCCGGTGTCGCCTGCACAGGCTAAGCGTGTACAGGCTCTCGAGTGCGTGCACAGTGACCATGAAGATCCAGAAGCCCCTCACCACCGAGTCGCCACCGACGAGTTGGCGCAGCCGGAATCCGGGCTCCCACACGGGCCCGGCACCGGCGGGGGCGAACATGGTATAGTAGAGGAGGAGGATGGGTGGTGCGGTGTATACCCAATCGCGCGGGGGTTCGAAGGTGCTAATTTGCGGGTTGCGGGTCTGTGCGGAGCGTGAGTCCCGATGTCATGGAGGGAGTCTGAACGCGTACCATGCCCAGTGCCTGCTCCGCATCGACTTTCATGGCGAGTAACCTAGGTTTGACCTCTTCATACCCTGCCAAGGGCGGGTCAAACGGTACTCGAATATCCAATTTCGAGTCTCCGCCTTCTTTCGTCTTGCACGACAAGGTCATGCCCTATACCAAGATGATACCACTGTTACCACACAAGCTATCAATCGTACGAGGTAACGCACTCACCTTGGTGTCAATGGATGTCATCTGCGCATGTGTGATAGTCTGCTTCGACTTTGCCCAGTGCTTCGCGTAGGAGACTAGGGTATCCGGATGATTGGACATGTACATGCACAGGAAGCCGGATTTTGCTGCGACAGGATCGGCCATGACTGATGAGCACGAGAGGGCGAGTTGAGATGATTTCACGATATAACGCAGATATTATACGACTCTAAGCTCGACGTGCCACGCACGAGCGCGCACACGATGGTGGGACCGCGAGAGCGCGGACGGCCGCGGCGCATCTGTGCCGGTCACGTTACCGAACGCATATTTCGCACGCTCGTCGTCGTCGTCCACGACGAGCACGACTCTCTCAGCACCATCGAACTCTTCGGGCAAGACGCCTTGTTCGTTCTAAAAGAACACTCTCGCGGAATCTTTACCCCATTGGGCAGCTCTGCATCGGGCCAACGCCGTCCAATTGCGCGCAATGACGCAAGCGATCCAATCCTGTTACCAAGCCTTACTTCGTTTGACACTGCGGGAGATGGACAAGGCGCAACCGCTGACCGATCTTGCGAGCGCAACTGCGAATATATAACTTGGTCTCACCGTGGACAACGTAGTAAGGATACCTCCCGTGCTTTCGTCTTTACCAGCTACATCTTAGTGAACAGTCCAGCCCGCTAGTATCATGTCCCCCCGCCCTATTCTCATCGTTGCGGGCGTCGGTAATGGCTCAGGTATGAACTTCCCCAGGTTTGCTGTGCCTGATTGACCTGATGTTCCTGCATATTCATAGGCACCGGTGCTGCATCCGCGTATGTTGACTGTCGCACCCACTGCAGAGACCGCTGAAGTCTAACTTGAATTTCAGTCGCATCTTTGCACGAGCCGGATATAACGTGGCTTTGATCGCTCGCGATGCAGAAAGCCTGAAGAAGACGGCGAGCGAGATCAGGCAGGCAGGAGGTGGTGACGTACGGCCGACGTTCTGCCATTGTGGTCCAGCGGTTGACATACTATACTGCAGGCCGAAGCGTTCCCGGCTGCTGCATATGACTGGTCCAACTTCACCAACATCTTTGCCGAGATCAAGAAGAAGTGGCCTGGCTCACCCGTCCGCGTCGCCGTATTCAACGCGGCGCACGGCGTCTGGAAGCCGTTCTTGGACGTCACTGAGAAAGAGGTGTGTACTTGTCTATACCAGCTTGAGTGAAACCCTCTAATAACACCATGATGCAGATCAAAGATACAGTGGACACGAACATCACCGCTGCTTTCGGTTTCTCCCGCGAGGCCATCCTAGCCTTCAAGTCCAACGAGCTGAACGAGGACGGTAAACGTGGTACGCTCATCTTCACGGGCGCGACGGCCTCTATCCGCGGCAACGTCACCACGAGTGCGTTCGCCGCCGGCAAACACGGTCTTCGCGCTCTCAGCCAGAGCCTGGCGAAGGAGTTCGGGAAGGAAAACATCCATGTCGCGCACGTACGTCTGCTGCTCATGCTCTATCAGCCCAATACGGTGGTGACGTTTAGGGCTTTCAGGCTATCATCGATGGCGGCATCATCACTGACCGCTCCAAGAGCTATCGGAAGGATCCTGCTTGGGAAAACAACCCTGATGTTCGACTTGACCCTGAGAGCATCGCCAAGGTATGGCTCCCTCCCTGTTTCAGGTACTTATTCGTAGCGCCTTACGTGTTTTCCCTTTCCGTAGACGTATCTTGCGTTAGTGAAGCAAGACAGATCCGCGTTGACTTGGGAGCTGGACCGTAGGTGGTTATCCTCTCCGATCACGAAAGATGAATAACGATCACTTTGTCTAGTCCGTCCTGCGCACGAGAAGTGGTGATTATCACAACACGAGGGACACTCTCCTTTCCGGGCAGCGCTGTACAGCCAGACATCTAGTGGCTAGCGGTACACGATGTGTAATTGAGTCATCCGAAACGTATTCTCGACTCCGACGCAGATGTTTCGTGATGCAAAGAGAATGATCCGTGTTTTGTGATGGCTAGTGTACAAAATGTAGGCGATCTATGCAGATTTCTACGAGTACAATCGTTTCACATGCTGTTGTCAAGGTCATGATGCTCTTGCTGGAGGAAATTGTTGTCACAAGGGAGCTCGCCCCCGTGGGGCGCCTCCGTCCCCAGCTACGTTGCCTCTGGGTCAGCACGAGAATGCGATGGGTAAATGATATACGCACGATCCCGGAATGCCGCGTACACGGCGCCTTGAATTCGATCCTCGATAGCTCGACAGTAACGTCCTCCTCTCCGTTATTGATCCGAAACGGCCTCGCCGCCTCACGCCGGAGGTTGAGCACGAGCCGAGTGGCGACGATCGCGTTGTTGGCCATGACGAGCGGCATGCCGAGCAGCTGCACCTGCCGCTGCACGTTCCCCTCCTTGATGTAGAACACGAGGAAGAAGAGCGCGTTGGCGAGCAGCGCGAGGAAGTACATCGCACTGTCGCGCATGAAGAGGTTGAGCATCGGCGCCATGTGCCGGAGGTGCAGCCTATGCCTAACGTTTGCCATAAATTTGCGGAGGGTCAGGGCGAAAAAGATCGCGTGTACGACGGACTCGGTCAGCCTGTGTTCCAATGGTGTCAGCTTGATCGAACCGGAGAGAAACAATCACGTATTGTGACGCACGAAGGTACGGTTTGTAGGCGGGTGAATCCTTGCCCCGTATAAAAGCATCCGGGTAGCAAGACGTGTAGTTCGGATTCGCTTGTGACCGCCCGGGTATGCAACACGTCGAAGCAGGCGGCCACCAGCAAAACCTTCTGGCTAATGAGCCCTCGCGGGATTTATAGCATGAGGAAGCCTTACAGCCATATCCGCGGTCAGCAAAGTAACGCATAACGCGAGAACTGGCATTTGACAATGAGTGCTGAGGAACGGAAGAGGCGATGGACACACATACCTCTCCAGTTCTGATCATACAAAGCATACAATCTCAAGACGAGGATCACCGAGCCCAGTGCGCTTGTAAGGGTTGCACCAGCACTGACAACCACGTCAGCGAGCACGATCTAGTGTTGAGGCATTTGCCCTTACACGGTGATATACCACAACCAGGCGTTGCAGCTATCAGGCAAGTGAGATGCATCCACGACGCAGTTCCGAGGAACATACAACTACGGATACAGCAGTGAGACCTGAGAGAGCGCGATGAGGGAAACTCCGACATACTCGAGGTGAAAGGCCATAATTAATATTCACTGTAGGGAGTGAGCCGAATCAAGGACAGCTCGTGGTCAGTCTACGCTGATTCATACCATAGACGTTCGCGCTGTGATTTTGGTCAGCAGGGCGCAACGAAAACAGCACGCACGGAGAGGTCTTACCTCAGGGATATAAGGGTCAGATATCTTAGCAGTAGGTAGAGAACCTTCGTCATCGACCATCGACTTCTACAAAGACAGTGTCAACCTCTTCCTTCAGATGTGGTTCGGAAGCGTGTACTCAACGGCCAGATGAGACGAAGCTGGCAGTGGAAGTGTCAGCGAGATAGCCACCTTCGCATCTTAGCGCACTTACTTCGTCCACAGATGTGATAATCGAATCATACGCTAGCCATGCCAGGGTACCGACTGGTCACATAGGGTTAATGACTTCCGCTAGGGACAGATTGGATGGATGCTAATCACCTGAAACCAGATTGACCGACCACATATCTCCCGACAGGCGTCGGACTGCAGTAACATCTTCATCAGAGATCATGGAGGTGGTCGGGGATAGAGAGCTCTATCGGGTGACGGCCGTCAGCTTCGGCGACTCAGGTCATTATAAGCCGCAGAGAATCTGCCATACCATTCCACAAGTCCGCGAAGGCCGACGGAAACGCGTGAACTAACCCCAGAGCGGGGATACGGGCTAATTGCCCAAGACGGTTGTCGCACATAGATTCGTCAGCGCAAAATATGTTCCATTCAAGGCGGAGAGTCAGCGTGAAGTGCGGGAGCTCTTGCGGGCATGGGCCTTGCTGCGGCGAGTATGTAAGGTTGTGCAGAGACCGAGCTCATCGGAACTTCTGATCAGTGAGGTGCTTGGGAGGTATGCACAAGGGATATATGGAGCTTAAGGCATTCAAATGAAACGCCGTGAGCGTGTTGTACTGAATCAAGAATCAAGTGGCGTCGTTAGTTAGTGCGGTGCGCAACGACGAGAGTATGATGGACTCACATTCTACTGCTCGTGGGAGAAGCGAAATATTGATAGCCTCACAATTACAGAAGTATTGGAGCGGCTAGGAGTGGTTCAGGCTATCAGCTCAAGCCATGTCTCGCCAGTCCTCAACTCTGATATTCGCCCCATCGACTGGAATATCGACGCGTTGAAACGACGCGACATCCTGGTATCGTTCCATTCCGGTCCACCACGAAGGGTTTGGTCATGAATTTGCCGTCCTCAGCATTCATGTTGTGAGCTAGGAGATCGCTTCGCCATGAACGCAAGCGCAGAGTTACATCGACGGATCGACGGCGCCCAGCCTGCTCCCGAATACGGGGAACAGTCACGTGATGACTTCAATACGATTTTGGTCGCCAAATTACGCTTGCTTGCCTACCTTAATCGACCTCGTTACAAGAGTTGCACTGTTACAGCAATGAGCGGAACAAGCGTTCGACATTCTGGCAATCTTCGCTAGCTGGAATATTTTGTCATGTAAATAGGGGATAAAACTCATGCGCAGCGAGGTCAAGGCACAAGCTTTTCTTGCGGCTGAACTTCTGCATGTGAAAGACATATTCAGTGGGAGTAGAGACTCGTTCTCCTCGTTCCGGAAACGCTACGTTGAACGAAGGGAAAAATTTCTGCTGAATTCCGTCTTGACGACTTGCGTGTTCATCCCGTCCCGTCCCACGCCCAATCATATATCGTTTCGTCGCCACCTTCCCGACGGCCACTCCCTCCGCCACATAGACGCAGCATATCCTACACATCCGTAGATTGACACATCCGTGCTCCGTTCACGTTAATAGTAGACTACAGATCGCGGGCCGGTAGCTTTTTCCGACAAGATCGATTTTTTGATGCACCCGAGCTCTTAATGCACATTGATTCCCTTTCTATTCATACGCGGCGTTGATAGATGTTGAGAGTGTGCCAGAAGAACCGGCCCACCATCGTAGAGCAAAGAAAGAAGATAATCACTCGCGGAAGAAGTATACGTTACGATGAATCTCCAGCGACTAAAGCCCGTACGCCCCTAACCCACAATCTAGTGGGTCGACAGGTGGGTCAAGATGGTTCAGGTTATCCTGGTGACGAGCCAGATATCGGTCCTCAATCACCTTTTGCAAAACGGGACCGGCTGTTCCGATATTGGGACCGCGCCGGATAATACTACCTACTACCTACCTACCTACCCCTCATCCACAATCGTTTGGGTCGGCAGGTGTGTGAAAGATGATTCAAGACATATGACGAGCCAGAAATCCACCTGGAGCGGGCCGCATAGCATGCCTAATTGCCCTCTCTTCGTCGTTGCCGGGATTGGCACGGGCACGGGTACGTGTCATATTTGCTCGTGCAGTATGTGTTCTCCATGACATGTGCATATTCAACGACAGGGGTCGGGGCTGCGGCGTCGATGGTTCCCTTCCTTACGCCACTGACCGAATCATAATTCGTCGCAACAGACGTATCTTCGCGCAAGCTGGGTACAACGTAGCCCTCATTGCCCGTAGTGCGGGAAATTTAGTGAAGACAGCAGATTCCATCAAAGCATCAGGGGATGATATCCAGGTGACGACCTGTCCGTTTCTGCGTCAGGAATTTCTAAGTCCAGAAACAGATCGAGGGCTTCCTTGCGGTGGAGTACACGTACCAATCGCTTGCCGAGGTATTTGCCTCCATAAGGGGTAGATGGCCGGGCTCGCCAATCCGGGTGGCGATCTTCAATGCGGCATACGGGGTTTGGAAACCATTCCTGCAGATCACCGAGTCAGAGGTGAGGTCGATATGTAGGCTTGCGGAACCTGAACGTTGAATCCGTACAGGTGATCGAATCGCTGCAGACGAACATCACCGCTGGCTTCGCCTTCGCGCATCACGCGCTACATGCTATGCAATCTAACGAGCTAGATGAGCGAGGCAAGCGGGGCACGTTCATCTTCACAGGAGCGGGAGCAGCTGTGAAGAGCGATGCCAGCAACAGCGTCCTCGCTATCGGCAAAGCCGGCCTGCGTTCCCTCAGCCAGAGCTTGGCCAAGGGATTCGGCAAGGAGAACATCCACGTCGTCCACGTATGTCCACCTGCTTTCCCGTGGGCGATGATCTCTCCATCCTGATATCCATTGCCTTAGTATATGGTAAGTGGATTCGTCATCAATCAGCGGACGAAGGAGCTGGATGCTGACAACATGGGCACAGACGTATTTGGCATCGGTGGAGCAGGACCGTTCTGTGATGACCTGGGAACTCGATCGTACGTCGACTGCTTAGTGTGAACTCGCTGCGACGACTGAGGCTCAATGGACACAGTTCGTCCTGCGCACCAAGACTGGTAGATATTCTTTGCAGCAATGTAGTACGACCTTGGCTATGCTAGCCTGCGAGCAATGTGGACTTGGCGTCCAGGCTCAAATTGAAAGCCAGATATGTTTCATGCGCGTAGTCGCTGAAAGGCTGAATAAACGACGGATAAGCTTATGTGACTAAGCTTACTCACGATGACAATACTAGCGTGGGCGCTCAAAAGGAGTTTCGTTTCGTTCCACAAGAGCACCAAAGTCGACTCCGGTGTCGTATTTGCCCAGGACCCGATGGCATGAACAGTGTGGATGACTTCGCTGCAGAAGATAATATTAATCGTCGATCGTAACAGAATAGTCAGAGCTCACTATTGCATCGAGGGTACGCATCGAAAATGGTCGCAGTGACAAATACCTGGCCACCTGGCCCTCAAAAGCTGAGTCCAACATTTCCGGTTGTAGGCCAAACCGACTTCTTCTGAGGCTCAGTCGAGTTTGCTTGGGGATCTGCACCATCCGCTCCGTCGACTGATCGAAGGCTGGGCTTCACCCCGAGACTCGCGCACAGAAGGCGGTATCGAGAATGAATCTGGCGGAATAGCTTCGGGATGTCTACTGCATTCGACTCATCCTCCGCGGATGTGGACGGGTTGACGCGGGGGAATTGAGAGATGAGGTTGAGCAGATGCGATATATGACTCAATGTTCGTCTGTGATACACATCTTTAAGACACACCGCAATCATACATGAAGATGATAAGAAACGTACTCGTCGGCGTGGTCTTGTTTGCCAACGATGGCTCTCCATGTGACGGCGAAGCCCTCGTAGAAGGCAAGCTCTTCCCACATCTCATAACCTTTCTCGCGACCGAGAGCACGACCCTCTATAAGCCCATGGATTCTTCCGTGATCATAGCCGTCCTTGTAGCCGGCATCGTAGAAGCTGCCGCACCGACAATTTTACGCTCTTAGTTCAGCGAGACGGATGTGACGGAAGTGCACACGTTTGCTCAAGATGAACAAGGGATTCGATGTCAAAGTTAAGGTCGACGTCCATAACGGCCTAATGGAATGAGAACAGAGAATTTGTGAATGAGCAAGGCGCGCAAATGCGCTTTGTTTGGTTCAGTGGCCGTTGCCAAACAAACGAGATCCGTGATCCGGGGCGCTGAGTCAGCTTTGGTCATCTCTTTTCCTCGAGCCCCCTTCGAGCTGGCATTGCGGGACTGCTGTTTAGGCCGTGCAAACGACGATGGGCGCATACTACGATGAAGTCGAGATTGAAGATATGGTATGGGACGAGGAAAAGCGGGTCTACCACTATCCTTGTCCCTGCGGCGACCGCTTCGAAATCTCCAAGAAACAGCTCAAAAACTACGAAGACATCGCGACATGTCCTAGTTGTAGTCTGATCATACGGGTAATATACGATCCTGTGAGTAGCTTTTATATTCGGATCATTACTTAAATCTAACTTTTTGCTAGCTTGATTTCGAGGACGAGCCCAGCGACGATGAAGACGATGGCGCTCAGTCCAGCTCCGGGGAAGAAGAGAGCGACGCGGATAGCGACGATGTTGAGTTTGAAGATGCCATGGAGAACCTCTCCATCGCCGATCGTGCACCACTAGTCGCCTCCACCGCTTGAATGCCTCTCACCCACGGCAGTCCATGGAATCAGGAAGCATTCCGCGGTAGCAAACAGCGGAGGACGTCACTCCGCGGCCCTTCTGCGGGCCAGACACTGCTGCTCGCGTACGATGGAGCATCTCACTCTCCCCGAATGTCGATGCGGACACGTTCCGCGTGGCGGAGCGGACCGCCTGCAGATGTTTGAGCCTCTAAAATCGAGGCATCGGGCAGAGCGGTGGCGGGCCCGGGTTCAGGAATATCCTCAAAATGACACTCGCACCTCACGTGGACAATCGCCGTTGCTTGTTCGTACAACAAGCAGAGGATATTCGTCTTGCTTTGTGTCCCATCGAACGAATCCTTGCCCCGGTCGAGCGCTCTACATCACTGTACCCACGTGATCTAAATAAAATCGCTTCCGCTTTTCGGTTTCGAGTCGGAATTCTCCCGACTTTGTTATCGATTCTTCCTCCCCCAAGTCCATGCTCAGCAAGCCTCCCTCCATTTATGATAACGAAGACGACCATCCAACCCTTTACTTGACGACCACCGTCCGAGGTCGGAGCGCGCGACTCGTGCGGATCTCAATGCGCATCCGACACAGCTTTCGTGAGACCCTCGTGGCTTGGGCGCCTTTTCATGGGATCTTCTGTCTTCCGCGCTGTCATAGATCGCAGGCGGGTGATGATGAGACCATCAAATCGTTGCAGCACTCACGCATCCGTCGTGAGCGCGGTCCTAGTGATCTCCCAAGTGAGATGGAGGTGCTCCTCCTGTCAAGCATCTACGCCCTCATGGCGATCCTGTACTGCCGACTTTCTGCTTGAGATTAGTATCTGCTGTACGGCCCATCCGACGGTCAGGTATCACTGCAAGCAATATTACAACTTAGTCGAACCTCGCCTGGTTCGTTGGCTCGTTACGCGAACAGGGTCCGCGAACGATCCACGTTCCTTGACTCATGTCCCAGTCTGGGTCTCCGAGTGAGTATCCTCAGTTATTCCCTCATAGAGCACGAATTAAAGCATATACCAGCTCTTCTTTCCTCTGCTATCGCCACAGGTTTCGCCAACGATGGCCAAGACGAACCCTTGGCTGGCCAGGTCGCCTCCCTCACATCTACCAACAACTTCATCAATTTCTGCGCAGGCCAGACGATCCATCAGGGTGTTCAGAACAGTACCGGGACGTGCAATCCTGCTCCCATGGGCATGCTCGTCGCCTCGGACGTCATCCCGACCAGCAAGTTCGTCTTCCCCAAGCACAACTCGACCATCCCGTCCAACGGCACCTTCACCGTCCGACTCGCGGTCGCGAACCTCAACACCGGCAACTTCGCGAACGAAGACGAGAACTTTCTGTCGGCGCCACAGCAGGTCAACGGCGAAGGTGCGGTGTTAGGGCACGCGACGATCGTCATCGAAGCGTTGGACTCGCTGGGGCAGACGACACCCACCGATCCGCGGCTTTTCGCGTTTTGGAGGACGCTCTCGGCCCAGAGGAGCGGGGATGAGCTAAGCGGGGACGTGACGAACGGCCTGCCTGCCGGATTTTACAGACTATCGTCGGTCATCATCGCTAGCAACTATCAACCGGTTCTCGTGAGCATCGAGCAACATGGCGCGATCAACGATGCTATATACGTGAGCTACTGTGTCACGCATCTTTCATGATCTCAATATGTTTGCGCAGTTCACTGTATCAGATACAGCCAACACGACAACATCTTCCGCGCCACCGACACATACCTCCACATCGTCATCCTCCCCGTCCAGACCAGCGCAAACCGGGGCATCTAGAAACCACCACAAGTGCGTTCCTACCTTGCCGCGCCACGTACAACGCGTTGCTCACCTGACCACATAGCAATCGTACCAATATGGCCGCGATCAGTGGCGGGGTAGCGGGTTCAATCGTCTTTTTGGGCATCATCATTGGAATTCTCCTCGGAAGACGCCAATGGCGACGACGTCGTTCATACCGGAGAAAGCTTGCCCTCGACCTCATGGCAGAGTCCCCTGGTTCCTCTTCGGCCAACATAGAGTTGCCTATGACCGCCATTGAGCCATTTCGGGATGCTGGGGGCGTGCAGGGTTCCTCTTCAACGGTGCAGTTGGTCCGGAAGAGCAACAGGACGCAATCGTCGTACGTCGCCCGTTTCAATGTTTTGCACTGCCGGAGCTAACCTATTTCTTTCGTGTTCACCGCGATCAGTCCTGCGGTCAACGATGCATCAGGAGCTGGTACCTCAGAATTACCACCTCCGGCCTATAGCCAGATCGTCGAAGAAGCACGACATATCGTTGAAGGCGCGCAAGAATCGCGACCCCCACCTGTACCACGGAAGAACCGTGTCCGACCCGCTCCATAACATTACAGACATCGTTTGGATCCGGCATCTCTCGGGATGGAGGTAGAGCTCATTCACTGCCGATTGCTCTCTGAGAACAGAGCTAACAACCATAGACGCTCTATACCACATTCCGGGCCGGCGATGTTGGTTATTCCATCTGTAGGTTGACATAACAGTGTCAGGACCACATCACCATATCGTATATGTCGAAGCTATACATTCGGGCGCTATGCCTAATCTTTTTCTGCAGCAATCCCGATACGATACATATAGAAGACACTGGTGTATCAGCTTGGCACCAATTTGAAGAGGTATCTCGCTACCGTTACTTCGCATCAGCAATATATCGTATTCTTACGCCGAATCTCGCATGAACGGTGGCAACACAGCTTCATTATTTCTCGTGTAGCTGTAGGGAGAGCGATATCGTTTGACGATCATCTCCTTGCACTGGCCAAGATCCTGGATGATGTAAACATCAAATGATTCCAGGGATACCATAGCGCACACGGCGACCTCGGGGGTTAAATCTAGCTCCATCGTCTTCCCCGCTAGCTTTTCTTATCCCCTCGTCACCCTACAAGAAGCGACTCCTTTCATGTGAACCTGATCCTACAATATTAGACGGGTCTCTGCCTCCTGCACGGATATCTCGTAAGTCGTTGCCCTCGTTCGACGGTCGCGCAATGTCTAAAGCCGCAAGTACTGCCAGCGCCCCCAGCTTCCCCTCTGTATACCACGGACAATTCATCACTCATTTATTAAATTCATGCCGCGATCCGGGTCAAGAAGTGCGTACTTGAGGCTCCCCTGGCGAAGGAGAGCTAATCCATTGTTTACGAGTTAGCGCTCCTTTACTCTGCTATTGCAAATGGGTTTGCCAAAGATGGTCTAAACGGCTCCGCACCTGGTCAGGTGGCGTCACTCACGTCCACCAACAATTTCATCAACTTCTGCGCCGGCCAGACAATCCACCAAGGGACCCAAAACCCCCGCGGGACATGTAATCCCGCGCCAATGGGAATCCTCGTTGCTTCAAATCGCATTCCTTCCAGCAAGTTTGTCTTTCCAGCGCACGGATCAACTCTTCTGTCCAACAGCACATTCACAATCCGTCTTGCCTTGTGGAACGTGGAGACCGGTATCATCGCGAACGAGACTAGTAACTTTTTGTCAGCGCCGCAGCAGGTGAATACGTCGGGTCAGGTACGGGGGCATGCGAGGGTCGTGATTGAAAAGCTCCACTCGCTCGAGCAAACGACCGTCACGGATCCTACGTGCTTCGCCTTTTCGCGGACGCTCGAACCGCAGACAGGTGTGAAGGAATTGAGAGGGAACGTTACATACGGGCTGCCAGCGGGGTTTTACAGGCTCTCGTCTGTTGTTGTTGCGAGCAATCACCAGCCAGTGCTCCTGAGCGTTCTGCAGCACGGGGCTATCAACGATGCGGTATATGTAAGTAAGCCTCGTTCCTTAGCACTGCGCGATCCCCATGCTCATTTTTATTAGTTCACCGTATCAGATTCCGCTTACATCGAAGCTGCCAGAGCGACAACAATCACGACACTCAATTTGGTACAAGCACAGCAATCCACCAGCTCCTCGCGAACTTCATTTACTACTTCAATGCTACCTTCGCTCACAAGTCCCTCGCAATATCCACTGACCAGTCCATCGCAATCCCCGTCCACCATTCCATCACTTCAAGCGCAAGCTGGAACGCCTTCCGATAACCATGTTCACACCAATTCTGCCGCGATCGGCGGAGGCATTGCAGGTGGAATCTTTATCCTGTTCATTGTCGTCGGATTCTTGTTCGCAAGGCGCTATTGGCGAAAACAATCATTCGTTCGGGGAACGCCCATCGCGGACCCTCCTAAACGCTCCTCGTCCGTTCCGGAGCTCCCACCGGCCGCGGCAAGGATAGACCCTTTCCGAGAGTCCGGAGGCGCCCAAGGTTTTGCGGCCGTGACGCCCTTGATGAGGAAAAACAGATCCCGAAGACAACCGCTGTACGTCGTTTGCTTGATATCGAGTTCTCTGTCGATGCTGATCAGCATCGCTGGTATTCATCGCCGACCTGTGAATAGCACTCCTTTATCAATAGCTACTTCTGAATTCCCTCCTCCGACATATAGCCAGGTCATCAAAGATGTGCGGTCTATCGTCGAGGCCCGACCACCACCACCATTCGTACCAGGTAAGTATTATGTTACCCCACTGCAACATACACCTCGGACTTCGCGGGAATGATCTGGAGAACGATCAGCTCGAGTCAGTTATGGCGGGTTACCTCAGAGCATTACGCACACATCATTATGTAGCCATCCAGCAGTAAACTCAGGACAGTATCGGACATCATACCACGGACCAGGGTCTGCCACTATCAGATAATGTTGTATTATGTATCATCTTCGGCGACATATGCATGTGTCTTTGCGATAGTACTAGCCAAGCTTGCGACAGGGGCACTTATCATGCGCCACCGTGGTGTACGCTGAGTAGCACTCAATTCTAGGCAGCACATGTCTCTGGCCCTGTCAAAGATTGAGACTGACCATGATGTACAGGAGGAGCTGTGGCCGGCATCGCCGTCCTAGGGGTCATCGTCGGCCTCATAATCGCAAGGCACTGTGGGCGCAAACAACCATCGTATAGGGGATGGGCAATCCCGACGTCATGGCAGAAACTGCTGGACCACTTGAGCGCCACGTAGATACTATGAGGGTTGACTCATTTCAAGACGCCGGAAGTGCTCGAGGACTGGGGGCAGCGGCAGCGCGATGGATGTGGACCAACAACCATCACAGGAGACGGCTTTCGTACGTCGTTTGCTTGATCGTTGAGCGGCACCACTCGTGTTGATCATTGCCATATGAACAGCGCTCCCTCCATGGCCGGAACACCCGAAGCCGCTCAGTCGGCTTATAGCCAGGTTGTCGCAGAAGCACGACGTATCGTCGAGGACGCGCAACGATAACAACCTCCGGTCCACGACATCCAGCTGGAGCGCTGGAGGACTCGTCCCTAGAACAAGTAGTTCAAGACAAGATCCATGAGGACGTTCCGCATCCTTAATCTTTAGCATCAGCATAGCATTCTAGGACCAACCTTAGAACGGTATTCGGATATCATACCACGGACTGATGTGCGATATCATCAGAATCAGATAGTGCCTTGGAAGCATTGTTTTTTGGGGGGATATATCCGTGTGTTTTGCGATCGTAATAGCTAAGTTTGCGACAGGGGTATATATAAACAGTAATATCATCCAGGTATCCCATGAGGCGATCATACCTGCCCAGCCACGCATAACGATCAGCACACCAAGTCGTCGCAGAATCAAACGCGAAACGCGCACCAGACTCAGTTCGAGCGTCCACACCCGTCGCGCCCACAGCTTCACGACCTCCTTGCCGACGCCGTTCGGCCCGGGAAGTTCAACCTCGAGCCCGTCCCACCAGCATTTGCGCGCCGGCTTGCGCCAGAAGAGGAGCAGCTTCTGCGCGGTCGCCATCTGGTTGTAGTCGACCGTGACCGGACGCTCGCCCGTCGGCTGCGGCGGGTGGTGCACGATGCCGGTCTTGAGGAGGACGAGGGCGATGGAGGAGATGCAGCACCGGGAGGGCTCGAGCGCGCGGTAGCCCCATTCGTCTTCGCGGTCGAAGCCGCTGTTGTTGGACGAAAAGGACAGCGTAAGCATATATTCAAGAGAGAGGAGGGTCGAGGGGTGCCGTACCTCATGCAGAGCATGTCGATGAGATGTTGCTCAGCGATGTTGTTCTCCTTGTTCACGTTCCGCTGCAGGGCCGTGAAAATGTTCCGCTTCTCGAGCAGGTGCGTGCCGCACCGGCGCTTGAGGTCGAGCAATGGGTCGTTAGCGATCCCCTGCGCGTCCGTCGCCGCGCCCGAGTTCTTGGGCGGTATCGAGAAGTATTCCAGCTCTTCGCGGAGGACAATGATCGCCTGCTTGGTGAGAAGCGGGTTTTGCGAGGGTGCAGCGCCGAGATCGGGGGAGGGCGAGCCGTCGATGAGGTGTTGTTGCGCGGCGAGCAGCCCCGGTTGTGTGCTCGTGCCGTAGAAGTTATCCGCGGCAGTGCGGAAGAAGTTGAGGACGTAGGCGAAGCATTCTGGGTCAAACTATCCGCTACATTGTCAGTATGGCCAGGCTGCACTGGAAGAAAAGGGTAAGAGCAGGATGCGTCATCACGTACATCGACCCCATACAGCTGCTCGTCCTCCTCCGCCTCCTCGCCATTTTCAGAGAGCGCCATGCTCTGTCGGCTCAGAACAAGTCCATTTGGGAACAAGCACAGCAACACCGATTCCGGCAGGTTCATAATCGTCTCGCGGTCGACCGAGAAGCGCTTGCCGCGCAGGTCGAGCAGGAGCCTCGTCAGGAGCTGGGGCTGGTGCAGATTGGAGTATTGCGGGGTCTGCGAGACCTGAGTAATGGGACTGTTTGCGGTCGCCATGGCGGGCGACGAGGAGGGCCGGATGAAGGATGCGAATGGTGTGGGAGGTCGGTGGGCGTGTGCAGGTTCGGCCGTCCAGATGGCAGACGCGGTGGCGTTGAAGTGCCGGTCATTTTGCTGGTCTTTATACGTTCACCACACGCATGTCTACACATGCTCGTTGCAATAGACTAATGGCTACACTATCTGCCTGAACAATTGCCAGATATACTCTATAATCCAGCTTGCTTGGGAAGTTTGGACGCGTATGGAGGTTCGACGGTCTCCGCCGCACAGGCGCTCTCACATTCCATTTTCACCGGGATAAGCAGTGCCAACTCTTGCGTCTTTCTTGTTCATTGGACGTCTCGCATACTCATGGACTATCGTCGGGACTTAAGGCTCTAGAATGAAGGCACTAGTGAACTAAAGGCATAGCAAAGTAAGTCGCAGCCGCTGTAGTTTACTCTTCTCCGCAGACGAACAGTAGCTTCTCAGGCAGGACCACGAACTTTGCTCGCTAGAATGCCTCCTCGGGCTCCTCTCGGACGGATGCATGTCGATATGAAAGGATACGAATCCTCCTATGCAACGGCTTGGTGGGTTTCGCATGACCAACGTCGAAACGCCCAAGGCCGTCCCCTCACAATTCTCCGGTCCCATTTGGCCTTCAACACTCCAACATCGTCCGCTTCAGCCGGCTATTGATTCATTCGATAGCATGAATGACTGCGAGACTCGATCAGCCGAGTTGAACACAGAACAGCAGAGCTGGCGTGAATGTGCCAAACAATCCACATCCCCACCGGTCTCGTTGACGTCATAACATGCTAACGCAGAGCGCCACCGCAATGCAGCATGCTGGAAGGATCTCCAACGTACGCTCCAGCTGGTTACACCCACGTCATTGCGCCTATCTTTGCCCTCGCAGGCTTATAAACCGCGGCCCCGACCAGCTTGCTCTGCACTTTGACATCAACCTCTTTCACGATACCCACCTCACGACTTTAACGAACATAAATCACCGAATATGGTTCGTGTATATCCGATTTTCAGGCCCGCCACTTGAGGTCCTGACTCGATCTCCGAATTTTGCAGGGATCTATCGTTTCTGCCATCGGCGCCGGCATCAACGCCGTAATTTCCGCTATCGCCGGCGTTATCGAGACAATCATTAGCGCCATCGTAACGGTATGTGCTTCGTGTCTACTGTTCCCCTACACCATAGGCTAACTCGCTGCTGCCTATTAGGTGCTCGTCACTATTTGGGATGTATTCCTCGATATCATATGCTGTCGGTGCTTCGGTTCCCGGCGTTCGACGATGGCCACGGGCCGGCGAAGGCGCGGTTTCGGCCGTAGGGGCGTCGGGACGACGGGGACAACAGCAGGCACCACCTATTAGACGTCATACGCTACATACTTCGCCAGCCGATGCGAAGACCCCGGATAGATATACTAGAGCTGCCTAATGGTTCAACTATTGAACCCCTTATGAATCGCAGTCTTTCCATGAACCCTTATACCACCCGTTGACGATTGTGAGACGTAGCGCTACGTGAGTTTCAGAGACGAAGTGTCGAGGCGGAATCAGTGGCAAAAAACTACTACCGCGTTACAACCTGGCAAGCTTGAACACGGGTCCGCTCGCATCGTGGCGGAAATGCAATCAAGTGTAACATCGTCGTCAATTATATCGCGTATTTAAGGGAGAGTAACTACACGTGTTTGCATATCGATTACCTTGTACGGATTGTATGGCAATGGCTTGTCAGCAGACGCGGCCAGCAGGAAGTGATCATCACCTCCTCGTCAAATAATGAGTGTCATGCTCTGTTATGTCTGATCGTTCTCCTTCCGTGTAGCACTGACTCTGCTGAGCCCGTTCTGGAGTTCGCCTATGTGACCTGTCATCCCCATCACATTATCTTTATTCGTATTCCTAAGGCCACGCCGACGAATAGCCGCATCGAAGGCCGATATGACTTTGCCTGGGCCGCGTAGAGGAAAGAGTCCGAGTATCGGTTCGAACTCATGTTGGAGCGTAAGCAACGGGGAAAGGGGAGGACTGATGAGCCTCTCACCCAGATAGCGACGACGCAGAGGAGGGTAGTGAGATACAACACGAGGCGGATGATCGGTGCGAGAGGTGGAATGAGAAGATTGAGGAAATGCTGTTATACTATAGTGTCGAGCCGCACGGAAGCATCCAATAGAGAATATGAACGTACGTCGGGATGATAGAAATCCTCCTGAAGCGCAACATAGTGAAGACCGTTTTCTCGTCGCAGGGTTAGAGTAGTGACTAGTCTGTACAACGAAATTTAATAGGCGAATGTGATAGCGAAAGAAAGGATAGTGCACGAACCGCGAGGGCGCGGGACGCAGCAAACTAAAGAACAAATGGAACACTTGGACAGTCTCAATGACAAGAACATCCTGGGATGCATCGTATGCTGTCAAGAACATGATTAGCCCCCACCAGTTATAATCACGATTGACTTGCCAAGAACGCGCACATCAGACATAGTATTGGGAGAGATAGCGCGATAGTGAAGATAGATCGCTAGCAATTGGTCTCGAGACTTGGGACCTGGAGGCACGTAGCAGAGCGGGTGTCTGAATCCCGCGTCCCATGTGAAGTACCTGAAAGATATAGTTCCAATGATCAAGTTGGATGTTAATCCGCTAGACATCTACCGTTCCACATCCTCTTGTAACGCTTTGAGATCGGGAGCTGTCGTCAAACGCTTAACGAGAGGAACAATTTCATCCACAGGACTTTGCATGATTGACGAGAGGAAAAGTGAGAGCAGAGTTGAGCCGGTGCATGGCCGCTGTTGTCGACGGCATTGCGAGAGACGTCATAGATACGACGCACGTGAAAGCAGAAATCGAAGAAAATTCCACGCCACAGACGCGTTCAAACGGCCTGACTCATATGCATTACGCGTTGGGACCTTCACCGTTCACGCGTTTTCGTGGCCTCATCTTCCCCCTCCTCCTCTTTCTCCTCCTCACAGTTCCCCTCCCTGCGCCATGTCGAAAGCACACGAAGAGTATCAGTATCTGGATCTTATTCGACGCGTCATCGCGACTGGGGAGTCCCGAGCCGACCGTACCGGCACTGGCACCCTTTCCATCTTCGCGCCGAATCCGCTTCGTTTCTCTCTCGCCTACAACACTCTACCTCTCCTGACCACGAAACGAACTTTCTTACGTGGCATACTTCTCGAACTTCTTTGGTTTATACGGGGCTCGACCGACTCGAAGCTGCTCTCGGAGAAGGGCGTGAAGATATGGGATGGTAACGGGAGCAAGGAGTTTTTGGAGAAACGTGGCTTGGGCCATCGGCGAGAAGGAGACCTGGGTCCCGTATACGGGTTCCAATGGAGGCACTTTGGTGCCGAGTACACCGACTGCGATAAGGACTATACCGGGGAGGGCGTCGACCAGCTGAAGGAATGTATACGCAAAATCAAGGAGGATCCCACAGATCGCCGGATTATCCTAAGCGCGTGGAATCCGAGGGGTACGTGCCGTTCCTCCATGCGTGTTTATCCAAGTCTAACGCGCTGGATATAGACATCCCGCAAATGGCGTTACCTCCCTGTCACATGATGTGCCAATTCTACGTGCACCTCCCTTCCGCGCCTTCCGAGAAACCGAGATTGTCCTGTCTCATGTACCAGCGCTCTGCCGACCTCGGCCTCGGCATTCCGTTCAACATCGCGTCCTACGCCCTCCTTACGCATATGGTCGCGCAAGTCACAGGGACCGAAGCGCACGAATTGATCATCCAGCTCGGCGACGCGCACGTTTACAAGGACCACGTTGAGGCGTTGCAGAAGCAGCTCGAGCGCGAGCCACGCGCGTTCCCGAAGTTGAAATGGAAGAGGGAGGTGAACGACATCGATGAGTTCGTGGCGGAGGACCTCGAGGTGGTAGGGTACGATCCCCATCCTAGTATCGCGATGAAGATGAGTGTTTGATCGCGCTTGTCATGTGTCTGGTGGGTGATCTATGGATGTACTAGATGTGTTGTACGTTATCGCTGTGATATTGAGTTTTAATCTGCCAAGCCACCTTCATGGACTCCGCGTTCCCTTGGCCCACGTGCTCCGTGGTGGCGTAGCTAGATGGTACCTGCTTATGATACTGACGCTCGTTCACCTGTATAAGCATCCTGTCCCAGGACGTTTGTGGGTAGCAGCGGGTGGTAGTGAGAAAGCGGCGTCAGGAGCGTACTTAGGTGAGCGTTCCATCTCACCATTTCATATATTTGAGCCTGCTCTTGATGTCATGAGACAGATCCACTATCAAAGGAGCGGCTGCTGATCCGGCACCGCACGCTTAGGGCAGCCGGATTGGGGGCTTGAGAAGACGTCTGGTGGCGTAGCATACGTTTCGTATTCGCTAGGTGCAACCAGAGGTCTCGCTACGTGGATGACCGAGGTTCTTGGTCAGTTATTTGCATCTGACGCGAGCAAACTATCATATTATTTCCCCTCAGAGCTCGCGTCTTATCCACATCGACGGGCGTCGTAATGCAGAGCCGCAAAATGTACACCATTTCCCACGCTATAAGAAGCTCGCTGCGGACGGGCAGGAAGCTAAAGGCAGGTCACAAGGCCGTCTTCTTTTGTTTACCCCGCACGGATGCCCTGCTCGTTACGGACCCCGCAGGGCGTATCCAAGCCTCGTGCTCGATACGCTGTGAGAAGTGCGCGCCCATGGTCTATATAGATTCAAGAGTGGGGCTCTTTCAGAGGTCGTCACTCTCCCTCGCCAAGAGAGAGTCATTCTGTTCTATTCACCTGGAGGTACATCTGCTGACAGGGTCTGGCGACAGTATCTGAGTCTATTTGCTTACTTTGGAGGCCTCTGTCATGTCTGAGAGCAAGAACGAGGAGAAGCCATCGGTCGAATATGTAGAGGAGGCTTCTCCGGAGAAAGCGATGGAAGATGTCGTGGTGCCCGTTTTGTCCGCTGAGGAGGAGCGGAGATTATGGAGGAAGATCGATATGAGGCTCATGCCCATGCTGAGCTTGATGTATCTCATGTCGTTCTTGGACAGAGGTGCGTGTATATGAGCACGTTCCTACATATTCATCGCTGAGACGTACGTACTTGTGTTAGGGAACATCGGTGGGGCAGGTCATATGCCGATGACGTGTATACTGAACGCTGCCTAGGCAACGCGAAGCTACAGGGCTTGACGGACCAGTTGAACCTTACTGGCGACAAGTACAACATCGCGTTGGTATGTTTCAAGTACACCATAATATGTCAGTTGACTTCGATCTGAGAACACGCAATCACAGACTATGTACTTCGTGGTAAGACCGATCATTACCCCATTGGCGCATGGTTGTAAATATTCGCTTCTAGCCATATTGCCTATGCGAATGCCCAGCCAAGTAAGTCTTTTGTGTATCGATTTTCGCCCAATGTATGAACTCACGTGGAATAGTTTGGTTTTGAAGAAGTTTAGACCGTCGAGATGGCTTCCAGGGATTACGGTATGCGTTCTTGGTATTCCATGTACCAGGCACCACACTCATCCTCCTATCAGATGGTGTGGGGTGTAATCATGTACGTGCCTATACCTTGCATGAAGTCCAACGTTAACGTTTCGGTAGGACCCTAATGGGATTAGTACGGAAGTACGTGACTGCCTTGCAATACGACTCTACAGATCGTCTTATGTCTTCGTATCTAGCTATCCTGAACTTGTCGGTGTTAGAATCTGCCTTGGAATAGCCGGTACGTATGTGTCACGTCTTGGTGATGCTCTTGATGACGAGTGGTTGAATTTGCTAGAGGCTGGATTGTTCCCAGGTGTCGTCTACTAGTGAGATTCATCTCCTCATATAACGTATGTTGTTGACAACTCCCTGTAGTCTTTCCATATGGTATCCACGGCACTATTTGCAGGTGGTCTCTCTCTCTCAATCACCCAACTCGGGTATCTGATCTACTAAACTTAGTTCCGCATTGGATTGTTCTTCGGCGCGGCCACAGTCGCCGGTTTGTCGCACAATTCGATGCACCCAAGTGTTCGGACTGAAGATTTGACTGTGTCAGGTGCCTTCTCGGGTCTTCTCGCTTTCGGTATCAGCTTCATGAGTGGCACGGACGGTAAACTTGGCTGGTCCTGGATCTTCGTGGGTGTGGATCCAACGTTGCGACCACAATTAATAATACTATTCATGCAGATCATCGAGGGCTTGGCGACCGTTGTGGTTGGCTTCATCTCGATATTCGGTAGGTATATACATACACCCCTCTCGGATGTGCCTAAGGGATGCGATGATGTCTCTCAGTGCTGGTGGACTTCCCCGATACCGCGAAATTCCTTACACCCGAGGAGCGTGCATGGGTAATCCAGCGCAAGAGTGAGTCGGAAGGTTCTTATGATGACGGGCGACCGTAACGCACGACATAGAATACGACAACTCTTCCGTGGGCGAAGAGGAGCATTTCGCCTTCCGTCACATCATCGACGCTTTCACGGACTGGCAGGTCAGCTCGTCAGCCGTGATGATGGCCGTGCGTCGGTCAACTCATCGCCTTCGCTTAGGTTTGGATGCACATATTGGTGTATTTATCTATCATAACGCCCCTCTACGGCATATCTCTCTTCTTGCCGTGAGTGCGAGACGCGCTCTACGTACCGCGTGCAGTACTGAAGCGCATCGCAGTTCCATCATCAACGGGTATAACTTCCTCGGTTCGTACCCGAGTAAGGTCTCCACTCACATACGTCTTTTCTCCAGCTTCGGGTTCACGACGGCAATCAGCCAGCTCCTCACCGTGCCGCCGTACGTCTTTGCGAGTAAGTCACCGAGGACACACACGCTCCCGATACTTCCGCATCTGACGGCTTCGCACTGTGTTTTCGTGTAGCGATCGTGCTCATCATCTTCGCCGTCTGGTCCGATCGCATCAAGATGCGCTATCCGTTTATTTTGGCCGGACTGGTGATGTGTCTTATCGGGTTTTCCATAAACATCAGTGATGTCCCTATCGGCGTTAAGGTGGGGTTCAACCGTCTGTTCCATAGAGAAATTGCTCAAAGTGATCGTTCGTCCCAGTATTTTGGCACGGTAAGAGCGATCGGTACTGCTGCTATGTCGAACGCCGCCACCTGATGGATAAACATATCCAGTTCCTGGTCGTGGCGGGATCGTACGCCGCATTCCCCGGCGTGGTTGCTTGGTGAGTGACCGTCGGTGTTCGTGTCTAAGGTGCAATCCCCCATGCTTGTCAAACCCTCAGGCTCGGCAACAACCTCGCGGGCCAGTACAAGCGAGGTGTGGGCATGGCTGCGCACATTGGCATCGGTGAGTCGTAGCGACTGTCTTCCATTCCCGAGGGAGGTACCGATGCAATCCCGCCGAATGCTGACCGCCTTGACAACCGGTGTCTCAAAGGCAACTTCGGGGGCGCCTTCGCGTCGAATATCTACAGGACTAAAGACGCACCGCGTTACATCGTTGGGCGTAAGTCTTCTTTACTCACTACAATCTTCACAAAGACCATGCTTATGCACTGGACTATACAGATGCTATCGAACTCATGTTCGTCGGCATTGGGTTCATTGCGCTGCCTATCGTCGTGATTCTGTACAAGCGAATCAATAGTAAGAGGGAGAGGCTCATGAACGGGGATGGAAAGCCCACGTTCAGCGAGCAAGAGTTGAGGAAGATGGGCGACAGAGCGCCTGACTTCCGGTATACGATTTGAGAGGGCGGCTATGGTTTATTGTTGTATCATTAGTGTGTTGTATACAGCTCTCGTACGTGAGTGTCATGTCATGATCTGCTCGTGACAAGTCGCAAACATAGCGCTCTTTCTGCGTACTTCGTTGCCGCCCGGCAAAGCCGCCATTCGTTGGTTAGTACAGGGAACTTGAGCCGGGGAAGTATGGGAATGGGATCGATGCAACTGGTCCCATCTAGGAGGGTGAAACGCGCATATCATGGGGTGGTAGATGTGGAGTTGAATAGCGCTCGCACGGGGTAAGCGACCGAGCAAGAAATCTGATTAGAATTGAACATTCGAATTGAACATTCAATCCTGTGTACGGACCCCGCCAGCGAGGTACAACCGATACCACACTTTGGTGCTTTTGGACCAAAAAGGCAAGAGATCGGGACGATACCGCCTAACGTCGGGCCAAAGGTGCACAAGCGGGCGGGTTCTTGACGCGCACGATTTACGCCCCGACGCTCCCGACGCTCCCCGACGCGGTCGTGCTGGTGAGAAGCAGGTCGACTTTTGAGATGCAACGCACGTTTTCGTCAGCCTTGACATCAGCTTTTGATCAGTGACCACGAGATCCGGAACACGGGTGGCCCCCGACAGCCCCCGACAGCCTCCGACGTTTCCTTCTCCAAATTCTTCGAAACCCAGGAACTCTCAGAGTCTCTCAATCATCGCAACAAAGAAGCCGCAACGCCGACTCGTGACGAGATCCCAGGAACACCCAGTCAAGGCGCGGTCGCCGCAGGCTTCCTCGCTTCGGTTCCGTGAAGATGGGGGTCAGCTGCAGAACCTGCGCATGGCCGGTCTCAAAAAATAGACACAGGATGCTCGACTGTGGAGCTCGGGCAAAACTCGTCCAAGTAAACCGAAGAGCTCGGTGAGGGCGCTGTCAACGTTTGAGGCTGGACGTCGAGGAAGATGGCAAAGAGTCGCTGTCGGTCGATTTCTGGGCGGGACCGCAATCACGTGAAAACGCGCCTCTTTCCCTTTGACCATCATCTCGATGCGCGTTCGCCCTCTCGAATGCGCGGAGGTTCGGAACCAATATTCTAACAATCCCTGCCCGCCGGAAATTTGACTGGGTCGCATGGTCGTCGCGTGTCGAGAGATGGACTGCGTCATTCTCCCATCCGTCTCCGTGATCGACGCGCCAACTGTCGTGCGACGGGCGTGAGCAACGAAGGCTGGCAGGCAGAAAGACAACTGGTCATCCGGTCATGGATCTGCCATCTTGGCGTTCTGATCAACCCGCGACTGCCTTGTCTGGACGAAGGAGGTGATTATTACTGGTATTGCAGCGATACTCCTCGGTTGCCTGCCGCTCGTCTTTTTCCGTATATAAGGATAGCTACAAAGGCCAATTTGATCCACCGCATTCCTACCCGGTAGTCATCTAGCGAAATGCGTACCTTCGTCGTCTTGTCCGTCATCCTCGCCTCGGTCTCAAGCGCTTTGGCGCAGACCGCCTCGGCCGCTGCCTATGTTGTCACAGAGTCGCCGATCGCCAAGGCCGGTCTGCTCGCCAACATCGGCCCCAGCGGATCCAAGTCTTCAGGTGCAAAAGGTGCGCGTCGACGCATTCTGAGGAAGGCGGCCAACCCTAACGAGGTCTTCATTTGCAGCTGGCATCGTCATCGCTTCGTCAGTTCTGGCGGGTTTCTCATCGTGGGCGAAGTCGTTACTGATAGCTCTCCACGTTGCAGCCCTTCTACTACCAATCCCGACTACCTGTGAACAACATTTTTTGCGAGATCGCAGTTGCCGCTGACGACTTCGCTCAGGTACACCTGGACTCGTGACTCCTCGTTGGTCTTCAAGGCGATCATTGACCAGTACACTACGGGCCTCGACACCAGTCTCCGCGGCTTGATCGACGACTTCTTCACCGTGTGTTTTAGCCCCGATGCTACTCTATATCCGTTTATCAAGGAAATTCGTTTAGGCCGAGTCGACCCTGCAGCAGGTCTCCAACCCCTCTGGAACCGTCTCTACTGGCGGTCTGGGCGAGCCCAAGTTCAATATCGACGAGACTGCGTGAGTCGCGCTGTGATTCAGAGATTTCCGAGGGCGACGTCACTGACGGCTGTATGTAGCTTTACCGGCGCTTGGGGTCGTCCCCAGCGAGGTTTGTCTCATGTTGTGTGCTTCGCACACAAGATATTCATTTCATGCGTGCAGATGGCCCGGCTCTTCGTGCCACCGCTCTGATCACGTACGCCAACTACCTGTACGGATCCGGCAACACTACCTTCGTCACCAACACGCTCTGGCCCGTCATCAAGCTTGACCTCGACTACATCGCGAACAACTGGAACCAGACTACGTGAGCACCATACGCTTTCTATCTTCCTCGTATGGTGCTAAACACGCGACATTCTAGTTTCGATCTCTGGGAGGAGGTTAGCTCTTCGTCGTTCTTCACCACTGCCGTGCAGCACCGTTCGATGCGCGAGGGTGCGGCTCTCGCCACCAAGCTCGGTGTGACTGCTTTGGCTTCGACCTACACTTCGGCCGCCGACAGCTTGCTGTGCTTCCTGCAGTCGTACTGGAACCCCACTGGCGGCTACATCACTGCTAACACCGGCGGAGGACGCAGCGGCAAGGATGCCAACACGGTCCTCACGTCCATCCACACCTTCGACCCCGCTGCCGGCTGCGACGCCGTCACCTTCCAGCCGTGCTCGGATAAGGCGCTTGCCAACCTCAAGGTCTACGTCGACTCGTTCCGCAGCATCTACAGCATCAACTCCGGCATCGCCTCCAACGCCGCCGTCGCCACCGGTCGTTACCCTGAGGACTCGTACTACAACGGCAACGTGGGCCATTTTTCATACATTCTTTGTGAATCAGCGCTCAACCCAAACTTCTGATCCTTTCAGCCCTGGTACCTGACCACCCTCGCCGTCGCCGAGCAGCTCTACGACGCGCTCATCGTCTGGAACGCTCAGGGCTCGCTCACCGTCACCGCGACCTCGCTCCCCTTCTTCCAGCAATTTTCGTCATCTGTCACCGCCGGCACCTACGCGAGCTCCTCCACGACCTTCGCCACACTTACCACCTCCATCAAGACCTTCGCCGACGGATTCGTCGCCATCGTCGCCAAATACACCCCGTCCGGCGGAGGACTCTCGGAGCAATACGACAAGGCCACTGGCGCGCAGCTGTCCGCCGCGGATCTGACCTGGTCGTATGCCGCCGCGCTCACCGCGTTCGAGGCGCGCAGCGGCACGACGTTCGCGTCGTGGGGCGCTGCTGGCCTTACTACTTCCTGCTCGGCTGGTACTAGCACCGGCTCTGGCTCCGGCAGCGGCGCGGACACCGTCACCGTCAACTTCCAGGAGACCGCTACTACCACCTTCGGCGAGGTACGATTCGGGACAAAAAAAATTCGACCAGTAGTAGCTGATGCATGTTTTCCAGAACATCTACCTCGTCGGTTCTATCTCGGAGCTCGGAAACTGGGACCCCAACAGCGCCATCGCCCTGAGTGCGGCCAACTACCCCAACTGGCAAGGTACGGTTTCATCTTTTCTCCGTTGTGGGGCCTTGTGCTGACAGATGACCGGGTTCCTTTTCCTTTTAGTCTCCGTCGCGCTCCCTCCCTCGTGAGTACCCTATCCGGACTTCACAGTTTCATCTATCCTAACTGTGCTGCAGGACCGCCATTCAGTACAAGTACATCCGGATCTTCAACGGCGCCGTGACCTGGGAAAGCGACCCGAACAGGAGCCTCACTACGCCCGCCAGTGGATCGGCCAACGAGGTGTGTTCTTTCAGCGGGTGCTTCTCGCTCGATCCGCGCGCTCTGACAAGCACCACCATCATCACAGAATGACACTTGGCGCTGAGCTGTGACCCGGTTCGCGTCGGAGTGTGCGACCGGCTGACCGGTCATGACTTCGCGCCCCTACAAAAATGAAATCGATACCCTCCCTAGACACTCACTTACGTTGAACTCCGTCCGTTCGCCGAGAAACACCCGTACTGTTGTAGCAACTGCCTCGTTGTATGTACCTGAACAACCTAGTGCCGATCTAGAGTCGTGTGTTCTCTGCACCTTCTTCCTGCGCTTCCGGGGATTGAAGTTCCAATTCAACGCCGCCAACAATACGTAGCAACCTAACTTCCTCCCTGGTACGCTCTCGGCCCGGGCCGAGCACGAACGAACATTCCCACGCTAGCATTTGCTTCCACCCCCGCTTCGACAGACGTCCGGCGCGCAATGCAGCTGCGCAAACGGCGCGATGGGTCATGATGATTTGACTGCCGGGGCGGAACGAATACAGCTCTGTGGCCTGAGGCAGGATACTTCAAGAGCGTGCTGGCCGGCTTCTCCTCAGCAAGATTCTCCAGACTTAGCCCGACACGGATGTCAGCAGCGAAGGAAGGACTCAAGAGTTGTGCTACGCCCGATCAAGGTGCTTTCGCGCCGCAGGAGCCTATGAAGAGCGACGCCGCGCCGGTTGTCGACGCGGCCTTCAAGTCGTTCGTAGAAGGCATTCTCGCACACGACGCTATACCTGGCCTCTCCGTCGCCGTGGTGTGCCCGGACGGCGGGATCGAGCTCGGGGCCTGGGGTGTTCGAACGGAAGAGGGTGACCCCTTCGAAACCGATGTAAGTTCCCCTTCGATCTGATGCTTCCGGGTCCTTCGCTCATTCCATCCTTCGCGTACCTGTGATAGACCTTGGTAGCTGTCGCATCCGTGTCTAAGGCGTTCGTACCAGCCGCGATGGGTATCATGATAGACGACTTTGCAAAAGGGAAGAACGTTACGTCGCTCCCTCCCTCTATCGAGGTTCTGGACTGGGACACGAAGATCAAAGAGCTTTTGCCTGACGAGTGGGAGCTACAAGATCATTGTGCGACCGAAGGGATCAACTTGCGCGACATATTCGCCCATCATACTGGCCTGTCAGAGTACGTGGACGTCGCCCCCCTCGAGTATAATGGATTGCTTTAATCGCAGATGCTTTCGACAGTCATACGCACTCGCATGGTCGCGACGATATGCCTCAGGACATCATCGCTCGTTTCAAACATCTTCGGTCGACATCTGGAATTCGCCAGTCGTGGTTGTACAACAACATGGTATGCACCCCTCCGCAGTTGAAGAAGCAACTCATTTCACTTCTTCCTGTAGATGTACATGACGGGGACGTACATAATCTCGAAGTACTCTGGCATGACATATCAGGACTTCGTCGCCGATCGTATATTCAAGCCCCTCGGAATGAAAGACACCACATATTCACCTTCCCGAGCGGAAAGCACCGGCCGGTTCTCCCATTCCTGGACCAGATCCGGCCGACGTATCCCACACTTTATAGATGACCAGGTCGCGGAGCTCTGCGCGGGTGGCGGTGGTGTGATCACCACCTCCGCCGACATGGTGAGAGTTCAATGAGATCGATTCATGTATGGATTCTGACAAGGATTCATCGTAAGGCGCGATGGGTGCGAATGTGGTTACACCAAGGGGTGGATCCGGTCACGAACGAGACGGTGCTCCCGAAGTCTGTCTATGACGTCGCGATCGCGCCGGCTTCCATCGTCCGGGGTCTTCCTGGGTTCATACAAGTACCCATCATGAACTACGGTCTGGGATGGATCAGGAACTCGTTGGAAGGCTTAGATGTAGGTTATTCGTCGCCTGTTGAGCTTCCACGTCATTCAGTGCTGGCGCAGATGATATGGCACGCTGGCGCTATTCCGGGCGTATCAGCTCTCGCAGCATTCTTCCCGCAGGTCAAGGCCGGAGTAGTAGTCCTTGCAAATGCGGACAACACCACGTCGGCCACAGTGCGGGTTGGGATGCGTATCCTGAAGTCCGTACTCAAACAACCTCTCCAGGAGTAAGTCGATTTCCCCGCGCGCTCAAGATGTTTGATAGACGCATGCGCTCTAGTACCGAAGCTGGCGAACAAGGAGCTAGCCCTGCCGCTCACAGATCCGTGGGCGTGCCGCCTCCTGCTGCATCAAGCGCTCCGGCGATGGCGCCTTCTCTCGCACATCTCGCGGGTATTTACTCCGATCCCGGATACGGAACTTTAAACCTACGCGCCTCCGAGAGTGCTTCGCGCTACAGCGATGCTGTGATAGCTGATTTCGCGAGCGTGGATGCAGCGAAGGGGGATTCGGCGGGGCCGCAGCTCCTCGCCGCCTGGAACCGCGTGTTCTCGAGCCACGTCCGCTTTGTCCCGCGCGCCGATCGCGCAGACACGTTCGACGTCCGGTTCACGATGCTGTACCCGCGGGGGTACGGGGCGGACGCGACGCCGTTCGAGACGACGGCGCAGCTCGGGCCCGGCGCGCAGGCCACGGCCGAGTTTGTGATGGACGAGGAGGGCGAGGTGTTGGGATTCGGGATGTTTGGCGTGGCGGGAGGGAAGACGGAGAGGATGAGGACAGGGAAGACGGTGTGGGAGAGGGCGGACGTGTGGTTCGTGAGGGAGCGTGGGCCCCGGGTCGAAGCGCACGAGTAGCTGTAAGTGAATCCTTTCCGTCCCAGCGGCGCGATCGGACAAGGGGGATTGCGTGATCCGGTTGCAAAGAATGGCTTGGACTGCCAGAACAGGGCGAGCATATGCCCCACTGGGCAGCTTCAGTCCGACATGTTAGGGTTCGGGGCAGGTTCCTCGTGCATATCAACGCGCATGATCAGTTCCTTCGTGTCGAGAATGCATCATGCATCGAACCGTAATGCCACCAACGTGTCGTATGATCGAAGTGTATCCAGCAGGAGTACGCGGATCGCTTCAACAGTTTGGCAAACTCATTGTGAACGATCTGATTGAAATCGCGTTTACCGGTTTCGTGCGTTTGGTTCCGAGACCCTTCTCCACGAGTCAACGAGACCAAGGTCAGGTTGCGTACCAGCCGCCGTCTTGCCGCTATCCCATTGGGTAGGTCGGCCCGGGCCGCACGTCCGGATCCTCGATGGATGAGAACGTTCGCACGCTTCCCCCGCTTCCTCCCCGCGTTACTAGCGCGCGCGCCCGCGGTCAGGCTACCACGGCGCGTTCTGCAATGCAGGCTTGTCATGGTGATTTGACGACCCGGGGCGAAGCCCTGGACCCCAGACTACTTCAAGAACTGACCTCCACGTCGCTTTCTCGACAGCGAGCCTCCTTGGAGACTGGATCTAGGGCCGGTCACTACTACTGCTACGATGTATCCGCCTAAAGGTCGCGCAGGCTGGGTTTTGCTCTGGAGCATAATCGTGAGCGCCAACACGACGCAGAAGCCGCTGAATGACTATGCGCCCGTCCTCGACTCCGCATTTGGGACGTTCGTGGAAGGAGTTCTGGCGAGCGATACCATCCCTGGCATTTCGATGGCCGTTATTCGTCCGGATGGCGGTGTTGAGCTTGGAGGCTGGGGCATCCGTACAGAAGCAGGCGATCCTTTTGAAGACACAGTAAGTCCCGGCCCAGACGTATTCCCGGATTGGCGCTCATGTGCCCCTGTATTCGCGAATTCTTGCGTTAGACTCTGACAGCTGTTGCGTCGGTGTCGAAGGCGTTCGTACCTGCCGCAATGGGTATCATGATGGATGATTTTGCGAAAGGGACGAACGTGACGGCGCTTCCTGCGTCTATCGAGGTCTTCGACTGGGATACCAAGCTCACAGCACTCTTGCCCGATGAGTGGGAGCTCGACGATCGGTGTGCGACCGACGGCGTCAATTTGCGCGACTTATTTGCCCATCACACCGGAATGCCCGAGTACGCTACTTGTGTTGCGTTTCCATGATGGGACGGTAGTCTGATCTGGTACCGTTGACAGCCATCCCCACTCTCACACCCGCAGTGAGACGCCCAAGGATATCATTGCTCGTATGAAGCATCTAAGGTCTACGTCGGGTATTCGGCACAGTTGGTTGTATAGCAATGTAGTGCGTTGATGGTACTGTTCGGCGTGCTGGATACTTCCGCTCACCATTTTTTACTTCCGAACCTAGATGTACATGACCGGAACGCACATCATCGCCAAGTACTCGGGAATGTCGTACGAGGACTTCGTCTCCGAGCGGATATTCAAGCCGCTCGGAATGAAGGACAGCACCTACTCGCCTTCGCAGGCAGAAAAGACGGGACGATTCTCGCAGTCCTTCACGAGCCATGGCCGGCGCATCCCGCGTCTGATCAACGACGAGATTGCAGACATTTGTGCAGGGGGAGGAGGCACGATCACTACCGCGGCGGACTTGGTGAGCGCACCCTTCATCGAGGGTCACGTTCCGATGCAGGAGCACTCACAACTTCCTGGCAGGCGCAATGGTTGCGTATGTTCCTCCATCAGGGAGTTAACCCCGATACGAACACCACGGTCTTGCCGAAGTCGGTCTACGATGCCGTGATCGCGCCGACTTCCATTGTTCCAGCTCTCCCTGGGTTCATGGAAGTGCCGGTGCTGAATTATGGCCTAGGCTGGCTCAGGAACTCGTACAGCGGCCTTGATGTTCGTAATTGATTATTGTTTGGTCCATCATTCCACTCATACGACATGCAGATGATATGGCACGCCGGTGCTATCCCGGGCGTGTCCGCGCTCGTGTCCTTCTTCCCTCAAATCAACGCCGGAGTCGTCATCCTCGCCAACGCCGACAGCAAGTCAACGTCGGCATTGCGCATCGGGGCCCGAGTAGTGAAAGCGATACTCAGGCAGCCGCTGGACGAGTAAGTTATCTCCGCCGTATCGCGGAGAAGCTGCGGTGCCTGACATGACGAATGAAGTGCTAAACAGGGAGACGCCACACCCGCTCAGAAGCCGAAGAAGGAGCCGACAGAGACAGAACGCACGCCGGTGACGGAATCTCTCGTACAGTTCGCAGGGAGATACACGGATCCGGGTTACGGAACGTTCGACCTCTGCGCGGCCGAGAGCGATTCTGACTACTGCGGCGCTGTCGCAGCGGACTTTGCGGTCGTGGACGCGGTTTCCAAGAACGCGTCTGATCGTGGGTCGCAGCTGCTCGGGGCCACCGACCGCGTATGGTCGGACCATATCCGTCTCGTTCCGCGTACTGGGAAACCCGGCAAGTTTAATGTGCACTTTACGAACCTGTACCCGCGCGGGTACGGTGCGGACGCAACGCCGTTCGAGACGGTCAACATGGGCAGGGGTCAGATCACGGCCGAGTTCGTGATAGACGAAGTCAAGGGGGAGGTCATTGGGTTTGGCTTGTTCGGGGCGACGGGAGGCGCGACAGAGCGGATGAGGACGGGGAAGACGGTGCAGGAAAGGGCAGACGCATGGTTCGTCAAGGAGCACAGGGATCGTGCAGTGGCGCACGAGGAGCTATAGACGGGACCACACGGCAAGGTCATAGTGCCCAAACGCTATGGTTGGACATCGGACATGAATAGCGACATATATACGGAGCGATCAAATGTAACGATAGCAGGGATAAATTCTTGGCTCATTTGTTGGTCAAATTAGATAGGAAGGGAGTGTGTATATTGAGGGCTCGGATGCGTGAAAAAAAACCGACATCGTCGGGAACAGTAACTCGGACGAACAAGCTGACGCGACAATATATGCTTAGGTAGAATACGCGATGCGGTGATGTTATAATGAATACTGAACAAGAGGAACGAGAGACGGGGCGAAGACGGGGCGAAAGCGGTCAGGATGAGGCCTGAGGCAGTCAATCCGCTGGGAATCCTGTTGATCCACCCAATCTGTAAGCCTGCCGTGCAGGAGAGGAATCCTTGGAATTCTGTAACAGAAACCAAGCATGCATCTCAGTGGAAGGAAAAGGAAAAACTGACTGCTACGGCTCATCGACAGCACTTGCTGTAATCATTCAGAGGGAATGTATGTTGCTGTTTATACATTGGAGGCATCGAAGCCTTTATGCGCGCTTTAACGGCATCCTTCCGGTCCAAGTCAATTTTGGAGAAGTAGTTATGAGTTCCAACGAGGTTCTGTCTTCATGTCGTGTTGTCGTTTTCCAGATGTTGTCCCAAAGATCTCTTATTCGAATCACAGGGCTGATTCAGGGGGCGCGTCTGGGTGCTCAAGCGGGTAAGGGTAGTTGTAGATGCACAAGTAGAGAAAAGAAAGATGTCTTGATGGTATTTTATCCTTTTAACTCAGAGTTAGATGCCGAAAGACGTGTAGGGCACGCGGTCGGTGGGTCTCTGTCTTCATGCAAAATGAATACCATATGCGGGTCGAACGACAGGAACGAAGCGCAACAATGCGACACCTCTCGTTTCAATGTGGGATTTCAGGCAGATCCGCAGAAATCAATTGTCGCTAGTGCAGCTGTGCAACTCCTGCAACGAGGTCAAACGAGGAAGAGATCTAGCCTGATTCGGACTCGGAGCAGCTCGGAGCGCCCCTCATTGACGCATCACGTGCATTATCTCTTTCTCTCTCTGTCCAGTGTCTTTTCCCTGCCACTGCCAGAATCGACACGACTCGTTGGCATCCGACCAAATGTGACTGTGCTCGCTTGAATCGCACCACGACTTTCAAGGACTATGACACACTTGTCGATGCATGGTTCTTACTTCGCAGGGGTCCGAGATTACGCGGTTTTGATCAATTGCTCGCGAAGTCGAGACTGAACTGGCGGTCCCCCTTGCTGACATGTTTGTATGATGCAACCAACGGTTTTTCTCGGTGGATGCCTCGACGGACGGATGCGACGTCAGGCCTGCGTTTTGTCGAGTCTTGTTCTGTGGTCGAGTACGCGCCTCCTCGTACTTATCGCGCTCGAGGTTGGACGGAAGGCATGTACTCGCTGCTCGAACCTTTGGAAAACGACTGGCTGGAGAACATTGCGGCAGCCGTACCGGTTGGTGAAGGTCAGCACACCCGACCTTTAGCTGTGAGGGATATCGCTGCGGCTGATCTGGTCAGTAGTCAAAGCACATATACATGGAGGTTCATGCTGAAATATGCGTCTAGTTTTGATCTTGCTCATCGTGCGTGTTCATGAACTGGGTATCTACCCGTACACGGATTATCATATTCCCACATCCATAATCGAGGCCGTCATCACAGCCTTGACCGTCTCAGGACGCTCCGCCACTTGCCGTTACTTCTCGATCGATCCATTTTGTTTGTGATTAGGGGATTTTGTTGACGACTTTCGCAGTCAGAAGCGCTGCACACCCTCGTCTTCGCTGTGTTCCAACTCGTCTACATCGCGTCCATATACTCGCAGGCCGTGCAAATCACAGTTTGCAGCGGCCGCTTCTTCGCTCCCCTTCCCTTTCTGAACGTATTATACTGGCCCGCGCCTTCCTTAGCGGCCGCTGCACGTCTTCTCTCTACAGTGGCGACGTCAGTCAGCCGCTATACCGAGCCTCCATGGCTTTCTTTAACGTTTGGGAAAGAACGCGAATCGTTGTGGCGTGGTTGCTTGTCACTCATTCCGGTCAGCGATTGTCCTAGAGGTACGCTCTACAATCGTTTGTCGTCCTCGTTGCGTCGTCCTTATGCTAGAACTAGATCGATACCTCCCGCACCGGGCTTGAGCGGGATCAAATCGGGGTAGCTCCACGAAGTATGGCCTACCAAACCCCGCACCGGAAACGATACGGCTCTTCGAAAGAAGTAACCTCAGCGCTCTGTTCACTAATGTACGCTCGCTGGAGGAAGCGTATCCGGTCACTCTCCTGTCACCCCCATATTCTATTCCTTCTCTAAGAGATGCTGACGCCTGAGTCGAGGCCAGCTATCGGAAAGCGCGTCAACCTGGCTTCCATTCAGCGTTATCCATGCGCGCGCCCCGCGGCGCACAACAACGGCCGCGTTCTTTCCCCGCGTCATGCGCACGCCACGCCGTCCAGAGACGAAGAGCGAAGAGATGGTTTTGGGGATTCGACTGTGGCTCATGGAGCTTGGTCGGGTCATGGCTCAACCTCTGGGATATTTAAAGTCGGCCTTTGCTCGCCTTCCAGCCCAGCACATCCTCGCCTACACTCATCAGATGTTCAGCTTCAGGAAGAAAACTGCAGGATGGACTCTCCTCTGTGCCGTCGCGGTCGCTCGTGCCGAATTCCGCTCGCAGCAACCCATGCAGGTCGGTTTTCCGGTGATCGATGACAATTTTGGGAAATATATCGAGGAAATGCTTGTGAACCACACTATCCACGGGCTCTCGGTGGGCATCGTCCGCCCGGACGGCGTTATCGAAACCGGTGGCTGGGGCGAGCGCACTGAAAGTGGTGATGCCTTCACCCCCGACGTAAGTTCGATGTCAATACGATCGGGGCCAACGATGCTAAAGCACCTTTTCCCGTTTACTTCTCTCTTCGCAGACTCTCATGGCTGTTGCCTCGGTGTCGAAAGCGTTCGTGTCGGCCTCGATGGGCATCCTGATGGATGACTTTGCCAAAGGGACGAACGTTACCTCGCTGCCACCGTCGATCGAGGTGTTCGACTTGGAAACGAAGATCGATGCGCTCCTGCCCGAGGACTGGGGGCTCGATAACGCATGCTCCGAAAACGGTACCAATGTGCGCGACCTGCTGTCCCATTCCACTGGACTTCCGGAGTAAGCTGCATATTCTCCCTCGTCATCGTAAGTATGCCGTTCTGAATTTACCTTTTCATTAGTCACTCCCAATCGCATTTCCGGGAGGAATCGCCCCCGGATATCGTCGCTCGTCTTCGCCATCTCAGGACGTCGACGGGACTTCGGCACTCCTGGTTGTACAGTAACATGGCACGTACAGTGCATGTGAATGCTGCTAAAATGCCCTTCCTAATTAACTCGTTCACTAGATGTACATGACCGGAACGCACATCATCAAGAAATACTCTGGAATGTCCTACGAGGATTTCGTTACCGAGCGCATATTCAAGCCGCTTGGGATGCAGGACAGCACCTACTCGCCGAAGAATGCGGAAGCAACAGGGAAGTTCTCGCAGTCTTTCGAGACCTCCGGCCGACGCATCCCCCACGCGATCGACGACCAGATTGCGCCCATCAGCGCCGGTGGCGGCGGTTGCATCACGAACGTGGCGGACCTGGTAAGCATTCGTCTCTTTATTACACGAAAGCCCGGACGCTCAGTCGAATCCGATCAGTCGCGATGGCTGCAAATGTTCTTGCACCAAGGAGTCGATCCGGTCACAAACAAGAGGATCCTCCCTCAGTCGACGTACGATGCCGTGACCTCGCCGGCGTCCATTATTCCAGCTCTCCCCGGATTCCAAATCGCCCCGGTCATGGTTTACGGTCTCGGCTGGATGAGGAACACGTTCTACGGAATGGATGTAGGTTCTTCATCGCTTTCAGAATTATTTTATACTGAGCTGTCACGAAGATGATATGGCATGCTGGTGCAATCCCAGGCGTATCGGCACTCGCTGCCCTTTTCCCCGAGATCAACACAGCTGTCGTCGTGCTCGCGAATGCTGACAACAAGTCTGACGCCACGATCGCGATAGGAGGGCAGATTATAACTTCGATAGTTGGGCAACTGACAGACGGGTACGTCCAACAATAGTCTCGCACTAGGGTTTCCTCATCAGTAAGCTCCAGGCAAACTGACCCTGAAGACAGCACCGCCTCTATGCCTATGCAGTCGCGGACGGCAGGACGCGCTCAGGCGATATCCCTCATGGATCTGGCGGGAACGTACTCCGATCCAGGCTATGGCACTTTCAACCTCTGTGCTCCGGGAAGCTCGTCGTCGTACTGTCACGATGTGATATCCAATTTCTCGACCGTCGACGGGTCGTTGGGGGACACGCCGCAGCTCCTCGCCGCCTCGGCTCGCGTATGGTCCAGCCACATCCGCTTCACCCAGCATTCCGACAACGAGAACGTGTTCGACGTCCGCTTCACGACCCTGTACCCGCAAGGCTACGGCAAGGACACATCGCCGTTCGAGATGATGAAACTCGGAGAGGGGATGACGACGGCCGAGTTTGTGCGGAATCTGCAGGGTCAGGTGATTGGATTCGGGCTGTTTGGGGTGGCAGGAGAGGTGACGAACAGGATGCGGGCGGGCGGGACGGTGCAGGAGCGGGCGGATGCGTGGATGGCGAAAGTGCCTGAGAGGCGCCGCCCTCACGCCAGCGCCGGAGGATCGTGCCAGTGTCGCGAGTGAGGGGAGGCAATTCAAAACGGACATCGATCGCAGTGCTCAGATACTCTTCGATGCGCACAACAATCGCACTTCTTGGCCAAAAACCCGGGACCGCTCGAAGTCCTGACTCCCTCTGTAATATCGTTTCAGTCGCTCTAGCCTTGTGAATCAATATTCCCATCCTGACAAAGTCAATATGCACGAAAATACGATATTGCGACGTAGCGTCAAGATCATCGATCACATTGGCACAGCGCAGTAAGGCTGAGAAGGCAACTGTCAGGAAGCGAAGGTTGTACGGCGGTGGCACGAAAGATTGAATTGTTGTCCCGGTTCGGTTCGTTCATGTTCGCTCCCACAATTTAGTCGCCAGAGCTGCGACTCTGCGGTTTTGACTCCAGCGTCCATACGGCGCAGGCTAAATACATTTGATAACGCACTATTTCCGCGGCTGGTGCTCGCTCAAATTGAGTTGCTCATACCACTCGTCGACTCGCGCACGCCGGATGCTTCACGTTGCTCGGTTTGCGCTGTTGCTGAGCGTGGTCCCTCACTTCGCCGGCGTGTATGGGACTACACAGCAGCCGCTTGTTCTCGATACTCCGAGCGAGAGCAAGATCATCGACGAGAGATTTGGTTCGTTCGTGCAGGAGGTTCTGGCTAATGAGACTATCTCTGGGATCTCAGTTGCTGTTGTGCGGCCCGATGGGGAAGTGGAGCTCGGTGCATGGGGCATTCGAACGGAGCAGGGCGATGATATGGAGCCCGATGTGAGTCTACGATGCTGGCGTTGAACGATGCAGTCTAATGGGTCCCCTTGCCCTGATCATCATAGACGTTATTCACTATCGCATCGTGCTCCAAGGCATTCCTTTCCGCATCTATGGGCATATTGATCGACGACTTTGCATCCGGGAGAAACGCGACAGCACTCCCGTCCTCCGTCAGATTATTCGACTGGGAAACAAAAGTGAAAGCTGTCTTGCCGGGCGAATGGGAACTCGAAGATGAGTGGGCGACGGAGAAGGCCAACATACGCGATATCCTGTCCCACGTCTCTGGTCTTCCGCGGTACGTTGGCGACGCTCGTAGGCGTTCGCAAGCAGGGCTGATATGATTGCTTGGTTTCCGGTCACGACTATTCCTATGGTCCAGAAGACACCACGAAGGACGTTGTTTCCCGACTGAAGGATCTCAGGGCCGCTTTCGAGCTCCGGCATACCTGGTCGTACAATAATCAAGTATGATCTCAGTCAACTTCCTTTGTTTACCCCAAACTCGTTGGTGCTGATTCCTTGTGCAGATGTATATGGTTGGCTCCTACATCATATCGAAGTACTCCGGCATGCCATACGAGCAGTTCGTCGTCGAACGCGTCTTCAAGCCGTTAAACATGAGCGACAGCATGTTCTCGCAGGACCAGGCTGCTAAGACCGGCCGCTTCTCCGACAGCTGGAACAAGTATGGGCGAAGGATCCCTAGGTGGTTCGAACGCAAGAAAATCGCGGAGCTTAGCGCCGGTGCCGGAGGTGTCATCACCACTGCGGCCGATCTGGTCTGTGAGGCTGCTATCCCTTGTGATCCGCCTCTTATCCGCGCTTCTCTAGTCACGCTGGTTACGCATGCTCATGAACGAGGGAGTTGACCCAGATACAAATGTCGTTGTCATACCGAAATCCGCCTTTGCAGCCGCAACAACGGCATCCGCGATCATAGACGGTTATACGAAAAGCAATGACCTCTCTATCCAAGGCTACGGCATGGGTTGGCTCAGGCACCACTACATGGGACGCGATGTTAGTTTCCTTCTCTATATCCCCCGATGATCACTAATCGAAAGAGATTCCGTAGCTCATCTGGCACTCGGGCGGTATCCCTGGGATATCGACGTTCGTTGGCTTCTTCCCTAACGATAACCTCGGTCTGGCGGTGCTCGCGAACGCAGACGAGAAATCGCTGGCGACCATGCGCGTGGCGACGGAGATATTGCAAGCTGCTTTGAAGGTTACTGCAGACGAGTGAGCACATCCTGATGTATGATCGGCTCCTGCAGCGTGCTCACGGACTATGGCGTAGACCGTTCCCCAAAGCTGCGCTCGATGTGCACCGAAGTCAGGGTCCTCGCAACGTTACTGTTGAAGCCTCATCCGAGGTCGAGACCGAGGGCATAGATCTCTCTATCTTCGCCGGGACATACACCAATGCTGGTTACGGATCCTTCACGCTCTGCGCCCCGAAGAGCTCTTCCCACTACTGCGATGAAGTCCACCAAGACTTTGAGTCGGTCGATGCCGCATCGCCGAACCCACCGCCGTCCTCGCAAAAGGCGAATCAATTGCTCGCCGCGTGGCCGCGGCTCTGGTCCAGCCATTTGCGTCTCGTTAGGCACGCGGACAGCAGCACCACGTTCAACATCACCATGGACGCACTATTCCCGCAAGGATATGGTGCAAACAAGACGGCGTTCGGGATGTGGGAGACGGAGAGCGATGCGACAGTGGAGTTCGTCGTGGACGAGACTGGGAGGGTGGAGGGGGCCGGGTTGATCGGCACGGTCGTCGGGAAGACTACGGACAGACAGAGGTGGGGCAAGAATGCACAAGAGAGGGCCGACGCTTGGTTCACAAGGGTATGACCGTTTGAACGTGGTAGTATCAAGCCTATGCATGTACGCATCCACATATCTACATCGCGCACGGGTCCCAGTTACGAGGGATCTACCGCCTGGTTCGCTTTCTGCGCGCGCCGCTTTTCAGCCCACTCTTTCGCTCGCGCTCGCCGGGCCTCTTTCACGGCCTCGTCTCCATCCTCGTTAGCCCTACCTGCCGGTTCATCCGGCTCTGATTTCCCCGCCACTGCCGCCGCGACGTCCTCGACCTCGCTCTCCTCATCGCTATCGCTCCCGTATCCTGCGAGGCCGCCCAAGTTGGGTTTCTGCACGGTCATTGCCATTTCCTTTTCCCTCTTTGCAGCGCCGGCCTGCGCCTTCGTGAGCGCCCAAGCCCGCTTCCACCGCCCTCTGAGGAAAGCAAAGCGCGGGTCCGCTCCGTGGTTGGCGAGTATCCTCATCTCGAGCTGCGCCGCGTTGGGCGAGCCGACGAGATGCCCCGCCGTGCGGTCCATCAGCTCCTTCTGGTGCGGCTCCGGCTCCTCGTCGCTCAGCCACCGTTCCTCGGGTTCTGCCTCTGGTTCGTCCTCGAGCAAGGCCCGCATGCGGGCAGCGTGGTTCTCCGCGAGGACGCGCCGCCGTTTCTCGCGGCGATAGTCCTCGATTTCGGAAGGCCCGAGGAAGAACGTGTCCTCGCTGTCCGACGGAAGGTCGTCCCAGCCGACGCGGGCGAGCACGTCGCTGGCTTCATGAGTCGGCGTAGTGGTTGTGCCATCATTCTCCGGCAAGGTGTCCAGAAGGAGGCGGGCATCGAACCTGTAGAAACATACTTCAGCGTGCCGTCTCAGGCAGACCCAAAACGAAGAAGTGGTCGTATCCTTGTCCGACGGGAAACTAGCGAATCATAACAAGCTGGTCCTCGTCATACAGCGAACCAGTTTACGCAGTCCTCCAGTAGTAAAACATCTGTCTTCATGATTGCAGCGTACCTATCTACCCATACAGCGTCTTGAACCCCGTCGTCCCCTTCTCCGTACTCATCCCACATATGCTGCTTCCTTTCATTGCCTTCGCCACCCCACCGTAGCAGTCCTTCTCCCGGTGCTGTCGCACCGTCGACCACCCGGAGTTCCAGCGCGGCGGCCGAGCTCCAAGCCTGCGGTCCTCGTACAATGTCCGCTTCATGGGCTTGAATGAAGAGGCAAGGGTCGAAGGCGTCCGATGTCCCCGGTTCGTTCCATGACGAATCGTTATCTCTACCGCGTCGACGGCCCGAATGCGACGGATGTTGCTTGCGCTTACGCCCAGGCATCCAGTACGACGAGATCGGTGAAGAATAGAGTAGTTGCAGAAAGCTAGATAGTAATGTGTAGCCCAGTGGCCACGTCTTTGTCTTTGCGTAGTAGCCCAGGCAGCTGGAGTGAGCTTGATCACGAGTTGAAGAGAAGAGCTTGATGAAGTTCGCGTCTCAGAGGCCGGGGCCTATGTGCTACACTAGAAGACAGCAGCGGTCCGTGGCTCTTGCTCTATGCATGTTACGACGATAGGGTAACAAGGTAATCATAGCTAAATAGAGACAGAACTGTAGATTTTACGATGTAGCCAGAGACGAACGAACGTGATGTGAGTACATAGGCACTGGTAATTGTGACGAGATCAGTGAACGTTTTCCTTCGGCGCACAACCGCGTGTGTTCACTGCCCGAAGGATGATACCCGTGACAGTGTGTTGGCAAAGACGCTGGAGTAAGCTCTCTGTCTTGATTAAGTATACACGCCTATTGCTTCATCGTAATTGCATGAACATCCGATATTGTTGAGCTCTAGTGTTATACATATCCACAAGGTATGAAAATGCCAGTTGAATGGCGAAAGAAAATGTGCAATACCCCTCTTTCCCTGTTGGAGGGTGGGTTGCGAGCCATGACCTGGACCCCAGAAGGTACGGCGGAATAATCCGTCCGACCCGCACCGACACCGATTGGTCGACGACAGGCTTGGTGGTCGCAGGAGGCCCTCAGGCAGTTATCCGCCTCGAGCCAAAACGAGCTTCGAGGCGTAACCGTCATCAACAACCCGGAGGAGGCGCGAAACTCGCGCAAGTGAAATAAACTACGTCTTCGAAGAAAATGTCCGCCGCCGCCACCACCCCACCACCCCTGGCGATTATGCGTTATGCGGAGAAGAATAAGAAAAATGCTAATGACGCAGGAATACGTCTTCGAAAGGGATGACAAAATATGTGTCCGCCGCCGCCACCACCCCACCACCCCAGGCGCTTTTGCGGAGAAGAATAAATGACAAATAAACAAAGTGCCCATGACGCTAGTCCAGACGCAATTCTGCGGGAGTTATGGGAAGGCGGTGATCAAAGTTTTCCAGAGAGGCAGCGCCCATGCGGCGAAACCTATCGCGCTTGCGGAATTGCTCCATCCACTTGTGAGATACCCCCAGTTTGTTGCCGCTAGAGTAATAGTCAGGATTTTTACTGAGAACCTGTGCCTTGTCGTGGATCATCGAGTTCGTGACTTGTACTCCTTCGTGAAGCTTCTTGTCGATCCATAGGGACAGGTGTTCTTCCAGCTTTCCGTATCTGGCACATCTGTGCAACGTCTGATAAGCGGGAGAAAAAGACCGGAGACTGACAGAACTGACATAGGTCGCTCCCGAGGACGTACCCCTTCTTCGGCGGCGACATCGTACACACTTGGGAGTGTAGGGACCTTGTGCTTCTGGGGGCTACTGTTCGATTGAGACCGTGACCTGATTGGACGAGCGCGTTCGACGCCACGGAGACCATTGAAAGAGCGTGTGGGCGATGACATAGGCGCAGGATAGAGTTCGTATTGGCCGCTCATGACAGGCACTTGATAGACGGTCGAAGAAGCCAGGTGCGCTTGACTGGATGATGGGCCCGAAAAAGTCGTTCCCAGTGCCTGCATCCAAGACGGCACTTGTGAATACAGTTCTTCAACAGTCGCCGACGCACCTGGTCAGCATAAGCTTCTTGGTATTGACCCTGTTGCCGCATGGTCTGCCCCATGGGCGGATACGGCGGTCCCTGTGATCCTTGTACTCCTATTACCATGTCAAAGTGTGGAGATATCTTATCTGATCTTCCAAGAGCGCTCGACTAACCGTTTGACATACAAGACGCGGACGCGGCGATCGGGGGCGGCGTAGAATATAGCATGTGCTGACCACCCCATCCCTGCGAAGGAATGTTGTCAGTTTGGTTGGGCATATAATGTACGTCACCAGATTGTCTAAGAGGCTCCTGATGTCCCTGGTAGACCTGCGGCCCGGGTATTTCGTTGACGGTTGCGTTCGGGGGTCCCGGAGGCGCAGAGTACAGTAAGTTTGGGTATTGATTAACATTACCATACGGTTGAGAGGCCGGAGTTGTCATCTGTGAAGGGTGACCAGTACTGTATAATGAGTGTTTAGTTTTCGAGGACTCAGCGTGAGGATAATATTGCGCGGAGGGTTGTCCGTGGTTCATGATAATGTGATTAGTCGCCTGGACTAAGGTAAAATACGATTTAGTGTTAAGGATAGTGGACCGTCTATGAGCCGCCGGGGGACAGAACAGGTGGTGCTGGAGGACGAGAGAGACATTGCGCATCACGCTCTCCTTTTAATCTGACCTCGCATTCAAGGGGAAGCAACGAGGCAGGACACGCTGTCCGTGGGTCCCTTGTTCACATGTACCACGCTTGCCAGATCAAGACGAAAGAGAGAGGAACGAGGCGCAGATACAAGGGACAATGTCGCCTCGTGTCTGTCTATCAAGGAGCAGGCGGTGTTCAGCGTGAGTTATCATTATTGCAAGGCCATTGTCCCGGCGATGGCCGCACGCAACGAGGCCAGTCAAGTCGAAGGAAGAAGACAAACGGAACTCTTTCGGGAAGTTGGTGCGCGCCCACCACTTCCACTGGAATGTCCACGTGATTCGAACTCCGGCCTTCGCCTCTTCGCCGTAACTAACTTGTCGACTTTTGATCTTTGGTCACCGTTCTACAGTTCCCTTCACTTGGTCAAATCCGATACGAGGCTACCCCCACGCTGACGGTGCCGTGCATCACGTTGGGTGATCTCCGTTACCGTCGCAGAACGAGAAGTTCGAACCCTGGAACCCGGCACGATCGGATGTCGTGCTACTCGCAAGAGCTTGCTACATTCACAATGGAGCTGGGGTATAAGGGCATCTGTGAGTATACAGTACCCACAGTTCTCGTCTTTGACCTTCAGGCTGCCGGGCCACTGGTCGTCCAACAGTAAGGCTGTTTGTCAATCGGCATCGCAGGCTGCGCACACCAGCCGAACGCTGGTTCGTCAATGCTTGATGGCCGATTGTTTCAGAACTTGCTGGACCGCGTCGAGAATGCCACCACCGCTAGGTTCTTGTCGCGTGTAGCTGCAGAACATAGCTTGCTGTCACCCTCCCATGATACCGGAGGTTTCTTCGGCCACCAACTGCTAACCACCTACCGTTTCAAGGTACACTCCACAACGCTATCCCACGGCTTCCCTTTGAACTTGAATCGCGCATATCACTCTGCATCTATGCTGCGTATGAATATGGACAGCGTGAACATAACGAGACGGATACCGGCCAAGATGTATCCAATGTCTCGTAATACGCTGCGCAGTTGCTTGACGCCCTGGTTCTGGTAAGCCTGAATCCTGTCATGCACGAATTTCAAACGTTGAAACAGATTCTGTCATATAGATCGTGCTCGACGTGCCGTCCACAACGGGGATGGAAGGGTGCAAGGTGCTTCCTGGATTATGTATAAGCGGAGACTTCAACGGGGTGCAAGCCTGATCGAACGAGCGAAGCGCGAGCGTATCGTGCCGACGCTCCTGGAGGCTTGCCTCACACCTCATCCGGAACGATCCTCAATCAGAAGTCTCGCGGCGCGCCGCCATGGCCTCCGACTGAGTAGGCTTTACCATGCTCTCCGCCCTTCTCGTGGAATGATGGTATAGCTGACACCGTCACCAGCCACAGAATGGTCATCGTGAACATGGCTCCCATTCAATCATGCTACTTCCGGGCAACTACTGCTCGCGCCCCGCCCACAATTGGAGTGGCGTCGTCAGAACGCGAGACGGATGAAGGGAGCGTCGAGTGTACGAGGGTGGTCCCGATATTACGGAAGTACCGCCCCCGTACAGAGTATAAGAGTGCGATTGTTCGTCGAATGTCTCTTCAGCAAGCATCGCAAGCTACAACTGAGCAGCATCTCGACTTCCAACTACAATCGTACAAAACATGTTCGCCCTCTCTGTCGCCACCGTCGTCGCTGCCCTCGCTGGATTCGCAGCAGCCCAGGAATCCCACCGGGTCTCCGTACGTGCCTTGTCGTGTAGCCTGCCAGGATTATCGCGTTGAATGTCTCCTGCAGATGACGAACAGGTGCTCCTCTGGAACCCCTGTCTTCCTTTACGAGGCCAACGGCAACCCTCAAGGCTCGACGACCATCAACGGTCAGCTCCTCGGCGGCATCGCCTGGCTCGAGAACTTCGCCGGCGCCAACTGTCTCAGCTCCGGCGTGAACTGCGGCGCGGTAGAATTCACCCTTCGCAACGACGCCCCGAACCAGAACGCGGCAGACTTCACGCTCGAGGCTCAGCCCGCGAACGGTAACCACCAGTTGTAAGTTAACTCCTCTACCATCCTGTATAGAGCGCGCCGTTGTTGATGCGGCGTCTTGCAGCACCTACCCGATGTCGTTCAGTTACATCGGAGGCGGGGCTTGCAACGGCATCAGCGACAACTGCCCGTCTCTCGGAGACTGCCCTCACGCCTTCACCGATCCTACCAACGGCACTCCCCTCCAGTGCGTCGGAACGAACGCCGGTGTAAGTCTTCTATCGTATCGTAGGTGTTGATACGAAGACTAACCAACTGCATTCCTGCGCAGATCCAAATCACCTTCTGCTAAACTTTGAGCCGGTGGAGAACGAGGTCCAGCCGTCCTTAGATGATTGTGTGGTCCCGGAGCACAGCTGAAATACCGGTCTTGATATTCTGTCCGTGTTGATTCTACGCATACATAGGTTGTACTAGTTGAGCCATGGTATCAATATGCTATCATACGGTGTAAATAAGGCAGCTTCGCGTCCCTACCATGTTATCTCGCGGTACAGGCGAGCCACGGCCCCACCAGTCCACTACTGGCCAACAGTGCTCACCGTAAGTACCAAAATTCATCACGTTGCGGAGAAGCACGATGCGCAATGCGCCAAGTGCCTCCGCCGCAATGTATCACAGCTGCACCGCGACCGGGAACAAATCTGGCGAGACCTGCCGGAGTCATTTGACCTAAGTACCTTTGCCATGTAATGTCCAGCGTCGAGAATCGTCGTGAGGCGAAGCGATCTAACAGCCAATCGTGTTCGGGTGTTCTGCTGGCTTCCCGTCCAGCCACGTCGTCCACTTCTTGTCTGAATAAACGCAAAGCCGACGATGGAGAAACGCCTGCACCAGCCTGGGCGAACAAGAAGACTCCGGCGAAGCCAAGAGTGACGAGGACTGAATCGAAGCCTACCCCGCTCGTGTCTGTAGTCCACCGACAACGCCGTAGACAAGCACCCCTGACTCCGACCGCGATCTGCGAGCTACTTCGCCCGAACACGACCCCCCCGTGCCAGCGCAAGAAGCACCCGTACCCCAGCAGTCGCCACCCCGCACTGCTCAGAACGTGCTAGCCCACATTACTGGACAGAGCGCCCTGGCTACCACCTTTCAAGCGCATCACACCTTCAAGACTGTCTTTCGTCTGCACGCCCCTCTCAAGCGTCAGTCACCATGCTGCTCCCACCGCCCAGCCCATGACCTTGAGCACAGCGCCAGCAACGGCACCCTCGGATCCGGATCCCCCCGAGTACAAACAACTGCGGCCAACGAGGAGAAGCCGTGCACGTGCATTCAAATGCTCCTTTCCATAACCCCGCATCCCGTTTTCGGCCCACTCGCTGCACTGATCTCAGTACAAACCGCCGTCAATTAACGGCGCGCATGAGCCGCCTTCCGAATCCCCAACAACCTGAGGACTGCCTGCTGGAAAAAGTTGACTCTGAGCAGCCTCGATCATTGCCCTCTTCCTCTTGCAGATGATGATACCGGCGTTGCATGATACCAGCCTCGCCCCGGCATGAGCCAGTCTCTCAAGAGGTGTCAAACCTTAACTCACCTTTGGCTGGATGCGGCGGTTCCGGTGAGCCTGGATCTTACTACGCCCTGTTACTAACTATTCAAATTGGAAGGGAATGGGTTGGCCGAACTGCGTGATGTGCCGCGTTCGACGGATGTAAGAAGACCTGCGGTACTATCTGTGTCAGGCTTGATGAACGGCGCAGACTACGCGAACGTGTGAAGCTCTTCATGACTTGCCTGGCTCCTCGGACGGAATACGACTATTGGAACGTACCGCGCTGCGCATGCGCTAACGTGAGGGTCCTCACCATGTGCCGTTCTCGCCGCATTCTCCGCGGAATGATCGCAGCCCAACCTGTCACCAATGTTCGGGACGGCGATTATGCACTCTGGCTCCCTTCATTCCTGCTGCTTCCGCGCGCGGGATGTTCGCATCCCGCAGGCACTGGGGCTTGGCCCCAATAACGTAGTTGGATCAAGATTAACTTTGAGCAGACCATGGCAATATCAGGATTATGATGGGACGACCCTCCAACAGTATAAATGCATCGGTCCTCATACGCACGTCCCAAGCGGCATCCAAGGAATACTTCTATTCAAGGTGATCTATGATGCTCGCCCTCATTGTCGTAACCTTTGTCGCTGCCTCCGCTGAAATCGCCGCGGCTCAGGAGTTCCACCAGATCTCCGTATGCATCTTGTCCTCTACTTGTCCTCGGCTACTATCCTCGTGTATTCATGGGATGCCCTAGCTGATTAACAACTGTGGAATTGGCTCCGCCGTCTTCCTTTTCGAGGGAAGCGATAATGTTCAGGGGTCGACGACCATCCAGGGACAGGTGCTTGGAGGCCTCGCCTGGTTTGAAAGTAGCATACCGGGCAACAGCTGCGTCAGTCCCGGCGTTGACTGCAGCGCTGTCGATTTCGCGCTCAGTAACGACGCCCCGAACGAGAATTTGGCCGGTTTCGTGGTCGAGGGACAGTTGTGAGTTCTCCGCTCAGTCAGCTGTGGTTAGGCAATCCTTCAATGTTGGATCAGCATTCCGATGTCGTTCGCCTTCATTGGAGGCGGGACATGCAATGGCCAACACGAGAACTGCCCTTCTGCAGGCGAATGCCCTCAAGCCGACGGCATCGACGTCGTTAACCCGCTCGAGTGCGTCGGAACGAACGCTGGAGTAAGGCTTCTATCAGCATGCAGGGGTTCGGAACAGAGGCGAGCTAATACCTAATGTGCAGATCCAAATAACGTTCTGTTGAGTCTCTTGTCGAGCATAACGTTGAAGCAGTTCTGGGTTAATTTGATGGCCGCAATGTTCGGCTACGAGTAGCTGCGAAGGGCACGGGACAGCTGTTTCCATGTGACAAAAATTGGATGCACATGCAATGTACTGATATCGAGGCACTTGATCAGTACTAAGTTCACGCTGCGCCTCAGCACGTTCTGGCGCATAACTGGTTCGCCTCTGGCAAAGGTACCATCACTAGATCATCCGACCGGCTCTCGTATAACGCAAGTTCCTTCAGTTGACCCTCCAGCTTTTCACGAATAGCGTTGACCGAATCCTTCCCAAGTGGCAATCGCTCCGACGGATTGTCTAACGCGGCAACCTTCCATATCGCCTCCACCGCTTTATTCGTGTCGCCTAACGGTGGCATGGCGGGGTGATTGGGTGTGCCGATGATCTCGCGCAAGGCCTTGGGTCGGGCTCGTGTCCGAGTTGTGGGCGAAGCCGAAGCCCGACGATGCGCCGGTAACTGAGATAAACAGGTCATAAACAACGGTTTGACAGGCAAGAGGAATTATGAAGTACCGAGACAAACGCGAGGTTGAGGCGTAGGCGACATCTGGGTCGCGATTCAACGGGGTTGGGGATACACGGTCGATTGGAAGATCCTTCAGGTCTGGCGCGCGCATTCCGTAAGGGACTTCAAGTTATACTGTGCGAGGTCATGAATTTGGCTTTGTTGAGGCCAGCTTGCTAATAAAGCACATACTGTGCTGAGGAATCCAGGGAAGCAACTTCCGAGGGGGATGAGTAAAGCGATCCACCAGCGCGTTCGGGAGGTTTGGAGATTCAATTTACCCACGACTCCTTGGGCGCTCACTGGCCCACGTGCATTTTCCGTACACCCGCTGCAGGCTGAGCAGCCCAGTTACTTGAGCGCGACACACATCCCGGTTCACTACTGGCAGCACTGGTCTTAGTCTACCCACTACGCAAATGACGACGGCATCCGCCCTTCCACCATTTGACTCCCTGCTGAAAACGAGCGTGAAGCGGACGCGCGCCATCTTTCAAACATGTCCGGACGAGGGTATGCGGGACGACGAGAAAGTGTACGCTTGCGCTGCATCCTCTCTGCTTCCATCGATTCTAAAAATCAGACAAATTGCGTATTCAGTGTACGAGTACGGCTCTCAACGAAGATAAACGACGAATACAAGGACTATAAGGAGCTACCACCTGTCCTCCTTGCCCAACAAGGCGGCGTTGGCCCCGCGCGGCCTAAAGAGCAACGCAAGGCTATAACAGCAGGACGTAAGCACACAAGCCCGCCAGGATCCACCGCAATAGCTTAATATATAATGCAACAGCCTCGGCAGAAACGAATCGTACCCTAACGGTCATGGCCAAGCCGACCGCATCACAACAACCCTCCACATTGACGTCCTCCTCCACCCTCTCGCAAGCCCTCCAATTACACAAGACGACCCGCACCATCAAACCTACCTTCCATCCGCAATGGAAACTCACGCGCGTCATCAGCGGTCACCTGGGCTGGGTGCGCTCAGTCGCCGTCGAACCAGGGAACAAGTGGTTCGCTACGGGTGCCGGCGACCGTGTCATCAAGATATGGGACCTAGCCAGCGGCGAGCTCAAGCTCAGTTTGACGGGTCACATATCGACCGTACGGGGACTAGCGGTCAGCCCGCGGCATCCCTACCTCTTCTCCTGCGGTGAGGACAAGGTAACGTTTTCTCACCTTCTCATGGTCGCCCGCGAAAGTTGACGTACGAGGCCCCCATAGATGGTAAAATGCTGGGACCTCGAAGCGAACAAAGTCATCCGGCACTACCACGGCCACCTCTCCGGCGTCTACGCGCTCTCCTTGCACCCCACGCTCGATATCCTCGTCACCTCCGGCCGCGACTCGTCCGCGCGCGTGTGGGACATGCGCACAAAAGCGCAGATCCACGTCCTCGGCGGGCACACGGGCACCGTCGGCGTCGTCAAGTGCCAGGACTCGGACCCGCAGGTGATCACGGGCAGCATGGACTCCACCGTCCGCCTCTGGGACCTCGCCGCCGGCAAGACGATGGTCACGCTCACCCACCACAAGAAGTCGGTCCGCGCGCTCGACATCCACCCGACCGAGTACAGCTTCGTGAGCGGCTCCGCAGGCGGGAACAACATCAAGAAGTGGAAATGCCCCGAGGGCGCGTTCGTCTGCAACTTTTCCGGACACGACGCGATCATCAACACGCTGTCCGTCAACGCGGAGGGCGTCTTGTTCTCGGGAGGTAATGCACTCACCCCACACGTCCGATATGATCTTCCTGACGGCGTCGAACTTTTGCGTAGCCGACAACGGCTCTCTCACCTTCTGGGACTACAACTCGGGCACACCCTTCCAGAATTTGGACGACATACCACAGCCCGGTTCGCTCGAGGCTGAAGCTGGCGTGTTCTGCTCCACGTTCGACCAGACCGGAACGAGGTTGATAACGGGCGGAGCGGACAAGACCATCAAGGTGTGTACTGCTTTTTTGCGGAACAATACCGTTTACTGACAGGCGCCTTGTAGATATACTCGGAACAAGCACAGTGAGGGGCCAGGCAGGTCAGCCTTGGTGGATGATGTCAGTGCCCTTGATTCAGATCTTCCCCGACGCCATTCAAGCTGCATCGTCGCCGACATGCTTTGGAGTTCATGCCTGACGCCCGCGACCCCGACAACATCAGACGTGCTGTTCCCTGCCATATTATGCATTATACTGTAACAGTGCTAGTACTAGACGAGTCGGGCTATGAAGCTAGCATCTTTTGATGGTCCATCGTCATCTCCTCGCCGGGAAGGTGTTCCCCGGAGTAGAAACGGTATCCAAGCGAATAACATAGGTGTGACCAAGTACGGCGGTCTCGTTGCTCACAGCTCCTTCTTGCCCGCATTTGCTTGGAGCGTGTCCAGAGCCTTCAGTCGCTCCGTCAGCGTCGGGTGTGAGTGGTGATATGCCGAATAGCTAGTCCACGGGTCAGCGTCATGGCCAAGTCGGAGAAGGTCGAGAACGTACAGCCAGTCGACCCAGACCGTAGACAGGTTCTTGACGTGCAGTTGGATGAGGGCACGCTTGAGGCGCTCGCCCATGTCCGCCATCTCAGTAAGGTCTTTCTCCGATGGTTGAACCGCCAACTTGGAAGGCAGCTCGACAGCGAAGCGGTCGGCTTCCCATTCAAACCGCCGGCTCACAGCGTTCAGCGCGATGCTAACGAGGGATTCCAGAGGAGTCAATATCATCTTGTAACACCACATATCAGTGAAGTCTGTTCTGATGAAAAGATGCAGGCTAACCTGGAACAACAGGAACGCGACGATGGTCGGCGGTTGGGCAGCGACGTCCTTGGGGAAGTCGAAGGACCTATCTGCACTTCAGCTCGTGCGGAATGTAAGAAAAGTAAGCGAACGTACCTCAACAAAGGAGGCGCATGCAGGAACGCAGGGAAGAGCGCGAGAATAGAGAATATATGGAGCTGGCTGAGGCAGAGAAGCTTGGTCGGGTGGAGATAGTACCAGTGACCTAGTTCATGGGCTAACAGAGAGGGGTCAACTGGGTACGACGACAAAATGAGCCAACAGCCTACCAAGAACAGCCTCCACCTCCTCCGGTTTGCTCTCTTGGATGAGCGTGTCAAAGATGACAATGTGTTTGCTCTAAGCCCACAATCAGTGATCCCGACGTTGGATATATGAGATGGTGTTGAAACCTACCCATGGGAGACCGAAGAAATACGCATTCGAATGCGACGAGCGCTTGCTCCCGTCAATCTCATACAAGTGTTTGAGCGGGAACTTGAGCTTGCCAGCCAGACTCTCTATCCGGCTCTTCAGTTCGCCGTCCGCGAGCGGCGAGAGCTTATTGAAAAGGGGTTGGATGACCGTGGGGTAGAGCACGACCATCGTAAGTTGGAAGGACAGACTGCGTTCATGTTGCTTGTCAGAAGCGAGCAGGGATGCGGGAAAAGCACACATGGGGGCGTAACGCACAGGAAGGCCATAAGCCAGGGGACGAAGCGGTCACCGGCCCACTTGAAGATCTTGAGGAACGCCGCGAGGAAAGGCGCACCGAGTACGAAACCAAGAGCCCATCCTATATGCGTGTCAGTCCCTTGACCACATCTGTATTTGATCATAAAGCTCACCCTTGAGCGTATCGGTGATGAACAGCGTGCGAGTGGTTTTGTTGAAGCCGTGTTTCTCTTCGAGAACAAACGTGGAGTATACCGAGAGCGGGAGGGTAGGCAAGGACGAGATGAAGAACAGAATAAATGCGAAGGCGATCGATTGGGTAATCTGCGGGGACACGGTTATGATCATTCCAGTAACTGCAACGAACACGCCTGCGAAGACATACCTCGTATTCCGCGCTATATCCAAACCTCGCCAACAACTTTCCCGCAATGCTCCAGCTCCACGCGTACGCGCCATAGTGGATCAGTGCAGAATCAAGGACCTGCTTGTAGAGCCCTGAAAACAAGGCAAACTTGGCCTTGTCACGGCCATACGTCTGAGACTTGTCGAAGGTTTCCTGTGAGAAGTGGTCCTTGAGTACAGCCGGAGGCTCCTTTTTCGAGTACAGTGGGTATTGTCGGAGTCTATGGGGGCGCACAACGTATTGACTGGTCAGACGAGGTCGACGTAGATCATCCAGTACAAGAGGACGCACAGCAAATATTCCTCGAAGAGTGTCACGCCCCACGAGAATATCTGAACATATGTTTTCCAGGGTATAGGATCGACCGCGACGAACGCCAGCCTACGCTGTAGCGCTCCGAGAGGGCCGTGTATGAGATCCATTGTCGCGGACCGAGGGTGAAGGTCCTCGTGAGTCGCTAGTGGTGGTGGAGGCCGGTCTCGCGTAATGAGATCGCGCTGAATGCCTCCGACGTGGCCGGCGCCTAACTAGACGAACGGGCGCTTGTTCGTCATGCTCTCCTTTACTCTCTGGGTCCGACCGGACATCCTCAGCTGGCTCAATCGTGCTCGGCGGGCAGGGTTGCGATACCTCAGGTGATATCCGCCATACTGACATAACCGTATATATTATCTGTAATATTATAAAGGCATTATGACAAAGCCAAAGCCCCGGGTCAAACCGAGTTCTTGCAAGAAGTAGCCTCAAGGCGTCTAGCAGAAGGTGATTTGAATCTGTCATCGTGTCAACTTATGTTCACACAACGAAACCGAACACTATACGCACTCCAGCGTTGCTCCCAATGCATTGCAATGGGGTGCCGTTCGTGGGATCCGTGAAGGCATTCGGGCACGATCCCGCAGATGGGCAGTTGTCGCTGATCCCTGCACAAGCTCCTCCGCCGATGTAGCTATACGACATGGGGTATGTGCTGGAACCACATCCATCAGTCAGATTGCAGCTTGGACGTCACGCCGGCAGCGTTGCGACTTACAACTGGTGGCTGCCGTTCTCGGGCTGGGGCTCGAGTGTGAAGTCCACCGCGTTCTGGTTCGGGGAGTCGTTCCTCAGCGTGAACTCGACGGCGCCGCAGTTCACGCCGGAGCTGAGGCAGTTGGCACCGGCGAAGCCGTCAATCCAGGCGATGCCGCCAAGGACTTGCCCCTGGATGGTCGTTGACCCTTGAGGAGTACCATTCGCCTCATAGAGGAAGACGGCGTTGCCAGAGCCGCAGTTGTTAGTCAACTATAGGTATTAAAGAAAATTGTCAGCATATGGTCTTGGTGCCGGACTCAGAAGCTTGCACGTACCGAGATCTGGTGGGACTCCTGAGCCGCAGCATGGCCAGCAAGCGCGGCGAGGACAGTGACAACGCAAAGAGAGAACATGCTGGGCCGCTGGAAATAATAATAGGAACTGGGAACGAATCGATGATGGGATGGGTTTGCGCACTGGCCCGCCATCTTATACACGCGTATCCCGACGGGCAGTCCGCCGCCGTCCGTCTATTTTAGATGCCCCTTTCGTCATACCGAGACCGCGGCGCTTGACCATCATGACGGCGCTGCAGCGCATTCACGGATTTTGCGATTGACGAGAGCGAACCGGCGGAAAAACTTGTGGTGGTCGTCGTCAAGGCATGATCATCGCTCTGTGCGTCGACAGCAGGCGAGGTGAGCTATAGCCACAACCTTCTTATCAAGCAGACGTGATCGCATGCTCTTCAGCCGCTGCGCCGAACAGAGGATATATATTTTGGGAGATTGTCTTTGCCGGCCATCGTCAGGCTGATTACAATCAAGAAGTGACAAGTGGAGACATTGAGGATGGTCGTTCGCGGTGGGTGTTCGACGTGCAACGGGGCTCAACGCTAGATGGATCAGCAGTGATCCGCTATCATTCGAAATGAAACCTGTTGGGGAGAAGAGCGAGTTCAGGAAAGACGGAATAGATCAGTACTAACAAAGCGTTAAGTACGATACCTCCGAGTCGTATGATCCCTCGAGCAGTCCCCTTTTGATCTATCAATCGTTGCACCTGGCAACCGATCTGCGGACTTGTTTGGGTTCGTTCATGCGGCCGCCACATCGGCTAGGCATATTCCATCATAAGTATAGGTGTTCTATACAAAGCTTGGAATAAGAGACTCTTGCCGGTGTTGTTTTCAGTACTTGCTCGTGAACCATCATGCGTGACAGCGATCAATTAGGGTTCGCGCTGAATCTGTTGCGGGCACAGGGACCCCAAAACTTGGCTGAAGTGGAAAGGCGTCGCCTCCCAATTGCAACTACAAGAACGCATGAAGATACTGTAGTTTTCCGACCATAAGTTGGGCCGGACTCCGGAGGGACAGTCCGCAAGTTCCGGGCCATGGGAAGTTCCCGCAAGTGATCCTCGATCAGTTTGAAGTCTTCCACGGTCAAATTCACGATCACCGACGGTGAGTGATTGGGCAAAAAGTACTTAGGCTAGGTTCGCCCGTAGGCGAGGACAGGGGACGAACTTACGGTGGAGAAACCACAGTACCAGGATATAGTCTGAGTATGTATAACAAATTGCCTCTACAGACGCAAACGAACAGTTCATCTAGCCACATGGAAGCTCAGATGGAGCAGACTTAAGCAGAGGATCGTGAGACTGAGAAAGATGATATTATCCGCAGTGTGCATTATAGATGGAGTACGATGATCTAAACGAGGGGACGGGAATCTAGAGAATACCCGAGCGAGGTGATGCTGCGCTAGCGAACGCCTCGCAGTCAGCAAAATGGCTGAGCAGCTTAGAGGCCGAGGGTGGCGCGAGTAAGCGCGTAACCAATGCTGCTGAGGAGACCAGCGACGCCGAAGAGGCTGTGATTCGACATCAGCGAAGTCGACATTTTCGGATGTCCTTGCACGTACATGTTGGCGACGAGGCCGAGGACGTCACCGAGGACCGCCTTCACAACAACTAGGAGACCGTTGACGGTAGTATCGAGAGTGACGATGACATCGTGGACAATCACGCTGTCGATAACGTCGCTGGAGATGCTGCCAAGGGCGACGGTGACATCCTAGGGGCTGACGTTAGGGTGTTGCATACGGAAGAGACGTAACGCATTACCTTGAGGATGGAACCGAGAAGCTCGACGACGTCCTTGTCAACCTCGTCAACGAGAGGCTTGGCGGTCTTAAGCACGTTGGTGGCGGTCTGGACCGCGGTGGTGATCTCGACGATGAGGGGCTTCAGGTTGTCTGCAGTCGCATTGTGGGCGACGGCGAGGGCGTCTGTTCGCGCCAAACGCGTCAGAAAAAAGCATGGAGGAACAGCAGTCCAAGCACATACTGATCTGAGGGACCACGGAGTCGGTAGTGGACTTCAGGGTCAAGAAGACGGTCTTGACATCCGCCACGGAGGTGACGGTCTGGATGGGCGCTGCGAGCGCGACAGCGAAGCCGAAGGCGACGAGGAGGAAGACGGCGGAGACGAAACGGGAGAACATCGTGTCGAAGGTGGTGGTTTGGGGAGTAAAGACTGTAATGGGGTCGGTAGGTTGGATTTCCTGATTCGAAGAGGAGGATGGAGAGAATGTTGTTGGCGCTGGTCATCCCTTTATACCGCTCGAAGGTCGGTTGCGATCGGAAGTTGTGATAAAGGCAAAATGACGCCAGCTTCTTCACGCAAGCACAAATATTCGGCATGGGCTGCAACCCTGATGCATTAGAGTGTATCTGCAGGTGGTAAAAGTTCTCCGCAGTGGTCAAAGATGTCCGCGGGGAGCCCCGCCAAAAAATGCAGTGCATGGTAAAAGTTCCACCCCTACTTCGCCGTGCTGCAGATACACTCTATTCATCATCTTTAGCGGTGACGCCACCACGGTGTATCTGCTTCTTCCTCCCTTTAATTTGGCTTCTCGGATGGAAGGCAGACCCATGAGCTTGCCGCAGCCAATAAGAACGCAACTCCGCCGCCATCCCGCCGCTTTCACGCACTATTCCGCGGGTTGAGAAGCGGAAGGACCGGTAATGAATATGAGACGGAAGCCTCCCTCGTATACGCGAGCACGGTGCCGGAGTGAAACAGGGTATGGAACAAAGCCTCGAATAGGCTTTAAGTGCATGTTGGGCGCCTAGAGAGCGCAGAGAGGACAGAAAACCAGAGTATCGCTGATGTTTTCGCAGGTTGTTCGGGCTCTAGCGTCGACGAGGTTGGCGATCACGCAAGTTGGGATGATCGACATGAAGTCGAGGAAGCTGATGAAGGAGTTCTGACGCGTAAAAGTGGCAAGCGGCCAAAGTCCAGAAGCGCCACGTGGAAGGTGGTGACATAACAGAGGGGTCCGGACATATCGTCAGCATTCTCCGGGACCCCGCGTTTTCTCAGGCAAAGGCCGAGGCGCCGTTGTCTGAGGTCTCGCTCGTCCACCTCAACAACGTGCAGCGGTGGCGGCAGCCACCAAAGGAAAGATAAACGTCGAGCGCCGTAACATATCCGCGTAGTTAAACGTATTACATGTAATGTCGGACGCAGCAGAGTTGAAATCCCTTGCAAAGCAGCTTCAGGGCTCTTCGTCAGAGCAGGTATGTCTGTTTTTTTCTGTGGTTTCATACACATTTCCCCAGCACCATTCTCGTCACTTCTGATTTCGCATCGACCCGTTATTGACCCGTCGGCATTGTAGGAGATCAAAGATGTGCTTGCTATACTGAAGAAAGACGCCAAAATCACCGAGGCATGGCTGAGGGTACGTCGTCGTCGTCCTTATCTCCTCGTCGCTTGTGTGTCACTGATGCTTGATCCTCTGCGTGTTCCGGTGTGGTAGGAGAGCAAAATCGGACTTGCAGTCGGGAAACTCCGTTCCCATGCGAACAGGGACATATCCAACCTCGCAAAGGAGGTAGTGAAGAAGTGGAAGGCGGAGGTGGAGAAGGAGAAGGAGACGAGGGGATCGAGCGCCACCCCGAGCACGCCGGGTGGTGCATCCACGACGGCTAGCACTCCCAAACCCCCGCCAGGTGCGCAAATCACGCCCATCTCGACGACGCCACTGATAAACGGTTTGTATAGTGCGGAAAGCGTCGATAGCGTCTAGCGTCGGCGCACCACCAGCATCGCCAGCCACAACCATCGCGAGCCCAACCACATATGCGAGGACGTCGCTGCCCACCAATGGCGCGCCGCGAACTGCCAAGCTCGACGGCATCTCCATGGATGTAACGAGTGACAAAACTCGGGACAAATGCATTGAACTCATCTACGACGCGTTGGCCTCCGACTCCAGTGCTCGTGAGTGCTGCGTCCTCTCGCCCCTGGACTTTCCTTCCTTAGTCTTGTTTGTCACCCATAGGCGGACATGCATTCGTGCTTAAGGCACTTATGCCCCTTCGCCTCTTTCCCTATTCATCATACATTCCCGTCTCGTGAGACCGCATTCTTACGTTCCCCTCCCCCTATAGCCGCCGACTTGGTCCTCAAACGAGCGCGAGGCATCGAAAGCGACGTCCTATCGCAGTTCCGCACCACGGGCGCCGAGTACAAGGCCAAAATCCGCAGTTTCTTTGTCAACCTGAAGGATAAGAACAACCCAGGCTTGCGTGCCGCCGTTGTTAGTGGCGAACTTCCCGTCGAGAAGTTTGCGAAGATGACTAGCGCGGTGTGTTATTGTCGTGAACAAGACCGCCACCGAACCTTGGCTGACGCGTACGCCCGCATAGGACATGGCTTCTGAAGAGCGCAGGGCGCAGGACCAGAAAATCAGGGAGGAAAACCTGTTCCAGTCCCTTGGCGCTGAGGAGCAGCAAGCCGAGACGGACGCCTTCCAGTGCAGCCGCTGCAAGCAGGTGCGTCAGCTCGCACGCCTCCAAATCAAGTCGGCGTGTAAACTGATATACATCCCGCCCCGCTTTTCCAGCGCAAGTGTCGCTACCGCCAGGCGCAGACTCGAAGTGCCGACGAACCGATGACCGTGAGTTCCCGCACATACAGTCTGGCGACGGACACGTCATTGACCGAACATCTTCCGAATCTGTGTATAGACATTCGTGACGTGTGTCCCGTTTCTCCTTTCGGTATCATTGCGTGATGTTGTATTGACCCTCCTCGCTTTCTTCCGCCGCCAGGTGTACTGTATGCAACAACAGGTGTGCACCCTCCGTCCTTTCTTCCCTCCTATCCGCCTTTCTTCCAGAGTCACGGCATATGCTAACGGGCGCCGTCTGTTGTCAGGTGGAAATTCTCGTGAGCGCCGCAGCAGCGCCCACGTCGCCCTTCTTCTATCAGACGTTGCGCATCTCCCAGCTCGAGCGTCGCCGAGGTTCTGCTTTGTATATATTTGGCTCGCTCTTTATAGTGCCACTGACTTGTGTTCTATATATACTCGAAGCTTACCATTATGCCGCCACGATGGACATGCGGACGCAGTCTTTTCTTGTCGCAAGCTCATCCAGGGACTGATGTCATCGGGGCTCGTTGCTATACAGCAAGCAGCTATAAGTATGGAGGTTCTAAGATTCTATCATCTCGCGAAGGTATCTTTGGAGGAACAACAAGATCGCGCTCCCATGCCATGATGTATAAGACGGCGGGGTGGTCACTGTGCACTGAGGCTGACGCTGTGATCTGCTTCGTTATACGAACCTTGATTGAATCGGACGAGGTGTCCCTTCGCCCGAGTCTGACGCAATGGCAACCACTGAAGACTCTTTCCTCGATTTGTCGACCCCGGTGAGCCTCAACCCGTATACTCTCCTGCCTGGAACTGCCCATGGTCTTTGAATCCAGCTTTTTGACCAATATCATTCGCTGGTACAGGCTACGCCTACTGGCGAAGCTGTATCCGAAAGTGCGGCTTCGGTCACTGAAGATCGCAAGGCATGGGAGGACATGATGCAGGAAGGCCTCGCTCGGTCACCCGACTCGGAAGAGCGATGGTCGGAGGCCGGTTCCTTCCAGTGTTACCGATGTGGACAGGTGGGGGGAAAAGACATGCGATTCAAATCTACTGCAAGTGGTGATTGAGGGGCTCACGCGAGCGATCAGGCGAACTGCCTCTACCGTCACGCACAGGAGCGTTCGATTGAGGAACCTATGACAGTATGTCTATTCTCGTTCGACGTTGACTCTGCTACCGACATCGAATACATTGCATAAAACAGACTTATATCAAGTAGGTATCTTGGATAGAATCTAAGCCGTAGTCTGACGCCTGACTGGTAGATGTCTGGCATGCAGTGAGATGTATTTATCTGCTGCCGTCATGCGCACGAAACAAGTTTAATGACGTGCTGTCGTAGATGGAAGTTCGGGTGACCATCCCGTCTGCGTTACTACATATGCCCATTTATCCTCCATGCCCCCCGTTCATCCTCAACGCGTTCTCGACACGCCTGGACACCCACCTTGTCCATGTGTCCATATGTATTTATGCCAGCCATTGTAAGTGACCGTAATCGCCGCGAGCTACGGTCATTGTGGAGCACGATAGGACGCCGATGGACAACGTGGTCACTGAACGAACTGCGATGACTGTGCGCAGTAACAAGGATTTTTTGCCAATGTGGGTCAGATCTACCTAACGTAACTCGCCTGGCTTCGGTCAGAGGCATGTGCCCTGGCTCCAACGGAAGCTCCGCAGCATGTATTATTCGTTAACAACTACGTACAGTCTACGAGATGCCCGCTCCGATGTGAATTACAGGGGCGCAACCTATCATCGACCAGAAGTATAGACGTAGCTTGCTGCATCTTTCCGTCCGCGTTCCACATTCACGCTCCTGAGCACTGGTACGGCGAGCCATATCATACCCACCAGGAAAAAGAAGGCATAGCGGATGTTCCCTGTCGTGTCTGCGATCAGGCCGACCACCAGCGGGCCGACGAAGGAACTCGACTGTGGACGACAGAGCAGAAGCACAAACAAGATATGGCTTAGCGATGGGTTAAGGAGCAGTATGAGCGGAGATAGAGAACGAACCTTGTCCGTGATTGAAAATAATCCGTACCTACCGCGGTAAAGAGATGGAGAAGATCAGTCGACGGGCACATCCAGTGAGAAAACAGCTCAACGAACCATCGGGCTTCTTCCCCAGGGGGAATCAGCTCGGCGTAAAATGCCCTCGCGTACCCCTGGAAAGCGCCGTAGACAGAACCTGCGGCCTCGCGTCAGACGTGACATGAGATGTGGCGGCAACATGTTTTACCGAAATACATAGCAAGCGCATACAATTCGCCAGGTGTCGTCAGGCCACCGAACTTCACTCGGCCTTGACTGAACAGCGGAATGAAGCCTAGGCAGCCATAGGCGGGAACGAAGCTAGCCATAATCACCAATGTGGTTAGGACCTGACACACTCAATGTTAGACTTGGCAACGACGAACTGATCAGAAAACGCAAGAAATTCTACACTAACCTTGAGGTTCGTGCATCCCAGGCGGCGTTGAAGCCGTGGCCAGGCCAGCGATCCGATTATCCCCGCCAACGGCGTTATAATACCGACAACTACGAGGGACGACGGTGGCATATTCAGGCTCGTCTTGCCGAACAGCACGGCCGTGGAGGTGATGGTGGTGAAACCTGTTATTCACGCATTAATCTGGAGCTCAGGTATCAGAACTCCAGTATATCGAACAGCTCACCATCCGAAAGCAGAAACCAGGCTGCGAGATATTGAAACGTGTTCCGCAGCCGCCTGATCTCCCGCCATCGCAGCATGCCGAAAAGACGCTTCCAGGCCTTTGCTATCTCTTTTGTCACGCTCCATTCGCGATCGTGATCCAACTCGGCTTCAGCAGTCGTGTCTGAACCTGGAAGCCATGCGGCCGCCGGTAGGGAGAACACAGCCCACCACAGCCCGCTGGCGCTTATGGCTAACCGAAGCGAGAACGTCGACCCCTTTAGAAGCGTTACAGGTATTAGCGTGAGTATGAGGAGCAGTATACCAGCAGCGTAGCCGAGCGCAATACCGAGGGAGGATATGCGGGAGGTTGCAGCTGACAGGGCGCGAGAGTAATCTTGCGACGTGTCATCAGGCTCGGTGGAATGGTCCGCAGACTCCAAGAGCGGAGCGTTTGAGTCGGCGTCCAGGTCGTTTGCTGCTCGCGCCGGGGCCGGTGAATTCGATGGTTCAAGCGCCTGCTCGCGAAGTTCCACCACCTCCGGAGATGTTCGCGCGAGAATTGGTATGTATGCGTTCATAGCGACCACAGAGGCGCCAAATCCGACGTTCGCGCAGATTCCAAGGAGGGCAGAGCATGGCCATATGGGAGATGAAGAGGGAAGCAAGAGGAATAATGTTGCCGACAAGGCGCCCAACGCAGCAAACATAAGGAGAAGACGTTTCCGATGCGGGGCTGTGGAAAATCGACATGGTCAGAGGGGTAGCAATCGTAACAGTGATGGAGGCACACGATGGTCAGCTATCCCGCCCATGGAGATGACCGTTAGTGCCTGCAAGGCCACGGAGATGGAATTGACGTAGAGGCTGGGCGAAGGTCAACGGAGGTACTCGTACTTGTACATGAGAGGGGCATACCTGAAGCTAGCACTGTCAATCCAGAGGCCAACTAGTTTGACCACGCAGCGCGCCTCAGCTCTTCCACCGGGGGAGGCTGCGACGGAATTGCAAGGTTCCTTTCGGTCCTCACGGTCCAGGTACCCGTTGTCTCTGGCAAATTGTTCGAGGCATATTGGGAGAAAAAGTGTCAATGACACTATGACAAACACTTCGCTGAAGCGCAAGGTAAGTCCATGGGCAAGCGCACGACGACCGCATACATCCACGTACCTCGCGAACGCATAGCTCAACCACCCCCGTAACTGCTTGTCATGCGTCCTTGTAGGATCCTCTCCCATACTACGTTGACTTGATTGCGCGTTCCGTCACCCGAATCGTACGAGTTGAGCAGGCTCCCCTCTCCGCTTAGCGAGTCAGCAGCCGGCGAAGTCGGCAATAGCGCGTCCGAATGAGCCAGTGTCTCTCTCAGTTTGCAGCACGACGTTCTCGATATTAGCAAACCCGAAACAAGAGGGAGGTGGCCAAGCGGCCAAGTCGATCGTCACGGTGGTGGACGCGCGTGACAACGCGCTCGACGCGTGAAGCAGCCTCCTTTCGTCTTCTTCGTCGTCCGCCATGTCCGCAAGCGAGGAACCTCATGAGGTACTCTACCTCCTACGTTGTTGATTCAGTCTCTGCACAATCTTGTTCAGGAAAAGCAAGAGACGAAACCGAAGATCAACGTGGTGGTAGATTTCCAAGGTCAACGTGAGCTGGATCCTGACTCAATCGCGAAAGATGAAGCTGAGATACAGAGACGCTTCAGAGACGACGATCAAGGTCAAGGTGAATACACCGTTTTCTAAGATCTTCGACGCTATTCATGTGAGTACCTGAGTCGCGCGTCTTGACCGACCTCCGTTCACCCAGAGATCACCCTTTTGCCAGAAAAAGTTCGGCAAAGAATCAGGTCATTTCAATGTTTCCCTTCGAAATGCTCCCGACTCATGCCCGAGCATCCCGCTATTAGGAACATTAAAGTTTGTGTATGATGGTGTTCGCGTCAATCCTGACGACACGCCTGCTGCGGTTCGTTCGCGTCTATGCGCGCGCGTCACGTTCATGCTGATCATTTTTGCCTTTGGGTTGCAGCTGGAGTTGGAAGATGGGGACGTCGTGGATGCGCATTTGCAGCAGGTACGCCTTCCAGATGGGCAGATCGCGTTGACGCTGAAAAAAAAAATCTGCATAGGTTGGTGGCTGTTTGAGATGGTAGTGAATATCGCAACCTACCCAGTATCCCTTGCTGTCCTTTCGGAAGGAACACATTGTTCATCACCGGTATTGTGTACCCAACGACGTATCATTATTGCATTACCTGTTGCTGTCTTCTCACATAACAAAGGGGCTGGGCTCCTTCCGCGTATCTCGCATCTGAAGAACGGAACCATCATCCTGCGCGCAGCATCGTGAGCGCGTCCCTGGAATAGCCAGACATGGCCGATACCTTCGATACCCTTTCCGTGCAATCAAAGCAGTCGTGTTCGTATCTATGGCCGTTATTGCCGGTCCGAATTTACGGTAATGTCGTCACTGCTCAAGGGGGCTAAGTAAAGTACAAGGTGTGTAAGGACGTGTTTACGGTGGTCATCACGTCTGGTCAGCATTCACACTCTTCTACTATGGGGATCGCAGGACGCTGAAGTTTATCTCCGGGCCAGTTGATGAGGTAAATCAGCTCGATCTTGGGCAACCCCGATAGCGAAACTACTGCCCGTCTGACGCCGATTCGTCCTCTCATTGAATGGAGTTACGAAGCAACTAGGTGCTCGGCAGTCACGCAAGCCCAGAAATTTCCGCACGTTGCAGTTTTCCAGTCTCACCGCTCGTACGGCCATCCCCCGTACTCATCGGAAGAATCTCGCACGGGCTCCGAGCGACATCCCCTTGCATTTCGACAACCGGATACTACTTACAGCGCTTGTCGTTGCGCTCACGTGTGATAGAAGCGAAGCTCTCTTGCCGTGACGCCCGCTCGCTGTCTGCCAATTTCCAGACTCCTCATTGCACGCTCTGCAACTTGGCGGCGTCTTTGGCTAGCGTGATCGACGGATCATCGTTGGTCATGCTTCGATGGGCATTGCTGTTACGTTCCCAGCGCTAGCTGAACGGCCGTACACATCAGCACATGCTTATGTTGGGAAAGGGAGCCAGCATCCCTGTAGATGCTGTAACCTGCGGGGCGAGCGTGCGTGCGGCGGCGCCTTATTCAGGTGCCACACAGTCGTTGGTGTCGTTGAACTCAAGTGCCAGCATCGGCGGTCTATCAGGACCGAGCGCGTACCTTGCGCAAATTAAGGCCTCCATGTGTACCTCGTCTTCACGTACCGTATGCAAACGGATCAAATCCTCCTTCGTCAGCATCAGCAATCGGGGGCTGGATCGCGCTGGGGATTCTACGCTTGGCTCACATGCCCGCGTGAGGCATCCTGACTGCTTGCGGTGTCACACCATCGTTGGCCAACAGCGTTCATGGGACCCACTGATATCGTTAGTGACAGGCTCTTGAGCGGATAGCTGACGCTCATCCCGCATCGCCTGGGTTGCCTTCAAGCCGATTAAGCAATTACCGGGTCACAATCGATGGAGGTTCGACTTCCTCGCCAGAAACTGAATCTCCAGCCAGTCCTATTCTTTCGGAGAATTGTCCGTGTGGCTGACTCAATGACTAGGTACCCCATTCTGGGTCATCGCAAGAAATCGGATTGTCTTTTTGTGTAGAAGATGCGAAACATGCATACATTCAACCCCGCCCCGCGGAATCGTCCAGGCCGCAGCTGAATGTCCACCGGTTGCCTTGTCTGGTCACCGGAGTAACTCCCGTGAAGCGTGTAATCGTCTCAACTTCCACCGCGCACAACTCCCGAACATCTGCCTCCTCCGTATTCGAGTTCGTCGACGGTTGTCGAGCATGAACCTCGGATTCCATCCGTACCGAACCGAGGCATCGGGCTAATCGTGCAACGATTGGCACAGTCGATCGGGGGTTTTGGTTCCGTCAAGAATAGCTGTCCGTGAACTTACAGGCGCTCTTCCCAGTAGAACCGTCCTCAAACACGAGCTCGCCGAGGTGCCCTACGCACTCGCACGCTTGGCTGTCGCGCACCTTGTGATCGAGTGCGCGGCGCTAGATCCATCTACGTATGCTTACACTTCCCCGTGCTTGTTTGTATTGGTGACGACGGCGTCCAGGTCGGGCTTGGGCGACAGCTTCACCATCGCAACAATTTGATCCAATCCGTGACTGTATCTGGTGGAAACATACACGGGCTGATCTGAAGCATAGGTGGACATTTCGGGGAAAGATATCGCAACGACGGCCTCTGGTCGCGTCGGATGACGGCGAACAACTGTTCATCGAGTGACCGTCTGGGGCCTTTTTCTGCTGTGAATTGAATTCCGCTTACTTTTGTACACCACCAATACCGATGTTAGTGCATCACCGGTCAATAGTAGGCGACAATCCACTCCTACTCTCTGCCACACCTTAGTAATACAGGCTCTCTTCAGAAAACGCTTCATATTTTACTGCTCTGCATTAATATCTCCCTGTAAGGCATGCCTGTCGGCATTTACTAGAGCGTGCGGATAGTCGATGAACTTCTCATGCCGCGATGCTCTGAGGAGGTGGAGCCACTTCCGTTTTCCACACAATCATGTAGGAGCATTCTTATGAGCCGGATATGGATGAGCAACGAGACTGAGATGAATTCGCAAATTCGTGCTCGTAAGGCTCAAAGACGAGATTATCTTGTTCTTGAATACACGCCGTTCATGAACGCGCGGAAGGAACTATGGAAGCAATGACAGATGGATGGTTTCATTCATGAGCCACCCACAACTGCTTCGACGACCGTAAAACTGGCCATTCGACATGCAATGAGTAATCGATCTAGAATGCGGGGTGCTTTCCACACGGAAGTCCAGGGACGAACTTGCGCCAGATGACCTGAGATGGTTCATGAATTGGACATGCACAAGATATTATATTGACTCCATGATGATGCGACCTAACGTATATGATAGCGATTGTCCGGTACACGGGTATGCAATGGATGAACGGAATCTAAATGCGATAAAGCTGGGCTACGACTGGAAAGCATGATGATAAGCTGCGATTGATCACCAACGAGTGCCATAGGCTGGTGCCTCGCCGGCATGATCTATACGGAATGAGGGAACCTGGCCCTCATTATTGTTAGCCGAAGGATGAGCTCCATATACAGACGCTACGGAGTCCGAGCTGAGAAGGCCTAGGAACGACTCAGGCCCCTGGCTCGCCGATACGCGAGACTCGGGCAGATTAGAGGGCGGAGGTAGGTCAAAGCGGGAGCCCGTCGGCTCAGGGTAGGATCCTCTTCTTTGCGCATCCGATATCGAGGAACGCGAATGCATGTGTCCAATACCAGAGAACCCCGCATCGGATGCACGAGACTGCGGAGCCAGGAACGCCGATGTGGGAAATGGCGAGTCAGCAGTGATTCCGTGGATATACGGCGCGCTTCCAGGACGAGAGGTGCTGGCACGGGACAGAGTCCCATACGAGTCGCGTCGGTGGGCGGGGTAAACCGTCTTGTCAAAACAGTCCAGTCCGCTATGAGCGCCTGTGTTGCCGCCGGAATGTAGGGATCCCGGAGCGTGATCAGACGAGTGACTGGAGCCTGGACGTAAGTCCTGACCCGACATCTCACCCGCGAATCGTTGGTTTGGCCAAGCGCCAGGGTATTTTGGGAATGCATCGTGCGCATGCTGGCGGTATCCTCCGTCGAGAGAATGGGAGATGGAGTGTTCGGTCTGCGGATGGAAGTACATCCCAAATGCGGGATTATCCGACGAGGACGGTGATGATGGAACGGGCGACGGTGGCATCAAATGCACGTCATGTCCTTCATTGGCCGCGAAACCCGCCATAGTGGTCAAGCCGTAATCGACTACACGTAAGGGGCCGCTGTTGTCGAAGGGTCTCGTATCCCGTTCTGTGTATGAATGGCCCATATTCTACGGAAATCGGAAGTCAGACCGCGGACGTGACAACAGACAACGGGCGAGAAAACTGACCATTTCTGGTGAGCGCGATGAGAACGATTCGCTATACGAAGAGTCTGATGACACAACTGAGGGCGGCCGCAAGGTCGCAGTGGATGAGGACGCAGCGAGGGATCGTTGGAGGCTCTGGTAGCGATTACGACAGTGAACTGCCGGCCGACCGGGGAGCATCTTCGAGATCACGTTCCACTTCTTGCCATGGGTCTCGCATGCCGCCAACAGGATCTCGTCCTCTTGTTTTGTCCAGGCATGCCTTGAGATTGATGGGTCCAGTTTCTCCCGCCAGCGCTTGGCGCATTGATCGTCCGTGCGACCCTCTATGTGACGCGCAACCTGCCACCAGTACTTGCCGTGGACGCGAACGGCCTCCAGCAGCTGCGCATCCTCTGCGGCGGTCCACCGGCCTTTACGTAACGTGGGGTCCAACGAGTGTACCCATCGCTTGCGACAGCTTTTGTTCGTTCGCCCTACATGTCTATGTCAGCAATAAGTAAGGACGTTGAGGGTGGTATCGACCTGGTAAACAAGACGAAATCTTCTGCCAGCTATTCTTCTTCCCATCTACCGCAAAGTTATCAGATCGCGCTGTGACGGGATGCGCCGAGCCGATGCTCACACTTCTCCACCGCTGCCCTGAGTATCTCATCTTCATCGGGAGTCCACTTGTTCTCGGTACCACGGGAGGAAGTAGCCATGGCTTGTAGCAGTGAGGGGCAGATCAATTACGGAGAGCAGCTAGACCGTGATGTGCCGTCCTTATAACGTTTGCGCTCCGGATCCAACGGAAGAAGCGCCCAGGCGCGCTGACATAGCCTTCCCGAAAGGTCGAACTGCTTTTGAGGTGCGGGGGCAGCACAGAACACGTACCACTGATGCGACTTCGGGTAAGAAGGGGCTTATGGCGTGAGCCTGCGTCGTCGGGTTCAAGACTACGGCGCCACACACATAAGGACGCCGGTGAACGCGGCCTTCCATCAAAAGCCGGAAGAGGAAGCTGTAGGTGAGAAGTTTGATCTGAGATCTGCGGGTCTGAAGTCACAAATTGTATGTAACGCACCGTAACGAAGGCACCCATGGGAACGCGCCGCGGCATTCAGGCTTAGTGAAAGCGGTGCAGATTGGTCAAACCCAGCATCGTCATCAGCGGCGCCGTAATGCAGTCTGTGATGCCGGGGAGGATATACAAAATAATGCGGCCTTGCCGCGCACGCGTGTGCCGAGTGCACTGGAGGGCCTCATGGATTCCGTTCACCCGCTCTGGATGGACGGGAAGTTACGACGGGCTGATCGATCCGTGCTGCGGGGAAGTTGTTGGCTTGTTCGGAAGACGGCGGTGCTCAAGTTCCATGGTGATTTAATGCCGTCAACTCTTCAACGGACAACTGGAGGTGGGAGTCGCTGGTAGGGGCTGAAGGTGCATGGCTGCGTTGAAACCAACCTTCGGCATGACAAACGACATGGGAGAACTCTCGTAGTCCTCGATACAGCAACTATAGTTCCGGAGGCACACCATGTTGACGGCCCATTCTAGCGGCGCTGCCTATTAGGCGATGGAAGAAACTCTATCGGGGTACGACCACGGCCGATGGAAGAAGCGAGGCGCCAGTGGTCCTGTCCGAATCAATACGCGCACTCACATGTCCGTAACATGTCTGATTCTGACAGCCATCCGCCGTCTTTGGGCGGCAAAGAAGTATATGTTGAGATTGCATTCTTATCGTTATGTTGTAAGAGCAACGTTTCGGGGTGTGATCGGGACTAGCAATCTTTTATGATCATATCGTATCTTGTGATGAGTGCGGAATAGTGCCGTAGGGTCACTGCTGGTCACTGCCCCGATTGGCGTTTGGGTGGGCAAGACAAGATTCAGGGCCCAGGCAGACTAGGGCAGACTCCGTCGGCAAGCAGAACGATGTTGGCCACGTGGTCCTGTGGGTACGTATGTGGGCCGTACCTAATTACTGTACAACGACTACTTACTACTGACGCATGCTGAAGCCCTAGGATACTGTTATTTCTGTCATGACGCGCGGTGCAGCCGCAAGCAAACTTCCGGTTTCTCGATGCCGTCATCGTACAAGGGTTCTTGCATCCGTAAGGACTAACCTCTGTAGGACAAATCAGTGGAGATATAGCGGCTGGTATTGCTTCCATAATGGATATGGAATTTGCTGCGCATCAGATCCACAGACGTAGTCACCACCGTACATGCACAGACGAGGATATCGTATCAGATGGTGTGACATCGTAACCCACTCTCTTTCGGCTTGCAATTTCAGTCAGCGTTGTCGATCGCCAATATGGCCATGCGGCCCCAATTCCACCATGACCTTTACTCACCCCGCGATTTGTCATTTGATCACCAACGGCCACCTGTCCCAGGAAGCGAGGCGTCTCATGCGTAGTCGTAGACGCACTCCGGCATAAAGGCAACGCTCCCTTGAACACTCCCGACCAATTTCCATTATCGCACTGCCCGAGCCCCCGCAATCATATTCCAAACGCTCAGGCTTACTGCGATTTGCGTCCACGGCACTACGCGGGCGAAATACAGCTGGGAATAGCCGATCCGATATCGACACACGCCGCCGTGATGCACCCCACGAGCTGCGAAGCCTTTGGGGTATTGGCAACGTGGTCGACGCGGCTGGCCCGTCGGCGATTCGCAAGCCCCGGCGGCTGTAGTAGCGGTGTGAATTTGCAGGCTCACAAAAACTCCTTCCGTCCGAGCGTATACTGCAGTACTAGGCATAGAGTCTAACATTCATGGAGTCATCTCTTACGCCCTGATACCCTTGTACCAGTTGTGACAGTATACATGCGGAAAACCAACCGAAGAGCAGTCAAGAGCGCTCTCACCAGGCCTTGGAACCCCATGCGTTACCTGTGAGGGATTTCTTGGTGTGCTCATCCCACCTGGACATTGTCACCGTCAACACCGCGATACAGTAGCAGAGCAATACGACTCACAGATCCATGAATAACTTCCACAAGATGGAAAACATGAGGCCCTGCAAGCCGTTCGCGATTATTCGCGTCTTCAGCCCGCGTCCAAAGAGGCCCCGTAGCCCATCGGTTGCGATGACAGCCCGCGCGGACTCCAGGTAGCCGATCTTAGTCTCGTTGACCTGTAAAGCATGCGATCCGTTATCTCTGTGACCCGGGGAAGATATCGCCGGTCTGCAACGAACCTGACGGTAAGTCTTGACGACGCGGAGCGAGTTGGACACAGTGTCGGACACGACCGAGGCACTGAATCCGATGAAAGCTTGCCGAGCAAGCTTCTGGAGCAACCCGTCCGGTTTCGGCAGATTGTCAGAAAGGAAGTTATACGTCGAGAACCACTGTAAAGATGTGGGGTGGGATGATAGCATCGGCAAAGATCAGGCACGGGTGCCATATGCGACGCGATCAATGATACTGACGGGATAGTGCCCGACGAAGGTCGCAGCAGCCGTAGCAACGGCTCCGTACCAGAGTGTTCCGATCCCATATCTCTTGATCTGCGCGTTCGTATACGTGAGGACCGATCGCTGACGAGGCTAAACGGCAGAACACCTACGCGGTTTTTCAAAATGGCTAGACCTGGCTGTCCCTGGGCTTGTAATGTGGTCTTGACAGTATCGATCGGCGTGAGGATCATCCGGAAAGCGGCGGCGGCGAGTGATGCGAAGACGGTCTTCCCAAGCGAAGGAAGCTTCTTCATGTACGTGTTGCTATTCAGCAGCGCCAGGATACCAGCGTTGGCGGCGGTATCACCGAATCGTGCAATAGGGCCTAGGTGTCGTTGAGCGATGCCAGAAAGTCGTTATGTAATCCTCACCTTGAAACAAAGCTGCGGTGAGACCGGCATAATAGCGGCCATATCCACCGTCGTGGTAGAGGGTCTTGATGGCTACGGTCGTTGTAGTGCCGAAACGGTATTGATAGTTCATGACCTACACATTAACGCGGCATTACATTCAGCGTGAGGGACAATTGCGATCGAAGAATGCTTACCGTGCGCAGAGGCATGAGAGTCAGAACCTGAAGCACCATAGCTAACGAACCCGTGTCAACCAGGCTATATTCCGTCATAAGCTTGCTACTCACCGGCAGCGCCGCTCAAACCCCCTCCAAGAGCGCCTTTCAATGCGTCTTTGAAGTCGAACTAGGGAATATAACATTGGACTGTGAAGCACGGAGATCATACACGATGGTCGTACCTTGGTATCGTCAGCATCTATGAATCCCTTGATGAACACCGCCAGCAACAGGATTCCTAGTAGTCCAAGTAGTATAGTCCACAGGATCGCCCACGTCCTCGACTTAGATTTCGGCGTCCCTAGAACCACTTCATCGTCTGTAGCGGTAACTGCGTCCTCCCCAGCCTGCGCTTTCACTTGGACGTAGGTCGCGGGGCGTTCCTCCGTATCCGGCAATAACGCCTGCCTCTCGTCAATGGGGATTGTGCTGTGGCCAAGCGCACTCGTCCCCAGTCCTTCAGGGTTCTCCGACATCGTGGTGCAGAGCAAGGAGATGGCGCGAGTTCAGACGAGCTTGCGTGCCGGCACCTGCTATTGATATCGCGTCAGCACGTGGGCCATAGCTGACTACAACGCCCTTATCGGTACGGCATTCACAAAAGTAGCGTACTACCGCAGACATAGGTTCAAGATGTCCATGGTGATATTATCCAGGAGTAAGACTCGAAGGCAAGATACGACTTTCATGTGGTAACGATAAGCCTTAAGGAGCGGCAAGCAAAAATGTAAGCGTGAGAAAGACGGGTCGGCCGAATGACCTGGCTCGGCGCTCGCCATCCCGTTCATCAACTGCGCTCACTCTCAATCAATGGGCGCCTAGATATGGCATTGTCGAACATGCAGAGGACTGTCTGTCGGAACCAAGGCGGACCTTGATATGCTATGGCTATGCTGCAGACGACCTCACGTATATTAGCCCAATGGGTCTCTAACCACTGGTCGATTGGCTTTCGGGCCCAATCAACCGTCTAGATAGAGCGGAACACCATTGGTCTACCATTCGTCACGGCCTCGTGCAATGCCGTTGGCTGATTGAAACGGATGCTGCATAGGTGCTGCGGCCTGGAAGATCGGATGCACTCTTCGTGCGTCGCGATAGCCACTGGTGACCATTCTGATTCCCATCACCATTCGGCTGACAGACAGCCCTAGAAACCTGAAAAGATCGACCGAACAGTACGGAACAGTAGCCAACGCCTCCCATGGACCATGGGCGGACCATGGCATGAGATGGCAGGCAAACGGCAGCATGCTGTAAGAACATAAATGTAACGGTATGCACATGGATATGGCTAGATGAGCATAGCCTCTCGCGCCAATTCCCAATGTGAACATCGTATTGGACGTGTAGCTTCGGGCGTCTGCGGCGGCATTCATACATGACGCCCGGTACCTCCTTTCGGATGCCTTTCATATTGAGGGCCCATCAGATAGTCGTGTTGTGACCAAAACATGATCCGTGTGTTGCGCACACGAAGTCGGATGCTCGGCAGTAGATACCATGCTGCACCCGTGCTACCTTCATCGCTGTCACTCTTGGAATGAATTCACTCGAGTCGGCGGCCATCGGCGTTCGTGTTCCACTTAGTGTGCACCTAGACCACGACATATGAATGAATGGCAGCAGTAAGACCGGCCGATATCGTGATGGACAGCACGAGATACGGTTGGATGATGTAAGTGGCCAGGTGCGCTGTCCGGAGAGGAGCGATCAGACAGTCTTCCTCCGAACGCTAACGCTAAGTATCACAAAGGCAGAGCAACAGAGAGCAACGATTCCGGGGTAAATATCCGGAAGGAATCGGGATCAACGATATTCGTGACGATCAGGGACTGTCTGTCGAGAAGCCAAGTGGCAGTGCTTACTCTGAGCTCGACGTTCGTCTTCCTGGTCCGCCTCTGCGTTGCGGACGGACCCACGTCGGATCTGCAGCGTTGGACAACGATCGATATCGATTGCACAATTAGGCTTTGAAGGTACGAGGCCGACTGCGACGCGTTTCTCAGGATAACCACGAGAGCGAGGATTTTCATTATGACCGTGGACATCCATGATCGAACATCAGCGGGACATAAGCCACTGTACGTGCTCACGACCACCTTGCTCCCAGTCATCCCAGCATAGTGATAACATCGCTGTGTCTCTGCCATCGTACCCCGGGCGCGGATCGCCGTCTCTAAGCACCTATCAGAGCAAACAGGATGGAGTATGAGTTCGAAGACATGGCAAGTGAGTATGTGACTAGAAGAAGGCGGACCTTGTTGTTCCCCGCCCCCTTTTTGTGAGGAGCAAGGGCCATCTGCCACCTACGCACTCCTTCCAGCTTGAATCCGAGTCTCTGAGCGGCGCGTATTGAAGCCGCGTTGTTCGCGTTCGCTTTCCACTGGACACGGCGTAAGCCCAGTCCTTGGGGCGAGAGCTCAAGGGCGTATTGGAGGAGGCTGGATGTCGTACGCATAATTAGCCTGTCAATCGGAGAAGCGGTGGACCCAGTAAGAACTCACAGCCCAGTGGCATGGGTGGTAACGTGGGTGCGCTGGAATCGCGGAAGCGTGATGACCAAACCTATCTCGGTACTGAGTCTGTCGGGGTACGTCGCCAGAAAGCCGATGGTCCCAGCAAACGTTTCAGCAGCGCCTTGAGATCAGTGTGTGTCAGACCACGTCTTCCATGCACGCTTGACGAAAACGGACCTCCTTCGGCATTTGACGACGATCCTTTGTCATATACCGCATAGAGCATCCATTTGGGATCGCGCGCTATGAGAAGCATGAAATACTCTGTGAACGCCTCCACAGAGTTGAATGGCCCTGATGGAAGATATTTCCAGACATCCGGGTAATCAATCGTGCTATTCACAACGAGCTCGGAGTGTATTGATGGCTAGTATGAGTCAGAGGATGCTTGCTAGAGGAGAGGCAGACGCTCACTATGAAAGGCGTCAACTTGACTTTGTCGGACTCTAGCTCTCGAACGGGCAGACAAAAATTGACGTCAAAAGGTTCAGTAGAGGCCATGATCGCAAACGAGTGCACAGGGGCTCCCACTTCGCCTAGGCTATAGGTCGTGCTAATGCCGAGGTCGAGTCAAGCCGCAGCGCGCTGAGTCAGCTTTCGGCGAGGTCGTCCAGATAGCCATCAGCCCATCACCTAGGTCAAAGTAATCACGAGGAGCGAGACGATGTCTAATTCGTAGCATTGAGGGTCAGAAGGCGCGATGGTACGATGCACAAGAAGTTGCTGCATATATGCCAGCTATGGGTGTAATACCAAGATCTTCGGCCGAGTTGCCCTTGAGTCCCTAGACTTACCCCAGAGATCAGAATTGATACCAAAAGTGCCCTTGCGTTCACATACTGGAGCGTTAACGGCCAGAACGTAGAGAATATCGACGTCAAGTTGCAGAGAGCTCTGCAATTTGGCTGCAACCCGATTGGCTTGGCTGGAGTTGGCGGGTTACTTCAGTGTTCACGTGCATCGTGCCTACAGAGCGCCGGAAAGGCCGCGGAAACATGCAACATGCAACTTGCACTCTACCTATATCCCTGACGCCTTGGTCAACGAGCAGGGTCTCGTACTCGCCCTAAAACGTCCCCATGCAGGTTGCGAACGTTTATCGCCAATTAACGCCTTTGGCATCAAGACCGGTCTCCCGCGCAAGGGAACTATGCCACGACCGCTGTAGCCTAAAGGCTGCGCTGTCCCGCAGTTTCGCTAGCTCAACAACACGATACCGGAGATGGAATACAGATCCAAGTCAAGCGATGCGGTACAAGGGGATTGGCCATGCTCCTCCTCCGGCGGGCAAAGTGACGTTCACCTCTTCGGCCATACGGTCCTCCGGCACGACCACGGAAACAGAGGAGGCGACTACTTTTTCCGATCCGTCAAGACCGGGCCTTTTTTACCACTTCTTGAATACGGATCCGCCGACCTTTGCTCTTTCCTTCGTCAAAACACCCCCAGCTACCGCGGATTCCGCCTCTGTCATCGGTTGGTTACCGGCTCGGACATTTGGTCAGGAGGATGAAGCTGGGTTAAACGATTTTCGCGAGAACCGTGAGTACTCGTCAAGAAAGAGCTGTGACCCTTTTCTTGCGTGCTGATGGTTCATTGTGTATCATAGCGCGTTTCCGCGAAGTTCTCCACGAAGTGATCCGGGAAGGGTTGATCGAAGGTTGCGACGACATCCAGATCAATGGCGCACTGCAAATCCGCGAAGGCTGGATGCATATACACGGTCAGTTGGCGATCCATTGCCACCAACTCGAAAACCCATGATAGCTCTAGATGAACGGAATCCGCCACCTCTTGGACGAATAGGCGATATGGACGATATTATCGGGTCCGTACGTGTCGAAGATTCGAGGGTAAGAAAAGCAATTGGATAGACTCATCATCTTGGCGATTGAAGAACACTCGTAGATTATACCGGATACGTATCAGCCGATGCCTTCGTACCGTATCTGTACGGCCGATGGCGTAACGCAGCTCACGGAGGGTTTGGCGACAAAGTTGAACCGAGTTCTGGAGCGGATGAATCAGGACGAGCACTGAACGGGGGATGTGGAGGACTACGGTTCTGGCACTTGGTTATCAGGGAGACGAACCCTCGGGTGACCGTTTACTGATCCGGCTGCTCTTTACGCTAGGTATGCGCCACTCACTAGAACGGCCTTATTCAGGTATCTGATGGATATTATGGCAGCTTGATTGCCATGTATCGAATGCGAACACTATATCAAGCGTCGGTCTGCCTGCAACTCATCGACGGTTGTCACTGTGGCAGCGCGAGATCTATGTGGCTTGAATATTGCCTCGCATGAAAAAGGCCAGAAAATGCATATCGGATCGCCTAGCAACTACGACCTCCCAGTATTTGCTGGAATGAACTCTTTGTTCTCGATGTGCGGAATCCTTGGTCTACAGATGATCAATGTATACACTTCCGCTTCTGTGCGAAGCAGCAATCTTCCCATCCTTCGCTTACTCTTATGCACAGGGACCGGGGTTCTTCCGGCCGGGCCGTTACACTCTTCTACGGGAAACGGAAACAAGCTTCGCAGTCTCGTCATGTCGCCCGTTGAATGTGCAAGATTCCACAGAGTGGTGTCATCGATAGTACCGGCTTTGGAGAAGGGTCTTCTGAGCAAGTTGCTCGATGCGCTCAGGGGCGACGACTCGTCCGAATGCTGCCGGATGGCCGCGGGCCGGGGTGCGGTTCACGTGCATGGCACTCCCACATTCGCGTTTGAACATGTCGGGGCTGCCCTCGCAGAAGGTCGACCCCATGCCTTGCCATCAGCGGGTCATGAGTTTCTTTGCAGCGTCGTCGCTGGCAATGCGGCATCATCGGTTCTTTTGATGCTCAGTTGAGAGCTATATCATACGCGACGCCTGGCACATCGGGCAATCATGTCTCCTTCTTTTCTCTTGGGATTTGTCGCTATATGCGCGGTTATCAACGCGTTTCTTACGCGTGAAACCTTCGCTAAGGTTGTCGCGACCGAGAATGCGACCTTCCTCGCCTTCGACAACGGCAGGCTGTCCTTTACGTTCGTCGATTCTTTTCGTCATGCACCTCATCTAACCTCGGGTTCATTATGCTGCATGCAGGGTAGATAAGACTACGGGCTTTCTAGGACATGCACATCTGGACGGCTTTGATTTGCAAGGTCCTCAGTCGAATTCGTCTGGTCGCGGTTACTACGGTGAGTGTCGTGGTCACTTGCCGATATTGACCTTGCGTTGACTGAGTATTTCACAGAGTGCCATTGCGTTCCGACTGACTATCAGGTGGCGGGGTCCGACATATACCATGTTGGTCTCAACTCGACGTTCAATCTGTGTGTTCTGCTCGCGTGTGGTCGAACGTTTCCTTGTCTGATGTCTTCTCGTCCCTAGCCTACAAGGACACGATAGCACTGGGAAGGCCTACGCTGGCGTGTTTGCTCAGGAAATACTTCCTATAGGTCACACATTCCAGCAGTGGTACTTCCTCCGAGATGGCGAGACCGGCCTCCACAACTTCGCTCGTCTGATCTATCACAACGACACGGTTGGCCCTCCGTTCGAGGACGGAGGCATCCCGGTACGGGAGATCCGTGAAGTCTTCCAGTTCAACACGACCTTGTGGCAGACTGCGTCGACGAATCCAACATTGAACGTGTCGATCCCCTCCCAGGAGGCTATCACGCCCGCCATCCAGGTGCAAGATGCTACGTGGTACCTCGGAATGACTCCAGAAGAGCCCTTCGTCCAGGAGACGGCCGTTTACTGGACAAAGTACATGTTGGCGGACGCGTACAGATATCGAAAAGCCCATGGGCTTTACGGCAAAGCAGAGGACGGCACGGCATACGGCGCGTGGCTAGTTAGTGTTACGCAAGACACGCTCTTTGGCGGGCCGACCCACTACGACCTGCTCTTGGACGGCATGATTGGGGTGCCAGAGGGTAGTACGAATCTGCAGCGCATTCCGCACATCTATTACTACGCGAGTTTCACCATCTCCGTGTGGCTGGTCCGGCTAACGCTCGAACTCTTGGCAGTTTGCGTCCAGTCACCAAGGTGCCGCGACTTCGAATCTGACGAACGAGGGATACGACCGGACATGGGGACCTCAGGTATGCGCTTGTCAATGTCACGCTTCTTATGGATCGCACTGCTAATCAGAGTCGGCAGCTGCTATATTTCAACAAAGGCGCAGATGCGAGGTACCGTATCTCCATACAAACTTTCGGACGTATGCCCTGCTAACGCCGATATATGTCAGCCTATCTACCCTTCGCGCCGACGCGGAGTCGAAGGCGGCCTTGGGTTACTCCGACTTCAGCCAGTTTTACGACTCAGTCGCCCACCTCGTGCCTGGCTTCGAGCCACCTTCCTCGCGGGGGAGCGTGTCCGTTCGGATATCGCTGCCTGCCGGCGCCGAGAACGCCGTCGCCATTCTGAGCGCGGAGGGGTTTGACTTTCCCAGCAACGTGCTCGACCTATCGGCGTATCAGTACTGGGGGGACGTCAGCGGCGGTAGAGTGACGATCGAGCATGTGAGGCCGGGGAATTACCGCTTGACGGTGTATGGCCAAGGTCCGTTGTGTCACCGTCGGCCGTCGCGGTGGTTGATCATTAGTCCTCCCCCGCATAGGTGTCTTTGGCGAGTTCGTCCAGCAAAACGTGGCCGTGGTTAGTGGGAAACAGACGCAACTGCATGACCTGCGTTGGACCGAAGAGAGCGCAGGTAGGGCAGCTCGGACGCGACTTGAGCGTACGCGTCTCACTAGTCCTCTGTTGCGACAGGAACGGAAATCTGGCGCTTCGGCGTCCCCGACCGCACTGCGGGCGAGTTCAAGCACGGTTTCGAGCGGATCCAGAACGAGTCATTCCATATCCAGGAGTACCGGATCTACTGGGGCGCGTACAACTTCACCGCCGATTTTCCACATGGCGTCGACTTTGAAATCGGCGCAAGCGACTACGATAAGGACTGGGTCAGTATCACTCCCCATGCATATTCCCAAACCCGATCATCGTGTTCCTTTCTTTCCTTCCCTCGGAGGGCGGCGTCCGCGGGTTAAGAGTGGCTGACGTCCAATTTCTCGGTTTCTTCTCTTGCCAGAATTATTGCCAGTTCTCAGAGTACGCCGGCGCGGCGGATACCAACTTTACGATTCGGTTCGACCTCACGGCTGCTGACGTATCGCCAATGTCGGCGATTGTCACGCCCGGCGGGAACGCGACGGTCACCGTTGCCGCCGCGGGTGTGTCCGGCCCCACCGGGAACGAGGATTGGTCGTCTTCGATGTTCGCTTCTTGTGAGTAACGCGTCGCCCGCTCGCCCACACGCCCACAGCCCCTCCGACTGCGCGCGCTCGCTCACTAAATTCGTCGTTCTGTCACGCTCGCCCACGCTTCGAGATTCATGCTTCGTCGTGTGCTGATGTTGCCAATTCATACTAGTCCCACTGTTCCTCACGGTAAACGACCGGCGCGACGACGCCCTGGAGTGGATCATACCTTCGAATATCAGCTCGAGCTGCGTACAGCGGAGCGGGATCTCATGTTTTGCGGTGAGCCACAAGTACCAGGTACGCCCTCGTCATGCACGCATATCCCAACACCGGGCAACTTCTGATCCACCGCGGTAAATTTGCGTGATAGTTCCCAGCCGATTGGCTCGTCGAAGGCAGTAACAGCTTCGAGTTCGGCCTCGTCCACGGATCGAAGACGTTCATCATGTACGACGCCGTGAGGCTGGAGGTCGCATACTGATATTTATCAGCGACATTACTTGTCGATGATGTGTGTCCTCTTTTGTGCATCGTGTCGTCGGCTGAAAACACCGTTGTCACGATCTGCGACTCTGTCGACGGGAAGATATGCAAGCCACAGGCCAACAGAACATTGAGAAGAGGGCGGTCCTCCGCAATTGTGTCTGTTCACTGTTCGCTTCCGCGACCGTCAGCGCATCCAATGAGGGAGGTCGTCCGCCACAGCGCCACGGAATCTATGTCGGATGATCATCATGGGGCTGATATCGGACGGAAGGGCGAGACCTTCCTCCGAGAGATCGCTTCCGGGAAACACCAACGACTTTCTGAGGTTGCATCGATTGAGCGCTCGCGCCGCCGCCGCGCCGCCACATTGCCGATGGCGCCCCTCATCGCGAATCATAATCATGATTTCTTGACCGTTGTCGTGTCCCACGGACAGATCTTTGCCTGAATTCGCGGCACACGTTGAGAAAGGCTCAGGAAGGCTCATGTTGGGAAGGCGCGCGTATGATCCCCACGGGACCTCCGGCTGTCTCGACAGGGATGGCATTCTGAAGTCATGTTTCTGGAGAAAGGTGAGTGCCCGTGTCCTGTACTCGATGCATTCCCTGAATGCTGAATAACAGGTAGGTATGCGGTTGCAATGGCGGAACGCCGGTCGCCGCAACCGCACGTTTTCCTACGGGTGGCACAATTACAGTCTCGGCGGTCCCAGTGAGCCGAGGTCGACGCACTCGCTCTGACGCAGGTGTTAAACTAAGGAGGTGCGGGTTAAAGGTTACCACATCTACTTCGCCACGGAGTACCGGTCGTGCTGGTTAACGTGATGACGACCACAGTCACCTCTCCATCTGCAAGTGTCGACGAAGAGCTGGGGCGACGACGGGGCCTGTCGTGATGGCGAACCAGGAGAGCCAGGACGGCCGTTCGATTGACGGCTCCCACCGTAGCTGCCTCTGTTCTCCGCATGCCGTCTTATTCTGCCTGGAAGCCCATGCGAGACCGCCAATCTGGTGCGTTAAGAACTCAACCCATCCCGAAAAAAACCAGTGAGATAAACCCGAGATGGGGGGCGAATACAAATCTGCGTCCAGTATTGGGAAGAGAAGCAAGCGACACAATGGACTGTGGCCTACGTTGTTGCAGTGCGTACGGACGCCGATCACCCGCCTTCGGCTCTCGTTCCAAAAGGGAGATGGGTCCACGCCACTCAAGACGTATATAACGTTGGAGAGACGTCGAAGAAATTTGGCGGCATCAAAAGCATATGACAAACAAGAGCAAATTGTCCTCGAGAGCTCCGGAACCACTCGTGTTCGCTGCTCGGGCGGCAAACATGCGGTTCAGCGCAAGAATATGTCAGATAACTGAGCTCATTGCAGATCTGCTGCTCGAACGCTTGGAGCGACTCGGCAATGAAAGGAAGCACAATATTCAAGAAGGCCTGCCATCCATGCACTCTTCCATTTACCGTCTTCATGCACGCTTTTACTTGAAATTCTCGCGAAAGGTGAGTTCATAAAGCACAGTCATTGCATTCGCTCAAGAACAACCAAGTGATGCGATGAAGGGGTATAATAGGCATTAGACAAACTCCAGTACAATATTTGGTGAAGACAGTCGATTGTTCGCTATTGTTTTGATAAACGGAAAGCGCAAGCGTTTAGAAGGCTGTACTACGTCCTCCTCTGCGCCTTCCTGTGCGCATGGTTGACCTTCGGCTACCGAAGCAACGGCAGCAAATGATGTCCATGATAACATCGAAGATAGTCACGATGACCTGAATGATAAACGGCGTGAGCATGGGCGATATGACGATACGAGATGAGCAGATGCTTACGGTGACGATGGCGCCGACGATGGCCTCGAGTAGGCCTGCAATGGCAGAGATGATAGCCATGATGCCGCCACCGATCGCGGAGATGATGGATCCCTGGTGAAGGAAAGATTAGTGCCATGTACGATTCCCTTTCGGGCGTATCGAAGAGACGCACCATGATGAAATGTCTTGTACGGTCGTGAAGTAGTCGTAAAAGATTCGATTGGTTGGTAGGTGGGGTGGGTGGGTGTAAGCTTGGTGCGTCCTGAGGATGTCCCGGGCCACCTTATATACCCTCAGGCGTCTCGGACCTTATGTCGCCTCGTGAGACGTACAAAGACCAACTCCATACGCCGTCATCGCGCATAACGGTCCGACCGGCCTTTGTGCGGCGGCGGGTCTTCATTCTGCGCTGCTTGCGGTAGAGGCATCGTCAGATGGAGCCGCCCTGAGTCGCTGTATGGCCGCAGCATGAGGATGTGGAGTGCCTTTGCGGTGGCGTCACCGAGCCTCGAGCCTTGAGAGGCGCATGATGACGTCAACGGCCAGAACGGTGAACCCACGTCACGAGCCACGCGTCGACGCGCGAGCCTCGGGACGAAGATGAAGTTCGCCACTCTCCATGACGTCCTCATCATCGTCCATGGCGCATATCATGGGCCTCACGATGGGGGATGTGCATAATCTGAGACTTTGCACTGTACACTACCCATCGAACCGATAATTTGGAGCAAATTTCAAGACCACCATGCCTGGCGACGAAGTCATCACCGCGTACTCGGTCGCTGTGCCCAACAAGCAGCAGCAGTCGCTGCCTGGGCTTGACAAAGACATGAATCGTAAGATGCCTTCATGATGAGTCGGGCGCCAGGGGGACTAACCCATATCCTAGCCGGTCTCGAGTACAGCAAGCAAGAAGTATGGGACGACGAGGGCAAGCCGCATCTCGTCGAGTACGTGGGCGCTGGAAAGTAAGAATCGGGACGTATTCGGTCTCTGCAGCTTGCTGATGAACTACCCAGGCTGAAGGGCAAGACGGCTATCGTCACCGGTGCGCATATACCCCACGTGCATTTAGTCCAAGTTCACTCATCCGTGACATGGTATAGGCGGCGACTCTGGGATCGGTCGCTCTGCGGCGATTCTCTTTGCTAAAGAAGGCGCACGAGGTATCACCATAACGTATCTGCCGCAAGAGAAGGAAGATGCGGAGAGCGCGAAGAAGCAGGTCGAGGAATCGGGTGAGGCTTACCCGATCACTGAACGTGACTATCGGTCTGAATACCTCGTTCGACTGTGTCTAAGGCGCGAAGGTGCTTCTCGTCGAGACGCAACTTGAAGAAGAAGCGGACTGCAAGAAGGTCGTCGACGAGCACACCAAGGCATTCGGCACGCTGAACATCCTCGTCAACAATGCGAGCAAGCAAATGTATGTATCGTTGGCTCTTCTTACCATTTTGTGGGACGCGAATGATCGAACGGGACACCGTCCAGCATCGAAAAGGATCTGTCGAAAATCGACCTCGAGAACGTCCGGAGCACTTTCCAGTCCAATATTCTCCAGATGATCGCCGTCACCAAGTCCGTCTCAGCGCCGCCTCTACCAAGCCTCGCACTGATGCACGCATATATCCAGGTTTGCGCTACCACACATGGTTGCCGGTGCCAGTATCATCAACACTACCAGCGTCACCGCCTACAAAGGCAGCGCGCAACTTAGTACGCATATATCCCACGCTCTATCTCTGCCAACGCTCCTTACATGACCGATGGTCTGTTTAGTCGACTACTCGTCCACCAAAGGTGCGATTGTGACATTCACGCGCTCGCTCGCCCTCCAGCTCGCGCCAAAAGGCATCCGTGTCAACGCGGTTGCCCCCGGTACCGTCATCACCGCGCTACAAGCCGGCAGCCGTGACGCGGAAAACGTGAGTCTCTGCCTTCACGGAACGGTCATCTCCGTCGACGTCGAAGGCTGACTGCGATGGCCTTGCAGATGGAAGGGTTGGGAGTCGGACAAACGCCGTTGCACAATCGGGCTGCGCAACCAGCGGAGATGGGCCCTTCGTACGTGTTCTTGGCCAGCAGCGACTCGAACGCGATGACTGGGCAGGTTCTGCATGTGAACAGTGAGTCTTTGTTATTATCTCGGCCTGAAGGTATCCGTGAACTGATGCGCTTCCGTCGCTCTAGTGGGCGCGCACGTTGGCGCCGCTTGATTTCGACATGCGAACGAGAGGGATCCAAGTAGTCTACATCATTTGTACAGTAACCATGCGCATATATTCAGTACGATATGCAGAGCATCTCCGCGTTGTATCCCACAAATTGAGAGGGCAAAGCCGTGGGAATAAAATTCATTTTAGCTTTCTACCACGACCTCGTCTTGTCTTGATCATGGACCGAGATCGATGCGCATTCTCTAGTAACTTGTCCATACAAGGTCCATTCAACGGAAGAACTGGTCGTCTTCTTTTAGCTCAGGCGCTGGCGTACTGTGACTCGTGAACATAGACGCCCACGAAGCATACTTAACACGCGTGGTCCGTGCGCTCACAGCAATCGCATCTTTGCTATCGACTACCATCATCTCCCCCATACCAGAACACTACACACAATGAGCGGTCGAGGAAACAGAGGTGCACGCGGCGGCGGGGGCGGGGGCAGAGGTAGCCCTCGCGGCGCATCTCCTGCTAGAGGCGGCCCTCGCGGCGCATCTCCTGCCGGAGGAGCGAGCCCCCATCGCGGCGGCCCGCCTGGCGACAGAGGGGGCGGTCGTGGTCGTGGCGGCCCTGGCGGAGGCGGTCGCGGTGGTCCAGGCGGCTTCCGAGGAGGCGGCCGTGGTGGGCCTGCGCAAGTCTTCATGGCTGGCAGACCCGCCACGATCGACCAGCACATCGCGGGCTCCGAGCAGCTCGTTCAGCGGTTCAAGACCGTTCCGCCGACGGCCGAGCGCCCGCTCCGCCCTGGGTTCGGCACCTTGGGCACGCCCGTGACGTTGCGGGCCAACTTCTTTCGCATGACCTTGCCCAAGGGCGCGAAATACTACGATTATGTGATCGAGGTGAAGCCGAACGTCGCGAAGGGGAAGGTGCGCCGGGTCGTGGAGATCATGCTCGCCGCGCCCGCGTTTGCGACGTACAGGCCTCGTGTGGCCCACGATGGCATGCAGCGGATGATCACGCCCAGGGCGCTGCCCCAACCGCTCGAAATACCCGTCGAGTATTATGACGAAGCCGCTGCCGGACCTAAACCTGGTGCGCCCAGGTACACCGTCGAGATCAGGCTCGAGCGCGAGCTTGACATGAACCAATTAACAAAGTATGGATTTTCCCCATCCTTGCGATCGATCCTGAAGACGATCTCCCTTTTCACAGGTACACCGACGGGGATCTCGATGCTCGCAATCTGGACATCGCGCCATATACCGCGGCTCTGAACCTCGTTTTGCAACAATACGCCTCCGACACCGCGTGGCGCGTAGGACGTAACCGACACTTCTTCCCATCTGATGACGAGAAGCGCTCCCTCGGGATGGGCGTGGAGGCCCTCAGAGGCTTCTTCTCCAGCGTGCGACCCGTATACAAGCAGCTGATGGTGAACGTCAATGTATGCATGACGGCCTTCTACGAGCCGAGTAACTTGGCCGATGCTATCATGGCCTTCAACCGGCAATCCCGGGGTGGGATGCCCAAGGCATTCAAAGACAAACTCAGGGTTCGTACGCTCCACCTCGGACATAAGAAGCCTGTCAAGGCCATCGGGACCAAGTCTGCCAGTCAGACGTTTTTCAACTGCGAGGAACTCGGAGGCCGAATTTCCGTGGCCGACTACTTCCGGCGGAGTACGCGAATATTTTTGTTCGAGGTCTACTACTTACTGACATGAGGCCATCACAGAGTACCCCCATCTTCCCCTCCGACACGCGGATGACCTGCCCGTGGTGGACATCGCTGGTCCGGCCAGGAGGGAGCCCGTCTGGATCCCCGCAGAGCTTTGCGAGATCACCGAGGGCACCCCGTACTCCGGTCGACTCTCGGACCGCGAGACAGCTGACATGATTCGCTACGCATGTCGCCCGCCCTACGAGAACGCGCAGACTACCGTCGACGAAGGCCTGCCTAAACTTGGTCTCGTACCGCGCCATTCGACGCTCACCGCCTTCGGCATTGAGATCTCAGGTGATATGACCACCATCCCCGCGCGGGTTTTGCCCCCTCCCCGCCTTTCGTACAGGTCGGGCCAGCCCAACGTTCGCGACGGCGCCTGGAATATCCTCGACGTCAAATTCCATCGTGGAGGCGACATGACCAACTGGGCGGTGCTGATCGTTCAGGAGCAGGGTCAGGGGAGGTTTTCGGGGCCGAATGACCAAACACTCCTTGATCTCGTCACCGGATTCGCGAACAAGTGTCGCAAGGCCGGAATGACCGTCCCGCAGGCGTTGCCAAAGATCATCGCTACGCCCAACCTTCCCGATGCGTCCAACGACTCATTCCGGGCCAGTGCGATCGAAATCATCCGCACGACGATCGTCAAGAATCTCGACCCTAAGAAGAAGCCGAGCTTTATTCTGGTGCTCCTATCCCGAATCGACAACTACATCTATCCGGGGATCAAGCGTTTGGGCGACGTCGTTCTCGGTGTGCACACGACGTGCATGTTACTCGATAAGGTCCTCGGCACCTCTTACAAACCGAAGACCCCGCAGCAACAGGACCAGTATTTCTCGAACGTCGCTCTCAAGGTTAACACGAAGCTCGGCGGCATCAACCACTTGCTCGATGCGAATGCTATGGCCTGGCTTAAGGAGAAGAAGACGATGGTGGTGGGCATGGACGTGACGCACCCCGGTCCGCGGAGCGTCTGGGGTACTCCATCTGTTGCCGCCGTCGTCGCGAGCGTCGACGAAAATTGTGTTCAGTTCCCAGCTAGTCTGCGTCTGCAAGAGACGCGCAAGGAGGTGCGAGAACGTTCTGAGGCTCAGAGCATACGGGGTACTAAATCGCCTCCCGTAGATGATCACGGCTTTGGATGAGATGATGATCGAACGTCTGCAAGCCTATCAGCGGAGCAACAAACAAGCCCTCCCGGAACGGATCTTCGTATACCGCGACGGCGTATCCGAGGTTAGTACTCGAGCAAATGTGGACGAGGATATATATAATTACGCATGCTTCAGGGTCAATACGACACGGTCCTCGTCGAGGAATACCCGCTGATCCTCAAGTCCTTCGAGCGGATCAGTCCGAACAAACCATATCGACCCTCGTTGTCTATCATCATTTGTGGAAAGGTTAGCGTCACTTTGCGAGTTAGCTTGGGGTCACGCATGCTGATGACGTCTTAGCGCCATCACGCACGGTTCAACGGGACAGTCTTGTCGGACGTCGACCAAGGCGGTAATACCAAGCCTGGGACCGTCGTCGACAAGGGAGTCGTAAGTAACATCGTCTGTGGCCGATGGTCGCTGGCTTAATACGTCGTAGACGGACCCATATCTGTTCGATTTCTATCTGCAGGCACATAAAGGACTGCAGGGCACCGTGAAGGCGACACATTACGCGGTCATTTACGACGAGAACAGGCTTACCGCGGATGGTATACAAAAAGGGACACACGACGCGAGCTACGTGAGTGACTGTATCCGAAAACGTGGTAAGGTCGTCTGACTGGAGGCGGTATAACAGAGTTATGCACGCGCGACGAAAGCTGTCAGCCTGATACCCGCCGCATACTACGCCGACATCGCCTGCGAACGCGGACGATACTACATCAACGACTTCTTGAACTTGGGAGACGAGAAAAGCAGCGTCGCTCCCAGCACTGCCGGAGGTCGTAGAACGAGGGAGGAAGAGAAGCAGCGAGTCTTCGACGAGGCGACCGCCCGTTGGGGGAACGGTGAGTCCTACTCTCAGTGTTCTTCACACAATTCACTTAATCCTTTGGCATTGCGTAGGCGTCCACCCTGATCTCCGAGGGAGCATGTTCTATATTTGAAGTGGTGTTTTGTCGCATTGAATCTCGAAGCCTGCGGCTCCTCGTCTTGTTGAGCATGTTGTACGCTTATGGTTTGTCGTAGTTTGTCGCCTATGCTGTCTCGTGGAGTCTTTGTGTGTTGTCCCTCATGTACGCTTCCCTCAATCCCCTTGTATTTGTATTCCATCCGGTTATTGTTTTGCAAGAACATGTGCGATATATCTGCTAGTCTGCTTGTTATTATTGTATACAAGGAAACGATCGCCACAGATGATTATTGCTGTCGCGTGCACGTCTATAAACGGAACAACAGAACGCGAGTGAGACACCTCCCTCAAGTACCCGCCACAACCTCCCTTAACCTCTAAGACGACCTTGCCATACACCCCCTTTCATTCCTGAATATCATGCCTCCGCGCCAGCCACCGAAAGCAAAGGAGACCCAGCCGGCAGCTGCAACTAGCGGAACGGGACGACCGCGGAGAGCGTGAGTGGTGGCCACCGGGGCGTCGTACCAAGCGTCAGGCTAACTGGACGTATGTAGGGCTGCTACGCAGGCTAATGCGACCGAAAAAGAGGTCGACCCCCCGGTAGCGAAGGGGAAAGGAAAGCAGGTCAAGGCACCGACGGCGAAGGCGAAGGTCAAGGCGCCCGCGACGAAGACGAAGGCGAAGGGGAAAGCGGTCGAGACTTCAGCTGCGAAGTCAAAAGGGAAAGCGGTCGAGGCGCCGACGACGAAAGGGAAGGGGAAAGCAGCCGAGCCTCCTGCATCGAAAGGGAAAGGGAAAGCGGTCGAGACGCCCGAACCTACGCGTCAGTCCTCCCGCAAGAGGAAGGCGGACGATCCTCCTCCATCACCTCCACCGAATCCCAAGCAGGCTCGGACGGCGCGAGGAGGAAGGGCCGCTGCCAAACCTCCCCTCGCTGAAGCTAAGGAAGCAGAGGAGGACGGACAGGCGGAAGAGGAAGTCGACGAATTGAACGAAGAACAGAATCATGAAGAGCAAGTGGACAGTGAAACCGGGTCGGTTGCCTCGGGCAACCTCGATGAGGATGAAGACGACGACGACGATCTTGACGAAGAAGAGGAGAAAGAACAAGAGGAGTATTATCGGGGGCTAATTATGGAGACGCACAAGTACTACGAAGGCATTTACAAGAGGTGCGACGAGATGAAGGCCATGATCGGCCAGGTCGAGAAAGCACTCGCGCGCTATGCGGAGCACGCTGGACTGGAACGTCCAGAGGAGGAGAACGTGCCTGGTCCTTCGAATCAAGCTGGCCCTTCGACTCAGGGTATCAGAGCTTGAAATTCAGGCTTGTAGGACGTCGGGCTTGGTGCGCACTGCTGATTCCGACTGCGTGACGATGCGTTGACCATGTTTCCTTACTGCTCAATCCCGTATAGACCGCCGCATTGCTCCGGTTTCCATTCAGATACAGAAGGTCATCGCGCGACGCTCATCGCATTCATATCGGCGCCATCCTATCCGTGATGCTCGATCATTGTTTCAGGTGCTGGTTTACACAAGTCCTCGTGGTTGAAGAGAAGTAGAATTCTACGCGAACGAACAGATCAAACATGCAATGCGAGCATACATACCCGTGGAAGCATGGTGATTCTAGAATTGATTGTAAATCAGGCTGTGTTTGCTTGCTTGAAAGGGTCTCCTTCGTAAATCGTACACGGAGTGCCGGAAATGTGAATTGTGTTTCTTTCGTCGGAACGTCTGATTCAGACCCTCAAAGTGACGCATACTGGTATGATTGTGGAACGACGCGACGTCGATGGTGCGCTGCTTGATCTGCTCTTCACATTCCACTCAACCAAGCTTCGCAGGTTTTCCTCATACCAAATCATCGCCGACTCCATCATCATTTCAGATGCTTTCTCAAGACCCACATGTCCCACTCTCCATGAGGGCTCTCGAAGTGCTGTTGTCCTTTCACCACGTATCCCCAACGTTGGTACATGGCAAGCTGTTAGGCACGCGCCTCGGAGTCAGCGTCAACAGAGGTTTGCCAGCGGAGAGTGCACGTACGTTCTGTGGAGTGCCGGTTTCGAGAACTACATCGCTGCCCTCCGCGCTAGCCTGGAATGGCATCTTGGTTTGCAGGTCGGAAGATCCAAACACTCAACGCTTACCTTAGTCTCTCCGGCTTTGATGAGGCTGCTGCCGACGCCTTGGCCTTGATGATCAGGGTGGACTCCGAAAATGTGCAAGAAGCGTTCCTGGGTTCTGGTCTCCGGCCCAAGCGCGTCCGCGCACATCTTATTGTACCTGGGGGCCAACTAAGGCAGGTCACAAAGGTGGTATGAAAAACAATCCGCGTTCTCTCACATATTCTGAGAACCAATTCCACTTCTCAGGGCCAAATATGTGCTCGAGGCCGTCGTAGCCTGCTTTGTGCTGCTCCTCGCTGAGACAGCGGGGCGCATACATCAGAGTGAGAGGATCGGCGTCTACTCAGACGCTAGCCTACCTGTCGAGGAAGATCCTCCCTGGTTGGAACCACGTCGCAGCACCGGCGATCTCGGTGTCTCCACGGCTGGCTATCCAAACTTCGCCAGCGATAGCGGCTGCCGCCACATGGGCCTTCATGAAGGCGTGGTATACTGATGGGTCACCATTTGCAGCGGCAACTAGGAATGGGTCTACATTTGGTTATGCGACGGTCGTGTCCAAGGAACAGCGAATCGGGCCCACCGTTCCAAAATGCTTTGGCGAATACAGCGGATACACGATCAACCTCCTCCGCTAGCAAGAGGACGGCTTAGGCGGAGCATCTGCCACAACCGGCAGGGGTGCTTACTAGTAGGCGCAATGAGCTGCCGCACGGAGATCGCGGTCATGTCCATTGTTGTCTACGATCGGATGAAGTGAACGCTCGCTGCCGCGTTCGTGGTACGACGATGATCTTGCATGCGGACGGCGAGATATCCTTGCTGATCGATCCGTCTCGTCAGCTCGCTTGCCAGTAGATAAGCTTCCGTCAGCATACATTCGTCGCGATGCGCTTCGGCGTGTGCACGGAAGCCAACTGCGTCGTGTACATTACATAATTGCGTTGTCATGTGGCTCCTCAGTGCCAGACCGTTGGACAAAAACCTGGCTTCGAGGTAATGCCAGGGGCCTTTGTTACGACTTTCTTGTCGGAAGCCAGTTTAAGGGGACCCTAATGGCTCAGATCCGGTTCAAGGATCAGGTCCGGATTCATTCCAAAACCCAGCTCTTCCATGCGTGCGAGAACCTCGTCGAAGGCAGGTTGGTCGAGGTATTCGGCGACTTTCTTGGCCCATTCCACGTACTCGGCGCTTTGACCTTGGCGAAGGGGCGAGTGGGCAGGGAGGGTCTTGGCGGCTCGCAAAAAATGGCTCAGGTCGCGCAGGATATCCATCCGCGCCTTGCAGAGCGTCACGTAGAGAGCCCCGAGCCCTGAACGAGCGTCGTCAGGTGTGGACGAATGGCGCAATCTTGCCTCAAGGATGTCCCTTTTGGCGGGGAAATTGGACCATATTGTCCAGAACCTGGGAAGGTCTTTCCATAGCTGATTTCGGGTGCGTACAAAGAGTCTGGAAGAAGCACTAATTATAAGGATGATTTGCCAGAAATTTGAGTGTATAGAGCGTACGTACCGTTCGGTGGGACTTTCGGGGTCATAATCGCACGGATCTTCGACCCAGTTTTTGAAGTCATGCATAACGAAGGAATCGGGTATCATGTCACGAGGCAATGCTCGGAGAAGCCACGAGGATCTACGGAGTAGGAGGGTATAAGAAGACGATGAAGCGTCCTCCGTCGGGAAGGAGGTGGAAGGGAAAACGTACTGTAATGCTTCAGACCGCACATTTATGTTCTTATATTTTCCAAGGTGGCCTTCATAGTTCAAAAGCGGTATGCCATGTCTACCTACATCTTCAGCCAGCGTGAAGCCACGGGGTGTGGCAGTCCACCTGCACGCTGGGCTCTCCCCCGTCTTGGTTGTTGACAAGGAGGGGCTGCTTCCATGACGGCGACAAGGTGGAGGTTAGATTTGCGGTTAAAGCCCAAATCTTCTCAAAGTTACTCGGTGAGGTCACGAACAACGGAAGGTGGAAGGACGAGGACTTAGTGGTGCCACAGCCACTGGCTCATATCGACAGGGGACGGAAATGGAGGATGATTCAAGAAAATGCTGTCGAGTGGGCGCGGTCCCTCCTAGCACAATGCAAGGGGTGGGCCGGAAAGCATTGAAGACAGGGTGCACAGGGCGGCCGTACGTCGCGATGTGCGCATCGTCAAACATGTAGTGCTTAAACACAGGTCCCCGTATGAGCGATTAAACCTTTGCCAACCAAGCGTTGGCCCTCTCCTGCACAGTCCCGCCCCTTCTCTGCCTATCCGTTGTCCCCCTGAACACACTGAACAATCCACACCCCTCAATCCTACCCTTCTCGTCCACGACGAACTCCACGATCGCTTCGCTCCCCGTTTCCCACATACCGAAAGCTGTCTTGTTGGCCCCATACCCCTGCGGGAATAGGACCTCCATGGTGATATCGAAGGTCATATTACTACCCGCCCGTCTGACGAGTCGCGCATGGGTGGATAGCCGCCGTGGCCATATGGCAAGCAGTTGACTCAGTTTTTGCGAGGGCGGTGGGGGTATTGGCGCCGCGGCATCGACGGCTTCGAAGTCTTGGTAGACTCGGTCGCAGTAATGGGAAGAGCTTGTGGGAGCGCAGAACGTGAGGGAGCCGTAACCCGCGTCAGTGTAGGTCAACGCTGACGGCCTTAACCTCGGATGAGCCATGGGCGAGTCCCGAAGTAGGACTCCGACCTCCGGTATACGTACATCCACAACTTGAGTTTGCAGGATGAACTTTGTCGAGCATGTCTATCAGCCCGAGCAGACTGTCACCTTATAGATCAGCGCTCAGCAGTCGAGTTGTATAGAAAGAGGTGTGCATGAAGAGTTCTCAGCAAGGAACAAGTGCCAGTGCCTGCCCTCCAAACAAGAGGAACTAATTGTAGATCAGGATACAGCAAGTATATGGATGTACTGTACAATCTTTTCAATGAACCTAACAGAGGCGCGGTTAGCGCCAGTCTCTACCGCGGTCCGTGTGGACGAAGGTGGTAGTATTAAGTACCTAACAGAGGCGCGGTTAGCGCCAGTCTGTATAGTACAACATATAAGTATCGCGGCAGCTATATCTGTGGTGAATGCTCGTACCTCTACCGCGGTCCGTGTGGACGAAGGTAGAGATACGAGAGGTCAACCGACGGGCTATGGCATACGCCCGGCGGTTACCGGTGGGGGATTAGGGGGTGGCGTTGCTAGACGCACCTCGTCGTCTGACAAATCTTGCGGGCAATAGCATTGGGGATCTTATATGATCAAGAACTAGTACGATACATTCGGAGTCCTTGCCCGTGCAATGTATATCTGCTTCCAGCAGTTATCACGAAAAGACGAATTCGATCCTTTCCTCGTTCATTGTAATCACGACGCGCTCCGGTAGCAAAAGCGGTGGTTCGATGAGCTCCGGCTCGGGTCCAAGAAACTCAAGATCGACGTCAAGGCCAAGCTTCTTCATGTACTTGACGGGTTCCCAGCACGCCCGTTCTTGAAGGACGTGGACGAACTGTCGGGCTTGTTCCACGAATAACGTGGGATATCGGAAGCGCAAATCCGAATCCGGCGAGAGGGTGGCGGCAATCTGATAGAGGCGAGCGATGCCACGCAGAAGGACAAGTCGGATGCGGTAGCATTCGACATAGAGAGCCTGCAGAGCGATCTGGGCTTTGAGCGAGGAGGAGGAGTGCCGCCACCGGGAAACGAGGGCGTCACGGACGGCGTAGAAAACCCGCCAGGTCTGTTGCAGGCGGACGAGGTCACGTCCGATTTTGTGGTGCACGCGCACAAAGCGCCTGGAAGGAGGAATTGACGTGAGTGGCGTGCTCATTTGACAAGAGAGGCCGCGTGTGAAGTGCGTACCGCTCCTTCCGGTCTGTCATGCCATGAAGCACATCGCAGAGGATGTACCCCCTTTTGTCAGGACTGCTGATAGTAGGAGCAGTTACGAACACGGGTCCCTTGGTGGATCGCATCGGTAGCAAACACTTAGGAGTTGACGCGTTTCTATAGATGGTGGCGAGAGTAGCGTTTATCTCGACGAATGAAACGGGTGGGCTGCGTACGAAGTGGACGGAATATCTGCGTTTATGTGAGAATGGTCTCACCGTGGCCTTGCTCGAGTGTTGCCTTGCGCAATAAATGCGGGCCACTGGGTTATGGCGTAATGGAACCGTCGCGAAGCATCACTACGGCTGTTGAGCATACCAGTTCAGTCATTGTAGCAAAGTCATTGTAGCAAGCGAGATTCCTTGGTCACCAAGGCATTGTGTCGGAGTACAGTGACAATGCAACATCGCAACCGCCGAAAAGGAGACAACCTTCGGAGAGGGATATCGACCGTCCTGATAGAATGTTTGCGTACTTAAATGAGTTGGCTCTGGCTTCTTCTTTCTTCCGCTGTGCAAGATTTGCGAGATATATGGCTGTTTTGTACCATTCTTCATCAGAGCCCATGAGCGAGGCGGGAAACTTGGTCAATTGCCAAAAGTACAGAACTGGGTGGCTATGCAGACCACGTGGCTTGCCTCGTCACTTCGCCTTGCCTTGCTCATCACCTTCCCTTCTCGTCAATTCATCCAGATAATGCAGCAACCTTCATCTTAGACTACGCTCACCGGCTTGTGCCTCCGTGGAGGCCAAACATAGCTTCCCAGTTATGTTCACGCGCCAGTACCGTGACTGCACTCGGTAGGGGACCGGGATGGCCTGAATGATGGCCTGAATGATGACAGCCTATAACACGCCCTAGCATACCCTTTGGGGATTATATAAGTGCCAAATATCCTCGATAAAAGATTAGATCGAACAGCATCATTAATTGAACCTCTGGACAGCCTGTGACTCAAGTAGTCTCCGGGTGCCCGGTGCACACTTCAACATGGCTCGATTTGATTGTGTTTTTTAGTCGCCAGTGCTGCTCATACGTGGTATTTTATTCAAAATTCAAAAGAAAGCCTACGGTCTCTTATAACGGGCACAGACCGTGCGCGTAATGTGAATAAATCAGAATCGAGTTCAAAAAACCCGGGCATTGCATCAAAAAAATACACCATGACGAGATATCCTTAACGACCCGATGAGTAAAAAAATTCCCAGATCTGAGCGTTGGCCAGCTCAGCACGCGGCGCCTTCGATTTGCTTCAGCGACGCGAGCAGCTCGCGCGCGTCCCCCGCACGGAACACGTCCTCCGCGCTCATCTCCGTGCACTGCCGCACGACCGCGAGCGGCTCTGCGCACTCTCGCTCGTGCAACCACTCCCGTAAGAGCGTCGCGCTGCGCACCGCCTCGGTGGCCCGCTTCTTTCGGCGAGCAGGGTGGGGGTGGTTCGAGCTCGGATGGCTGTCGGGGTGCTTTGCGTCGGGGCGGGAGAGGGAGTAGGCGGAGGCGGCGACGAGGAAGCGGGAGATGGCGCGGAGCGCGGTGAGGCGCGTGCGGTAGCAGCGTAAGCAGGCGGAGAGGAGCTGTTCGCGCACGACCGGCTCGACGAGCATGTGAGAGAGTTGGGGAGAGTGTAGTGCCTCGCAGGTGGAGTAGAAGGAGTGCCAGGCTTCGACGAGGGCGCGGAGGCGCGATAGGAGCGTGCGGGAGGCGAAGGTGAGTTCACTGTTTTTGAAAGTTGAGTGAGAGCGAGGGAGAGGATGAAACAGGGACGAACCGTGCGGTATCGGTGAGGGTGGAGAGGGAGGTGTCTTGGGTGAATTCCCAGCTTCGGTATGTCGTCAGAGGAAGGAGCTTGTGCATGAATATGGGCGGCATGGTGGATGTGTGCGCGGACGCGGTGATGTGAGGTTCGCGGAAACGCGGTGTCTTTGGAGTTGGTACGCAGATCGGATTTACTGTCAAGCCGGCCTGCCCAACTCTTGGTGTATATAACAGAACGGCCGTGCAATGCGCCCAATAAAACGAACGGCTTGGGTGTCATGATCGCGGGGTTGTGCAGGAGTTACGATAGATTTAGGCGATGGCCTTGTGATGTGCCACTGGCTGTTTGTTGGTAGAGGATGAGGCGCAAGGCCACGCACGCCACCGGTACAGAGGTTCGTATTTTTTTTGCAGCGCGTTTGTCCTCTGTTAACTAGAATATCGAGTCGCCGGAAATGCGTTGATGGAGCGGAACTGAGCGTCGAATGACCGATCTATGACTTTGGAGCTCATGGAGGTGCATTGTGAGCCAATTCCTGTCCGTTAGCAGTCAGTTGTGGACATCAAGGTGACTCTATGTGGGGGTTGTACACACAAGGCAAAACGTTCGTAGCATAAGTGGCCATGCAGCGCGTTGCTGATCATCCCAGGTCCTTGCAGATCCACCGTTGTACCTAAACGTCGACGTTCGCCTTTGCAAGGCGAGAGCATCTTGAACGAAAGGCACTGGGGACTCAAAGCATGCCCACAAGTCACCTCTCGTAGATACGTGACACCTGGCCGGGTCGGTAGATAAGCTACATTTAGACGCAGGCGGTGACAAAGTTCTGTCTCCAGATCCATCGTCGTATTCGATTGTGGATGCAACGTGGGCCGAGGCTGAGTCTGCGATTGTATTGAAGGCGTGAGAGGTCTCGTCTAATCCGGTAAAGAGCGGGGCGTTGCCCAAGGAGGTCATTTGGCAAGCTTTTGTGTTTGGTGATGTCCGGAGTCGATCAGTTCCGATACCATGAAGAGGCGAGGGTGTTGAATAAGTATGAGGGCGCGATCGTCGCAAAGGGCGCAATCCTGTCAAACAGCTTGTTGGAAATAGCGGAGCGCAAGTGAGGCGACAGCGGCGATGCGTCACTTGCATCACGATAGGCACCTGGGAATAGACTTTTGTGTTACGTCGGCGGCGGCCAACCAGGAACGGGCGATACATCATGTCTCTTCTGTTCAGACATAGCGGCGATCGGTGCTCGAGGATCTCTGGAAAGACGCTCTGGCTAGGAAAGCCGTTGCATACAGAGGAGACATTGAATGGACATGAAGTGCAGACGACAAAAGTTACGGCAACATGAGTGTGGGAAAACGTAGCCTTATGGCTCACGTGGCGCGACAGAATACCCCTCGCCTCTCGTCGGCGTCCACTCATCCTTCCACACCAATGCACCGGCGACGCCGTCGCGGGCCTCAAAACACCTGAGTTGCATCTTCAACAGCATATCACGTCTCGTTTCCTCCCGCTCCGACTGTGAAAACTAGCGCTCATAGCCGAGAACACACAGTCCGAGGAGGACCATATCATTCGTCCACTCGTGTTTACTCGCTCCGGGGTTTCGCGTCATATCGCACGCACGCACCGCCCAGCGCGTGTAGCCCGGAGGCATTGGCAGCGCAGCGCGCCGTACGGTCTCTGGAACCTACCCCGTAGCTGAGGGTTCTCCACAACCAGGCACTCGGGTTCCTTATCGCCCAGCCAGCCCAGGCCTCCGCATTCCCTCTCAGGAGCCAGTTATAAGCATCCGTGAGTGCTCCTCTCGTTTTGTCTCTCTTTCATTTTGCCAGACACTGCCCCCCTCAATACCCCTCCCCCGCCCCTTCACTCTATCTTCGTTCGAAGTTCACCCGCCTGTTTCTCACTTGTCGATTGTTGTTTCACGTCCCCGTGTCACGACCGCCCCGAAGACCAGTTCTTGTCCGCATCTCACCTGGCTGTCCTTGTGTCTCAGACATCACGGGGACGAGTTTTCTCAACTGTCTCACTGGCGTTGGGCGCGCCAGGCCCGTCCGAATCTTCATTTCCGTAGATCTGCTCCGTTATATACTTGACCTCCGGTCTCGCAACGTGCCTGCTCCCCGCAAACCGTGACTGAGCATCTACCTTTCCCCATGTCCAGAACCCTCCCCCAGTCGTCCTCCACGAGGGTATTCATCTGCCGGCCCCGCAACCCCCGCGCGTCAAGCGACCCGCAACAGCCCCCGCCCGCCTACTCCGCCGCCGTTCAGGGCTGCCCGCCCCGCCCGCCTCTTTCACGTAAGCGCCCGCGCGCATCCTCCGCCGCGTCCCCTAAGAGCATCGGCACCTTCGTCCCCGTCGACGTCTGCAAATCGCACTCGTCTCCGCTGCTCTACCTCCAACCCCCATCCGTATACCCCTCGCATCGATACCCCGTCCCGCATCACCCCGAGTCGATGCCCTCGAACGAATCCGACGCGCTCGACAGCGACGACGACGGTCTCCGCCCTCACCCCTTTGCTCCCCCGCACGACGACGACGGCGCGATATACACCCGGCGCCCGGCGCTGCGCCGGTCTTCTAGCTCTACTCTATCCGGATCCGGGCTCGGTCGCCCGCACCCATCAGCGGTCGGCCATGAAACCCCCCGCGGACCCCGCGCCCGCGCGTCTATGGGCAGCCTTCGCCATCGCTTTTGGGGAACCCGGTCTCCGCATCGCCCCATAGATGGGGATGCACAGGAGGAAGAGGAGGTGCCGAAACCGATCACCACCCGATGCGGCGCGCCGTGCGCGGGCGAGACCGAGACAGACACGGATGGGGAGACGCTGTTGCCCAGAAGGGCAGGGAGGTTGCCGAACGTGCGGAACGTGCCGCGCGCGCCACCGCTCGTTCCGCCGCGGGCATACCAGCGTATGACCCCGCTTTTGTTCGAGGCCGCGCGGCTGCTGAGCATCGTACCCGCCGTAAGTACCACTCCACGATGAATGCTGGCAAATTATAGCTGCTGATTGAGAACGTCTTTGGGGCAGATCTTCGGCTCGCTTTGGAATGTGTACCACGCGTGGGACCTCCCGGACGACCCGCGCTTGTGGAGGGTGGACTACCTTGTCGCCGTGCTGTGGGTACGTCTTCCCCTCTTGCCTCCACGCGCGTTTATTGGCTAAAACGAATACGGTCGTCCAGTGCGTCCTCACCGGATGGCAGTGCCTCCGACTGACGACGGGCCTGCTCACCCGCTGGCGCGTGTATTACACCCCGCTCTCGACTCTCATCCGCCTACTCGCGCTGCAAGCCATCTGCTGGCCCGTACGTCACCTCTTCCTTTCCTTTTGCTCTCTGACGTCAGCGAGGTAGGCGACGAACTTCACGCTGACCGCGTTCGGGTACGAGAAACGGCCGGTCGTGTGCTGGGCGATCGTGGGCACGACGACGTGCTGCAGCCGCGCGATCCAGATGTGGGTCACCTCCAACCTCGTCTCGTCGTCGTCCGCGCACCGGCGGCCGCCGCTACCCCCGCGCCGGTCGAGCAACAGCGCCGTACCCCTCCACGCGCACGCCCACGCCTCCAATTCGTACTCCGGCCCGAGTTCTCTGGGATCGCCCCCGCCGTACTCGGCGTCGACCCCGGCGCTGCCGACGATGTACCCCAGCGCGCCGTCGTCGGCCGCGCCCTCGCATTCGACCACAGCGAGGAGGCAGGAGGGGTGGCTGGACGGCGTGCTCGACGCGCTCGTGGGCGCCGACGTGATGGACGACGTGGATATGCTGCCGAGCCCGCGCAGGGGCGGAAGGAGGTGGGACTGGCGGGCGGTCGGGATACGGTGCGCGTTGCCGGCCGGCGCGGTATATTTCGTGATGGCGTGGGCTGAGGCGATCAGGAGGGAGTGGGCCGGATGCTGATCCCTTTTTTTTTGCCTTTTTTTTTTGCTCTGCTCACTGACTCTTGGGCGCTGCATCGTCGTTTCTTTTTTTGCTGTCGTTGGCCGGAGCACTTCGTTCTCAAGGGACACTCGTCACATTCACGACTTCCTTAGTTACTCTCTCATCCTCCTGCACGCACGCTACCATATTAGTATACATATCATATAAAATGTACGCCCTACATGTATAGATCGGCTCCTTGCCTGTTCCTCCAATGTGATCTCTCGATGGAACGTCGCGGCAGCAAATTAGATGCCCAAGTGGATGTAGGGGGCCCATCTACTCGGATTCGGGTGATCTCGGCGGAGTTCCCGTACCGCGTCATCCAAGGCATACGGGATGTCGTCTGGATCGATCTCCTCCGCGTCACCCCCTAGCAGGACCCTATAGACCGAACTGGCGATAGCTGGCCCGTCGACGTCTTCCATCGACCTGGAAGTGACCAGGTGAGCGCATTGCTTCGCATGGATGAACATAGGGCAGGTGTGACCACACTCACCAAAGCGTGGCGATTATGCTCTTGAATCCGGCGAAGAGCATGGCGGCGGCGAGGTGCACGGCCTGGTCGGGCTGGTCCTGTAAGGCGCGTCGTGTGAGAGGTCGAAATGTGCCAGAAAACTTTGAATAGACCAGCTGACCTTGTCCCCCTTCGCTGTCTCGCAGGCGCTCAGGAACGCCACGAACGCGTTCGGCAGCGCGACCGGCATCAACCTTTCGATCGTGAGCATCTCGTCCTGCATCACGAAGCCGCTCTTGAGCGGATTCTCCGGGTCCTGGTGACCGTGACATGCGAGATGTAAGATCGTCGCCTGCGGCAGTTTCTCCAGAAGCGATTGCGCCTTGATGCCACACTCGTTCCCGGGGACCATCGCGCCGTCGCCAGGCAGCTCAGATATGTCTGCTCCGTCTGGTAATATCGCGCGAACGGCGGCTACCTCCTCGCGGGTCGACAGAAGGTCTTTCCAGTCCGGCATATCCGAGTGAGGGACTGCAGCGACCAACGCCCTCGTTTCGTGCTTCTTCGTAGGCTTGTACGTCGCTCTTGCGCTTAGGAGAGCGCCGAGGGTGGGCGTATACGACGACACGACGTAGTCCGAACACCAGGTCCCGTCGACACCTGCGGCATGGAGCGGGAGATGCACGAAGGGGCCCGTCGGACACCACCACATGCGCGGACGGTTCCTGCCCGAAGATGCCTATACGAAAGACGTGGTCAACAGAGGTTTTACTTGGATCGGGACAGGGTTTACCTGTATCTGGAGGACATCGATGATTGGATGTACGACGTTCGTCCATAACATGCGCAGGATCTCCTCTGCCCTAGAGCGTCGTGCCCTCTGGCGGTTGGCTGTTTTCGCTACCTTCAGGCGTTCGCCTAGCACGGACCTTGCTTCTGACACGGCCAGGTTCCAGGCGCCGGCAGATTCGGTAAGCCACGCCTCGCTGACTTGTCCAAGCGGAAGGCTTATGACGGGAACCGAGCGTCTGAGGACAACGGCATGGCAACCTAACTTGCTCGACACCAGAACTACGACCGGTCCTCGCTCGGCGACTTTGGCGAGCGTCGCATAGTCGTCTGGGAGGAGGAATCGCTCTTGTCCCGGTAACTGGCGGACCTGGTCCAGCAGCGAGTTGAACTCATCGCTCTGCTTTCTTCTCCTGCTCTCTTCTTCCTCCACAGCGGGAACCTCTTCGTCGGTTTGCGGAGCGTCGCTTACTTGTTCTAGCTGTCGCGCGAGGGGGACTAGCCTGTCCCGAAGATCAACCGGAACGGCGTCAAAAGGGGAGCGGAGGCGTAAAGAATGTGTCCAGAAGAGGGCGCGGCCTTGTTCCAGGATCTCCAGGGCCTTCTCCGGGAGGGAGAGGTTGAGCGCATGCGAGGCGCCTTCGAGAGCGACGCTCTGGCCCGCCTTGAGGGACTGCAACCGAGTCTGCAGATGCAGACCAAAGAACGCGACGCGGGGAAGGAGGCCGACCATGTAGGCATAGATATCTAAAAGTTGCATCTGCGCTGGCGACGCGATGTTGATCACATCCCCGTGGTGAGAATGAATGTCATCGAGAACTCGCATAGCGCCTTGTAACCGAGAGCGGACGTCTCTATGATCGTCTGCTAGAGCGTCTTTGATGTACGCGAGCGCAAGGGAAGGGTTACGGTATTGCGTGCCGTGTTCGAGGTACAGTTCTGCGGCGTGAACGAGGCACCAGTACCTATCTCGGCGACCGGGCTGCGCAAGGTCCAAAGATCTCGATGTGAGCTGCATTGCGCGAGCTGCATCGTTCACGTCCAGCAGTCGCCTGAAGCGCACCAGATAGCTGGTCGCGAGGATTCGAAGACATTCCGAACCGTAAATCCCCTGTAACGTTGCTTCCAGGTTCGGTTCCAAGGTTTGGATGGCTTGGTTGATATCTGGGGCGCTGCGGCTTTGATCATCCTGGCCACGCAGAAGATATGCCTGAGCGAGACGATATACGATCGGGGGCTTGTTGACGTGTCCTTCTGGCAGCGTGGCCAGCGATTCTTGTGCCAATGATATGGCTTCATCGATGTCCTCCACCTCGTGGAGAGTCTCGTATCGCGTGCAAAGATGGGCAACCAGTCTAAGAACCACCACGGTCATTTCGGAATGGGTCGAAGGGATGATCGACATGGCCCGCCTGTCCCAGGCCAGCGCTTCGTCGAGATCGCAAATGTTCCGCGTTTCGGAAAATCGCAGCATCAACATATCTGCTAGATTCATCGAAGGGTGGAACTGCCTGCAGTGACCTTCGGGCACAGCGTCCGCGCAAAGGCGACCGAAGTGGACCGCTTCTTCGAGGTCGTCCAGGTCGCCTTTCCATCTGAATCGCAGGCGCAGGTTATCGCCCATGTTCATCAGAAATATCCAATGGTCTGCAGAACCCGGGTCCGAGCGCTGCAGAGCTTCCTGCATGAGCTCGATCGACTCGTCGATATCTTTACCATCGGATAGCTTCACTTGATGGAGAAGATTCAGAAGGAGGGCCATCCCGTTTATATTCGGAAGAAGACGTTGACCGTTCGGGCAGTCTCCATCCAAGGCGCGCCGTCCCAGGTCAGCCGCACGATTGAGGTCCTCTATGGCGCCAGAGTGGAAGAATCTGCGCTGGAGCACCCAGACCATGTCGCCTATGATCTTCCACGTGTCGATATGCGTTGGCGGGCACAGTTTCAGAGCCTCTTCGAGATACGCGAGGGACTTGTCGAGGTCAAGAGGATCACCGAAGGATTCCTGACGAATGAGCAGGTACCGGCCCAAGCAGCGCAGGTGGAGATGTCTATCGAGCGTTGTGGATGTGAGCGTCTCTGTGAGAACCTGGCGTTGAACGGTGATGGCCTCCTCGAGGCACGCGCCGGACCCGGTCGTCTCGAAGTTTCGAAACAGGATCCATCCCAGGTTGCGACATGCCGCGGCCCGTAGAGGGTGACCCGGAGGGCACAAGAGGATGGCCGCTCGGCATAGAGATTCTCCTAGGCGTCTGTCTTCGCGGTGGACGATATCATCCGCGTTGCTGTCAAGGATGCTGGCGTATTGGGAGAATACAGTGGGACAAGCTAGCCCTTCCGCGCTGCAGACATCGAGGGCGGCTTGACCATACTCCATGGCGCGCTGGAGGTCGGAGACGTCAAAGGTGTAAAGCATGCGCTTTTCGAGAGTGTGCGCCAGTTGGATGAGCACGTGATGACGCTCGGGCTGAGAGGCGGGAAAGGTGGTAGGCACATCGGCGGACAGATGAGAGGAACCGGAGATGGGGTGGACTGCAGCCGCATGGCCGTCGAGAATCGCTTCACATATCGTGATGCAACTCTGTGCGGCCTCGAGGTCACCAAAATGGCAGAATTGCTCATGGAGTCTGAGAGCTTCCGCGAAGGGACCATCGCAATCCCGGGGCAGCTCTGTTCATATGGCACAGAGATCAATGGATGTTGTTCGAAGAAGAGTGCAGCACCGTACCGGCAGCGCATACGCAAGCGCGTCGAGTGACAAGAGTAGAAGTGACTTCGCTGTCTGTGGATGACCGCGCATAGCCTGATTCATCATTCACGGCTTGAAAAGAGAGAACATATGATTAAACAAACACAGAGTGAGCAAGTCAGGGTTGCGACTAGGCTGTTCAATGAGTGTAGACGTACAGATGGCCGAATCGAGGAGTACGGGACCTGCGTCTGTCATTATGGGTGACGAACTGCCCGTTGAAGATGTGCTTACCGTCTTTTATATTGCCAGGTGTCTTTCTCCCTGGGTGCAAGCTATCGTCTGATGGGTTCACCTGTGCGGGCTGAATTGAACCCTGATACCAGCATCATACAACGGAGCAGCCAGGCCGAGCATTCTGTGACAATAGCTTTACAGCTATCAAAGGCGGGTACACTCGGCAACATCGACGATCCGATATTCCTGGATGACGTCTCATTCAAACAGGTCTTGAGGGTAACGCAGATTCGCACAACGGTACCGCCTGACCATGCGTTGTTCTGTAGATGGAACCTGGCAATCGCCGAAGGCCGCTCTTCGTGCACGATGGGAGAAGAAGTTAATGAAGGTCCCAGCGCTAGAGAGGATTGGGAGTGGCAGTTCGATATAGCATACTTGAGCGTGAGAGGGACTGAACCCAGGTGAGCTCGGAGCGGATACAGTACCGAGGGCAAGATGACATACTTAGGCTTCGAATGTTTGATGGGCGCCTTCTCGCACAGGATCAAGCGTCCACGGCCCAGTTTTTATTATCTTTCGCGTATCGTGGAGAGAGAGCGGCATCCAAGGATCGGCGCTCCGGAGAGACGAAGTTGCGGCTGCTGCGTGAAAAAAATAGGTGCAAACAGCCTATGTCGCTCGAGGGCTGGGTGACGAGCTCCAGCACAGACTGTGTTTACAGCAGTGGATAAACGCATTATCGGGTAAGATGAGGACGTCGCTCGCGTCCGAGGTAAAGGAGGGCACCGAGACACGCATATCAGCCCGCCTTACCCGATTCGGAAATTAGCGCCGTGGCGAGCCCCTGTGCTGTTTTGGATCACCGCCCTCCTGCGCATCCCCGACACCTTCGCGCCCGTCGTCGAGCCCACCCCGCTCGAGCTCGTTAACGTCGTCTTGAAAAGAGACCACCTAAGCGAGAGAACAATATACTCATTGATTCACCGCTGCCCGTTGTCTTCGCTCCCAGGCGGTCCGCCATGGACACCGCCGCTTCAGGACCCCCTCGAGCTCACGAAACCGACCCTCGCCCGGAAGCGGCACCGGGCCATCACCCCACCCACCACCCTGTCGCCGACGGAGGCGTCCAGCATGTCTACGGTGCGTAACTTCATCTCGACGAAACCTATCTGACCTCGCCCACAGCTATCTACAGTTACACCGAGAGTACGGTGCGCAAGTGCGATCGCTGCTCGTATGAGGGCACGCCGGACACCTTCCCGCTCAAGAAGAACGGCTCTGGCTACCTCAAAGTCTGTTTCGCGTGCAACAACAAGCAGCTCGCGAAGAAGGCCGCCTCTGCCTCCACCTCCACCGCCTCTGCCAGCGCCGTCGCCTCAACCTCTTCCGTGTCGCACCATGTCATCGCTACCGCACCGCTGCAGATCAGCCGCCACAACGGGGACGGCCCCAGCCGCAACTCCGCGATGGAGCTTGAGCAGTGCCTGCAGACGATAGCGAGCAACAAGGACTGGCCGTTCAAGTTTGACTCCTTCGTTCGGCTCACGCAGGAGGAGATGGAGGGCTTGTGGCAGGGCGGCGCGGACGCCTCCGTGCACGCCCGCGCCAATGCGATTCGGGATCGGGTTGCGCTCGCTTCAGGATATCACTGGAAGTGCGTCGCCTTCTCCTCCCTCGGCCCAATCCATGTCGTCGCTAACCTGCGCATACAGCCAGAAAAAGTCGCTTCGCGGCAAGGGCTCTTCGCGCACGACGGTGATCACCTACTACTGTTCGCAGCTCGAAGGCGAGAACACGAAGCACAAGCTCGTTGCGGACGAGGGCCGGCGGCGCGCACGGCGCGATAAGATGCCGCGCTACCACTGCGGCGGCTGGCTCCACGTCACGATCGTCGACGACGACCCGCTCTTCGTCCGCGTCCGGCTCGCGCACGACGAAGCGCACCCGCCGCCCGACCTGGAGGGCCGCAAGCGCGCTCCCGCCCCGAGACGGAGCAGTCAGCTCGTTCACGACGATCACGACCTTGACCACGCGCAAGATCCCGGACAGGGGCAAGGGCAGAGGGAGCCCGTCGCACCGGAGATAGGACCTGACGGGACGGTCGACGCGTCGTACCTGCTCGAGCGCCTTGCCGCGTCCGCCGCAGAATCACTCGGCGCAGACGCTCCCCAGCCTCAACCTCCGCCGCCCAGCACCGCCACCCCCCTGCAACTACCCGCTATCCGCCCCAGGCCACCAGCTCCAGCACCTGCCTCCCAACATCAACATCAACAAGACGTATCACCTTACGCCGACGTGGCATACGCGCTCCCCGAAGGCTTCGGCCCCCCTAGTCCTCCCTTCAGCCCCAGCTCACTGGGCGCGGACACGGCTCCGTTCTTCCAGCCACAGGCGCAGGTGCCGGGCACGTCCCAGCCGCATCAACACCAACATCAGCAACAGCAGCATGCGTACACGGGCGCGAACGGGACGGCCCCGGGTCCAGGCCCGATGCAAGAATACATTGACCCCGCGCTCCGCAACGCACCCATACCACCGCACTCCGTACGTTCTCCCTCTCTAACTGCATCTTCGTCTTTTGATGTTTCATCATTTCGACGACAGGTCATCTACCCGCCCGCGGTCGTCGAATCCGCCCGACGCGCGTTCGGTGCCATCCTCGACGCCATCGCCGACCCGCGCGGGCTCGACGCCGAGCTCGCGCACAAGCTGCACCCCATCCTCGGCGCGTCGGTCGAGCTGGCCGGCGCCCTGCTCGCCCAGGGCCGGGGCCAGCAGCGCGATCCTGGGTCAAGCGGAAGTAGTGGCGAGGGGCAGGCCCGCGCTGCGAAGCGGGCGCGGCTCCGATGATCATGATGACAGACATTCTTGTGCTCGTTCGTTCGATTTCATGGGGTCTCCTTCTCTGTATGACGAAAGAAGTCGTGGAAGACCCCTCCGTTCTTATGTACACTTATAATGGACTGCTACTCATGGACTGCTTTCTGTATCGTGCTCCGCGCACAAGTGCTTGTTAGCGAAGCCTGTACTTACTTATCATTCCCCGTCTTCCGGGCTCGAATTCGACCGAACGCACCGAAGGCGGAAATCGCGTTTCCGAGTACGAGAGCGGCTATATTCGAACGATGTCGTAGTAAAGTACATCGGAGAGCTTGCCTTTAGCAGTCTCATACTACGCGACAGCAGGTTACAACAGCAGAGCAGTCACAAACAGATGCAGGTGATACAAAGCAAGATAAGTAGATATAGGTTACGAGAGCACAGACAACGCAGCGGCGAACGCGAATGGCGGCGTCGCAATGGTAAAGGGTATTGGTGGGGGCAGCAGGGGGTATGCAGGAAAGGTAAGATGGGAGAGGAAACTCCGGGACGTGTTCGATAGCAAGTACATTCAGGGCAGTCAACAGCTGAGGGGAAAGCATTTGCAACAGGAACAGGTGAGATGACAGCAATCAAGACGCCCACATGAGCGCGTCGTGCGTTTAGGGTCCGGTGGCCTCTTATAGGCGCTTCGACGAACCTGGAGGGACGGGAGAGAGGGATAGCGAAAGACATTCTTTGCGAGGCACAACAGCTTGTTTTGCTCCTGCGGCTAATTCAGGATGATGGATGGCGTTTAATTCCTCCGCGGGCGCTTAGGAGTCCGGCCAGGCGTCTTCGGTGGTTCGCCATCGTCCTCGAGCGCACTTCGCGTCCGTTTCTTCGGAGCCCGGGCTGGAGTTGGGGGAGGGTGGACGGCTTTGACAGGTGACTTGCACTTCCGCGACGGCTGCGTGCGAACTGGAGAGCCAACGGGGATAGAGGCCAACGGGAAAGCCGAAGGCCTGTCCCGTTTCTTGTACGATGCGGTGGCGACGACTTCCTTGCCCTGAGTGCCCCGTGTGGCAGCCTTGGCTATCCTGCGCTTGCCCTGGACGATCCGACCGGTAATCTCCTCATCGTGCTCGTCGGCCTTGGACGCGATACGCAAGCTCCGGCGCCGCTTGGCAGGGCGCGGCGGCGATTCGAGGCCAGATTCGGGCGACGATTCGAGCGTTGCGGAACGCTTGCGCTTGCGCGAAGTCGAGGTCGAGGCGACCGGGGTGACGGGCACGAGCGAACGGTTCCTGGGAGACGGGGCCGGGCTCCGAGATCCAGTCCTGGAGGGCGCGAAGGACCGCTGGGCACGGGTAGATAAGGCTGGGCTAGGGCTCCTGTTGCGCGACCGACCACGCTCTTGCACTGGTTCGCCCGATTGCGGCAGAGATCCCGATGGTACGCGAGAGATCGAGCGGCTGCCGGCTTGCTGGGAGACGATCGCGGGAGGCGCCCCATAGCTGCTCCTGGATCTGGTGACCCGGTCGAAGGTAGACTGAGCGGCGTTCACCTGCGCCAGCCAGTTGCCGATGTGATGGGCCGTGGGATCCTGGCGCGGCACACTGTTGGTGGTGCTGGGGCCAGCCTCAGGTGGGTCAATTACCATAGGCTGTGCGGTTTCGACAGGTGCCGTAGCAGGAGCCGAAGAGGAAAACGATACAGGGAAGACGTCCATGAGCCAGTCGATATCCATGGGATCGCTCACAGTCGTCGACGTCGTCGTTACCGGGGGCTCCTCGGCTGGGGGTTGCGCCTCCATGGAGAGGATTCCGTAGGGAAGATACCGAGGCCGTGGCTTGATGCGCTCGGGGTGCATGGGACGCGCGCGGGAGAGACGTTGTCTGCCGTACTTGCGGTTCGCCATGTCTACGATCCGCTGTCGCTCGGCTAGAGTCAGAGGGGGGCGCCCCTTGTAGATGTACGGCCGGGGCGAGGGTAGGCGGGGGGCGCTAGCCTTGGGATTGATGCAGCGCCGCGAGAATCGAGAGATGGGAGACGAGTAGCGCCGAGGATACCAGTCGGGTGGTAGCGGGATGGCGTCGTAATCGGGCTGCGTGAAGTCACCCGTACCGGGGTAAGGAGCGGGAACGGGGCTGGTCTCAGAGAAGAAACGGTAGGCCTGGGCTTCGAGCGAGTCGTCTTCCTCGTCGTAGAAGTGCAATTCTTGCATGGGCTGCTGGCTAGAGGAACTAGAGGAGTTAGCGACGAGATGAAAGTTGGACTTAGGGTGGGGCTGTGGACACGGACCTGCTACTGGGTTGGCTGAAATCGGTGCTGGAGCCCCCGGTGGCGAGGGCGAAGGCGAGAGGAAGGTACTTCTGAGCTGCAGAGGACAAACTGGAGAACAACATGGAGGTAAACGCTGTCGTCATCGCGGCGGATGACAAGGGGAGGCTGCAGGTGCAGGTAAGAGATAAAGACGCGAGGCCGGGCTGTCACGAGCGCGACGCGTTTATATTAGCATAGCCACAACATGCATTGTCCTCGGTCCGCCTTTGTCCTTTGTTCTCACGCACCGCCACATCGTGCGAACTTCCTCCTGATCTTCTCCTGGGCAATCGACCGAGGCTTCGAGATCCATTATTTATCAAGGGTATCATCTAGGTGCGAACATACTTCTGCCACAGGATATCGAGCCAAATCTATCAGTAACGGAAGAATAACCAGTGAAATCGGTCCCTGTTCATGCGTCAAGTAACAATTGCCGACGACACTGTTTCAACCAAGTAATCGTCTGGTCGATGCATGGGCGCTCGGCCGGCCTAAACGACCAGCACGCCCGTACAAGCGCGTACAGACGGAGAGTCATTCCATAAGGTCGCGAGGGAAGACAATCGGGGTGGGCCATGAAGTATTGTGTGCTATGGGCTGGAACCCTTCCCGTCATGAGCTATAAGCACGACATCGGTAAATACAAGAGACTTCTCGGAAGGTTCATGCCCGGAACACACCTGCATGATCAAGAAACCCAGAGCCCAGATATCCACGGGTTTGCCGTAGACGCGGCACGGACCCGGTGCTGTCATTTCCGGAGCGGCGCGCCTGATAAGTGGAGTTGTATCATGAAGGGGTTGCGGCAGACGGAACATTTGAGCGTACCACGACAGTCTGTTCCAGTCCGATACCGTCCATGGACACGTCACCCTGCCATGAGTATCTAGCATCTGACATACATTGATAAGTATGATGAGCAGTTGTTTGCCAATACAGAATTCTGCGTACCTCAGTCTCGTAGAAGCCCGTAAGGTAGACCCGAACCCCATAGCGTTCTTCCATGACAACAAACCGCGTCTGTGGACGCGGACCGAAGCGGCGTTAGCATGCATAGCTTTTGTTTCGACATAGAGATGTCACGTACTTCGAAAAGATCGCCATGCACGATGTTCCTGTCGTGCAAGGACTTCACACATTCCGCCATCTGGATCAACTGCGATAAAGAATATGACGCTGTCAGATATTTGTACGAACGCATGGACGATCGTATTCCTGGTACGCACCAACAATAGCCGATCGACACCGGGGTTCTGGTCGATGTACATACCGACGTCTCCGTATCCGAGCGGACTAACCGTGTAGCTGAGCATCACAAGAACCCATGAGTAGATTGTACGAGCAAGAGCACGCTGCCATTGGAAGACCCCTCACCTGTACGCGCCCGCGATACCGCATCCCCAAAGCGGCAAAATCGCACGGCGCTCGTCTCCCCGGCACAGCACCTCCCAAATCCGAATCCCGCGCATGAATCGCTGCTCAGCAACTCTGGTTATCAAGCTTTTGACTTTTCGAGAACAACTCACGGTGACACTGTCAGGATCGTTCGGATTGGCGCAGAGGCGAAGGACGGCGCAGGCCTCGATGGGGTACCGCCGGAGGTGGTAGACGGTCGCGGTACGCCCGTTCAGCCAGCGTTGGTAGAGTTGCGGAGCAGTGGCGCTGTCGAGCGCCGCTGCCGCCGCTTGATACATGCGGGAGGTGAGGTCTTGAATGGCCCACAAGGCCCGATTGTCGACCTCGTGCGGGCGCTGGGCGGTGGATCGGTCTTCGAGAGGAAGCTGATGTTCCTCCTCCTGCTCGTCGACTTCGAAATCGGATATGATTTCCTCGTCTTCACTGCTGTCCTCGTCCTCGTCCCCGATCTTATATGACAAAGACAGGAGAGACGCGGTGGGCTCTTTTGATTCGATCTTGGGGATCTTTCCATCTGAGAAGTCAAGATTTTTCGACTACGAGATAGTGCGGATGAGTACCGTCGACGACAACGACAACATGAATAAATCGGAAAATGTTACGTACCATGGCGTCGGGGCGAGAGCGAGTAGTTCAATGTTGGGAGAGGAGTAGAAAGAACCGGCCGCGTCCGAGGACCCTTTTATGCATGGACGCGCATATAGAGAGCGGGAGAAGGGACCAGACCAATCAATGTTTGTGGCCAGGGCGTTGCATTTTTCGACGGCGACGTTGCGATGGACCCTTTGCTTTGTCTCTGCACGGAAAAGCTCGCGTCTTCTCAAACGCCAGTAGAAGTCTCGCCAGTAGTGTTGTCATACTCGACCGAAGGCACACAACGCGTGTGGAACACATCAAGTCATCGATGAACCTGGAATCATAGTGCATCAGCGAGCCGAAAGATCGTCAAGACTGTGCATACATAGCACGGAAAGCCTCTCCGTTCCCCGAAGGTGGCCTCTTTAATTCGTCGCGTTGTCATGCATGGTTTGCTTTGCGACCCGCACTTACGTTGGCCGATCGCGCTGGCCACAGCTCGTCCTTCAGAATTTGTGAGTCATGGGATGGTGGTTTGCATGCATACATGGAATTGCATTCTGAGCATATTTACCGTCTTCGCTGAGAACCCATGCGGATATATTGTGCGCCAGGATCACAGAGTGGAGCTGAAGATGGGTGATCGGCTATCGAGGAGGCGGGTGCACGATCACGGTCACGTGGAGAATACTGGTGATCGCGAAACGCGCTGCATTGCCTGGGTGGCGCTTGCCCTCTTGCCAACACAAGTTCTGGACGAAACCGCCAAGTCGCAGAACAGCGACACTGGAAAACGCAGCGATAATTGACTTGAATATTGCAGCTTGGTGTTCGAGGTTTTGCGGACACGTTCGTGCTGTTTCCGCCTTAGGCTACGAAGATATGTACGACGGTTCACGGACAAGTTCGGGAATCTCCATCTGGAGAGAAACCTCGATCTCTGCGTTGTGTGAAGCCATATCACTCTGAATTTCATCATGACGGCGGCAAGAGGTGTGAAACAGGAGGCATAAGATACAGCAGGATCAAGCGTATTCGTTTGTGGTATCGACGTTGTACTCGGCATCGTAAACGTCCATGATCTGTGGCACGACCCTCATCCACTCGGGATCATCAGTGTTCCAACCGTAAAGTGCCTTTCTATACTCCCAGTACGCCGGCCACCATCCCGCCATCTCCCAATCAACGATGGCGGTCACTCTCCCAGTGCTAGGATCAACCATGATATTAGCTGGATTGAAGTCCGCGTGGCTGAAGACGATCGGGTAGTCGTCCTTGTATTGGCGCCGAATAGAGTCGTAATATGGCCCCGGGCGGTGTGCCTTGATGCGTTGGTGGAGAAGGTCATGAAAGGCAGCGACGGATGGTAAACGCGGGAAAGATCCGTCCCTGGTCCGAATGCGATGGTCGGCACCGGGTCCCCCTGAGCACGACCCAATCCAAGGACCATCGGGCTGCTTCAAGGCTCTGAGTTCAGCTAGGTATGCCCGGAGTTGCGCGACGACGAAATCCTGGGCCGCTTGGGTCATCGCAGGCCATGCGCGCTTGAGCGTGTCGCCTTCCATAAACTCCATGAGCAAGTATGATCTTTCCTGCTTTCCGTCTCCTTCAAGCTCCCAGACATCGTATACGCATGGAACAGGTATGGAGGTGTTCGCCCGTACGAAGGCCAGAGCTTCAGCCTCGCGCAGTATGTAGTGACTGAATCCAGTCTTGAGGATTGTATGAGGGTCGAGTTGCTGCAGGGTATGGGTGGAACGAGGTATTCGGTCGGGAGGGTAGAGCTGCTTCGCAAGCTCGAGGTATGCTGGAAGCGTATGGCGAGTAATCATGTTTCTGTCAGGGAGGAGAAGGCTCGAGAAGGGGACCTTCTTGAGCCTGCGAACAGTTCTCATTACCTTGGTGTCCTCGACAGCATTCCCGCATCATCAGTGCCGTAGCTCCCCAAAATGCGTCGTCAGACAGCATTTGCGGTTCTCTGCAACGTTCGACTGAATCTGACTTGCTACCCAAGCCGCTGACTGTGTTGCTGTTGAGCGCACCACATGCTTCCGTGACCATGGCTATTCCTATACCGAAGCGTCTCGCGAGGCGTTCCCATTTCGTTCGTATGCGGAGAGTAACGCTCTTCTGCTCCGGAATGAATGACTTTGCTCGGGTGATTCACCCACGGTTGTTTGGAGTTCCTTCGTGTCCATGGGGCGTTACGGCTTAGTCCATAATTGATGCGGGATGTTGCATCTTGGAAAGCACTACCGTCTGCTTCCCTCAGCGCTGGTCAAATATCTTTACTGCCGCCTTCAAAAGCTCTCCTGGTGCTTGGCCGTTCTTCTCTGGTCTTCCTGTACGTTCGTGTGCGAATCACAATACCCATGGATTGGTCGCTGAGATACATCATTTCATTTCTTGTACGGGTAGTCGTCAAAGACGTCGAAGTCGAGACCCCATCCCTTGCTCGGGTTCACAACCCGCTGAGGCTTGTGACTAGTAGCAGCCTTCTCCAGCTCGTCGAACAGATCATCAGGGAGAGCAGTGACTGTCAATTCATCCCGTCAGGATTCGCGTCTCCCTGTACGTCACGCGTGGTCACTCACCCTTGAGGTTTTCCTCCACCCTCGACGGCGTCACCGACTTGGGCAAGACGACCGTCCCGCGCTGAACATGCCACGAGATGATCGCCTGCGCGGGCGTGATCCCGAGCTCCTTCGCGATCTTCTGCACGACGGGCAGCCGGAGCGTCTCGCCGACCTGCTTCGAGCTCCCGAGCGGCGAGTATGCCTCGAGCAAGATCCCGTGCTCCGCCGCCCAATCGAGCAGCTCCGGCTGCGGGTTGAAGTAGTTGAGCTCGACCTGGTTCACGGCCGGTTTGATCTTGAGCGGGTTCGCGGTCAGGTTGGCGAGGCGCGGGATGTTGAAGTTGGAGACGCCGATGTTGCGGACCTGGTGGTGATGGGGTGAGTAGATTGTCGTTGGGTTGAATTAAGAGCGAAGGAGCGCGCGTACCTTGCCCTTGGCGACCAGGGCTTCTAGGGCTTGCCAGGTAGGGTACGGGTCGGCAGTCAGGGCTTCGTCAAGCACGTTGTTAGAGCCTTTCTTGAAAGCGACGGGCCAATGGATGATGTACAGGTCGACGTAGTCCGTGCCGAGCTTCTGCAAAGACTCGTCGAGGGCGGGCTCAACGTCTACGCGCCGCGTAAAGTGTCAGAGTCCTGCAAATTGGACACAGTGCGGCAGGCGCACCTTCGGGAGCGTGGAACGTGTTCCAGAGCTTGCTCGTGAGCCAGATATCCTCCCGCTTCACGCCGCTCTCCTTCAACGCCTTCCCGACCTCGGCTTCGTTGCGATAGATCCACGCGCCGTCGATGTGCTTGTAGCCGGCCGCGATGGCCGTTTTGACGGCCGTGCCGACTTCGCCGGGCCCAGCCTGCCAGACGCCTGGCGTTAGAATAGCACCGTCAGCATCGCGAAACGAGGCGTCATGCATACGGAAGAGGCGGCAGTACCGAGGGCAACGCTGGGGATTTTGTCGCCAGAGGGCAGGGTGTAGTGGGTCGGCAGCTTGCCGTTCACGGCCGTGTTGGAGACGTGGCGCAGCGCGGCGCCGCTCGCCTTGGTACCAGAATGGCAGCCGACGCGGAAGCCGCCCTGGAACGCGGTGCGGTAGAGGCCGAACATCGCTGCGGCGAGGAGGAGAACAAGAACTGTGCGCAAAGGCTTGCTGCGTTTGGGCTCCGGGTGGACGTCGAAGGGTTGGTTGAGGGTGGCGGCTGACTTGTCCGTGCTGACGACGGGCAGGCGGTGGTAGTCGTGGTAGAAGTCGGGCATGACCAAGTCGGGGCGTGGGCGAGAATCACGCGCAGACGGAGGGATTATCAATGGCCTCCAGTGACCGTCACACGGGTTTAATGATAGGCAAGGTGCCGCAGTGTGCACGATTGCACCCACATGGTGTGCCCTGGCGTGCCCGATCGAGATGACGCCATTGTTTGTTTGGCAATATTAGGATCCAAAGCCCATGCCAAGCGCAAGCAAGCAATACTCGCTACGAGTGAACGTCTCGAGGCCCATATCACTAACTTGATCGCGCTAGCTACTCCGTCATGCGCATCTACGGCTAATCCGCCCAACAATGCCAATGACATGTGGCATAGACAACACAACCGATGCGGGCCCTAGTGAGTTGCTGCGGGTCTTATCGTGGCGCAACGCCAGTCTCGGCCGATGGCAGTGCCAGAGCAATGTCTCTTCGATGGATGTGGCATGCTTGGAATGATTCACGGAAACTGCTCGACAAAGTCCACCGGCCCCGCTTGCCTTGCAGGCATGGAAACCGCTGTGGCTCGTTGGCCACAGTCATATTCGTCCCTATACTTATTGCGCCTAACGCCTGAGCGGCACCATCCCGACTTTCGCTTCCTCCTCTGTTGTGCTCTTCTCGGAATGCCTCCTACGTCAAATCGCCGTACCGGGCCCGTTTCGGACATCTCTGTACCGTCTAAACCGGGCAACCACTCATCCGTCGGCATAAAGGTGCAAGACGTCGTCCAGGGCATTCTCGATCGACAAGCCCTCTATCTTTGCTCGGAAGCCGAAACCCAGTGAGTCCCACCACCACCCTCCCCTTCTCTTCTTTACCCAACTTACAACCCCGCCACCCTTTCCCCAGATATCTCACCGCCGAAGATGACTGGCTCCAGACGTTCCACTCGATCTGGAAACGCATCAAGGTAGACGCCAAGAACACCGACGGACCCGAGCCGGGTCTCAAGGACATCAACGCGCGCGCGTACGCGGCGATCTTCTCCACGGACGTGGCGGACGTGCCTCGGGTGGCCACCGCGTCTCTGTTGCCCGTTCGCGCGAAGGCGCTCGAGGACGCTTACGCCGCACTCCCCTCTGATTGCCCGTTCCGGAATGCCACCCTGCTTGCCGTCGTCGATTTCGCAAGGCAGTGTGCAGGCTTCACCGATGCGCCGCCACAGGGAGAGCGCAAATTGCTCACGCGCCTCCGCAGGCTAATCTTCTCGAAGAGCTCTTCTCCGAGGTGATACAAGGTGATACCCATTGAATGCCGATAGAAAGATCCTGTATACTACATAGTATGATACCGTACATTATGCACTCCATTAATTAGCTGTCAGCATGTGAACAATGTCTCAAAGCGTCCCAATTGCCAACTCTTAAACATCTCACGACGACGCTGGTAATGGATGCTTTACCAGCTCGCCCGGTTTCGCGATCGGCCGGCTCAGCTTCTCGCCCGCCTTCTCCTCCCTCCCCGCCGTCTCATACACCCGATCGTACCTCACCTTCCCCACCCCAGCTTTCCGCGCTGCCCCAGCCCCTTGACCCTCGCCCTTCTTCCCCTCCCCCGGCCCCGTCGCACCGATCTCTTCCATTGTCGGGCTGATCACGCCCGCCGCGTCCGCGGAGGGCACGCCCCCGCCCGTCGCCATCGTCCTCGTCGCGTGCTCGCCGTCGTCGAACGAGCGGTTGTCGGCGTCGAGTTTGGTGGTGTGGCTGGGGTGGAGACCGAGGAAGTCCTCGACGGCGCCGACCGTGCGCTGGATGACCTTGTCCGCGGAGACTTTGAGGCCCGTGAGCCGATTGATGTAGTCGGGCAGGATGAGGAAGACGTCCGAGAACGAGGGGTGCGTGGCGCCGCCTTTGCAATGAAAAACGTCAGTCGTGTTTAGGGTGGATGGAGAACAACCTAGGAGGAGATGCACACCGATGCTGAATACTTGGAGCGAATCTTCGGTCGTGCCGGCCATCTGGCCGGAGAAGATGCGGTATTCCTCGCCGACGACGAATTCTTCCGAGTTGACTACTAGCAGAGGGTGCGGCAGCGGTGCCTTCCAGGGTGCTAGGCCTGCGAACGAACGTGAGGTTGAGGAAAGGACGGAACGTCAAGAGACGTACGTTGTACCGCAGGGTCAAATGCGATGATACAGCTGAATGGTATCTTGTTTGCGGAGGATGCTGCGAGCTGAAGAAAATGCGTTAGGCAAAAAGCCCAGAAAGACGGAAATGCGATGGAGACTTACGACTGCGCTTCCACCCAGAGAATGGCCAGCACCGACCGGGCGGGACGGATCCACCATCTTGAACCTTGACCAATCGAAATCCGGTGCAGTGATCGAGTACCAGTTCAGCTTCTCCCCCCTCGCCAGCTTGTTCATCGTGTCCACGACCGCCTCGAACTCCGCTACCCTAAACTTGATCTGCTCGTGGCGGAGCGTCGTGTCGTCCGTCGGCTGCTTATCCTTCGGGATCTCCGGCCACTCGAGATCGCTCCACTCGAGCCAGTCGAACCTCTTCTTCGAGCCGTCCTCCGCGACGACGGTGCTGCTCGGCGAGGTGCCGTCCCGGTGCTCGACGCAGGCGACGACGTACCCGCGCGACGCCATCTCGCCGCAGAAAGCCGAGTACATCAGGCGCGAGCAGCCGACGCCGTGCGAGAAGAGCATGAGCGGCCACTTGCCGATCTCGGGCGGGGGCGAGGCCAGCGGCGCGTCCTTGGTCGCGGGGAAGGTGCTGCCGTAGATCGCCGCGGCGGCGACGGGGTACCCGACCATCTTGTACCAGATGTTGGGCGTCCGCTTCGCCATCTTCAGGAATCCGTCGATCGTCTGTCGGAGCCTATCGCGCACACGCAGCCGTTAGCACCCCCTCCGTCGAAAGGCGGTAAAATCAAAAAACTCGTATTGCTCACTTTGGAAACCAAACGGCGGGGACGGGGTGTTTCGGTGCCTCCGCGGGGTAGAACAGCGTGAACATGACGGTCTCGAGCGCGAGCCCGGCCGGCGCGTCCGGCATCGACTTGTGTCGGAACGAGCCGAACGTCTGCGGCTCGACCGGGATCTCGACGTCGCACACGCCGACAGGGAACGGCCCGCTGTACTGAGGCAAAGTTCGGGAGAGGAGGGAACCGAAGGCGGAACGCTTTGGTGCCTGGTGCACCCGCGGCGCGTCCTGCGGCGGCTCAGGCGCAAGCTCGGGCTTGGACGGTGGCATCGCGTCTTGCTGTTGATTTGTCTGAGAGGCCGTGGCCATGAGTGTGGTCGTACTCTGTGTAGTGCTTGGTATCGTGTAATTTGATGGATGTCGTTCGGCGCGCGGGGCCCAGAAGTGGTTATATGCCCGCAGCCCGAGATGACATCATCCCGTCCCTGGGAGGACTCGCCCCGTGTTGAGCGCGCCGAAATGACTAGCGTGTTCAGCTCATGATGCTCTGAGACCCGCGTGTAAATCAAAGCGAGGAGCTACGTGTAACAGATTCCAAACCTCCACCATGGACGAGCGTAAGGTCGACGACTAGAGGAAGAGATGGTCGTCGTCACCGGCGCCACGGCAAAGCGAGCACGGGATTGTCCGAGTGGCTGTGTTTTGCCATCTGCAAATGGACGGCGCTTCCTTGCTTGTTCGGGCAGAACCTCAACCGTGAACCTTTTCTCGTGATACACAGACGATCATTCCTCTACCGGAGTCCTGTTATGGATCATGGTACGTACACAGCGAAACCATCAAACTATTTTCTGTAGCACAGAGAGCATTCAGACAGGACAGCAGACACTGCGAGACACTCGGACGCGAGCGCTCCATAGAATGGGTCTTCCGATAATAACAACCGCGTTTGTGACGGTCTGCACTGGATACGCTGGATACTTCTTCGATATCTGCGGATTGCTTGGGGACGAAGTGCTCGCGATGCCAATCCCAGCCGTCCTTCTCCAACGCCCATTGCGATATCCGTGCGATACTTGACATATCCACAATTCGAAACCACCGATTGCGCTCATTACCCTGGAAGGACAGCTCTTGGCTCGCTCTGCAGCGTTAATGTTTCGTAGGTACAAGCTATACACAGCATGCCTTGCACGACAGCTTTAGATGACTCCGCTCGCTGCATGCATGGTCTCGGCATAGAGCAAATCGTGGACGCGCCATGTCGGGCATATATAAGGGGGCCATCCCGGAACACATAGCTGCATACTCACCTATGCCTTCCCAGACCACAGCTCACTGGCGGTTCACGGTCAATCGGATGCGCTTTGCACTGTCTGTCGTTTCCTTCAGCCGTGGAGCGGACGCGAGCGGCTCGCCTCTGCCTGCCCACTGTTTCGTTCTGCGCCAACCACCCGATCAGCCGAGGCACGACTTTTCATCAGCTGAACGGGTCGCCGGGAGCATACCGCTATCCCGGCAGGCAGGAGGCGTACTTGCCCGACTAGCTCTCGAGGATCAAGATCGGCGCCGTGCCGTCGAACAAGCTCGCCGAGCTGGGGGCTATACTCGCCGACGTGCCTATCGATCGGGTCGACATCTCTCTGGGGGAACTCTCAGCGCCGGTGCTCGGATGCTCTCGCTCTTCTGCGCGCGCAGGGCTGGCTCAGTTCTGCTCTCACGCAAAAGCGTAGCAAGGCGGCGCCCTGGAATAGCGCTGTACTCCCTCATGGAGCTTCAAGGGCGTCACGCCGACTCGGAGGCCGGCATGTATCTGATTGCTAGGATATCCCAACATATGTAGCGATAGGGTGCGGGATCCCTGTTGTCGGGCTTCGTTTTCTTCTTCGGGCTTTGGCGCTCTCTCTCTCTCTGGTCTGTCAATTTTGCGTCTTATAGGAGGGGGAGGATTCGATGCGGACGTCGATGCCGGGGCCGCGGGAGCAGGAGCCGATCCAAGGGGGAGGGGGTTGGGGGAGGGAGTGGAGGGAAGAGATGTGGGTGCGGAGTTGGGCGAGGACGGAGGTGCGGGCGGGGGGAGAGAGCGTGGGCCAGAGGCACTTGAGGGTGTCGCCTGGAACGAGCTCCGTGATGATGTGGGCTCGAGGTCCGGCGTCGTCGTCTGGTGCATCTTCTGCTTCTGTAACCGCTTCCGCTTCGGTGCCGTGTCTGCCTTCTGCCTTGCGTTTCGTCTGGGCCCTCGGCTGCCGCCTTGTCTCCCAGAACGTGAATGCCACACCTTGTTGTTCTGCACCTTGATCTACGCCTTCGTCTTCGTTCTCGTGGATGACCTTATCTTCGCCCACTTCCTCGCCCTCGCCCTCGCCCTTGTCGCCGTCCTCGTCTTCATCCCCAAGCGTCGTACACTTTGCGGCACCGGTATCGACGTGCGCGTCCTCACGAAACTCGATCGACTCCGCCTCGCGCGCGATTCCCACTTGGCGCGCGCCGAACTGGAGGGATCGTGCGCTTCGTCCAGCTTGCCCGGATCTCCTGTTGCACGAGGGCGCGGGGGAGGGGGGGTGAACCGCCCCGAGTTGGGTGGATAGGAGTTCCTCGGCTGGGCGAACAGGGTGTGCCGGGTGATGGGGTGTCCAGGCGTCCGAGCTGGACGCGGAAAGCCATGGGGATCGGGAGGGATTCGAGGAGGCCCCTCTCGAGTCGATACGTACTCTACATACTCGACGGGGGGGGGGGGCTGGTTTTTACTGTCTTATTATAGCGCAACGCGGTTCCCACGTTCGACAGCTTCGGTTAGCAAGGAGGGTTTACCGAGCGGCGACGCGATTCATCGCGGCTCTGGCTGGGCAGTCTGCTCGAGAGATGGATAGCATCTTAATGACGAGGAGGCGTAGGGGTCAGCGACGGGTTAACGAAGACGAGTAGCATAGTCCAACTAGGAATGGTCGTCTTGGTGCATGTCCCTGGATACAAATGTGAAACAGTTAGCGGAAATTAACTGAGAGAATACAATCCTGTCTTTGTTACGGAGCACCGTCGTGCCTTGGGTCGTACGAAGCGCTGACCGACACAGAAGCAACGACCGAGACATGGAATAAGCTGAGCAGGCCAGGAACGGTTAGACTATGTAGATGGATCAAAGGGCAGAGCGGTGAGAGAAACGTGCCTTTTGTGCGTTTGGTAAGTTATGACATCTGCGAGTTCCTGTGCGGTGGGAGGAAGACGGTGCGCTTCGAAGGTTTTAAGTTTCGCAGTGGCCCGCGTCCAAGTTAAGTTCGTCGACCTCGCGCAACGTGCAAGGCGATAGCGCTAGGATCGTGTCCACGGCGTCGACCTTGCACGTTGTCGCAAGGGGATGAGAGGGGCGGTTGAACCGTTGAGGATCGGTCTGAGAATCATTTATCGTCAAATTGCGTGCCCTTTCCAGGTCCTGCGCGGTCGCGAGGGAAACGAGAGTGCTCTCGAAAATGAACGCGTACGAGCTTCGCACCTTTGCCAGTAGCCATCACCGTCTCTACATTCCTTTCCGTTTCGACACCGTATCCGCCCTCCTCCCTTGGACGAGGACGGCGACACACTCCCTTGTTTACACGGCCCCGTTCCTGGATCGACCGGGAGCATCTCTATTTGTGACGCGTTCGGTCACACGTCACCTGACGGAATTAAAAGTCCAACCAACGGGGCACGGACCCGGTTTCCTAATCGGGCTAGGGCGCACGGCCTCGGTATAAGGTGCGAAGCTCGGTCCGCGTGCTTTTTCGGCTCTGCCCTTGTTCTGCGTCGTCGTCGTCGTCGTCAACCACAGCGACCACGCGCGGGGAGACATCACGACCTGCTCGCTCTTATATTGCCCCCCGCAATAGTCCCGAGCCCGTCTGCTCTCTCTGCTGCTCTGCCACGGTTCACGAGGCACAGCTCCGAACCTGGGTGGTCGCACACGAGGCGCCATCACGCACGAGGCAGACGCGTTGTCTCGCTCTATTCCTGCGTCATCCCCCGCACAGGCTTCTGTTCGACGACGTCCCATATCTAATCTACAGCGAGCACGGTTCCTGGAGGGAGCGTTCATACCGCGTCGCGCTTTCTCTCCCAACACGCCCGTGTCTCCCCGCACCCCGTAGAGACCGTCGCCCCGTTGTTTATCTTTCTCCCCCCCTGATTCTCTTTCGTTCTTCGGTACCTTTTTCTTAGTGCCCCTTCGACCTACTTGCCCCTTTTGCATGAACCTACCACGAACCGTACTCTTGCTCCCGCTCACGACCATTCATGTCAACACAGCAGCATAATTCCTCGTCCGCTTCGTCCCACTCGGACCCGTCCGGTACAGCGCCGTCCTCAGGCTCCGGCTCCGGCTCAGGTTCAGGTTCAAGCTCCAGCCCGGGCCAGTCCCGCGTTCCGTCCGGTACCAGCGGCGCCCAGCAAGCGTCAGCCCGCCCCGAGGGCGAGCCATCCTCGAATCCGTCTCCCCAGTCGGAGTACCACCACCCAGGCGCGCCGCAAGACATCGTCGTCCTCCAACGACGCCAGTCCTCCCGAGACACCCCCACCATCACCCCCTCCACCGAAAACACCACCCACACCCACGCCCACCACCACCACCACCACCACCTCCACCTCCAGTCGCGCGTCACCACGCCGGCGACGACGACAGAGGGCTACCCGTCCTGGCTCCCCCGGCGCGCCCCGGCCCCCGAACCCGCCTCGACGATGCACACCCACTCGTCCTCCACCCGCGCCGGGCTCTTCACGCCCTCGCCCGGGCCTTACACCCCCGCCGACCCCGGGCCCAGCACGGGCGGCCCCGGCACCGGCACCGCCAACAGCGAACCGCCCACCGTCGGCTTCTCGGGCTCCCACCACCACAACGTCGGCGGCCGCAGACCGACCCCGCGCTCCGTCCGCGTCGTCCGCATGTCCTCCACCGACCCGCGGCGCATCCCGACCGACACCACCCGCGTCGGGGCAGCGCACAACAGGGTCTGGTCCCGCGCGACCTCGGCCGGCTTCTCGCCCACCGTCTTCTCCGCCTCGCCCGCGACGACGCCTCATCGCGCGAGACCGCGCTTCCGCGCGCCCGCGCTCCACCTCGACCTCGTCCAGAGCCCGGGCGCGTGGCCGAAGATCGCGTTCTGGCTCTGGCCGCTCTGGGTGCTCGGACACGTCCCGGCGCAGACGTTCCTCGACTTTAACGCCGTTTTCATCCTCGTCGAGTGAGTGGAAGCTTATACCTTTTTATTATTATTTCTTTTTCTTCCTTTAAAATCCCGTCGTCCAAAAAAAAACTAAACTTGCTTTTTGCTGACCGCGGCGCGTTTGTGGTTATTCACCCTAGATTGGCGCGGTTCCCGAACGCGGTCGCGCCGGGCGTGCCGGGATCGGGCAGGACGTGGGCGCTGGGCGCCGCCGCGTACGTCGCCTGCTGGGCCATCTGGATCGTCGCCGTCGTCGTCCTGTACGAGTTTGTCTACTGCTTCGTAAGGCGGTGGCGAGTCAGTGAGTCAACCCCCCCCCCCTGCCCTCACCCCTTTCCCTTATGGTGTGCTGACCGGGGGCAAATATATATATGTACGTGCGCAGAACGCCCGTTGATGGTCCCGCTCTACCTCTCCGCCGCCGGGTTCAACTACGTGTCCATGACGTCCTACGCCCACTTTGCCTTCCTCCGCCACCTCCGGCTGTCCGCGTTTTCGGCGGCCGCGGGCGGCTCGGTGCGCGACGGCCTGGCGGAGACGTGCTACTATTATTCGCAGAACCTGCCGACGGTCGCGCTGCTCCTGCCCCGCGCCGGGCTCGCCTTGGCGCTCTTGCTGGCGCCGGGCGTGGGCGGCGCGGCGGTGCCCGGGAACGTGGCGAGCGCGAATAGGGGCGCGGGCGCGGCGAGGGACGGGACGTATTTTGGGGAGGACGGACGGTTGACGGCGTTCGGGAGGGGGGTGTTGTTCGCGAACTGCGCGTGGGTCGCGTGGCGGGCGCTCGTGCTGCTCTTCAGCTGGTGCGTCTTTTTCTTTCTTTCTTTTTTTCTCCCTTTCGGTATTCGATAGGGGGGCTTTTTTTTTGTTTTTTGAAAGAAACAAAAATGTGCGTCGGGGGTCTGACGTTGGGTTTTTGTTGTGTTGATTCAGGATCGGTCTTTGGATCCTGAGCGGCCATGGATGCGCGGGTCTGTGTGGTCCGCGGTACCGCTGGGAAGAGGACGAGGCGGAGAAGACGATGTCGGTGTACAGCGAGGGCGGGGATCCGACGGCGGACGTTGACCCGGAGGAGCGGCTCCCGTGGGAGTGGAGGGAGTGTACCGCGGCGCGCGTGCAGGAGGCTTGGGAGCTGTGCCTCACGGAACGCAGGCGGCGGAGCCTCGGATTGGCGCCGCATGCGCCGCACGAGGCGGAGAAGCTGCCGCGGGGAGAGGAGGAGGGAGAGAGGCTGGAGGTGCGAGAGTCCGGGCCGGCGTTCGAGGGCGTGGATAGGATTTTGGCGGCGATCGGGCTGGGGGGCAGTCCGCCTGCGGCGAGGAGGGGGCTGTTGAGCGAGCACCTGTTTAGAGAGCCGGAGGAGGTGGGGATGCAGGAGGGGACGACGCGGAGTTTGGGGGAGATTATACCGAAGCCGGAGGAGGAGGAGGAGGCGAGGATGAAGAAGGAACGGAGGGAGTCGCTCAGGAAGGACGCGCCGTTGATGAAGTTGCCGTACCCGTTCCCGGGGTATGATAGCCAGGATAGCAAGGAGGGCCGGATCCCGTTCCCGCCGAGTCCGACGCCTGGCCGGGAAGGCGACGAGGAGGAGAGCGCAGCGCACGAGGTCGAAGCCGAGGAAGAGGAAGAGGAAGAGGAGGAGGGCGAGCACGCGGAAGAGTCGTACGTCGTCGAGGGCGAGAGCGAGGAGCCGAGCTCGGGCGAGCCGAAGGGGCGCAGCTCGGGCTCGATGTCGAGCCTTGGCCGGCCCGTGGCGTCGCGGTACCCGTTCCAGTTCCGGCGCCCGGTGGCGGCGGGCGGGCGCCAGAGCTTCTCGACGGCGGGCACGCACCGCACGCCGCAGAGCAAGTCGACGTCGACGGGCGAGCACTCGCGATCCACGCCGAGCACGCATCAGAGCCAGCTCAGTCGGGGCACGGTGTCGACCGCGGGCAACCGCGCGAGCGTGGAGAGCCCGTGGGGCGGGAGCAGCGCGAGCGCGGGCAGCCCCGTGAGCGGGCGTATGCCGATACCGATGCCGCCGAGCGCGGGCAGGCAGCGCAGGGCGTGGGCGGGGACGGTGCCCGTGGCTTCCGTGCCGTCGTCGCCGTCGCCGAACGGGGGCAGGACGCGCTCGAGCATCCGGACGAGGACGGAGAGCGGGGACAGCGTCGGGCCGGCGGAGCAGACGTTTGGGCCGATCCCGCTGCGCGCGTACGGGAGCCCGAACGAGGACGGGGACGAGGAGGAGGAGGTCGAGGAAGAGCCGGAGGTGGAGGTGGAGATGATGGAGCAGCCCGAGGCGGAGGGGTCGCAGGAGGCGGCGGAGATCGAGGACGAGGTCGCGCTGCTGTCGCCCGGGCCGTCGCCGAAGAGCTCGCGATCGAGGCTGAGGCAGCAGAGGCAGCGCGAGCGCGAGCGGGCGAGGACGCTGTCGCATCGGTCGCGGTCGATCTCGCACCGGTCGCATTCGGGCTCGGGGAGCGCGAGTCATAGCGGCGGGAGCCACGGCGGGATGAGGAGCCGGACGCAGAGCTTGATACAGAGCATCAGCGCGGCGAGCCGGAGCTCGGTGGACGTCGTTGCGAGCGCGGTGAGGAGCCGGACGAGCTCGATGACGAGGTTGGAGGAGGGAGAGGGGGAGGAGCAGTGGGTGAGCGGCGGGAGCGGGAGCGGGACGGACGCGCTGCCGAGCAGTCCGGAGGGGCATACGTTTGGGATCGGCCCGGTGAGGGGACGCGAGCGCGAGCGCGGTGAGGCCGTGAGCGACGTGAGCGAGGGCGAGGAGGAGGAGGGCGCGCCGGGGCACGTGAAGGAGGATACGGCGGCGACGGTGACCGCTCCTGCGAGGACGCGCGAGCGGCAGCAGTCGATGTTGTCGGCCACGGCGCCGTCGGAGCGCACGATTCATCCGCCTGGGGCCGGCTCTCCTTCGTCGCCCGCGTCGCCCGCATCGCCCGCGCCGATCCCGGAAGAGAGGCCGCCCATGCCCACGATGCCGTCGGACGTGTCGACCGCCAACGAGTCGTTCGTCACCGCGCCGGCGACCGTCGAGGGTTCGTCGGATAGCGCTGGGGCACCGTCGAGCTGGGGAGGTTCGTCGCGCTTCTTCGAGGGAGGGCCGGCTCACCCTAAAGGACACCATCCTCCGGGCGCGCACTGGCACGGGCCTGCGTGAACGTCAGGGAACCTAGGGTCCGAGGAGACGAAGAAAGAAAACGTCAAAAAATATGAAAAAATCTATCGCATTTAATGAGCTCGACGTCGTTGGTCTTTTTTTCCCGGACGCGGGCGGCTCTCTCTCTCCCTGCTCTTACTCGGTTTCGGATCCGACTCTGTTCTGTCTGTGCATTCATCATCATCATCATTCATCATCGACGACCACGACTGCTTGCGACGACGGATCGACATTGCAATACTTTCGCGACACCTCCCGCTTCATTTATTCACCACTGTGCAAGTAATTATCCTTCATATTGGTTTTGCGATGTATCCCGCGCGTGCTAGTAGACCAGACAGAGAATATAATGCCGGTGTTCCGTGCGCGAGTGGGGTGGAGACAATAGGATGGATGGAAACGGCAGGTTGAAGGAAGGGACGCGGGCTGGGGTGGCCAAATGCGGTCGGCCCAGCGTCATCCAGCGGAGGGGGCGGAGCTATGACTTGACGACAACGTGTGCCGGGCATGGCCTCCTCACAGTCCAACCTCCGTTCGTTCGCTTTACTCCCGCCGCCGCCGCCACCACGCGTGCTACGGTGAGCAACGAGGCTATGAACATCGCCTAACACGGTTTCTTCGGTCCTTCGTGTTGTCGTGCATTCATAAGACTACTTACTCGAGACTCGAAGAGCCAAGGCACGTCCGCTCTGTCGACGCTCTCTTCTCGTCGTCGGACGACCAGCCGAGACTCGCTGAGCGCGCAAGTTCAAGTTATATCCTCTCGTGCCGTGAAACAAAGATCGGTCTCGCCGGCCTTCTGACCAGGTGCGCGGAGTCTGCCCGTTCAGATCAGTCTCGTGGCCCGCGCTCATACGCGTTATTTGCGGCTCCCCAGAGACGCAACCGCGAACGCGTTCCTCCGCCCTTCGTCCACTCCGGCTCGGGCGACGTATAACACCACACTGTCCAAAGAGACACGTCTCAGCCATGTCTCGACCATCAAACGACCGCTCGTCCAAGGGGTCCACCGCGACCTCGTCCTCACTGCGCACCTACCCCGGCCCGCTCCCCAACATCCCCCCTCCCTCGCCCGGCCTCAAAGGCGGGCCCGCGTCCCCTACGTCCCCAACGCCCCGGCGCTCGTCGCGCGACCCCGGCCGGGGCCCCTACTACGGCCCCTACTCCTCCTCCGGCTCGGGCTCGCCCGTCATCCCCCAACGGTCGCCCTCGACGCGCTCGCCCGGATCGCAGCGCACGCGCAGCACGTCGCAGTCGCACACGACGACCGACTACGGCGATATCGTGGCGTGGACGGGCACGCTCGGCCTGGCGGGCAAAGCCCGCGACGACTCGACGGCGCCGACCACGCCGAGCTCCACGCCCGTCAGGGAGAATAAACCGGCGGCGCCCGGGCAGGCGAAGCAGGAGGTCGCGGGGCCGCCGAAGCTGACGATGGACGACGTGCGGGAGCGGGTGGCGCAGGACATCGCGCTCCGCGCGATACGCAAGGCGGAGGTCGTGGACGGGACGAAGGTCGGCGTCGTGCTCACGCTGAGCAAGAGCGGGGACGAGGCGTTCCTGCGCGGCGTCGCGGGCGCGGTGAAGCGCGTGCTGCTGCTGCAGGAGCACCTGTTCGCGATCGCGACGACGCCGTCGCCGGGGACGAGGGCGGGCAGCGACCTCTCGTCGCTCGTGATCTGCGGATCGTCGCAGGACCGGGTGCAGCGCGCGGTGATGCTCGCGTGCTCCAAGTTTTTGTCGAGGGTGGAGGAGGTCCACAACGAGGGCACGAAGTGGGTCGGGCTCGTGCACGATATCGGCTCGACGTCGTACGACGAGGCGGTGAGTGCCCGTCGCGAGAGGGCTGGGTTGGGCCGTTTTTTTTAAATCTGACCTCATTATCGTTTCTGTTTCCATTTCTGCAGGCGCTGAGAGACGTGGTCCGCAAGGCGGCGCAGAACCTCGTAGACCCTCGCAAACCGCCGCCTGGGTCGAAAGGGATAGATCGAATATTATCTGACGCCCGCGCGAGGCTGCAGCGCCTGAGCCCGCGACAGGCCTATAAAGAGCTGCAAGATACGAGTGGAGCTATACCCGTCCGTAACCGCCCCCTCCACTCCCTCCCTCTTGCTATCGCGCCACGAGCTGACCACTTTTGTCTTCGTTCACGATAGGTCATACTGGTGGACATACGGCCCGAGTCCCAGCGCGTCAACGACGGCGGGATCCACGGTTCGCTCATCATCGAGCGCAACGTGCTCGAGTGGCGGTTCGACCCCCGGTGCGACGCGCGGCTGTCGATCGCGGACCGGTACGACCTCCGGGTGATCGTGTTCTGCCAGGAGGGGTACACGAGCTCGCTCGCGGCGGCGTCGTTGCAGGACCTCGGGCTACTGAACGCGACGGACGTCATCGGCGGGTTCAAGGCGTGGAAGGAGGCCGGGCTGCCGACCGAGCTCATGTTCGACGACTGATGGGGTAGGTAGTACGTGCCCCTGACCGTTTTTGCCTCGTTCTCCATCGCAAATCGGGGACTGTTCAGGTACTTGATCTTGTTGTTTGTATTTTTATTCGCACCGTGCGCACGATACCATGGCGAGGAGACGTGACCTCGACCTTCATTAGAACTCGTCTTCTTACAATACCCCTTGCTGTACTCGAGCCCGTACATGATTTGGATAGGGATAGGTACTGTTGTTGTTGGGACCCGCGGAATGAATAATCTGCTACATAATCTGATCAGGAACATGTAACTCGATCGTCATTTTGATTTTGACTTTCGCCATCGGCCGCGTTTATCGTCCAGCCACCGTCGCCGTCGGCTCTCCGTACGAGGAGGTCTTATCGCACGCGCGGTCTAAACTCGGGCTCCTCCCATGTGCAACGCCTGTGATCGCAGCAAGGCGCAGGCGAGTCCGCAGGAGCCGCTTTATATGCCTCGCCGTCGACCAGCCTGAGACCCACGATAACGTCCAGGAGCTAAGCCATGGCCCCGTCCCGGACGTCCCTGCTCGCCGCCCTTGGCGCGCTCGCCGCCGCCCTTGGCGCCTCCGCCCTCCCCCACCTCGAGTACAACCGCGGGGACGAGTTCGTGTTCGCGCACGACCCGGCGCGGACGTCGCCGTTCGCGTTCCCGCTCGAGGAGCTCAGCGCCGCGTACGAGTCGGGCGCGGTCCACCACTCGCTCATGTCGCTCTTCACCGAGTCGATGAACCGGATGTCGGCGATGGGCATCTTCGACGAGCCGATCACGCACGAGCCCATCACCGAGTTCACGCCGTGCGTGAACGGCTTCGCGGGCACGGAGGAGAACAACACGTTCGCGTGCCGCGACCTCGATCTGTACACCTTCCTCTCGCACGAGGCCTTGGGCAGCGAGGCCCGGTTCGGGAGCGATATCTGGGGGTGGACGTACGAGGACGCGGAGAAGAAGGGGGAGAAGCGCGAGTTTGGGCTGGTGGGGCAGTACGAGGGCACGGCGTTCGTGGAGATCGTCGGCGCGGGCAAGGTCCTCTACCTCGGCCGCCTCCCGACCCAGAGCGTGGGCAGCATCTGGCGCGACATCAAGGTCATCGGCGACTACGCCTACATCGGCAGCGAGGCCGAGGGGCACGGTATCCAGGTCTTCGACCTCAAGAAGGTGAGCGAGCGCCGATGGTGGCTCTCCGAAGCTTGGTGGACATGGCTGACCCCGCGCGCAATTATCACTTAGCTGCTCGACAAGTCGCTCGCGCTCGAGCCCAAGACGTTCAGCATTGACACCGACCTGACGGCGTGGCACGACCTCCCCATCGGCCGCTCGCACAACATCGTCTCGCATGCCGGCAAGAACCTGATCGCCGCTGTCGGCTCCGTTCCCCGCGACGAGTGAGCGCAGTTCAGCTCGTTCCCACCGCGGCTCCTATGCTCATCCTTTCCTTCTTTCTAGTGCATGCCGCGCTGGCTTGATCTTCGTCGACGTCACCGACCCCGCCAACCCCAAGAGCGCCGGCTGCGCATGGGAGGACGGGTACACGCACGAGTACGTTCTGTTTTCCGACCCGCCTCCTCGTCCGACGAATGACGGGTTATCGCCCCCCTCCTCTCAGCGCACAGTGCCTGACGTACATCGGGCCCGACACCAAGTACAACGGCTCGGACATCTGCTACGCGTACAACGAGGACTCGTTCACGATCTACGACATCACCGACCCCGCCGAGCCGGCCATCATCTCCCGCACGGGCTACTACGGCGTCAGCTACTCGCACCAGGGCTGGGTCGTCGACGAGCTCGACCAGCGCTACGTCCTGCTCGACGACGAGCTCGACGAGCTGAACAGCACCGGTGAGCCGAACCCCCCCCCCCCCGGGTCTCTCGCGAAAAGTATCTCTGTGTATATGTGGGCCTCGTGCTGATCACGGCGAACGGTTTCGTAGGATGGGCGGCCGACCAGCGCACGGTGACCTACATCTGGGACATCCAGAACCTCAGCGCGCCGATCCTCACCGGACACTACAAATCGCCCCAGAAGGCGATCGACCACAACCTCTACGTCGTCGACGGGCTCGCGTACGAGAGCAACTACGGCAGCGGCCTCCGCGTCATCGACGTCAGCAGCGTCGCCGCGGACCCCACCGGCGCGGGCTTCAAAGAGGTCGCCTTCTTCGACGGTGAATCGCCCCCCCCCCCCGGTCGGTCCCACCGTGACATGTGCTGACCTGTTTTTTGTGTCGCGACAGTTCACCCCGAGGACGACGACGTCGGAGGCATCGCCGAGTTCACTGGCTCATGGTCGGTGTACCCGTACTTCGAGAGCGGCTACATCTTGGTCAACTCGATCGAGCGTGGTTTGTTCGTGCTCAAGCGCTCGTGAAAGTCATAAATTGTATGTATGTAAAGTGTTAGGCGTCCTTATGGAATATCGATTGCTTTTGAATTTCGTTGCGAGGGCGCGTTCTCAGATTCCTAGGTGTATATACGGCGCCCATCGACTCGGTTCAGGATGGTCGGCTCGAAGACGTCGCACTGCTGCGTCCAGCGCGTATGGGATCACGTCCGGGTCGATGTATTCCGAATCGCCGCTGAAAATGTCCTCGTAGACTGCCGCAGCGACCATAGGTCCGTCGGCGTCCTCCATCGACCTGGACGACGGTAACGGTTAGCGCGATCGCCTGCAATACATGCCACGGCGCTGACCAGAGCGTAGCTATCACGCTCTTGAACCCGGCGAAGAGCAGGGCAGCCGCCAGATGGACCGCCTGATCGGGTTGGTTCTACGCGATACTTAGTAAGTAATCAACAAGCACTGCGGCGCCCCGGACTCATTAAACGTACCGTGTCCCCTTTCGCAGTCTCACAGGCACTCAAGAATGCCATGAACGCATGGGGCAGCGGCACAGGCATGAGCGACTCTATCGTCAACAGCTTGTCTTTCATGACGAATCCGCTCTTAAGGGGGTTCTCCGGATCTTGGTATCCGTGACAGGCGAGGTGCAACAAGGACGCTTGGGGTAGTTCCTGGAGCAGCGCCTGAGCCGTTATCCCCGCAAATGGACGGCCACTGGCAGTCACGCTCTCGTCTTCCGGCCGACAGTCTGCTAATGCAATTTCCGCCCCTTCTGGCAACATCCTGCGGACTGCGTCGACTTCTTCGCTCGTTGATCGTAGATCATCCCACTGCGACATGCGCGAGCGAGGAACTGCGGCGATGAGAGCTCGGACGTCACTCTTCTTGACCGGGGTGTACGCGGCCCTGGATGCAAGGAGAACACCGAGAGTTGGTGTGTACGAGGAGACGAGGTAGTCTGAGCAGCATGTCCCGTCAGCGCCGGCAGCGTGTATGGGAAGATGGGCGAAGTGACCGGTCGGGCACCACCAGACGCGGGGGCGACTCCGACCTGCGGACACCTAGGCGACGAAGTGAGTCTTCAAATCAGACCTGAAGTCATTGTACTGCCAGCCGCACCTGTAGTCCCAATTCTGCGATCACGGGCTGGACCACAGTCAGCCACAGACGGCGCAATATATCGTCAACCGTGGTTTTGGCCCGTCGCGAGGTGCTGACTTTGGATACTTTCAAGCGATCCCTCAAAAGAGACCTGGCTTCCATAGCAGCTGCTCGCCACGCTGTGCCTGACTGCACCAACCATGCATCATCCAGCTGCTGAAGAGGGATGCTGGCGATGTCGCCAGAGGGCTTCAGGACGAGAGCATAACAGGCCAGTGCGCTGGAAACGAGCACCACGACCGGACCTCGGTCCGCGACTTTCATCAACGTTGGGTATGTCTCTGGGAGCATGAAACGTTCCAAACCAGGTAATGCGCGCACTTCCTCCAAGATCGAGTTGAATTCCTCGCTCTGTTTCCTCCTACGAGCGATTTCTGCGTCGGTGGCCCGATCGTTCCGGGTTGTATCAGAGGTATCTGTCACCCGCTCTAGTTGTCTGGCGAGGGATTTGAGACGGTCACGGATACCTTCGGGGACGATGTCGAAGGAGGACCGAAGCCGGAGAGAATGAGTCCAGAAGATGGCGCGACCCTGCTCCAGGATCTCCAGAGCTTGGTGCGGGAGCGATTGCTTCAGCGCATGAGCTGCGCCTACAGCCGCGATGTGTTGCCCCATTCTCAACGATTGCAGTCGAGATAGAAGGTGGAGGCTAAAGAACGCTGCTCGCGGGAGGAGACTGACGATGTGCATGTATATCTCCAACAAGCAGGACGATGCTGCATCGTCAACGGTGAAGGCATCTCGGTGTTCAGCTTGGATGACGTCTAGAATGCGTGTAACACCTTGTATTCGGGAGCGGACGTCTCGTGAATCATCGCTCAAGACACGCTTCAAGTACTGGAGGGCGAGCGATGGGTCACGGAAGGGGGTGTTGCGCTCCATATACAGCTCTGCAGCATCAATGAGACATTCTTGTTGGTCGTGATCACCAGGGGGCACATCTTTGAGAAGCTTGACTATGATATCCAACGATCGATTGGCGCTTTGTGGGTCGCTAGTTAAGCGAAACACCGTTAAATGCCCTCTAGCAAGCATGCGCAGGCTATGAGGCCAGTCCCTGCGCTGCAATATTCTTGTTGAGACCGATTCCAGGATTTGGAGGGCACGTTCCGCATCAGTGATATCGCGTCGGTACCGGCATCGGAACAACAAAGCTTTTGAGAGCTGACGAATGACATCGATTATCTCAGCACGGTCCCCCCAAGTGGCTTGGAGAATGCTTTCCCCCAGCAAGATCGCCTCCTCTAAATCCTCCTGTTCTCCGGTTGTCTCAAACCGTATGCAGAGTTGGTTTATTCTTGTAATGGCATACTCGTTGTAAAACAAGTGTGACGGCTCCCGCAAAGACAGAGCTCGGCGATTCCATTTCAGTGCATCATTCAGATCAGCGATATCCCTCGTTTCGGCGAAGCGGAACATCAATGCATGCGATAACGCCTCCGAGGACGAAGATTGGGCCGAAGGATCTGGATTAGCCGCCATGGCCTCATGGCACAGTTCAATCGCTTCTTCGAGATCGCCCAGCTCGCCAGTCGAAGCATAGCGTAATCGCAAATCTATAGCTAGATTCGCCGCACTGGTCCAGTGCCTGACGTGACTGCGCTCACGCGTGTACTTCAGGATTTCTCGGCGGAACTCGATGGACTGATCGATATCGCGTTCGTCCATGAGCGTGCGTATGTAGCGGGTACCAAATAAGGTCGCCACCGCGTTCAAGGTTCCGGGATGCGGCTGGCCACCCGGGCGGCCAATTGGGAGAGCACCCATTCCGAACTTGATCGCGGAATTCAGGTCTTCAAGAGAGCCGGAGAGTTCGCAATTTCGATGTAGCGCGACGAGCATGTGTCGTACAGCCGCTGCTTTGTCGATATGGTTGTCGGGGCACATTCGTACAGCTTCTTCCAGTGTAGATATCGATGCATCGAGGAGGCCTTTATCACCACGAGCTTGAATCTGCCATTGGCTGAACAAGTAACAGCCGAGATCACGTAGATATCGATGTTTGTCGTGGTTTCGGGATCGGGGAAGTTCTTCTATAGCTAATCTCTGCAGATCGACAGCCTCGTTTGGGTACAATTGTGACTGGTTTCGCAGAGAACGCCTATAGCTGACGGCTGCGAGTATAGCACGAGCAATGGCTATGAGCGGATGGCCCAACTCGCACAGTGAAATCGCTTCTCCGCACATCTCGACAGCCGCGCATTGCTCTTCGGAGCTCGAGAAATACCAAGCATGTTGCTGTAGGGCTCCCGACAATATCACCAATACGGTAGGGCAGACGACATCCTCTGCGCGGCAGAGTGCAAGTGCCCTTTGACCATGATCCAGAGCGGCGTCGAGGTCGTCGTTGTCCTCCATATACAAGAAACGATCTTCGTAAACCGAAGCTAGCTCGATGAGAGTGTGATACTGCTGGCAGCGGGAGATGCGACCCCCCGCTAAGTCGCCGTTTTGATTCTGATCCAGAGAAGAGGCGAGTTCGGCTGCGTGTCCCTCTAAGAGCTCCTCATAGATCTCGATGCATTTCTTCGCCGCGTCAAGGTCACCTTGCTGGCGAAACTGCTCATGCAGCAAAAGGGCCTGCGCGTAGCGCCCGACAGGGACAAGATTAAGGACTGTTTGTGTCATAGTCGCCTGTGAGCGTGCCGTGGGGAGTGACCCTTAGCTTACCTTTCGCACACTCACAGATGCGTCGGACGTCGGAGGTATCTCCAGCAAAAAGTTGATTCCCTAACCGAGCTGCAACACAAGAGACATCTGTGTGATTAGATTGATGCAATGAGTTGACTGCAAGAAAAGAAGAGAAGGTGAGCAGACCATTGTCAGAGGGAAGTTCATTGGATGTGTAGGACATGGCGATACCAATGGACTACGAGCAGCCTGCACTATATATGCATCGCGGTATGAATAGCTGGGCGCTGGGGTTTAATCAAGAAGCATGGAAGCGTTCAGTGCCTTTGCTCGCTCAGACATTGAGAACGTCTCCACACTTTCCCTTTCCGACGACGTCCGGTATCGGCACTGTGGGTTTGAGAATGTTGACCGGCCACTGCGATCCGCAACCCGAATGAGAGAACCAGCAGCGGTAACATTTGCCAACAGAAGAAGATGGATCAAGCATCGGCCTAGCCTCGGCAGCTGGCTGTCACGGCGCGGGTAACGTCTCGTCACGGCACGTGCATTCATTACCGCGTTTTGTTACACTACATAGCCCGCACCTTTGGTGTTGGCGGTCTGACTCTGTTCTGCTTGTGGACTATTCTCATAACACCTGCCGCCTAACCCCGCCTACGATGCCGAGGAAAGATGCAGGGACTGTAACTGCTCAGTCTCAGCAAGATATGACCTCGGATGGTATCGAGAACTTCGAGTTGCCCAAGTCTTTGGTGACGAAGATCGCCAAGTCTGCTGTGCGTTCCTGTTGCCAACGCGGTCGGTTTCTTCCGGAACGCTCATCCGTTCCCAAAGATTCCGGATAATTCCAAGCTGCAGAAGGAAACCGTCCTTGCGCTTATGAAGGGATCAACGGTGTTCATCAACTACCTCGGTGGGTGATATTTGTACACCGTTTTACTGCCCGCGGCTGACTGTTATTTCGAACAAAGCTGCGACGTGCGTATTTCTCTGGCCTTTATCCTCAAGAACCGCGCAGCGCGCTAACGCATAAGGCCTATGCGTTCGCAGCGCTCATGACATCGCCATCTCGAAACAACATAAAAGCATATCCGCTTCCGACGTCCTGAGAGCGCTCGAGCTCATCGAGTTCGGAGATATGGTACCGATGCTTCAGGGAGAACTACAAAGTATGTGTGTCTAACTTAACCCCATAAGTGTGCAGCGTTGACTCGCCGTTTGCTGCAGTTTACAAAGACAATCAGAAGGGAAAGAAGGGAGGTGCCTCGACTGCCGCCAAGGCGCCGCCTGTGAAGGGCAAGGGCAAAGCCAAGGCTGCCGACGCAGAAGAACCGACCTCCATCTCTACCCACATGCGGTCAGGCGGACCTATGGATGCAGACGGTGACGACGACGACGATGCCCCGGCGAGCGCGGACATTGAAGTGCCAGAAGACCAAGACGACGAAATGGCGGACGCTTCAGAACCTGGCGACGAGCCACCGGACGAGCCGGACGAAGCGGACGAAGACGAGGACGAGACCGGGAGCGAAACTGAGCCGGAGGAGATCGTCGATACGATGGCGGTGGAGGACGAGGAGTTGAGGAAGGACGCGCTAAGTATTGAGCGGCGAGAAAAGGAAGAGGCGCGGACAAGGGAGGAACTCGCCTCCGAATTGTAACAGTGAAGCTGAGTGCTCCCTCGTACTTACGTATCTCTGTATTGTTGTCACGGTTTGACACCTGTACAGCACGGACATTTACGCAATTTCTGAACTCGTCAGTGGACCGTGCTTTCGAAAACACTTGGCCAACTTCGTCGCTGCACTATAGGTGCTAGTATTGACTGTGCCTCCGAATCCCAGCTCTCGCTTGCCCTCAAAGACAATGCCTATTGAAGACGTTGACGGCCCACCGGTCACTGAAGTTGTCTGCAATGAGCGTCATACTATACGCTCTCGGTGCTGCTATCACGCAGCTTCATGAGACTTATCCGGAACCGATTAGATGGGCAACATATATTCTTCTTGGAATCTGACAACAAAGATCGGGCATCTAGGCTTAGTGGATCTCCGTTCGAAGGACAGATGTCGACACCGAGTGCGGAGCGGTGCCGCATTGTAACTACGGCCCCTTTTCTACAGGAAATGTCTTCGGGAAATGTCTCACAGAAATCGCTCGCTGGCTCGAATGATCGAGTGCAGTTGAGAATTTCTGCGGACCATGAGCCTCATCGCACCAAGGCGGCACCGCGGTGAACAAGACTGGCCTAATGGCGCCACCCGAATCGGCCTCGGTTTCCCGTATTAACTCCGAGTATAAGGAGGCTGCAATACCGTGTCAGACGAATACAAACTCGATGAGATCGCGATGATCGCGGGCGCTCAGAATTCGAACTTGAGCTAGCGAGAAGCTGCAGGCTAGATCAGGCCTCAGTAATCTGGTCGAAGAGCGTTCGTATCCGATAGCACAACGTACAGTATCATAACACACACCATACGTTGGAATTTAGCAATCGACGGCGCCAGTGTCAAGGTTGAGAATGTGACTTCCTTCGGAACATAGCAAAATACATCGATACGCGCCATACCTGAGTATTCTAAACAGGTACACATACGAGCTGATGCATAGGAACACGGCAAATGGCACGAACATACGGACGTACAATGTAAACGAATCAGTGAAAAGGTACAAAAACCGTAGTTATCGCCAAGCGGAATGGTGATGCCAAGAATCATACTCTGAATACGAAATGAGCACCGCCGAATAGCCACCATCTCTCAATCTCCCACTTCAGGCCTCGTCACGAAGATTGTCGCGAATGTAGGCTTCGTTGATACCCGGAAAGACCCAGCCTCTGGCACGGAGCAGCTCAAGAGCATCGATACACCAACTCTGACAGTTCCATTTAGAATTGGCGTCCTGAACAATTCGAACCTGAGCGAGAACATGCTCGAACGCGTCGAGTTGATCCATGGGAATATTGCCTATAATGACCTGACCCGAAAAAGACGAGGACTTGTAAAGATACAGCTTCTCCTTGCCCTCGTACCAGAAGTCACCGGGCTCGCCCATAAGCTGGTGGAAATCGGTTCGAGATTGACCGGAAGCGGTAGCGATATGGAACGACCAGTGGTTCGGAAGAAACGTTCCTCCAGGAGTGCGACGTCTGTAGGAGACGATAGACAACGGAAAAGACATGTCAGTGGTAATGATTGAGTGGTTTGACAGTGGTGGTGCGGTAGTTGACTAGCAGTCGAGTCGTTCTCTGAGGATGAATTGAATACGACCGTAATGCTCGTATTTTATACCCGCCATGCTGAGACGATTCTTGATATGTTTCGATGGGGCAGTGAAGTTCAGGACGATGAGGTGAGCGTACGAGAAGCTGTCGCGAAAGATGGAGCAGACAAGACGAACAAAACCATTGACGGACTGAAAGCCAATGAACCTCAATTAGACGGGTGGGGCTACCATAGTGTTTGCAATATTGGTCCCAGGTATTCGGATTCGGACGATGCAGACGATGCATCCATAGCAGTATCTCAGCTGAACTTTGAGGACACGGCGGCATGTTAGCTGCGTATTGAATGTACGACGGTATTGATGTAAACGCAGTCGCTGCGTCCTAGCAGTAACGCTTTCTCAATAGAGACTTCCGAAAGTTCCTGAGTGTGCTGATGTGTTGTATGTGTGCGCGCGATAGCGACAAGTAGAGCATCCGTGCAGAAGGCCCGTGTAAATTGCGGCGATTGCTATCAGTAGAACCTGCTGCACTTAGCAGCTTTCCGTAGCAGCAACGCGAGCCGGTAGGTTCGACGCTTATGTGCTGTTAAGGGCGTGTAACGAGATGCTGTCCGTATTCGCAGTTCTGAGTTGCTGTGCGTGAGAAAGCTAGGAGAAACAAGAAAATGCGGTCTCCAAGGCTCTTCACTGATCGCTTTCCCCATTCCCCCCCCTCAACTCTGGTGAACAAACATGATCAACCGACATGCACTCGCGGCTCGTCTCGAGCTTGCAAAGCAGCTATATCCTCCCAATTTCCTGACTCATTCTTCGAACAACCTGCAGCAACTTGACCATCATACTATTTTGAAGTCCGGATACAGTCGCTACATCCTCCACGAGGCAGAAGCTCTGGCTTTTGTGCAGCAAAACACGTCAATACCACTCCCTCGCGTATTGGACTCCTGGGAAGACGACGATAAGTCGCAAGAGAAAGCGTACTTGCTCATGGAATTCGTTCAAGGGGACACCCTCAGGCACGCGTGGCCTACGATGACACAGGAAGCCCGGAACTATGCTATCGCACAGCTCCGAGCGTACGTGGCGGAGCTCAGGTCGCTGCGGCAGCCCGGGCCGCCTTGGATCGGGTCGTGCTCGCGCGGTCCCGGTGTCGATCATCGCATCCAAACCACAGACGGGACGTTCCCCTGCCTGCCCTCTGTTGCCGCGTTTCATGATTTCCTTCTCCGACGTCTCTGTAAGCGGGCCCCGCCAGAGAGGTATCAAGCCCATAGGTGCAAGTACAAGGACGATTATCCTATCGTCTTCAGCCATGCGGACTTCCATCCGGGCAACATCCTTGTCGATCCCAGTACCGGAAAAGTGAATGCTATCATCGACTGGGAGATGGCGGGATGGTGGCCGGCGTACTGGGAGTACAGGAAGGCGTTGTACGGAATAAATGTGGAGGATCCCGAATGGCTCAAGATCATACCGCAGATCATGGATGAGTACCCCGACGAGCTCGCGGTAGATATCAATTACGAATTCTTTTGATCTGTGTTGTACGCGAGTGTACGCGTCTCCTATATAGAGTACATAGTGGCTGGTGTGATTGCATGGCGATGATCAACTCTGCCAGACACGACAGCTGGCCTTGCTGAGCGCCTTCTTTACCGCGGGTTCCTTTCGGTTAGGAGCAATAGCGACGCAAGTGGGCTCGTTCTCAGGCTGTTCGATCCAGAGATGATGAGGTACAGGCGGTGTCGCTGCCGAGAGCGCGTTCGAGAGTTTGGTCAACGACGCAACCGAGGATGTTTGCATAACTATCTAAGATGATCAAGCGGCCATGTCAGTCAGGGTCGGTTGAAATCAGTCAAGGGGATAGGAATGGTCGGACATACCTTGCGCATGCCCTTCAGGTCAGCTAGATACGCCTGCGTGTTAGGGTTCTCCCGCGTCTCGTGCAGAACAGCAGCAGTAGCATGAGCTGTTTGCGCCATCAAAGGCCCGAGCCCCCATCCCTCCTTCTGCGTGTATCCAACGAAATGAGTCATCGACCGTGGTGAATCGAGTTCACAAAGGGAGCAGCAGGAGTAACAGACAGAACCCGATGATAACGCAAAAGTTCCGAGATTAGCGACTTGACGCCTTTCGTGAGTCGACACGGGTACGGACATCGAGCAGATCCCTCCGAACGATAATCTGCATGATCAACGGTTCTGGTACAGGTACCACCAGCTCAGAACGTGAGCCCGATGTTCCCGCTCCTGGAACGTCCGTGATGGCCGCAGATAGGGGGGCGGACTTGGAGCCCATTGTCAAGCACCGATACACGTATTTCTTATGAGTAATATAGGAGATAAAAGAGGCTTGTCGGTAGAGGAGAGCATGCGCCCGTAATGGGTGCAGAGCTCGTGCTCGTCGGTCACCCAATTTTAGGGTTGCCCCCCGTCTTCTCCCACCAAAATGCGCATCAATACACGAGAACTCAGCGATGTCGGCTCGCGTACTGAGGGTGTTCCTTGTGTTCGCCACCGACGACCTCCTCGACGACCCAGGGGTTTTGGCTAGTCTTGACTGCGTCCTGAACGGATTACGGGAATAAATCGCGACCTCAACGGAAGTTCAGCACCGATTGAGCAGCACGGGAACCTCCCACGTCCGGCCGGGATTCAACTTCATTGCGGGTTGAGAGCGTGTCACGGTGAACAAGGACCGTCCAGTCGCAAGTGAGTACCATATAATGCATGCATATCTTGACGCCGTAAGCTAGGGATGACTGACATGCTCTTGTAGGGCCTTGTGGTTCTCTCCGAAGCACCGAACGGTGGAGTAAACCGAACCCCAGCTTGCCATCATGCGCATCTACCTTCCCTGGCGCCGACGCCATCACCACGACCACCACCATCATGGTATGTCCAGCTTCTGGCTCAGAGACCTCGAATTCGAAAGGCTCATTTTGTCTTCCTTCCCCAGACCCACGACACCACCACTACCAATACCCAACCCGTCGCCTCACGCGTCGCCTCATCATCTTCACGATCTTGGTAACATTCTGCGCCTTCGTCCTGGAACTGCTCCCGGCAATCTCGATAGTATGTTCTACTACATTCGACGCTCGCATAGTGCTCATGAATTATCGGCATGGTCATGTAGCCCATAGTGAAAGATATATGGCTCGCTTCTATACATGCCAAAACGCAGGCGAACCAACCAGCTACAGCGGTTGCTACCGAAATCCGTGTAGGAGTATGGGGCTTCTGTGCAATCAGGTGCGTCGACGCTGGCTTCCCGTCATCAATTCCGTGCTGACGCGCACCGGCCTCTGCAGCGTCTTGGGTGACAGCACTTGCATAGGCCCGCAGCTCGGGTAAGTCTTCTCCCCCTGCTAGCCTTCGCTGCACCCCGTCCACATGCATGCCGTCTGCACAGATATACCCTTGAACCTGCGCTCATCGAGCTCGTCACGGACCAAGTAGACCTTGTCAATGCGGTGCTCAAGGGCCTCACAGTGCTCCTTATTTTGCACCCGATTGTGGCTGGCTTGAGCTTCATCACGATGTTCATCGCGGTCACACTCGAAAACCATGCCGGTGCAGTGCTCTGCTTGATCACCTCGATCGTTACCGGACTTGTACATCCTGTCTCGCCCTCGTTCTGTATTCACCTCGCTGATGAAGTCGTTGTCATTGCGTGTAGGTTGGAGGCGTATCTCTAGCCGCGGATTTGGCGCTCGCTATCGTTGCTCGGGACAAGGTTCCGGGCCTCACGGATGGTGAGCAGCCTCGCCCACTGCCTTCAGCAGCTCCGTCATTGATCCTACAATCTTGCAGATAACTTCACCGTCGAGCTCGGCAATGCCATTTGGATGATGCTCGTCGCTTTCATTCTTACCTGGGTAAGCAATTCTGTCGTCTGTCATGCGGGTAAGGAACTGCATTTGACTCGGGCGTCTCTTAGGTTGCAGTGATTTTGATCAGCCTGCGCGCTTGCACGTGTTGTGGGATTGGACGAAGGCACTATCGCAAATATTAGCAGCGTTGCCATGCCGGACTGGCGTGGGCGATGCTTGGTGGGACGGGCATAGGCATGGACGGGTATCTTCGGAGACAACATGGGATACGACGGAACAACGATTATTTACGCTGGTATATATTCACTCCTTCTATGTGATGCTTAGCGATCTCGCGCTGCTTTTCGGACCAGTTCCCTCCATCAAACGCCCACACGTGCCACGAGGTCATCCATGCCTCTCGGCCTGCTGCTTGACGCTGGCCATGGGATGAAGTCCAGATTAATCTCGTTACGTTTTCAAAATGGCTCTGCGATGGAAATCACAGGCACCTGATGATGGCAGCACCACTTTCACTGCCTATGCCCCATGTAAGCCTTACGTTGAAGATGAGATGCTCAGTTGTCGAACCGACGAATCAGTACCCGGCCGCTCAAACTCAATATGAGCTGCTGGCCGAGGCACGAATGAATCGATGGCTGTAGCTGGATATTACTGTGCGCCGGGTGCGTACCCATTCATCAACGGTCCGAAGATAACCAAGCAGTCTAATGTCCAGCCTCTAACAACAATTGGAGTCGTCCCGGTGTATAGACTCTCAACGGTGATGCATCAGGTAAGCTTGGTTCGGTTCGAACGTCGTGAACCACTACTGATCGAACGTCCTCGTCCAGAATACGGGTCTCCTTGCTCTGATCCATGCGTGCAGTGTTGCTTTGGGCTTCTGTGTCGTTAATTTGTGTGCACGTGCCCCGTGCTGTCCTGGCACCACTTAGGAGCATCGCCCGAGAGAACCGCTCAAAAATTCGTTGTTATAGCGTTGACCGCAGCTCCCATCAAAACCTTTCGGAACCCCGCTTCGAGTGATCTCTCTATGGTAATGACCGCGTACTGCTGGAATGGCGGAGAACAGAGTTCATGAATCGGAGCCAGGTTCTGTGACACGATAAGCATCGCATTGATGGTCCATGCGATTTACCACTACTTCATCAACGCATTCGCCAATTATCCGAACTGAAACTGCTGCCATTCAGTGTGCCAGTAAGTGCTCTTGTCTGCAGTGATTCGGCATAATTGACTGGTCTCCAGCTCGAGAGCGTCTTCACCGTACGAGTTATTTCTGAGATACCGACGAATATGAGTATATCAGTCATCTATGGTAAATTACATCGATCTTCAACTCCCATCGGTGGGTAGGAGATTGTCATTCTCAGGAAATGAACACGTCAGCTAATGCTGTGTGATCCACAGTTCTTCATTGAGCGAATTTGGATCCGTGCGTTTACTACCATGCAACTGCATGCGATACCGTGGATGATCCGCTTATTTGCATTTAATATCGCGCTCTTGGCTTACCTGCATTGTGCGAAGATGCACGGCTTGGTACGTTGAAGTGTCAATCACATGGATATATGAATTCGATATATTCAGACGCAAGCCCAGTGCACGCCCCAAGGTTCCGATGACTATGAACTAACCAAGGTGGTGATGATGGGCGATCCAGCAAACTCTGCCTGAAGGGGAGGGTTGGCAGACGGAGCAAGGGAAAGGCGGCGGAGCTGCTCAAGTCCATCCGGTTTGGGGCACTATACGCTCGTTGGTATCAGTCTCGGAACGGAGGATATGCTCGCCTGCGAGAATGAAAATATTTTCTGCACGTTCTCTGCATATTGTTGCTGCCGAAAAATGATGTGATGATACTCCATGTCATACATACATTGTATGCGTTGTATTTGCGTTTCAAACGAAGTGCTTGTGCGACTCATGGCGCTATATCAGCAGGCCCGAGAGCGCGTTGATGGAACACATTGCTTCTCAGAGAGGATTACATATGTATCGTACAATCGTGGGAGAATCTGATGCCTACGAAAGATCAATCCAGCGATTTAGGCAGGGTACCCCTGGAATGCTCACCGAAGGGACCAGCCCAAGAGAGAGGTCTTCTTGCCTCGCACCGCCCCACACCGTCACGCGGACGCCACGGCTTCAGGGCCGAACACCTCCACCACTATCTTTGACGCTGCCGCTTCATCCTCCTTCGCGTATGCTTTCACCGTTTCCTCGTTATCCGGCGGCATCCTCAGGGCGCGCGTCTGAGCCACCGCCGTCCTCACGAGCTCGCGTGCCTTGGCGAGCATCATCGCCGTCCTTAGGCCGAGCCGCTCAGCCTCCTCCACTTCGAGCGGGGAGGGACGCAGGCAGACCTTCTGATACGCACCGGGTAGCCATTCCGGTATCGCGTAAGTCATGGCCAGCACGATTTCCGCGATGGGGTCCAAGGCGGCGTCAGGGCTCTTGAGCTCTGCGATGGCTCGCGTCCTGATTGCTGGGAATTCGTATTTGGTGGCGATGGACAAAAGAGAGGTCCAATAAGCTGGAGTCTGCGGGCGCCTGTGCATCCTGTTTGAACGGGTGAGGAAGGTAAGAGGGAGAGGACGCAAATACCAACCCTTGGTAGATGAAGTCCAATAAAGTACGGAACTCTTCGATCGAGACGTCTGCCAAGATGATAGGGCTGTTATCAAAGGGGTTCTTCGAGGTCTGCGAAAACGGTCCCAAGAAGGTTCGCTTGAAGTAGGGCGACTCGCGCTCCAAGAAATAACGATGTACGCGGAATAGTCGATGTTCAACCTGTGACGGACGAAAATCTTCAGCATCATTGAAGGTCGTGTGAAGGAGGAGAGCTCACCAGGAACGTTGCCATGTCATCAGAAAAGTAATATTCGTCGTCAATCTCCGCGTCAAGGTCTGTCCCCGATCCGCACCACGACGGGGGCGGAGACGTCGACGGCGTCTGCACGTATGACATGGAGCTGTCGGGCCTTGACCACGACGTGGGCGTCGCCGATAAGGGCGATGGCGATTCGACGTAACGCGGCGAGTCGAACACGGGGCTCTGGCGGCCACGAGGCTCCGGGGCGGCTGGCCGCACGGGGATCTTGAGCATGAGGGGAAGTGCTGGCGATTCCGGTAGAGCAGGCGACAGCTGACGATGAGATGCCATCGGGCTTGCACGCAGGTCGGAAGTTGAGAGCGGTGCGGCGAGCCGGGTATCGGGGGCTATCTGGGCTAGTGGTGGCATGGGCGACCGCGACGGCGCACGCTGCGCTGAGGATGAGCGGGATCGCAGATTGGGGCGTGCCGTGAACTGAGGTCGTGCGGGGCGCTTCGTCGTCATCGACCGCACCGGCGCCAGCGTAGGCAGAGGCGGGGGAGACGCGGGTGGACGGTTGTATCGGGAGGCGATCGGGGTCGCCATCGACGTCCTGGAGGACGCTGTCGACCGTCCTGACGACGTTTTCGCCATCAGAGGGGGATGGGGTTGCTTTGGCTTCGTCGACTCCGGCATGATCGCCCAGAGGTCAGCGGTAAATTCGGGAGACTCGGGGGATATGGGCGATTCCACGGCGCGCGCTTGTGCCATCGTGATGATAGAGAGAGGCTCCAGGCCGAAAGGTGGATATATGGCCGCAGTATATACGCCGCAAAAAGCGAAGCGGGGGGGAGGGGGTCGCGGATCCATTTTCCTATCGGGTAGGTTCTTAAGCTGGACCGAGATGAACGTGCGGAGGAGCATACCTTCCTCTGGAAAACATGCCCATCAGGCATTGCCGGCCGGGGCTGGCGGTATAGATGATTCCGAGACAGCCAGGCCATGAGAAGCTTGAGCTTGCTCTATTGTGGTGCACACTTCACGCGAGTGTGGACATGATCTACGCAGGTACAGAACATGCATATGTGGTGCACTTCCTTGAACTCAACGCCCGGGGGGAAGCAAAAGGCACAGAAGAGGTATCACGTTACTCCGGGTAGAATCCGCGGAACGAGGGTCGGCGGTGCACCCATCCTTCGAGCTGAAGAATAGAAGCAGGATCAGCGTCGATTCGAACATTCCGACCACTAAATGGGCCCCAATTATGGCAAAGACGTCGTGAACTGTCGCACAGATAAGCCCTATGGGTTATGTTTGTAGCGTCTCGCCGGCTCACCTCCGCATGCTGGAGAACACGTTGTTTGGGGACGCCAGCTTGTGCGCTTTGGAACCTAACGAGAAGGTGAAGAATGGCGTGTTATCTCTGGACATCTCATATAGCTGAAGCGTGTTCTGTGGAGTGCGGGATAGACACCTGGTGAACTTGCCGCTCTGGACGCGATAAGATTGTCGTCATTCCCGTCGGATACATACATTATTCGATATTGATATAGACAATCCTACTTTTCTAATTTGTCAGAACGCATAGAGTCCCGATCGTAATGAAAACTCACCCCTACCGCACCAACACTGAATGGAACGCAATCACCATACCCCTCCTAACCAAGGTATCCAGAGCGATCCGACCAGAAGTACGACACTTTGAAGTCGCCCCTAGTACATCTCGAGACTCATTCCGTCGTTGATCTCGTAATCCCCTAGCGTGATGTGGTCTTTGTATATCGTGTACCTGAAGCACATTGACTAGGGATTACGGCGCGACAATCGTCGATAGCAGCGGCCTACCACTTCTTGAGCTGGATCTTGCTGGGATCAGTCCCAGTTTGAGCAGCAATCAGTTTCTTCAGATCACCGACGGTGTCATCTGGGCTGCATTTGACGCGGACTGTGATGAAACCCATCCGGTACGAACGACGTATATCGGCGGCACCAGAGCGGAGATTACATTGAAGTTTGCCACAAGCGTGTTCCAGTGAGCATCGGGGTTGACAAAACGGATGGGATAAGCAGACGTGAGTAAACCATGAGGTGATGTTACAAAACGCGATAGCCAGGATTACGAACCTTTACGTCCGAGACGATCGTTCGCAATAACCTTTGATAAAGTCAGCACAAGTAGATCGCAATGCGCATGCTACAGTAGAATATGAACTGACCTCGATGAGCGCCATTCCAAAGGCTTGTCGTGGAGGAGGACCGCAAAGCGAATGGATGACTAAGCAGGAGGTGACGCGCTTTGAGTCGCCATCACCCAAAAAAGGCAAGGTCAGCTTTGGTCCAGGGGTACAGCCATCCTTATTGTCTTTGCTCTGGCTACATATTGCCAGGGGAGACCGTCGAGGCAACGCCCTTTCCCCTGCTCGCTCTTTTGCTTTTTGGAATCGTACGCGTCTCGGAGGGTGGTCTTTGACCGCGTTTTACCATGCCCCGGACGCGCTTTACTGCACGACTTTCTCTGCCAATCGGAGTCCGGTTTTGGGCGCGTTGTGTGGACACTTCCTCTGCGGATATGGGCTTGATATCCCTTGCGAAACTCTCCTAAGAATCTTTTACCTTATTGCACATTGCCAGGCGCCCTCTTGGACACCGGCTCACGGGGGAAGCATATGCGACTTTATGACGGGGTTGTGGACTAGTTTCGTGCGTAACCTAATACGATCGCTGGTATCATCGGAACTGATTTCTCGGTCTCTTCGTTCTCGAAGCTAGGATCTGCCTAGATGTAGAAAGCAGTCCAGACCCGAAAGCACCAACGCACCACAGTGGATGCTCGCAATACCCGCGAGATCGCATGTTGTCTCTGGTCTTTGCTTTCTTACAGATGCAGCTACGCTTCACCGCTTGATTGAACAGGAAACTTCAAAGACTCTTGCTTGAGATTGCGCGGGACGTCTTCCGTTAGCCAGCAAACGTCGTCACCTCTGATGGAGCTAGCCGGTTCTTCTCCGCCTCCACCAAATCAGGTCACTCTCATTATTCGCTCGGAATGTCGTTCAATATTCCTCCATGGTCCTGGCTCCCATTGTCCCATGCTCGATCATCAATCGTGGCGTTCTGGTTACTCGGGCGCACTCTCACTTGGGTCGATCGTTTAGCGGGACTTTCCGACCCCACTCTCCGGTCTTTTCAGGTGCACTCGGCGACGGTCTAGCGTGCTCTCGTCCACTTGGCCCAAAACGCACGGTCGCTTCACTCCAAGGATGTCCTGGCTTGCAACATCCGCACCGATCTCATGCGAAGCACATGCAATGTTGTTGCCAAGACGCCTCCTCGTGCCTCCTCATCAAATTCAAGATTCCCTTGCGCTGCAAAGTCGGGCGCGAAGTAGCGCGAAACTGGAGAACGAACCACCGCGAATCGCCTAACTTCGATTACATAATCGATCTGTTGTTCCCAAAAAGGAAATCAACCCAAAGGGCGTGGGCGCTCCCCCGTCCCGATTTGGACGGTCGTTTGTGGGCCTGTCTTGCGCGCGCATACCGAAAATGGGATACTGAAAGACGCCCCGCATCGATTTCGACCGCGCGCTATCCTTATGTCTAGATTTGGACGTCCCTTTCGCGCTGGACCTTGTACGTGACACCGTCTTGTATAAATCTTTTCATTCATTCGAGAAGGGGGATGTTCCCCCAGAGGCTCCCGTTCTCGCTCCCTCCCCGAGTTCGATTTATACAACTCGTGCGGCTTGCGTTGCGCAGCCGTTTCTGGGATTTTTCTTCGTTCCTCCTCTCTCATTTCCTATTTTCATCCGTCTCCTCCTCTACCCGCTCCTCCGAGATGTATAGCCGTCTCTTCACCCTCTTCGCCCTCTTCGCCCTCCTTGCCAGCAGTAAGCTTCTGGTCCTACTTGCGTACGCATCCCCGCGCTAACAATCGTTCAGCAATGATATGTGCTGTTGCATCCCCGATTGCCGCAACCGTAGCAGCGGACGCCGCCCTCGAAGAGCGCACATGCCGCATAGGCTGTAAATTTGTCGAACCGGTACGTGCCTCGCTCAGCGGTCCGCCACGAGACAATTCGCTTATTTAGATCTCTTCGCAGGACGAATCGAGCTCGATAGAGTTCAACACGGCAGACTCGTCTGCAACCTCGGTTGCCAGCACTGCATCCGTCGTGGTCTCCACCTCCGCGGCTTCCACCACCACAACCTGCTCTACACCTGCGACATCTACCTCCGAGTCGACAACAACAGTCGCGCAGACTACGACAGAACCGGAGCCCTCACCCGAATCCCAGCTCGTGCCTTTTTCAGAGCCGGAGACTCAACCAGCGTCGGCCGTCATCGCGACGAGCGGCGCTCTATCCTCAATATCACGAACACCGTTCGCCTCGCTAGCGGCGCTCAGCACAGCAGCCGGCGCACTCGTGTTCCTTCTATGAAACTATCCCGCACCTCACCTCACCCTCACCTTTATCTCATGGAGACCTTCGCCACGCCACCACCAACCCCCTACAATCTACCGCCTCCTCTCGACCGCAATAGACCTCTAGCCTCAAGTCTTCTCGGCATCCGGACTTGTTACCGTGGCTTGATGCCATATTTATCCCTTCGCATTCATCCGCCGCGTCACAGCGGCTCCACGTTTCACGACCTCGTCTGGGTCGACGTCCACTCGTTCCTGTACAGAGCGCGCTTCCACCCCGCCCCCTTTACAACCGTACCCTGGTTCCGCGCATAATCGCGAAAAGCTGCACAACGGTTGTGCGGTTCTTATACTTCCATATAGTCGTCAGGGAGTAATCGATTGCTTGTTTTGATTATACGCTCGTCTGTCTCGCTGTCCTCGCACTGTGTATTGTAGTGTCTACAACATCTGTATCCATTAGCGTGTTTCGATATACATCTCGGATTCGGACTTCGTGTCTGAGAACCATGCCCAACGCTTTGGGTGTCGCACGCAAGACCCTCCATCTGCTCTTCCTGTGTTTGAAACCGATGAAGCATGGTATTTGAAAGTGAGCTCCAACGCAATGTCTCGCCGTGGTACCACCTATAATCAACACGCACGGATTTCTTGACAATCTAACTTTCAATAGACGAACATAGCCCAATTCACTTGGCACGAACGGTTCGTACAATTGAAGTGCGATTTGTGATAAATCAGCAAAATACGTGTTCAGTCATAAACGATGAACTCTGAACCGAGGCGGTCCAGGTGGTGCACATTGTATGTCCCTACCGCATTTATTCTATGATATTGTATTGGTGCGATGCAAATACCGTATGATCGCATGATCAAGCTACATGCTGCGTTTCCTTCGATGGGCTATCGAGTCCGACTTTGATCGTCTTATAACAGGGCAATGCTGTCCTCCTCGTAAGCTGTGCGCTGCCGTGAGCAATCATCTGATATCGAAGACCAATACGGCTTCCCAAAGTCTCGTCATTGATAAAGACATCTGCCCCTTCCAGCATTGCTGACCAGAATGGGAAGTAATCCGCACAGGAACACCATGAGTCATCCGACTCAAGAAATGCACTGGAAGATTTCGCTCGTGCAGTGTCGTAATTATCCCTCGGTTAATATGATCATCATTGTGTGGCAACTTCTTGACCATATTCTTGGACAGCGCGATGTTTGTGCGGGAGAAACGACGCTCAGTATGAGACCCTAGTACATCTATGTTCAGCAAGACAGCGCTTTCCTGCGTGAATCCCATACCAATGCAGTCTTTACGTGCCTACGCTTAAGCATCATGCACTATGGGGAAGGACATTAATGACTCACATCCTCAACAATGGATTGTATCATTTCCTGCCGGCTTGATCAGGCTGCGAACATGTCACTGGCTTCTCGCAAGGAAATGAAATTCGACCCGCATTATTCATAGTAGGTCAATTCCCTTATCCACACATCCCGGTGGTAATATCTCGTGCCCATTATAGCACCGCCATCACATGCCTCGAGCGTAGCATAGGAAATTCATCAGGAGCTCCACACATAAATACATACCAGCTTGCGCAAGACTGGGACGAAGCTATCTGCTCCCCCCATATCCGTTTTTCTTACTTCGATGGTTGGCAACCAACATGACCTCAGATCGACAATTGGGATGTTGTTTGTTGGCTTTGTCTTAGCTACGGTTTTGTATGGGTATAGCCTATCCAAGGTAGCTCTGAAACCGAGGTCTCAACCAGCGCACTATCTAGGCTGACAGTTATTTATCAGGCCTACTCATATCTAACCAAGTACCGGAGAGATCCTCGTCCTCTTAGATATGTTGTTGTGGTCCTGGTGTACGAGTTATTCATCTTGCATCTGCCTTAGTGGCCACGCTCATCTGCTGTAATAGTCTGTTGGACACCGTGGCAACGATACTATGTGGGTTCTGTCGCATGCAGTCATATCGCATTTCTTGCTAACCGTACGACAGCGGCCCATGCTCTGTATTACTGTTTAGTAATCCACTACAACGATCCAACGTTCCTCCTTTGGATACCAAAATCACTTGCAGCCTTCACCGCTATCATCATATTCATTATGGCAATAGTACAATTGTATGTTCTATAGCTCTCAAAGAGAAGTTCCCAGGCATGATCTATCTAGTAGATTCTTCGCCTATCGAGCGTGGCGGCTAGGACAGGGCGAAACAAAATCGCTCCTTGTTATCAGCATCCTGGTGAGACTCTCCATTTGCTTCATGACTACAGTCTTGCTCAAGAGTTGCAGGTTGTCTTTACAATCGCCGGTTTCGTAATGGGACTAGGTCTAGTGATCCAGACTTTGTGCTTGTTCATCGCCTGACGTTGCCAATAAGTCCTTTCAGCCGAGGCGTTTTCGCCAGGTCTCTTTTCTAAGATTGACACGGGCTTCGGAAAGGTTCGTACTCTCATTGGCTGCATTTTTTCATGCTGACACGGTGTTCCATAGATTGTTGCCAGTATAACAGCCGGATTATTCTCCGCAGCTGATATTCTTATCACTGTGACGCTATACTTCTACATTGGGTCCTCAAGGACAGGCCTCAGACAGACAGACCGTGGTCTCGTAAGAATAAGTGGATACGTACTCACACGTGGCTTTCTCACCCTGTGCATATTCCTGCCGCTCAATCGCAAAGAACAGTATCTAATGACGATTCATAGGATATGCCATGCGACATTTCTTATCACCCTGCTAACATTCAAAAACTCATTGGTGTATCTCATCTTCCATCAACTGCTTCCCAAGGTTTACTGCCTTACACTCTTCCTCCTGTTGACATCGTTTGAGCCGTTCAAGCTTGTTTCCCGCCATACTGGCGAAGAATCGGAGCACGGTACCCCGTACAACAGGGAAATACACCTCGAAGTCGTCCAAGACACGGAAACCTTTGTCCTGAGGACACAAGGGGTAAAGGAGGCTAAGCGCATATCTGCTGGCTCTGTAGACGAGGCTGAGCAGGTATCTAAGCCTCTCTCTCGACACGGGGTGAGCTGATAGCATTATAAAACCGTATTCGTTGCGCTTAATTGCGTGTGGCACTCACAGCGATCCGACGGACCATTCGTCTGATCTTCCGCATTTTTCAAACGTGCATCTGTTTGGTTCGTGATTGCAGAAGATCTCATTCGGCACGGGGGGCGAACAGATAGGACGCAACTTGTACCTCCATCATTTGAGTGCCCTCGGTTTGCTTGATCATGTAACAGTATGCCGACGTCCTAGGTCCTTGGTCATCCCGCAGTTATTTGATAATTGAAAACACCAGTTTATGCTTGCAATGGTATATGGCCGCGCTTACAAAATGGTCTCCGGATCTTCCGAGGCCTCGCGACTGAATTGAGCCAAGGATATGTATAGTGAGTCATTTCCGGCGTCTGCTCGTTTGCTTGAAGCGCTGCAAGGTAGGGGTACCCGTGGTGGCACCGTAGCTCACACCTTCCAAAGAGTGGTCCATGGATGTCGACGGGTGTGTTTACATGCTCGGTTCCCGTAACTGGAGACTTGGCGCATCGATGCATACTGCTTGAGATCAGTAGACGGTGTGGACGAAACCGTTTTTCTCCACCGCGTTATGGGCGTCCTGTTCCGGTCCCACAGTGTGCCAAGGTTATTCCCGCTTCGAAGTCGATCATTGAATAGCAGTGTTCCTGCCGGGCAACGCATAGCCTTTCACTGGCGTTGACTGATCCATCACAAATATATATATACGGGCTTACAGAGTTGAGACGCACCAAAAAGCGATCTCTGTCCCCTAGGTATTTGATCATGTACACCAGAACGGATGATCAACCCAGCGTAGGGAGCACCGTCGGTGTTTTATTTATTAGATTCATCTTGGCTACCGCTTTGTGTGGCTATACCATTTCACTGTCCCTCTCAGCTGAATTTTTGCTCATGTTACGAACTAGGCATATTCATACTCTACTAGGCAGTGGCAGGATCCATGATTGGTGAAGACAGTGGTGTTTGGCTTGATGTACGGTTGCCGTTTTCAACCAGTTGATGGGCGTTGAATAATCATGCTCGTTTGTGGTAGATCAACGGAGACCATCACGACTGCGCTCTGTATGTGTTCAAGGCCTCTACTATTTATGTTGCTCAATATGCAGAAAGTCGCACACAGCTTATACGACTATATAATCATTCATTACGGCGACGCTTCATTCCTGGATTCGGACCCAAGGTCGCTTGCGATCTACAACGTGTTCACTTCATTGGTGATTCGTGTTGTGCAGCTGTGGGTATCCTCATTCCGAGGATACTTGAGATATTCTCACTAACTGACCGATTCAGATTCTTTGCGTACCGAACATGGAGGTTAGGGCGAGGAGAAACAAGAGCTGCCATGATTGACGCTCTTCTGGTAAGCCGATGGCAAAGGTCGAAAACATGAATTCACTTAGACTCTTCAGCTCGCATGTATTATCGCAGGTTTCGCGACGGGCACAGGTCAAGTGTATCCTTTGCGGCTTACTTCCAATTGCTGACAACGTTATGTAGTCGTCTCGTCCGAGTTGTTCAAGAAATCATTCACTCAGCTTGAAACGACCTACGACCGGGTTTGTTCAATATGCACACGAATGCCCGAGTAAACTGAGCTTACACACCGTAGATCATCATCTCCACCACGGCCGGGCTGCTTTCGGTGGCCGATGTTCTTATAACCGTAACCGTTTATTACTACATTGGAACTTCGCGAACGGGCTTGAGAGAAACGGACACTGTGGTCGAGAGCATGGGTCGATATGTGATCACACGGGGATTACTCATCGTGTGCGTTCCCTGCCGCAGCATGCTCACCGTACCCTTGATAGGTCATGCCACGGTTTGAAACTCGTCACCTTCGTAGCACTACGCCACTCGCTGGTATTCCTGCTCTTTCATCAGCTCCTTTCCAAGTTGTATTGTCTCACGCTCTTCACCTTGCTGTCGTCGTTCGAGCCATTCAACTCCCCACCCCGGCCAGGGTTCCAGTGTTAGGGTCTCATTCGATCGAGAAGTTCACCTCGAGGTTGTACAGGACACGGACGCATACGTGCTCAAACCGCAAGAGCCAATGGATGTGAAACACGTATCCACAAACTCTGTCGAAGAGTCGGAGAAGGGGGCAAGTCCTTTTGCGGCCGTGATACGGACGGTGAGCTGATAGAATGCCTTAGCTGCATCACGCTTATGAATCGCACCCATAGCGAACTGAACGAACATTTGTCTGATCTCCAGAACTTCCCCAGTTAACGTTATTCTGGTCTTTGGCCCTGTTCGCAGTATTGGCGTGGTCAGATGGGGGTCGTCTCAGGACACGACGGTATATATTCAACGTTGAGAGCACATCATAGACAGAGTTCACAAAGTAGTAAGGCATAAGGGGTCGCTGCGTCTTTTCCCGTCCCGTCGATAGGCAGCAGTGCTCGTGGCGTTGGGTTCTCGACAAGTGATGCCGCACCGAGGATGTCGTGATCGCCTAGGGAAAGACGGGTATTCCACGTAGATCGTATGCGAAAGGACCACACCTTTCTTGGTGGACGTTGTGATACATAGCAAGGGGCTCGTCACCGCCACGTCCCAATGGGGACATAGAACACACCCAACGACTCAACCAGGCCTCTCGGACGCGACCGCGCGATCCACGTGGAGACCAGTTAATGACCGCTCTCTTCTCTTTGCTATGTTCCACTCGCATGATCTGACAGACTCACTCGGATCTCAAGCAAGACTAAACTTGCAACGTGCATGCGATTGAAGCTCACTAGTTCGCCAGCCTTGCGTCCCACGGACTCCCACTCGAAAGAATGGGTGTCCCGAAGAGGACCATCCCACTGATGCCCGCGACCTTCGCAGTCTCACGACGACGGTTCACGCAACTGCGATCGCACACGTTTCAGCCTTCAATGCCCAATGGCACGGCACAAGGACTGCTGTCATCATAATCAGCTGTTCTCGGATATTGCGATGCGAACCCAGTGCTGAACCGAGTATCGACCTCGAATCTTCCCTTCGTCGCTCCCACTCTTTCGCCTCTCGATCTCTTGATAACTTGGCCCTATGCGACCCTGACGCGGATTCGAGACTACATCCCACTGACCACCGGTGCCACTATGAGCCCTACCGATACCCCTATAGTTGACCTCAATCCAACGATCGGACCGATATTCGTCGGTTTCGTGGTTTCTACTGCCCTCTATGGCTTCGAGCTATCACAGGCACGCCTCGTTTTCTTTCTTTTCGACTCCTGTGCGCCTGTCTAACTAAGGAAAACGTGGCTTTGTAGGCATGGCACTATTGCGCAAAAAACACGAATGATCCGCCCCTCGTTAGGGCGGTGGTCGTGCTATTAGTGTAGGTGGCGATACCATCGCCTGCATTGCCGCGTACTGACATCCTTCTTAGCCTGATGGAAACAGCTGCGACTGCATTGAGTAGGCTCGCAGCTCCAATTCTTGTGGCACCTGCTCAACAGGGTTCGTAGTGGGGCAGATTCTATACCATTACCTGGTGTCGAATTACGGCAATATATTTGCGTTGGCGGCAGTACCTGGGACGTTTGTGGGGTGGAGCATGTTGGTGTCGAGTACTATCGTGATCGTGCAACTGTGAGGGATACTTTAGGCATTGGTGTTGTGCGGTCTGCTAACGTGATGTTCAGCTTCTTTTGCTATCGAACATGGAGATTGAGTGAACGGGACCTAAAAGCTATCGTGGTTCATGGATCCCTAGTGAGTCATGGAATGATCTCTTGTACGCGCAACTGACTCTCAAGTTCAGACAGCCTGTGCCGTAACGAGCTTCGTCCTAACCATAATCCTCTGGGTCCGGACCATAAATCGGGATTCGTTCGTAGACACCAGTGCCGTTGGCTCCGAAAAAGTGCGTCTCCTTAGCCTGTCACGTTGTATGCGACCTGCGGATACCAATTCGTGCTCAGGCCATCAACTCTGCTGCGTTCGTCATATCGATCGTGGCGGACGCTCTCATAACCGCGACGTTATGCTCTTACCTCGATGCCTCCAAGACGGGGCTACACCAGACCGACCGCGTCGTGTCCAGTCTCACTGCCTATGTCATTAATCGCGGGCTGCTCATCGTGTGCGTACCTAATTTTGCCCACGATTGCTCTATCATAGCTCACTGCGTGTCGCGGTTTACAGAGCTTGCTCGTCGATCACGTTCGTCACCTTCCTCGCTTCCCCACGTATCCTCGTCACCCTCGCCTTCCAGCAACAGCTCTCGCGCTCCTACTGCCTCACGCTTTTCGTCATCCTCGGCTCGTTCGAGCCTTTCCGCCTCGCCGCGCGGCATCCCTGCGCGCACAACGCCGATCACCACTCCCAGAGCCAGGGCATCGTTGTCGACTCCGCGAGCGACTTTGCGCGGAACATCCAGCTGGAGGTGCGGAGGGACACGGATACGTATGTCCTCTCGACGCAGGCGGCGGCCAACAAGGAGAGGTACGCGAAGAAGGGAGGCGTGTACGGCGCCAGCGTGCCTTCCGTCCCCGATTTCCTCGTCGTGAAGTGATGAAGAGGGGGTAACTGTTCAGTTGGCTCGAGTCTTCCCCAACGTGATCATGACTGCCTAATTTATCATCAGCATCTTTATCATCAGCATCCTTCCTTGCCGTAATACCATTCATATTCATGGACATTCATCGTAACAAGCCGTTTTTTGTGGTCATGGTTTCCGCCTGAGGGCACGCCAGAAACAGATTGGGCGGAGATTCATCTGAGTATGAACGTCCATGTCTTGTCACGTCAACGGCAAATCAAAAGGTTCAAGGCGTTCGTCCCGAGAGCAATGCGCGCCCATGAACCGGTCCAATCGACATAGACGTGACAAGACGTGGTCGTTTGGCGTATCGGGTGTCATTGGTGACATAGATCCGCGTGCACGGACATGGAATCGCCTCCTGGTCCTGGAATCAAGCTTATGCAACAGTTTTGTACATAGCGCCAGTCCTTCTGCTGGATCGCACCGACTTATGATGCTGCAACCGGAACACAATTCGAGAGGCCGTATTAGAATGTATTTGCAGCACAGGTGGAGCGGGACGTTGACTATGCACTGCATGTTTTGGCGGGGCTCCCCGCGGAGATCTTTGCCTACTGCGGAGAACTGTTACCACTAGCAAACACACTCTATTCACCAGGAAGAGCAGATAAATGACAGGGTGCGGGAGTCTAGTCCGGAAGCGAGAGCGGTGTTCGCGAACCAATCCTGGGACCATAGTTAACAACAGAGCACAGAGCCGGCGGCGCATAGGAGGATTTGCATGCTACGTCGGGATCACGTTGAGCAGCATCCGAGGGTAAGTGAAGAAACCATCCGCGACCCGGAGCCTGAGGCCTGAGGACAAGAGCGCATGTTCACCGGATCGTCCGGTACATATATGTCTGATCCCGCGCTGGATTCGCTGATCGTGATCCAGGGGTTTACGTCCGCTTCCGGAAGCGGAATCGAGCACCAATCGAGCACTAACAGTCCGACAAATACACAGGAGTTTGAACGGATAGACCGCTTCTTGTCACCCGCAAACGTACGGTGAACCTTTTCAGCTCTTCCACTGATCAGGCAGGCAGCCTAGAAGGCGGTCATGGGATATCCGGGGGCTTTGTTTCCAGCGCAGGGGCGCCATAGTTCGAAGAGCAACTTGCCAGCGACGTAAGTAAGGAGAAAGTCGAGTCAGAGACAAACCAATCATTATTTTGCACAACTGATGTGAGCCCGACGTGCATATCGCCTAAAACGGAATAAGCGCCGGGACTGACGTAACCCCGAGTTCCGTCATCGGACCTCCACGCCGCGAGCACCAAGGCAAATAATACTGTCGCGCTAGCGCAACCGGTACACCATGAGCTGTGCGATATGAGTTGGTTACAGTATGAACTACACGAATCTGTACGAGAGCTTCGAGGCGTGAATACATTTGCAGTCCCGAAGACGTCTTCCATTCCGCCGCACTCAGGCCGCCGTCAGAAGAAATATATATCGACTTGATTTCTCCTAAACCGATCGAACAGGTTGCATCAAAATTAGAAGCCAAAATGTGGCGAAGGCATCGCATCGGCTGCCGTTATTGCACCGGTCGGCGTCGGGGCGCCGTCTCAGACAGCGTCCGAACGGCGAGGTCAGAGGGGAGGAGCGACGCCGCGCCAATCCAGCATCAGAGTGGAACGCCAGCGCGTGCGTCGAGCGTGGAGGGCCGAGGAGGAAGCATTAATTTGAGAGGGGAGACTTGGGAGGGGGGAATGATGCAAGATGCCGGAAGAGGCTAGAATCGGGGCGAAAAAGAGGGGCCAACGCGCCTTATTTGGGGCGGAATATGGCGGTTGACGTCACCGCGTGGTCTGCGCGCGTCAACGCCTTGCAGATTTCGAACACAGTCCTGCCCGGACCCTGTCCGATGCCGTGTGCCTTGGACACCCCTTTGCAATGGAACGCTATAGAAACCCCAGGCTCGCAGGGTTCGACTTTCCAAGGAACGTGTTGATCCTTGCCCCGCTCACGACTTTTACGCCTACGTTCACGAACGTCTTCCCTCCCTAATACGCCGCTGAGTAAAATATGTACGCGCTCACCGCCGCCATTTTCTCGCTTTTCGCGCTCGCGTCGGCCTCTCCGGCCAAGCGCGCGACGGCTGAGATCACCTACCCCCACGCCGCGACTACCTGGATAATCGGGCACCACCACAATGTCACCTGGTATGCATACATTCGTTCATCCCAAAGCTTTGACGCTCACAACGCTCTCTCTCCCTCAGGTCAACCGAAGGTGTCGACACTTCTTCCACGGGCGATATTTTCCTCGCCAAGGGCGGCGTCATCGACCCCACCGCGCTCATCACCGGTGTTTCGGTATCCTCCGGACGTACCATCATCGTTGTCCCCTTCGTCAACCCGGACACGGATTACGCGGTTGTCGCCAATTTCTCCGGACAGAACCCCAACTTCTCGGACCAGTTTGCCATCGAGGCCGCATCTAGCACCGTGACCTTCTCGGGCTCGAACCCCAACCCGTCCGGCACGTCCACCATCACCTCTGTCTCGGCCAACCCGTCCGGTACGACGACGACCACGGTCACCTTCCCGTCCACGACCATCGTCGCCACCCTCACCGGCTCGTTGACTACCTCGACCGTGCCGCCTTCCGGCTCGTCGTCCGCCTCGGGCACCGGTGCTGCCGGTGGATCCTCCGCGGCTTCCTCCGCCAGCTCGGCCAGCTCTCTCGCTAGCAGCGCCTCGTCCGCCGCCTCCAGCCTCGCATCGAGCGCCTCCGATGCCGCCTCGAGCCTCGCTTCGAGCGCCTCATCCGCCGCCTCGAGCCTCTCCAGCGGCCTTTCGAGCAAGACCTCCTCCCTCTCCTCCGTGCTTTCTACCGCCACCTCCCCCAGCTCTTCCACCTCATCGGGCGCGGCCACCTCCAGTTCGGCTGCGGGCGTTGCCTTGCCACTGAACAAGGCAGGTCTTGTCGGAGCCGCCGTTTCGGCGCTCGTGGTCGTTGCTTCCGGCGCATTCATGCTCTAAGCACGATCCTTATACCCTTTGGACCAAAAAAAGAGACTCTGTCGCTTTGCTCGCACGAACCTTTTGCTTGTTTGTTTGCCACACCACCGATAATTGCTTCAATGTCTGTTTGTGCACCATTTACATCAATTGTTCCCCCCTTTGTTCTCGCACGCAATCACGACTGCTTCATGAATTTGAACAATTGCATTACTAGCTTGTAGCACACCGTTGTAATCGTAATACGTTCCGTTTAATCCCACACGCTGCTAAACCAACCACGAGGGAAAAGATGGCGCAAAGTGGTGTGACGTTGGTTCCCATGCGAATTTGATGTCGCTGTTTTTAAGTTCCAGCGCAATGAAGCTGCATGTGCCATGAATTCGGGAACAAAGCAAGAAAAGAACAGAGATTTGCCTTTTCGCGACCAGTGCGAGTGAGAAAACCCATCTCGCACGTTGGGCGGACCATCGAACCTTCGCCTTGTTTCTGATCTCGGGCGGCATTGTGGTCTTCGCAGACATCGCCCGCTCCGCAGAGAAACGAGAGCCGCCGCCGACTCGGGACCCGTATCGTGTCTAGTTACGTACGTGCATCTATCTATACATACATACAAGGGCGGAGGGCCTTTTTAGTCTACAAGGACGACAACGACACAACAACGACAAGGTCCGACAGCGGTGAAGCTGGCGAGAATGAAAAGCGATGCATAGGAGGGATGTGGGTGGATATGAATGGAGACCGGGGAACAAGGTTGGAAAGGGGCTTTGTTCCGTATGTATATGGGTGTTCTATGACTTTCTATGCGTGCGCGCGTGTTGGTGGCGCAGGGCGCGAGCTCGGGGCCTCCCAATAATAGGCGAGTTGGTGGCGTCAGTTCGACTCGATTTTTTTTTTTGGGTGTGGGGCCTGGAGCGTTTTGCGACTTTTGTCGACATCGACATACGCGCACCACCGGGAGACCATATGATGTTAGCGGCACTCACGTGTCGTCGCCGCCGCAGCGCTGGAATGATACCGGGAAATCTGCAGCATGTGGGCGTCCGCGGCTCGGCGAGCCGATGAAACGAGGGAGCGATAACCAGGAGTGGAGGGGAGAAAGGGTCGGAGGGAGAAGCGTTTCGCGCGGTGTTGCAAAGCAAGAAGCGCGTTCGTCATATTCGCGTCTCGATCGAGCCGGTGGCAAAAGGACCGGCGGTGGGCACGGCCAGGGGCGCGCCTCACTCGAATCCTACGAGCGCCTCCGCACCGTGCTCGGCGTGCCCGCGCCCGACCCGCTTCGTCTCGCGCTCGATGGTGCGCGTGATGCGCGACGCGCAGACGGAGATGACGACCATGACCGTGACCCACGCGTACCCGCCCAGCAGGCCGGTGTCCACCGAAATCGCATACAGCGAGCTATACATCTTCGTCATCAGATTCATCACTTCGACCACCGCGAAAGAGAGGTAAAAGGCACACACCTCACGAACGCGGGACTGAACGCGCGGGCGAAGCACATGGTCGCCTGCGCGAGGCCGTTGGTCGTCCCGAGGGCGGCCGGGCTCGGCGCGTTCTCCTTGACGAGGATCATGCTCAATCTGGTCCGAACGAAGGGATCAGCGCGATGAACAGGATAAGGCGATCTTGAAGCCACTTACGAGTAGGCGATGCACGCCGACCGCGCGAGGAAAAGGATGAGCGCGATCCCGAGCCAGACCAGCGGGCCGAGCGCCGCCGCGCCGGAGTCGCCCGCCACGCCTTCGTGCACGGCGCCCGAGGCCTCCAACGCGGTATGCGCGATCTCCCTCGCCGCTAAGAGCGTTCCGTTCGCGCCACCGCCGTTCGTCCCGAGCACGTCCCCGGCGAGCGAGACGGATCCGAACGTGAACGGGTTGCCGTCCACGCGCGCGAGCACGTTCAGACCTGGCATGAGCGCGAACGCGGCGGGCCAGATCGCCATGCAGACGCCGTACATCCGGACGAGGTCGAACTTGCGGAGGAGCGTGGGCATGATGAAGATCTGGATCGCGATCGAGCATACGCCCGAGAGCGAGAGGATGTAGCCGATCTGCGAGGGCTACGATCACGACAGGTCAGGACGATGTTTGGGTATGATGAGTGAAGGAAGGGGGGACGTACGTCTAAACCGAGCCCGCCGAGTCGTACGGGCGAGTAGCAGAAGAGGACAAAGACGACGTCGAAGCCGGTGTTGAGGAAGGCGAGCGCCATTCCCGAGAGACAGAGAGCGCGGATGATGGCAATCGAGAGCAAGCTGCGCATCGTCACTTTCTGGTCACTACCTCTGCCGTGCATCGCGTGGCCATTCGAAACCGCGGGGCTGCGGCTTTTGTTTTTGGGAGAGGATGGTTGTCCGTCTTGATCGTTTGGATCGTATAGCGTTTCGGAGCTTGAGCTCGATCTGGACCGGTGGGGCGGGTACTCGCGATGACTGAGCTGATGCTCTGCGCCCCGCTCGTCCAGATCGGCGTGGGCCGAATGCAAGTCGTGGTGCTGACTTCCTTCTTTCGACGACAACGGGATGTGCTCGACGTCTTGTGCCCGTCTATTGGTTTTGACCCTGCTTGGGAGGGTCTGGGACGGAATCAGCGCGTTATTCACGATAAACGTGGTGTTGCGCGCTCACCTCGTCTAGCCATAACCAGCCGAGAACACAACCGCCGAGTGCGGTCACGCCGGCGATCAAACAAGGCAGGAAGAAAGGGAAACGGCTGTCACAGATATGAATGCGCCGACTTGTCACGCCCAGGAAAACACACACTGGTACTTACCGGAAGAGCGCGGTATCGAACAACGCCGGGAAGTTCTCCGCCGGACGGGATAGCGTACCTCCCAGCAGCGGTCTGCACCAAAGGCAAAATAACCGAAACGAGGTTAGTTCTTCGCCTTAAATGAGGTTGAGAGCGCGGGTTTTGTGCTGACCCTAAGATAGCCCCGACGGGCCAGACCAATCCGTATATCGGAAACGCGACTGCTTGATTCGACGAGTCGGTTAATTCGCCGAGGACGGAGTGCATCACCGCAACGTTGCCGGAACAGAGGCCGGCTGAAGGATAGGCATGTATGTAGTGTGAGCTCCGTACTTTCGAACGAAATCCAGAGGAATTGGGCACGTACAGAGGAATCGCGCGCCGAGTGTTTCAGTCAATGTGCTTGAAAGGCCGAAGAGCATCGTCGTGATAGCCAGTCCCGTCGTGCCTATGAGAAGGACGGGTCGTCGTCCAATCCGGTCCGAGAGCCGAGCCCATTGGTAGATGGAGAGCAGCTGCGCTATTGCGAATATGCTCTCCTGTATGAATCGTCAATATGAGATAAGCAGGAGGGGAGTGTTGGCACTCACCACCATGCCACTATAGAAACCGACTTTCGACGGGTCGTCCGTGAGCCGGAAGCTGGCCATCATGTCGTTCACGTAGGGAAAGATCTGCGTGAACGCGATCGGCTCGACGATGCGCACCGCGCAGAGCGTCCCGAGCTGGAACCAGTTCAGCGGCGTCTTGCCACCCTTAGCGTTCGCAGCTTGCTTGTCGTAGCTCATGGCGGCGCGAAGCTGCGCCTCCGGGTCGGACTCGTCGCAGACCGTCGACGCAGATGCGGGCTCGAGCTCCACATCGTCAAAGTCGTGGCGCGGGCCGTACTCGTCTGCCGCTCGAACGCGAGGGACGTCCGCACGTTCGTCCCGCTCCGCCCGGCGCAGAGCCTGCATCCCATGAGCCTGAGACATATGAGAGAGGTGGAACGACCACTAGCGATCCGCTCGCTGGCACAGGACTGGCGGGGAACGGTTCGGGGAACGGTGGGACCGGCACGACGCTATGTTGTAGTTACTCATTCCTAATTAACGTTTTGCGTGTGCCTAGGCTCTCCATCGGTGGGGTGAAGATGGTCACGGCGGGGGACCCTGATAAGTACGAGAGGCATCATCGGCTTACGTCCAGAGGCGCGGCCGCGCTCGGCATGGCGGACCGCCGCGACGGGATTGGGCACGCGGGTTCGCATAATGCCCTCGTGAGGCCCAAGGGTGGTGTGGACCGTGTGGGATACACGATATGGGAACTGCGCCTCGAGGGAAGGATGCGAAAGGGAACGAGAGGGAAGATGGAAGACGTAAGATAGGATTTGGTCGTTCTCTGACTATCAGATCTGACTGTTATTAGGATGCCGACCGCACGTCCCGGAATGGGCACGGCGATCACGAACATCCATATTCAGTGGGCGACGAGTCGGTGGAGTGGTGTCTATGTATACCTGTTGCAAGTAACATCGAAGGTGGACGGATCGACAAGCTTGCGTAGAACAACAAACAGTTGCTTAAGCCACAGGGCGTAATCATCAGTGGTATTACTCCATGCTGTCCTTCCCGCGGGCTGGACTTCAATGCACATGTAACAGAAGAGTGCCAAGCTCTCCCAAACAATCAAGGCAGTACCAGCACAGTTCCCATCCTCGCCCCTCCTCCGCCGTCGTCCGAAGCTTCCGAATCCGAATCGTCCTCCTCGGCGTCTTTCATCACGCCCTTCCCCTCCGCATCCCTCTGATCCCACCTCACATCTACCACCGGGACGTTCTCGCCCATCGTTTCCACCTCGCCCTCGGGCGTATGCGCCTTTCGACGGTCCACGACACGTATCCGCGGCACCCTCACAAACCCACACTCGAGCGGGACCATGGCCCACTCCACCGTCTCCTCCCCGCCCGGAAGGAGGATCGGCAGCCGCCCGCCGCGCAGGCCGGACAGCACAAACGCGTCCGAGGGGTCGGTGTCGACCTGCACGACGCAATTCGCAGCGCGCGAGGGGTGTCGATTTCGCACCGTCAGCCGGACGGTGGTCGGCGTGTGCAGCTTGGCCATCGGCGGGACGTGCAGCAGCGCGATCAGGCCGTCGATGGGCGGTTTGAGCGAAGGCAGACGGAAGATGGAAGTCGAGAGCGGTCCACGTTCGCCATCCGGTGATACCCTGCGTGGAAAGTTGGCCCATCTCGTTACGTGGCGAAGATCAGACGTGCGTACCGTCTCCATTTGATCTCGTAACGACCCGGACCCTGGATCGCTGTGTCGTCGAGCCCAGCTTCATCATCAGGCGAAATCGAAATCCGGCATATGTCGCAGAACTCGTCTCCCGTTTGCCATTCTGGGCCGTCATGAGTATGCAAAAAAGTCGATTTTCACAGATGACACATCATACCCGACAACCAATCGTCGACGCCATCATCCAATGAGGAGTCGAGAATCTTCGCTTGGTCTCCATCCTACGGACACGACAAAGTCATTTTAGCTCGGAAAAGAAAAGGCGGGAATGGACGGATACTTGCCTCCCTGACCAAGCTCACACCTTCCACCTGCAAGCTCCACGGCCCCACACACCTCACAATCGCCTCTACGTAGGCCTCCCCACCCGAGACCGGATCCCAAGTTCCGCTCTCGAACGCGCCCAGATCGCTCACCCCCTCGCTCGGCTCGAGACTCCTCCTGTACGTCGTACCAAACTCGACCGCGAGCGAGGCGACAGTCGGAACAAGCAGCGTCTCGAGCGTCTCCGTCGTTTCCTCCTTGGCCTTGGCGAAGTCGGCCGTGGTCGGTGAGACCGGAGAGACGGGTGACGCGGAGTCAATAGGCGCGAGGTACAGGCGCGACTGGACCGATATGTCGAGCGTCCGGGGGCCCGCACCTCCCGTACTGACGAGGAAAAGCTTCTTGAGAACGCTGACGCCGGGCTTGAGCACGCCTAGCGGAATGCCCTTGATAAGGCCCGACGACTTCTCGTCGTCAATGGAGATGTAGTTCACTATACCAAATCGATCAGATATTCTGGTCGATGTCGATATATATATGAGGAGTCGCACCTGCGCCATCGATGTCCGTGGGCTGGAGTAGCACGTTCAGTTCCACCTCAAAGTCGCGATCATCGAAGTTGGTGATATCGACGAGAATCGGGTACTCTTCATCCACGTACGCTGGCGCGCTGTGAGTAACGGAGAGTTGTAACTGATGGGGTCGGTGCCGGACGCTATAGCATGCCCTTAGCCAAGTTCTGGGGTGCACTATGACAAATACGCGTACACAGTGTTGAAGTAATCGCCCCTCACGATCGAAATGTAGCGAACTGGGTTCAACGAGCTGAGCCATTGTCCGGACTCGCCAGTGGCAGAGACCGTCGAAGTGAAATCGTGAGGGATTTCGATGCACCAGGCGGACTCTTTGAGAGTATACACGAGACGTGTTATCTGCGACCTCAGAGGTAAAGACGGCAATTCGATAGTGGCGCCAGTCAAATGGTCCACTTACGCGCAACACGGAGGGTGCTTCCGGGACCATCGTCCCCGCAAAGATAATCGTCTTGCCGGGCCGCCATCGTAGGTTTGCATCCACCTCTCTCTGCTCCAGCGAGGCTGGTGAACACTGCCCAAGGCCGAGTAAGGACACCATTTTTTCGTCTCCATCGTTAGGAATAGTCGCACGGTGTCGTAGGAGCAGAGGCACAGCGTCGTGGTCATCGGAGAAGTAGATTGCGAGGGAGGTGAAAGGGAGCTCGCCAACATCGACGTCGTCCCGCGCGCGGATGGACAGCTGGAAGGCGGCTTCTTCGCCCACTTTGACTTCGCCTTGCCAGAAGACAACAGACGCATCAACTACAGAGCATGCTAAGCTGATGTAGGTGTTTAGAGACTGTACTTTCGCACTTACGTAATGGGCTTGATTCGGAGAGGTCGACGATCAAAGGCTCATCTGAAGATGACGGAACGGTACTCTGTTGGCCCGTTAGGCAAGAAGAGACGAACCTGATAAAATGACGTACTCTGAGCACAGCCAGCAAATCATCTTGCACTGACGCTTCGTCGTCGTCGTCCATCTTCGCACCTTCGCTTTCGTTAAAACCATTGGGCTGCGCACAACGAATGTAATACAAACGCACCGTTGGCCAGCATCTCGACTAGCAACCTCACCGTAAGCTCTACGTCTCCGAGCTGCTGCGCGCACTTGTACCAAGTCACGAGCAGCGGGGCGAGCATCGAGTTCCACCGCTCGCGCCGATACGTCTTTGCGATCCGCTCGAAGAACCGGACAGCCATGTCAAACTTTCCAGATTCGTAATACGTCTGCGCGATGCGATACGCGATGAGCAGCGTCTGGCGCCCTTGACCTGTGCCGACGGAAGGGCTGTACTTCTTGAAGAGCTCGTACGCGCGCGTATACAGCTGATGCGAGAAATTGCTGAGCATAGGAGAAAGGCAAGTGAGGCGGACACCTTACCTCAAGTATGATGGTAAGATGGTCAACCTTCTTCTCATTTGCGAAACCAGGTGCAGTGGATGGCTTGTTTGATGTTGCCTATTGAAATGTCAAATTGTGTTCCTCCGGTGTAAGCATATGAAGTCCAACCTCCTCCTCCTCTGCAGCCAAGAACCGCTCCCTGCGATGTTCAGTGCAGCGGGCCGCCATGTAGTAGTAAAATCCCGGATGCTGCAGCGCATGGCTCGGGTTCAAGCCCAAGCTCTGCAAGCTGTCGGATTCAACCAGCCCTCGCTGAGCTTGCATCTGTTGTACGGCGACCGCTGTCATCGAGGGTGCCGGCGCTGGGACGTGTGTCGGAATCCGAAGCGTGGAGCGGATGCCTTGCTCCAACAGCTCTGCGAGGACACGATATCTGCAAACGCAATGGGTGTGAGGTATTGTAGCTCGGGGTATAGGGATCGGACGCGTACTGGCGAGCGGTCCAACTCCAATATTCGAATGTGTCTTCGCCGATGCCCCATCCACGGGAAAAATCGCCGAACTTGCGGACGTGCGAGTTGTAGTGCTGGAGCGCGAGCGCATGCTCGTTGTTGTATAAGTACAGTTTGCAGATCTTTTCGAAGTCGATCAGAACTGCAAGCCACCCTCTTGCATATCGTATAGAAGTATTACCTTGATGTTGATACAATCCACGAGAACCTTGGCTTCTGCCCATCTCTTTGTCCTCGGCGGTAGGATGGCTGGCGATCCAAACATAATGGCGAGCATTGAATATGCATCTTGATAGTGTCTACGTACAGAAGGGCGTGCTATCAGTAGGATGACGAAGGTGCGCACGTGGAATACCGACTTCAGCGCTACTTCATCCTCACCCCTGAATTCGGCAAAGCAAGCCATCTTGTATTCGTACCGCACGGTCCATCCTTCGGGCCTAAGAGGCTTCGCTTGTGCAGATCCCGGGGTCATCGGAATGGGATACGTCGAGGTACCCTGCGCATGTCGGTTGCGCTTGCGGCGGACACGTTTTGAATGCGTCGTGTAGTACTCCAGCGCGGGTTCGTAGAGCGCTTCTTGGAGACTGGTGGTGACTCGAGATCAGACCGGTTCCCAGATTCAAGCAGCAGCATTCTCACCTTCTTACGAAATCCGTCAATTCAGCAGCGGAAACGGGGCTCAAGACGAAGAGGGCCGCTCTGGAGTCAAGGCCACTGGATCTTCGTATGAAGGTCAGGCGAGCATCGAGAGAGGCATCATCTATGGATTCAAAATCAGCGCGTATTCTGAGCGATATCTTTGGTAAAGTACCTAGCATGCGTCTGCTGGCTATCAGCACGACCGTAAGCTTGATGCCACGCTCATTCGTAGTCTTCTTCCTCTGCGCAATGTCGGCTGACAGCTCGGCGTCTCTCCGACGCTCCTCCTGCTCCCTTTCACGCGCACGATCGGGGTCCACGCCTTCCAGCGGGGATTGCGGGATGTGCGGAGGAAGCTCGAACAGGCGGGTGAACAGCACGAACACAGACGGCACAAGAGTCGTGTGCTTTCGTATCCATATAGGCGCAATAAGTCCATCAGGATACAATGGCGAAGACGGCGTCAGAGGTGAGAGCGGTGAATGTGCGGCGCTGGTGGGATGGTCCTCGGGCGGCAGGACCTTGCGGGGAGGGAACCTGACGTCCTACGGCATGTCAAATGTCGCCTGGGGAAGACCAACGTCCACTCACTTTGTCAACGAGCACGACTTGGAACGTCTTCGCCTTCTCTGACTGCCAGATGGCGACCTTGCGTTGGGACAAAAGGGCGTCGCGGAGTCGGCTGCTCAAGATCGCAAACGCGTCCGGGGTCTTTGTCGGAGAGGGCGATTGTGGTGTCGTCGTGGGTGGCGGATCCAGGCCAGCCGCAAACATGACCGGTGCTAGCTGCACAAGCAGCTCTGGTGGATACGAATTCATATTCGGGTGTCGATGAGCCCAAGTGCCGCACTCGGACAAACAGCAAAACGGCAGTAACCCTAATTTCAGGGTAGGTTGACCTTTCCTTTGTCACTCCCCGCGACGGCTGCGGTGAACAGAAAAGGTTCTGCACTCGGAACTGTCATCGAATGCTCAGTACTCAGGCCTCAATTTTACGTACGGACAGCGAATATGGAAAACCTGGACAACCTGGCACTGGCTGATACAAGTTGGACGAGATTCGGAAAGCTGAAGCGCTGATCACCGCAACTTGCTCTGCCCAACATATATGCCGTGCTGTCTCTGCCATCGTTGTGATGATGCTGAACGATGTCTCGATGAATTTCCTGCAGCCAACACCGGAAGGCACTAAGAGTGTTCCCTGTCCCGTGCGGAGGGCGCTCATCCCTACCAGTCGTTCATATCCGGATGTTGACCACTCGGAGCTGCACTGTGCAGCGCAACATTGATCGAATGCACTCGCGACGGCGACCATCGTCGTATCTTTAGATTGGCGCAAGAACAGCAAGCTCGGGCGATGCAAGAAAGCTGGATGCCCACGCATCACGGGTTGGATGAGATACCGAGGATCGCTATGCTCAGCTTTTGCGTCGTGCTTTCTGCTTCTCTACCGCCGCTATGACGATTGCGGAGCGCTCAGTCCCCTGCGGACCCAGATAGCCCTGGCGTGCATGCCTTCACAACAGTACTCCTCCTGCAACATCGGACCCAACATCAAAGCTTATCTATTTGCAGTGATCTGAAAGCGATGCGCAAGAAGCCTCTTGCCGTTTCTGTTCTAGTTTCAGCGGGACTTCGGATACGATGGGAACACATCCTCAGCCGCTTTTGCGATCCAGCGCAGGAAATTGAAAGTTGAACTTTCATTTTCAGGCCAATGAATGACGAAGATGGACCCGTCGTTGCTGAAACCGTGTACAAGGCGATGTTCAAAGATGGCTCGGGTACGATCGACTACAATGCGATACCCCGGGCTCTACATGCCGCCACCCGCCGCTTGCGAGAAGAAGGAGCTCATCCGAGTCGATGGGTGACTTATATTCATTTGGGGGTTTGAGGAGGAACAAGATAGACTCCGCGATGAACGACTAGTCTTGCATGATTACCGCGTAGTCGACATGTTATGATTTAGAGGGATTGTATAGCAGGATATCTGTAGGTAGTCTTGACCGACGATACGGTTGCTCTAGCAAGACAACTTTGCGAGTTCAGATATTGAGATGAAGAGATGAAGAGATGCAGGAGAGACGCGTGCTGAGCGCGCCGGTTCGGAGAAGGATGACGTTTTGATCCACAAATATTCGAATTTTCGTTGATTTACTGCACTTCTCACACCGACCTACCGCAACGCACGCGGTCCCAAGCGCACGGCTTGCCTCGGACTCCCCATGCTCTCGACACTGGGCAGGTGCCCGTCGTCGTACGCGGCGTTGCGGTCCACACGACGAATACAACAGCCGCTGCGGATACACCGCGCAATACCGGCGACCAGTTCCCCCTGCTGGAGGCGGCATGCATCCACCCAGAAGACTCCTGCTCCCAAGGCCGACACGAAGCGCGGTTTCCTCTCGCGAATACTGCCCCCTTCATTGAGGTCGTCCGACGGTGCGCCGAGCGCGTCGTCGTTCCGCAAGATTGTCGCGCTCGCCAAGACGGAGAAGCGGCCCCTCGGGACCGCCGTCGGGCTGCTGTTGATCTCGTCCTCGGTCTCAATGAGTATACCGTTTACGATCGGGAAGCTCATTGACTTCTTCGCGTCAACCGACCCTCAAATACCGTACGGGCTGAGCTTGGCGCAGGCGTCGGCTATCCTACTCGCTCTGTTCACGGCTGGGGCGGCGGCGAACGCGGGACGGTCTTTTCTCATGAGAATGGCAGGTGCGTGGGCAAGCGTATTCAATTCTACCGCAGATCCTGAAATTTTCATCCTCAGGGCAGAGAATTGTCGCTCGCCTCCGTGAACGGATGTACGGAAGTGCTCTCCGACAAGAAGTAGAGTATGTCGAGCGCGGCGAGGGTGACGTCATAAGTAGGCTTAGCGTGGATAGTAGCATCGTGGGTGAAAGGTGAGCGTTGTTCGTGCTGTTGCTGCCAAGGACGGATGTTTAATGATCGTCCTGTTTAGCGTCACACAGAACCTTTCCGACGGTCTACGTGCCGTTGTGATGTCATCTGCTGGACGTGCGTTACATCTTCGTAGTGATTGGCCCCTCGCTGACTATCTGCCCGACAGTCGCCGCCATGTTCTACATCTCACCGTCGCTGACTACCTTGATGCTCGTGGTTGTACCTCCCGTCTCCCTTGGTGCGGTATGCTTTTTCGGACACTTCGAGGTGGCTTAAGCTTGGTTCTCATTCCTTCCTGTTTAGGTCTTTTATGGCCGATACCTCAAGCGCCTTTCCAACCGAACTCAAGAAGCTGTCGGTGACATGACTAAGGTACTGTCACGAACAATGTTACATCAGTAATCTGTTTGTTAACCTAATGATGTAGGTCGCCCAAGAATCGCTGTCAGCGCTACGCACGGTCCAGGCATTCAACGCTCAACCACAAGAGGAACAGAGATTCCACGAAAAGGTTCGATATGTCCTATCTCTCGTCCGCAAGGAAGCAGTTGCAAGCGGTATCTTCTTCGGTATGACCGGCTGGAGTGGAAATGTCACCCTGTTGGCGCTACTTGGCTACGGTAAGCTCAGGTTGAGCTATTTCAACCCGTATACTTGACTCATACTTGTGCAGGCGGATCCTTGGTCTCTCAGGGTGCCATCACCGTGGGCGAACTTACAAGTTTGCTCATGTACACGGTCTATGTCGGAAGCGGATTACAGATGCTGACGTTCGTTTAGTCCTTTGTCTCACAATCCACTCACAAACTGATGACAATCGCATGCAGCTCATTCTTCGTAAGGCCTCTTACATCTTTCCGTGATTGCCTCGAATAACCATTACGTGCAGGCATCTATCATGCGAGGAATAGGCGCTGGACAGCGCATCTTCGAGCTCCTGGATCGCACTCCGGCCATACCTACCGAGACCGGCGTAAATGTGGACCCGACACGCCGCGGCACCATCAAGTTTGAGCACGTCAGCTTTGAGTACCCCAGTCGGAAGGGTACTGAAGTGCTGAAGGACTTCAATCTCGAAGTTTCCGTCGGCGAGAGCGTAGCATTAGTGTGCGTCTTACTCACTCCCTGTTTTCTGTCCGTTCTCTGATGAGTGGCGTCACCAGCGGACAGAGTGGTAGCGGCAAATCGTCGACGCACTCGCTCCTGCTTCGGTACTACGACCCTATCAGGGGCAAAGTCACTTTTGATGGCCAGGGTCCGTAACACAACATGACAATTCTGCTGTGGTAGCCTTATATTCGCCCATCAGATATCCGGGAGTTCAACCCTACTTCCTGGCGCAACCTCATTGGTGTGGTCCCTCAGGTGTGTCATGCCTTGCACATGAGTATATTAACGACCTTGACGTGCCGTTTTGCCATATGCCATAGGACCCTGTCATGTTTACAGGAACCATCGCATCCAATATCGCATACGGCAAACCAGACGCTACTCGTGAAGAAATTGAAGCAGCTGCACGTCAAGCGAACTGCGAGTTCGTGTGGGGCATGCCTAAAGGTTTCGATACCGAGAGTCAGTGAACTTGAATATCCTTCGTCGTCAAAGGCGTCGGTTGACCAGATGTAAAGTTGGACGTCTTTCTCTCAGCGGTGGTCAGCGGCAACGGCTAGCCATCGCTCGCGCTCTGCTGAAGAAGCCGGCCATCCTGGCGCTAGACGAGGCCACGTCGTCGTTGGACGCTGCGTCGGAACACCGGGTGGGATCATGAGCATCTCAACTCCTGCGCTGAAGTTGCTGAGACACGCTGTTTGCCAGGTGAACGACGCTATTGACAGGATTCTCCAATCGCGGGAGACTACATGTCTCATTGTCGCGCACCGACTTTCCACAATTGCACGCGCTGAACGTATAGTGGTCCTGGAAGGTTTGTTTTCGAAGATGAAGTGGCACCGTTGGGCACACGGGCTGATGATAACATGCAGATGGCCGCATTACGGAATCTGGCTCATACAGGGAACTAACACGCCGACCGGATTCGCGCTTCCGGGCATTGATGGCTGCTCAGCTGAATGCGGCCGCGACCGGGGCGGACGGCGATATTTTGCACGATTAACGCTGCGTCTTGGGGACACCCGCGAGGTAGTGAATGCGATATGTAATGTCATGACACAGCAAATGTACAAGTAGCACATCAACCTAATCAACTAGACCTTTCACAACTCTGTGCTCACGATCTTTGGATGCGCTTAACAACGATGTCCAATGGAACTGTAGATGGCATTCTTGACGATCCATATAGAGTAATGTTATAGGGTTAGGGTTAGGACTGCGAAAGAATGGAAAAAAAAGCCTGCCCAGCCCGAGGGCCAAAGCAGGACAGGGAAATATTTCGAAAGTGCATACGCCGAAGCGCATACAAGCCGCCAGTCCTTCCTGCGGACAAGGTCGCCGTGCTCTGGGAAGGCCCAACAACCCGCACTCCCAGGACATGAAGGGGAGCACGCCTTCAAGGTAAGTATGAGTTGTTATAACGTCGAGCGGTGTTTTATATACAGTGGGCTTGCGCACGGACCACATCTTATTTGAGCTTATTTGATCCTCCTCTTTTGGGCGGATAGATAGGGGCATGGGGATGTTTACCGGGCCTCTTCCGCTTCGAAATGCTTTTTCTTACGTACATCGTTCGCCTCATCTGTGTGGACCTTTAGAATTTGCGCCAACCGTGGTCGTCGCTGTGTGCAGACACTGCGTTGCAAATCACAGAGAAATAGAGACAAACAACCGCTTTCTCACGTAGCCCTGACTCACGACGAAGGTATATAAGCCTTGGGTCACCACCGCCGTTACCTCACCACTCTGGCCCTAGTGGCTTAGATGAAGTGTAGTATCTGTTCTTGATAGTGTAACCACTATTATAGAGGCACTGCCTCTCTCATTGATTATCCTATTTTTGCTGCCCTTGCCTGTCGAGCTCTGCTTGCACCTCGTCGGCACGATGTCCTTGGTATTGCAGTACCTTCATGCGACGTCGGGGGATCTCCATCCATTCTTTTCTTCGTACCTCTTTTCCCAAGCCTTTTGGCACTGGGAATGGGTTGAGGAAATGATTGGACTGTGTATATAATCTACCTTGTGCTATATGTATCACCTTGGGTATGATTTTCGAGCCAAGCAAAGGTCGTTCAGCAAGGGTTATCAGCAGTACAGTACATACATGGTAAAAGATCAAGATGCAGGACTCCAATAAGTTACCCACGTGTTATACGATCTCATGGTCCTTTCGGAGTATCTTTCATATTAGGGGATGATGCAGCAGTACTATGTTTGGCGGTTGTCGATTTCCTCCGGAACCGGAACCGGGACAGTTTGGAAGAGGACGGCGAAGAGTCCGTGGCAGTCTCAGAACCTTCGCTTTTACTACGGTCATGACCGGTACTGGGTGCCGGACCGACCGTCAGGAAGTCGATGACAATGGACCACAACGAATTGCCTACAACCGCAGTCAAGACGAGGTCTAGTCGACGGTGAACCATAACTCACCTGTCATCGTGCGAGCTTCCTCGGGGACGAGGTGTTGGTCAGCGATCCTCGCAAGCCGACGTGCTTCCTGAGTGTCTCGCCTGGCGACGATGCTGCTCGGCGGCGGCCGCTCGTCGGCGTCCAATGCCCACGCCCACAACCAGCTTCCGGACGCCGCCGCAATACCTTCGCTTAAACTCTTCTTGCCCTTGCCCTTCTTGTGAGCATCGCTCTCCTCCGCCTCCTCGTCCTGGGGAAGGTACATCTGCAGATGCGCGAGGTTCTGAAGCGTGTCTTTCTTGGCGCGCTCGAGGTTGCGCTGACGCTCCTTCTCGATATGTTTGATTGTGCGCGCGAACTTCTTGTCGAACTTAGCACGCCCTTCAATGTAGCGCTTCGCGGCAAGCTCGGATATTTCACCGATGATGGCCGGCGGGATTTGCAAGGCGCCAAGTTCGTTCTCTGGTTCCATCGGGCGAATTATACCTTGGGTCGACACACGTTCCCGAATCATGTTGTCCACAAAGGGTGACGAACCCTAGATGATATCAACGACAAGGTTCGGCGGGGAATTGTAATGGCACAACATACATCGGGTCTGATATACACCGCAGGATCTCCTGCGTTGCGTTCCCCAGGTGTAGGGGGTGGCATGTGCGGGTCTGCAAACCTGGGACCTGCTACATCTGAAGAGGCCGTCGACTCTTGGCGCTTGTGATCCTCCTTTTCTTCCTTGGATGTCGCCGATCCACTCGGCGTTGTCGGCTCGAATTTCCCAGCTGTCGCCAAGTGTGTGATGGACGCGGGAGGCGAGGCCGTCATCTTCTCCGGTTCCTCAGTAACAGTGTTTTCCGGAGGTGGGGCTGCGGACGGCTGTCGAGCAAGGGATGCCGCCCGGACGACTGTGGACGAGATGGCCCTCCGTATTGAATTCCGTCGATTGGCGCGATCGGCGGTCTTGGGTCGTTGGGGATCCTGGTTGTATCCGTTTGCTTGGTTGACATCCACCGAGAACGACCGGTTGAACAACGTGCGCATCGACGGACGTCGACCAAAGCCCAACCCGATCTCTGGCTTTCCGTTCGGCATCATAGAGCCTGCCTTAGGTGCGTCCTTGTCTTCTGGAGCAGTAGATAGCATTCCAGTCGTGTATTTGCAAAACGTCGAGATCGCGCGGTAGCAAAACTTGGCTGGCGTCGTGAACGCGAACAGGACAGGTAGAACATGTGCCGCGTCTGCGGACCTCGTAAGTTGACATCGAATGTCTCTAACGAGAAGAACTAACCATCGTAAACTTGCAGGTGTACTTGTGTCGGGCCGTACCGCTCTTCAATCCCGTCAAGTGCGGGATACAGCCGTCGAGCTTCCTCTTTAATCTCGAAGCGTTCGGGATGAGCAGCCTTATGCGCACTAAGGATTACGTTGTGTGGATGAGAGAGGCAATGAGAGAGCCATTGACGACAAAAACTTACGTATAAATCCCCTCATCCCGCAGCACTTCCTTATCGCTAATGACGAACAACAAAGGAGGTAAACCACCTAGATAGGATAAGGCCGGGCTGACCAATGGGTGTTGCACTAGGCTATTGGTGCAGTAAAGCTGAACTTGCTGGTCAATGGTCAAAAGCTTCCCCGACTTTGACTTCAGCGTGACAGGCTGGTTCGGCGTCTCGTCCGGCCCCGTGGGCCAGTGGGCAGTGGAGCCTACTTGCACTGTCTCGCCGTCCTTGGGCAGGTTCTTGGTCACGTTATCGTCCTTCTCATTGCTACGTTTGAAGCGGAGCGCGCTGAGCGAGCGCGATTGCCGAAGAGGCTGGGTCAGTGTTGTTCCATTGCCGTTCGAATGGATATTCCCGGATGAATCGCGGTGCACAGCGTTACGTATGCGACTGCGCAAGCTAGAATGAACTCTGACAGTGACGTCGTCCGGAGGCGGAGGCCACAAAGTGCTTGGACGATGCATACATAACCCGTACTCAGAAATCACGTCCTATATGACCAGTGAGCGAGAGCCCAATAAATTAGGTAAGAGAGCTCATACCGTCTCGGTGTTGGTGTGTATGCTTGGGAAGGAGTGAGAAAGATCGCACCACGGCGAAATCAAGACACCTCCAGCGGGGAGAGGCAGGCCAGAGTCGCGGATAACTTGCAACAGGGCCAATGTTAGCCCGCCACCAGCGGAGTCACCGGCAACCACAATGCGCTCCGGCTTCACTGGTCGGTGAGCAGCACCTTCGGGAGGTCGAATGAGATAAAGGTCTGCGTGGACATAACATATCAGTAACCCATCTGTCGCAAATGCTTAGGTACGAACATGCGGCAAGGTAATCTTGGATAGCACACGGGAACGGGTATTGTGGTGCTAATCGGTAATTGATAGCTGTGCAACTCCACGTCAGATTGATGTCGTAGTTGAGGTGATTAGACTGACCAAATATTCGGCCGTTGATTTTCCTCGCGTATCTTTGAATGCTATATCTGTATGGGTCTCGGACTCAGAGGCGACATCCAAGGAGTACAGAAATTTCCCACCGCTCCTGATCAACACTGCCAAAGTAATATCCTCCTGTATGGTGCGAACGTGAGCGGGTTCAGTCACAGGCGAAAGAGCCTACCTCCGTGGGCGAACAGGATACATCGCATATCGTCCATTTCCGGCTCATATTGTGCAGGTTCTTCGTCATTTTCGGGAGTCGGCGTGAACCCCTTCGGAGTCTTGGGCGTCTTCGGTGATGTGGGTTCATCCGCAGGAGAACTGCCCTGGTGTCTCTCATGGGCTTTGGAGCGTTTCTTGTGATGCTCGTAATCCTTCTTGGCGGTTATCCATTCTGCGTCCACGCTACGGGCGCGTCAGAACCAACAATCCGTTCAGATGGATGGTCAGAAATCACCCTTTGACTCCACGAACCTGAGAAATGACGAGGAAATAGTCAGTAACACGAAGCAATGTCGCATATAGAGTTCTGATGCGCACCTGCCACCACTTCGTTCCTCCTACAACGCGTTTGCACACTTCCGGGCCTCCCAAAGCTTCGATGAGATGGGTAGCGGCTTCGTCGCACGACGCCATAGGCACAAGCAACCGGACAACGTGAACCTTTCGTGTAGAATATGAGCACGATCGCAGACAACGCATATATGCGCGTACCCATGGCGGAGTTGGCGTCCTTACGTTCGAGAACCCTTGCAGTTCCTCGACGGTATGGCTATGGGCACCTGATCAGACGTGTATACGTAGGAGGTGCATATGTAGAACCCCCACTTCTGGGATGCGTGAAGAAACGCCTAGAGGGTGATGTCAATTTTCTGTCATGCTAGACAATCGGATTTCGAGCTCACCTTGATAACATGGAAAGCCGAATCGTAGAGCACCTCATCCTGCCGTAGCTGCACATGGTTTCGCCCGTCCTTCCGGAGTCGATCCAGGTAGTGTCGTGCCAACGTCTCAAGCACGATGGGCCCCAGCTTGAGGCCCATATCCCCCGTAAGTGTGTTGACCATGGTGGAGAATGTCAGACGCGGGGCCGGCAGACGCGGAATGTCCTGAGGTCATGGTGGCTGACAGTCGCTGACCGTGTCTGATCCGAGACACTTTGTCCTACTCCCGCTCTCGTCGTTCACAGTAGCTTGACTGGAACACTTCTACGGCCTCGCTCACCACTCGCTCACCACTTCAAGACAACTGGATGACCATATGCGTTCAGCTTTCTGTATATCAAGACCGGTGCTGATGGAAAACTTCTACTCGCTTGGACTCCATGCAACGACTTCTGTCTTTGCCACATGCCGGAACCAATAATGGCCATGATGATCCTCCGCAACTCACACGAAGCCTTTGTACCTTACACTGAATTATACACGGTCTTTCTCCTCAAGTCCGGTGCGACTTCGTTGCGGAATATAGGCGGCTATTACTACATAATGAGCAATGGTAACCACCTCTCTCTTCGGCCTGCTCGCCACCATCAACGCAACAAATAAACCTTGACCTCTCCAACTCGCAAACGCGCCTGAAACGCCCTTATCGAACCTGCTCCCCGAGAAAACGGCGCCGGAAACGCCGCAAAATGGGTATAGCAGCGGACATCGCCTCGTTGTGGGCGCATGCTATGTATGTACACCGCGACCGCTCAGCAACACTCTAGTGGCTCTCCTTGTGCAAGTATAACCGATGATTACTGACGGAAGTCTCCACGATTGAAGGGAGGCCCAAGGCTTAGTCTTGTTATCTCTGCTTGACTCCTTTATGCAAAGTATACCCTCATCAGAACTCTATCACGCTCTTGTACTCTCAGCGGCTCGCCTCTCCGGAAACTGGCTAGCTTCCTCCCAGGTATCCATCACGACTCCCCATGGTCTGGAGGTCCCCTTGTCCCTGTTATGTCGTTCCTCTTCACCAAAATAGGCAGGTGCACAGCCTCAAGACATTGCCCGACCCTTGTTCGGTCCTTCCTCCAGCAAGAATTAGCGCAACGTTGTCTGAGCTCTGCGATTCTCTCCCGTCTGCATTCCCAAGGACATGCACCGCACAATCCTTGTCCTCGGTATATAGGTGAAGAACGCGATGTTTCGTCTGTAAGTGTTCCCGTTTCGTTTCGCAGCCTTCGCCTGGCATTAACTTGCTGAACCAAGTCTTCGGACTTGCCCCACTCTCTTTGCATCCGCTACGGCGCCGTTATCCATGGGATGCTTGTGGCTAGCCTATATATAAACCTAGTCTTTTTGTTATTGAGCGGTAGGCGTTGGGTCGCAGCTTTCGCTGTTCTTGCTGCTCATCTGCATGTTCTCTAGGTCTATTGTGCGTATCCGCCACCCCTCTCGTGGGCCATGAAAAGGCCGGAAGCGCAGTGGTCGTTCACAAGCGGATATGCAGGATCGGCTGTAAGTTCGTAGAACCCGTCAGTACGAATAGCTTGTCATTACCTACCTGTGAATTTATGATAGTCCATTGCAGACGTCCGATCTCTCTTCCGAGGTCTTGCCTTTCACTGAGGCCATAAACAGTGGCACGGAGACTGCTAGCAGCTCTCCCACTGCTTACGTCTCTCCCTCGTCCTCGGTGGAAACAACATCTCCCTCCGTCACATTCATCTCTCCTGCCTGCACGGCATACGCCAGCTCTTCCGCTAACAATGTGCTCGAGAACCACGCATCGAGCGCATCTCCCCTTGTCACGTCGCCTCGTTCGCTGTTTTGGCTCCTTACGCTGAGCGTAGGAGTCAGCAGCGCCGCCATCACCTTTGCTTTCTGATCCATACGCGCACTCCGTCTTCTTCCCTCTTCCGAACTATCGGAGGCCACGGGACTGCCTGATACCATCGATACTTACTCAACTTTGACATAATTCCCTCGTAGACCGGCTCGACTCGTTATCTCTTCGCCAGAGTATCTTACTGTGTATGGACTGTATCCGTAGACCAGCTATGTAGCATTAGCACTTCCGGAATTATGTTCAGAATATATGCCACTGCTAATCGTTCAGACTTGGTCGTTAAGTTCCTGGTCCGAAACGCAACTCGCAGTGTTTTCTCACGCTGCTTCCTCGACATTACCGCTGCGGCCAGCGAACAAACCTTGCGCGAAATCACTATCTCAATCACGACCGACTTGCGCCAGAACCCTCTCGCGTCTTCTTCTGGTGTGGTATACTGATACGCTCGCTGTGCTGTGTTGTGCACGTTCTCAAGAATGGGGTACACGATCACTTGCCGATGTGGGACCTTTCGCCCCATCAGCGAATTGCCTGCGCCCAACAGAGTTCGAACCCACTCCCATACACGATTGCAGGAGCGACTTCCTTTTTCTATCTCCTGAAGGTGCAAGGGTTACACAGCGCTTTCCGAGTCCCTCGGCTGTCCACTCCGGGCTCCGGTGACTTCATTTTCTTCGGCTTAGTCCAGCCCGGCTCCTACCTCGCCTGAGGCCACATTCCGAGTAAATGTGGGTCCTATCGCCTGCGATGAAGACCGAGAGGCGTTATGACGCTCAGTATCTGCAAAGCGTCTCAGGATCTAATTTGGATCTAATTTGCCGTTCGATCCTCTGCCTATCTTGATCAACGATGGCAGCATCATTGCATAACGGAACACACAGGCAATAACCAATTTGCCGCCGCATGATCAAAGCAAAAACGTATATCTCGGTGCAAGCTGAGGATGGACAAACGACTCAGAGCACCTCGCTATCACAGACGGCCCATCCATAGCGCCCGTCTCACGTCCGATTTACTCAGCGCCCCACTTTTTACTCAGCCACACTCCTTTCGCCTACCTCAGCGTTCTCCCTCTCGAGACAACGTGCAGACGATACGACAGTAAGTCCTCGTTTTATCTCATCGGTTGACGATCAATAACCTGGTACTCGACAGATGCCCAATACAGTCACGGTGATATACTCCGCCGCGCTCTTGACCTGGTCTTTACGACATCTGTATCGACGCTATGCAATCAAGTCGATCCTTCGGGTACTTCCTCGACCACCGGATGCCGGGTTTCTCACTGGTATGTGTATCACCATACGAGACATTGTCATATACTCAACGTGGTACCAGGTCATTTGCTTATGATGTTTGATCCTTGGTCCGGTGTCAAGCTTCAAGAAGAGTTTGCGACTCTTGGCAGCGTCTTTCAAGTAAATGGTTTGATCGGGGTAAATTCTATTCCTTGGCAATGGGATGTGTCTCACACCAGTTGCAGGATGAGCAAATTTATGTGACGGACCCTCGAGCCCTTCATCACATACTCGTGAAGGACGAGACAAAGTTCGAAGAGACTCGAGCCTTCATCGAGTAAGTTTGCTGTGCTGCGCAAGTGCGATGAACGTTCGCATCTGAATTGATTGCAGGCTGAACAAACTTATATTCGGTGACGGGATACTCTCCGCAGAAGGTATGGTCACGTACAAGGCACACATATCGCTTTTATCCAAACCTCACGTATCGTGTCTTTTCGTCGCAGGTGCTATACACAGAGCGCAACGCAGAATATTGAATCCCCACTTTTCTACCAACAATCTCCGGACTCTCATGCCGACATTCACAGAGGTAGTGAATGCCGTACGTAATTTTCGCCCTTGATTGTTCTGCGACCCCTTAAAATTACCCAGCTCAACGCAGCTATCGCCACCGATATTCGCGGTGGGCTTCACGAAATCGACATGCTGAACTGGCTGTCTCGTGCATCTCTCGACATAATGGGACGAGCCGGAGTTGGTTACGATTTCGGCGCGTTGAACCCGGATAGGGCAGACAACGAGTATACCGCTGCCATCAAGAACCTCCTGTCAGCTTTCTTACAACCACGATGCTCGTCGTTATCGGTAGCTTACATGTCACCAGGCCCGCCGTATTCCCATTTGCGCCTTTCATGGATCTCATGCCCGATATCAGGCATTCGCTGCCTCCTCGCTTCCGGCGGTTCTTGGTTGATGTCATGGCCTTACAATTCAACGGAATACGCAGAGTCAGGGATATCGTCGATACCATGTATCGCTCGGGGAAGGAGATATATGCTCGGAGGAAAAGCAGGTTGGAAAGCTCGGCAACTGGCACTGATATCTTCAGCATGCTGGGTAAGCCTCGTACTGCATGAACTCAGAGGAAAGAAGTTTCCGATCATGTTTTCTCTCTCACAGTGAAGTCGAATACCAACTTGCCTGACGATGAGCGTATGCCCGAGGAGTCGCTCATAGCTCAGATCAGGTGCGATCCAATGCGCTTTAGGAATGGCACATGCTAAAATTTCCATAAAGCATGTTGGTCTTTGCTGGAACAGATACCACAAGCGCAGCGATGGCCCGCGCCCTTAGTATCCTTGCTGACCATCAGGACGTCCAACAGCGCCTTCGAGAGGAAGTCATTGACGCCTTCACCGAGTACGCCACATTGACGCACGACGAACTCATGGCCCTTCCCTACCTCGATGCCGTCATAAAGGAGGTCTTACGTCTGCACCCTCCTGCGTACATGTTCCTCCGAACCGCTCGCGAAGACACGACGCTCCCCTTGGCGTTCCCCGTGGTCGGGACCGACGGCCGGACCATTCACGAAGTCCCCATCCGAAAGCGGCAGCAGATCATAATGGGTCTGGGTGGAACAAACTCGGACGAACGAATATGGGGACCTGACGCGAAGAACTTCAAGCCCGAAAGGTGGCTGAAACCGTTGCCAGGGAGCGTCGCGCAAGCGCGCGTGCCTGGCGTCTGGGCGAATCAGTAAGTACCCCACACAGGATGTAATTCAACGCCGCTGACCTCAGTGGAGCATAGGATGACTTTCATCAGTGGACCTCGGGCTTGTCTTGGATTCAAGCTAGCCGAAATCGAGATGAGTAAGTTTCAGTAGCAAACGTTCCGGTGAAGGATGATATCAAACGTGTTCTCCGCAGAGCTCACGCTAGCTACATTGCTCCGTGACTTTGTGTTTTCCCCCGGAAACGAAGAGATATTCTGGAAGCTAGGCTTCGTCGTTCAGCCGCATGCGGCAGGACAAGAGCATGGACCACCCCACATGCCACTGAAGGTCACCGCGGTAAAGCGCGAATAAAGGGATCCGATGTTACGGCTCGGGACGTGTTTTTTTTTTTGTCACCCTCATATTTTGGGGTGCGGGCGCACATGTACCCTTTCGAGCAACAGAGTCATTGATCAGAAAGCGTCCATCCAATATTATCGAAGGGTCGAGGAATGTACAAGCGGTCAGGCGGATCCATCTAACGAGCTCCGGGAAGCCACAGATGAGCCCCTGGTAGAAAAACAGGGAGCCTAGTATCCAGCTGCGCCCGGAGCGGCGTCGCCCTCCCTCTTCAGCCGGAGAAGAACTTCCTTGAATCGCGAAAGGTCGGAGGCGCCAGGGCCAGCCCGAGCCAACGTCTTGCTCTGAGAATTCTCGAGCTCGACAAGGGAGCAGATGCGTTGCCAAGTCGTGCCGACCGAGAGCGAGTCCGTGAGTGAGGCAAGGTACTCCTGCTCTTGCACCCTAAGGAATTGACGTGATATTAGCACCGTTTGTACGAAAGGGGGGTTGAAGACGACGCACTTGTTTTCACGGATGTTACGCTCCTTTTTAGCGTTGTACTCTTCGTAGAACTGGTCTATGGAGCGTTCGGCTTTCGCGATGGTCTCTTGACGTTTCTGCTTGGAGGCTTCGTCGCGGACTTTGATCTGCTCGGCCTGGTGTTCTCGCCATTGCCTAAGAACAGTGTCCGTTCAGCCCGAGATTCCTAAGAGCAAGGGGATACGGCTGACTTGATCACTTCGGGCTCATCCTCTTGAATTTGTTGTGTCAGGATGGGCGTGGACGCAAGCGCTGACGGCTGAGGACGAGGCGCGAACGTCGGTGTTGCACCGAAGGTCGGCACTGAAGACACGGGCACCGGGGGCTAACCATGGTTATTAGAACAAGATAGCATAGCAAACGTAGAGAGAGCTAACTCCAGGGACTTCAATGTCCGGAAACTGATCCTCGAACTTCTCAATCTCGTCGTCCCCAGTCACCTTGACCTCCGTCACCCTCTCCCTCGGCGGACTCCCAAAATCATCAAATGAGAATCCACCAGTCGGCTGCGCGGCGACGGCGGGAGAGACCACGGACGGAATGTCGCCGGAACCGTCGAGCGAAATGTCCGGGAAGGCGGACGCGGCGCGGTCAAAGTCGATGTCGTCGGCGCTGTTGCCGCCGGTGAGGCCTGCGCTGTCAAACTCGCCACCGAGAAGCTCGTTCTCGCGCGCAAGGAAGTCGTTGCTCATTGTGGAGGACGCGCCTGGCAAGGGGTGGTGTGGAGAAGGAGAAAAGCCGTAGACGTGGTGGTCGGTATGATCGCTGCGCTGCGCCACAGCTTGCCTTGCATGGGTTCTCTGCCAGCGACTTTGCCTTCAGAAAATCCGGCTGCGCTATGCCCTTCAACTTACCAGGGCTGCTGGTCCCTTTTCAGCTCCTGTTCAACCCCAGACTTGTGCTCCCCGCACTGACGGTCAAAGGTGAAGAGGCTTTGCTCACCTCACCTCACCCGAACGTCACATACCCAACCATCTGTAATCAGGATAGACATCCGCTACCTTGACTTTACGGCACTCCGAAATGCGGGATACCGAGGAGCAGTATTTGACAAGGACAATTGCTTGGTACGATGCTGCCGTCCAATCCAAACGTGCGCCCAATCGACATTCTCCCCAGACTTTGCCGAGCCGTGACGGCTTAGTACCAGAACTCACGGTACGCTCACCGTTCCCCGTATGTCGAGGAAAGTCTAATATAGAATATAGGACGCATGGAAAGAGTGCCGAGATGCGTTCGGCGAGGGGAACGTCCTGATTGTCAGCAACTCGGCCGGGACAAAATGGGACACGGCTCTCATCCAGGTACCGCGCCATTTCTGCACCGATTCTGCGCTATGCCAACGACTGTGTTCTCTGCTCAGGCCGAGTCCGTTACCAACCATCTTCGCGTCCCCGTACTCCGGCATGCGTCTCTCAAACCCTCCTACCGCTGCATATCCGGGATACGCACCTACTTCTTGTCCCTTCCCCGCCCTATAGCGGACCACGAGCTTATCGTCGTCGGAGACCGCATCTTCACGGACGTCGTGATGGCCAACCGGATGAAACCCCGACGCGCGCAGACAACGCCGGAGACAAGCTCACCATCGCCGGCCGAAAAGCAAGATGCCGCCTCGTCGTTACCTTTCCCCCACCTCTCCAACCCTGAGAAGGCTAACGCGCCCTTGGTGCCGCTGCCATCGGGACCGTTGGCGATATACACATCGGGCGTGTGGCAACGGGAGAGCATGGCCATGCGTTGGGTGGAGAAGACCCTTATCGAATCCGTGAGGCGGTTCACGAAAGAGGAGCCAGACCGGGCAATCGAGCACGCGTTCATCAACCGAACCGCGGCGGAGATGCTCGAGAGACAAGAACGGGAAAATAATAGCTGGAGGTCGCGGATCCTCCGGACTTTCGGGCGCCGATAACGGATGCCATTCCAGCTCGGGACAATATAGACGATGCGTGCTATATTATATGCTTCATACTCGTAATTAAGACCACCGTTCAACCGTATACTATTCTCGATTTCGACGTGTTGAGAAGTGCAAGGCTATAGCTTGGCTGGTCCGACCACAGCCGCGGCAGGTGATGGGCTCGGTTCAGCCGGGAGGTGCGCCTCCACCCAACTGATGCACTCCTCAATGAATTTCTCCTTCACCCCGTCTGGCTCGTTATGCAATTCGTGGTATCCTCCCTGCTCCATTCGTCAGCATTCAACGCTCAAGGATCGATTACGGAAAACTTACAGGATATAAGGACAACTTCTTGTCTTGGGCCGGCAGGTTCTGGAAGAACTCCTCGGTCGACTTGCAAGACGTCACCTATTATCCTGGTCAATGCATGCTGCCTTTGCCTTTCCCATGCCGGTCAAAATACCTTGTCCTCCGTCCCATGAATCAGAAGGACCGGGAGGTCCTTCGGCCAGTCCTTGTAGTCGTTCCAAAGCAGTTGCTCACCCTGTGATAGGTAGATGAGCCTCTGCAGATCAAGGAAACACACATTGTGCACGCACGTGGTTGAGCATGTCCCTCAGCTGCCGCAAAGTTCCTTTCTCGTACACCAAGGGATCGGTGCTATACGAGTCGTTGACCACCGGATCATGGGTCAGATCCTGATGACAATCGCAACTTTATCAACGTGAAGACTGAAGAGGAAATGAGAAACGACCTACGGCCGAGTTGACCTCTGCCTTGAACGTCAGGTTCGGCAATATTTTGCTCGCTTGACCGCCTACCCATCGCAAAATCTTGGGCGCGGGTTTCGTCTGGCAAAGTAAAGGGCTGGACGCAATGACTCCCGCGAGTGAAGATACCGTCTTCATTGGCGGTGAGCGGGTAGCATAGCCTAAAACAATGGCCCCTCCCTGCGACAGAAAAAAACGACGATCATGACAATCTCCAACTTGTTTGGTCGATAGCCATACGCACCATCGAGTGTCCCATAAGAAACACTGGTTTTCCTCCCGCTAGCTCATTTTTCGCATAACTCACGGCCCATTCTACGTCTGCCATCTGCTCGGGCAAGCTGCTCTTCCCATACACGCTATCCTTGCTCTTCTCCTCGTCCAGCGCCGTGCGACCGAACCCCCGCTGGTCAAACGCAAGCACCGTAATCCCTCTATCTGCCCACACCGGGAAGACATGCTACACGCAAGAACGATGGTCAGATCATTTGTAAATCCCTCAGGGGTAAGACACAGCGGAAAACCTGCTTGGTAGCGTTCTATGTGTTCGATGAATCCGTGGCAGAAGACGAGGACGGCTTTCTGGCGAGTTGCGCTGTATGTCTGGGTAAAGAACCGCGTTCCTCCTGCGCCGGTGAGCCATCTGGAGACGATGCCGGACATGGTCGTAATTCTCGTCGAAGCTGCTTCGACCAACCCCGCAAGAGAAGACTGCGGGGAATCGTGAAAATATATTTCCTTTCCTGCTTACATCGGAGGTTCGGCCGAAGGGTGTGCCTTGCCTCTACACGGCGATGTACTCTGGAGTATCGTAAGTTTGGTTAGGGTGATACTCTGGAGTCTACCATGGCTCAGGATTGCCTGAATGCCATGCTCATTCCCGGTCTCGGCGATGCGATACGCTCGGAAACTGTTTGGTATTCCGGGCCCTGAGCGCTGAGCTTTGATGACCACATCACAAATCCTGACTGCACTCTAGATATCACAATATGCAGTCTACGACGGGGATCCGAGAATTGGCTTACGGACTGAAGTAAGAAGGTACTGGACGACCTTCGGACCCACGTACTGAATATCGGACTCTAATGTGCAGTCGGACATACCCTGAGTATGTGGCAGTCCTTCTGGGCCTCGATCCAGCGCCGATCGTTACCAGGTTTCGTATGACACTCGTCTCGGACTAGAGCGAATCTGATGAGTGGTACGCTCACAGTGATACATGCATCATGCGAGTGTGCACTTGCGATGCTCGTGTAGCTTGCTTGACAACCCACGGTCGACGACTTGCACTATACGTTGAAGCATCGAAATGCGCCTATAGAAGAACAGTGACTCTGAACACACCTCACGTATCATCATGGAATGCACCACCAGCCCAGGAAACCCGCCGCTATCCAATGCGGACCTACAGTATGCCGAATCGCTGCGCTTCGCTTACCGCGAGAGCTGTCCTGGCGTTTGGGACCCGACATGGGGCGATGAACACTCTATATGCTCCTTACGCTGGCTTGGCCAGCATTGCCGATAGCATGAGCGCGTATCGCGTATAAAGCATCTGTACAACGGCCGTGGTTCTTCAGCTCCCGGCTCTCCTTCGCATTCGTTCTCTGAGCTCACTGAGGCACTGGTCTGGTGAGCGATTTCGTGTTTTCGAGCAACACCACCACTAACACACCGCTTCCAGCCGTCTTATCTCTCAACTATTTTCTTACGCCCACACCCACTCTTTGCCGCCTTGTTTTGCATCATCAAACATGCGTGCCGCAGCCATAATCATGTTCGTTGGAACGATCGCCTCTATTTCCGGAGCACCTGTCCCCAGGCGAGCAGAGCATCCTCTGATCTCTAGCAATCATATTGACGCTATTGATCCAGGACATCGACCGGATCCGGTCACTCGAGTCTTGCCAGCATCGCCGTAAAGGGTCTCGCTCACGCTGCGCCGGAGATCGTTCATTTTGGCGACGACATCTTCAATGATATCTTCGACACCGGAAACGAGGACGTAAGCCAGACGCAGGCATCCGCTGATACCGACGCCACGGAGGATGCAAGCCAAACGCAGTCCTCCCCCGATGCCGACCCCACGAATTCAGCTTCTGTTTCCAGGCGGTCGCTCGCGCTCACGAGTGTCAACCGATTCCCAGTCAAGGCGGCGTCAATAATCGCAGCCGGCGGATCTGAGCTCGTCACAGCCGCGCCGACAGTGACCGCTACTACACTGGCGGCCTCCAGTCCATTAAGCACCAGCATATTCTTGGGCGTGCTCCCCCCGGAAATCCAAACCTTGACACCTGAGGAGGCCCAGCGCATAGCCAGTTTTTTCGAGTCAGAATTCCCGACATCCTCCGTTACCCGCAGTGCTCAGCAAACTGCTCCAACGCTTATTCGTCCGATAGAGACTCGCCACCTTCGCAACCTGGCGTCTCGTTCTCCAGGGATAGGGACTGTCTTCAAAGATGGTCTGGAGATCGTACCTGACCTGGTTGATGCCGGAAAGAGCATCGTGGACAAGTTGGAGGGATCGTCTTCGAATGACGATCGAGACGACGACCAGCCGACGTCTGCTACTGATGACCAGCCCACATCCGCTACCGACAACCAGCCTACCTCCGACGAACAATCGGCACCTGCTACCGACGATGGCCAGGACGACGCCCAGCCAGTCGGCTCCGTCGCACCTCAACCACCAGTTCACCCTGGTGTCGTCGGCACACGGAGGAGCCACGTTCTAACGGAGAGGCAGGCCGTCCAAATCGCAGAGGCGGCGGGAACCCTTTTGCCGGGCTTGATTCACAGCATCGCGGACGGCAATGCGGAAGCCGATGTCAAGGAAGGCTTCGATAAGCTGAAGTCCATTCTTCGGTGAGTGCAGTGCAACGTTGCCTTCCCGGTTCATTCAGTAATACTGAAGGCTCTCTTGCAGTAGGGTATGATATAATCTTCGAACGGTATGCGACGATTAGTTCAATTACAGGTTTCGTTTGTTCGTTGGATAACATCACAATCCCAATCATGGACGGGATTTGGAAGCTCGATTATATACGGTGTTCAATCCTGGACATGGAGACGAGCAACATGAAGCGCTGACGAAAGCAGACGAGCGATATCCAACTGCAAGTATGGTACCGGCACAATGTCAGCGTTTCGCTTCACAGGACATCGATTCAACCGATGGTCCTTCATCAGCTCCTCCAGCTCTGTCAGGGATGTACTTCTTCCCCGGGTCATCGGTGGGGTGCAGCCCGTGGGTGTTCCAATGCGACCCTGCGCCTCGAAGTGACGTAGATGTCCCCTAACATCGATATCCGTCTCGTGACAACAGCATCGAACGCATATATGCATTAGATACAAGCTAGGGATATCTGCACGCGGCAGGAGCCTGTACAACGGAGGCGAGCAACACAGAGCGCCAGAGAGGCTGAAAATGGAATTTGAACATCATTCTGAGGGACATGAAATCAAGCGAGATCGATGTCGGAAAGCAGCTGCCTGAGCTCCGTTAAGGGAACATATTTCCTTAGGGTATCCTCGCCAACCGTGGCATGCAGCTCGTACACGGGATCGAACTCCTCAGTGGCGGTATGGCAGGCGAGTACCTTGTACGTGATCCCCTCGATGGTAAGCCGCTGACCTACAAGCGCGCTGAAGTCGAGCAAGAGCCGATTGGCCAGGTGAGGGTGCGGTGTCGTGGTGAGACGTATGTGGGCCCCAGTCCGGGCCCGAGAGACGAGACGAGAGTCATTTCAGCCTTCGATAGAAGCACGATACAGAGAAGGTGCTGACAACGTATCGTTAGCTTCCGCGTCGAGTCTGATCGCGTAAACTCGGCCCTTGGCAGCCGGGAGCTCCCAACCGATGAGGAACTCGATGGCACGCTGCGAAGCAAATATAACATCTACGTGACTAACTACGGCACGTCTGTGGCGTGCGATGAATTCGACGACGCGGTCCTTGTGCATTCTCTTCCAGTCCTCAATTTCTTCCGTAATAGAGCTCTCAAGGTCTTCCACCACCGGAAGAATATTGCCTAACGAACGAACGAAAATTGAATCATCGACGAACCGTCGTAAACGTATCCAAACAAATAACCATGGGTCAATCAACACCCGATCTGTCAAAGTTGCACAAGACGTTTTTGTTTTTTTTTGAACTTCCTACTCAAGCATTACATCTCCAAACTTGCTAAGATACTAAGTAACATACAAAGGGGAGGAGCGGGGCTCTGACCAAACCGGTCAACAACGAGAGGAGACAAACGAAAACAAAAACACATTTTTTGGTCAAATATTCGATACTGTCCGCTGCCCTTCTTCCCTTCTTACTACGGCCTTTCCCAGGCCAATCCCTACTTCAACCCACTAAAAACAAAAAAACTTGGCATGCTTGCTCGCTCTCGTAGAGACACCAACGACAGCCCGATAAACAATGGAAATCACCGCATAACACGCGTCCGCGGAGCGGGGACACGCGCGTGAGGCATGCGAAACAGGAAGGAAGGTAGGAGAGCCGTCGACGATGACGATACGTCCTGCCTGGCGCGGGACGACGGCAATTTTCTTCGTCTCGGCGCCTGGGTGGTAGGAGTAGTGAGTCCTGATGGTGCGTCCCCCGCCCCTTCCTTATACGCTCGCTCGCGCGAAACAGAAAAAGGAGACGATGTGTCGAGAGGAAAATAGAAAAGAACGTCGAAAAAAGCCGGTCTAGATGGAGTATAAAGACGTAGAAGGACACAGCCACGAGTACGAGGAGCCACGGAGGGAGGAGATAAAGGAGATATCGGGCGTGAGAGGGATATAACAGTCAAGGAGGGTGGGTGTGCGTGTGCGCGAACAGGCCGAGGAAGAGGTAGAGGAAGGTGGAGGACAGACAGTGCGCGATGACCCAAGCACAGACGAGAACAAGGTCGAGGACGAATAGATATACGAGGGGGGGGGGCCCGGTCCGTCGGGGGCTGTCGTTATGAGGGCACGCCACCGGGAGGCACTGCTCGGAATGGTGTTTTGTTCCAATCCGCGTCTAAAAGAGAGAGGTCGGCGTGAGTACGGGGTCAGCGCATCGGGTATCATGCACGTACTCTTCTGGAATATATCGTTACCCCACCATACGGTCTTGTCGATGATCTCTCCGTTCTTCGGGAACTGCGAATCGTAATCGCACGTCAGCTCCCCCGATTCCTGACCAGAAAGGGAAAGAAGGAACGACGACGCACCTGAAGCACGAAGAAGATCAAGATCAAACTGATGCTCGTCCCGCTGTCCAGCGCCGCGCTCGTCACGTAGTTGAACTTGCTCCACCACGCGAAATTCCTCTTCCTGATCAGATACTGGAACACGAGGCCCATCGCGAACCACGCCGAGTAGTTGATGCCCGTCGCGGGGGGTATGAACAGCAAGCCGTTGAGGATCACGGGCGTCGACAAATACCTCACCCAGCTCGTCGGGTACCGGCGCTGCCACAGCCAGAAGGGCACGGGAAGGAACGCGCCGATGATGACGGCGTAAATCTGGGGGTAGTAGATCGAGCCCGGGCCGAACTGGCGCGAAGGGCCGATGAGTCCCCAGATGGCGGACGCGGTGAAGTACACCTTGTTGTGCGGGCAGGTGAGGGACGAAGCCTGATCCGGCGAGCAGATGTCGGGCACGTTCGTGAAGAGCCATTCCTTCACGCCGACCTGGACGAAGGCGG